GAGGGGGGAAATAGCGTTTCCCGTAGGGTTCAGAATCAACCCCTGTAGCTTTTGCGACAGGAATAACATTGAGGTGATGGAGGAATATCCAAAATACCTCCTTAGTCACATTACTGACTTCCTTACACCACACCCGATACGGACGCGGTTGATAAATACTTGCAATGAAGTTCAACGGCTGGGATTCCTCTGGTGGAGTCGGATCCCGCATATACGCTAGGATCGTTTTTGCCCGAGGCACTAGATTGTCGGGAGATGCGGACGAAAGGTGGGTGAAAAGCAGGCTAAGAACAATACCCCGGGTTGTGAATTCGCTTGGGCCTTTCTTCTCTTCATCGAAGAGCATATGCAAAAGCGTTGGAAATAGCACAGACTCGACCGACGAAAGATGACGGAGAGCCAATGATGTCGTGCAAAGTGCTTTCAAACAGAGAAGGGTTTCGTGTAAAAGGGCGTCTTCGTGTTCCTCCCTATGAAAAATGTAAGTGAGCATTTTCAAAAGATCAGATATTATTTTCAAGGGATGGTAAAATACGCACCGCCACTCCACTTTGAGGATCCGGTACAAAAGTTCAATGATTTCATCCATTCCTCCATGCGAGATAAAGGCGTCAACCCATGCCACTGTCTCATTTCTCAAAAGTATTCTGAGTTTGTGTAGCTTGCCCACTTCCACTATCTCTGGCTTCTGAACCTCTCGAAGGTAGTGAACAAAGTCAGTGGGATCAGCTGTATGGTCTGGCTGCACCTGAGGCGCTAGCCCTGTCGTTGAGCTTGAACTAGATAGGCCTCTAGAAGATACGGGCCGAGATAAATCAACGGACTTTGGACGCTTATGAGCAGCCATGTTCTCATTGCTCTTTTTAGGCGAGGATATGTCCGGTTTTGAAATTGAAAATGGACGGTTTCGGGATCGGGATCTGGATCCCTTACCGTTAGAACCCTTTCTCCCGTCCGCAGAACCACTCGATGAGTTTCTATCGTTGGTAGGGTTTGATGAACCAGCCGTGCAAAGATCAAGATGATGCTTCCGTATGAAATCAGCTTTGATACTCGCATCCAAAGAGCGCATCTTATCGCGCATGTTATGAGGAATATTCCGAGAATCCTTTTTTCCCCGCAAATGAAACAGTTAGAAGATCATTATCATTGTCTCATTCTCGGAACGTCTATCTTACCAGAAGTGCTTCGAAAGCTCCATCGATCCCTTCTGGGTGTAAGGGTTTCTGTGGCTCGGTCTCCTTTTCCTTCGCGTTGAATGCTGTGATAGCTGCTAACACCCGAGACCCACGCTTTCCACCCGATTCCCGCCGCTCCTCCAACGCGTATCCCGGTGGAGATCCGCGACGAACGTGATTTGCTGTGCGGCTATTGCCTCCTTTCTGCCACTGTTGTTCTCTGGAAGCTCCTGAACGTTGCACGGAGGCTAGCATATCTCTAAAGGATGAAGAACCGGGTAATATATATTCTGACTTCGGCCTTGCCTTTGTATCAGGGCGTTTCGTTAGAGACGGTAGTTGATGGCCGTGAAAATTCCTCTGCTTGGATGGCGAGTATCCCCTAGGAGTATACAGCGACATTTCTTCGTCTAAGGTTCGTCCTCTCTGTGGCAGATAGCGGTTGCTACCCTGGTCTGGTTGATGCTCTTGATATGGGCTTCGGAAATGAGTCCATACTGGCGAAATTTCTGCGCCAGGTGACTGAGGAGGATTCATATTTTCCTTGTCTTTTTGCTGTTTGTTGGAAGTATCTTCCTTACGTTCACGTTGGGACCTTCTGAAAATCGCCGACAAACTAGTAGAAGATTTTGTCTTTTTTGCCTTCTTTTCCCGAGAGGTTACCTCTGGGGATGGAGGTTTGTTAGGTGATGTGAAATCCTTCATAAGTGACCTCAATGATACGGAGCTCTTAGTTTTCTTATGTAGACTATAATCCAGCGTGCCCTCAGGGGTTTTGTGACGGGAACGGGGGCTATTTGGGGCATCGCGATTATGGGATATTTCAGACAACGGTCGCTGCATATGGGAGTGTGGATGGTCGAGAGGTAACATGGGAGGGGGCATGCCCGCATGCTTGTTTTGAGGGGCACTACCGGCTGAATGATTCCTCTTGTGAGCTTTTGAGGGGAAAATGGACCTCAGGCCCGAAGCCCTTGGTTGGCTCGAGTCCTCGTCAACAAAAATGCCCGCGTTTTGCATGGAGGCCGCCATTCTGCGTCTTCACGGGGTCCTGTACAATGAATGATATTAGTATTGGGGGCACAATGTAAACAAGACAGGCATTGGATATGCTGGTGTTAACTTACTCCGCTTTAGACAATATCTAGTAGCACACGATAAATGAAGCTATAATGAAGCAGAAATGGAATGCAATATCTGTAATCTAGATATTTACACGATTGATAATGAGAAGGAAGAAGAGGTTCAAGTAAACAAGCCCGCAACTGTGTCCGAATGGAGGCAGCTATGGGAAAACTCGACCATCAATGCTTCATCCTCTTGAAGGCAGACGCAAGGAAGTCAAAGTAAGAAACACAATAGTCAACAGAACAGGAAATTAACAAATATTAAGGACCCCCATGACAATAATAAATGAATCGGTGAGCGGTGTTCAAGGATGGGCTTCATTATGATGACGGAAGAAACATGTGTTCCGGCGTTGCTGCAGCAACTGAGGGCAAACCCCGATAACAGCTGGCGGCGGCGGCGGCGGACTTAGCGCACAACAAAAGCCTGCGTGGAGAAACAACGCATACATAGGAAATGCAGAGGCGTGATTGAATCCGATATCAAGATTAAATGAGTGGTCACCAATAATTCTCTGACCTCAGTAACTATCTGTTGTTTGGTATGCTACGTTCTTAGCAGCATTTCTTCCATCCAGCAACCGGATCCTGGCAAGGATTCTTCCGCCTTTAACGCGTTACGCGCTTAGATAGCCAATAGACCTAATATATCTGCTGCTCGGGACTACTTGGAGATTTCGGCGGCAGACAGTCAGACAAACAACAGACGAATTTCAAGCATGCATACATAATAGCACAAGTAGCTTGTTCTGAATATCTTTTTTAAGTGGGACGAGATAGACGGGCCTTTTTCGTGCGTCCCCTTTCCAATAAACATGCTCCATCTCTAACGGCTCATTTAGTCCAGTAACAGTCAAAATCCAAACCGTATTTCTATTGACTTGAGTTGCCCAAGTAATGGGGTGGTGGTTAATTGGACTTGTTGCTCATGTGTCAGAACGCTTTTATATATCGAATATGTGTCTTAAACTGGTCCTCCTAATCTTATGAAAGAGAGTGCCTTGGAATACCAGAACTTACAGATCATCCAGATGTCTCTAGATGGCGGCGTAGAAGCTTGAAGATTGACAATTGAGCTACCTAGGTACCCAGCGTGGGCTCTAGGGAGCGGGAGTGAAATGAGCCATGTCTATTGCATTAATAAAACCCTCATATAGCTGGAACAAGGTTGGATACGTATTATTTATATCTAGGAGTGCCACTTAACGAAATGAGAACCAGGTATTCCACTGAATTCCACTACAATAGTGGTATGAAGGTATGTGTGAGTTCCTGACTTAAAGATGGTTTCCCACTTAAACCACATCCCGCATAATTTTGAAACGCGTCAAAAGAGAGGTAAGTAATCTGAACGCCAAAGAAGCATAATGCTATCAAAAAAAAAAAAAAAAAAAAAAAAAAAAAAAAAAAAAAAAAAAAAAAAAAAAAAAAAAAACCGTTGAAGCAAGGCTCGGAATAACACAAAGCACAATTTAAAACCAGGTCATGGACGGGGAAGAGGGTACTGAAGTCTCTTTCCAGAAAGGTGAAACAGACCAGACATAGCCATCTCATCCAGCAGCCTCTTTAACCTTCCCTTCCTCAGGCGGTTCATCCACAAACTGTGGCGGCCCAACCTCATCCTGCAGAAACGCCGGCATCGCATCCTCACCCAGGACATTTTCAAACATCGACTCCTCCCCAAGCGCCTCCAACTCCGCATCAAGCTCAGCCTCATCCACGTCCTCCGGCACGTCATATGCGCGGCTGATGCTCTCCTGAATCTCATTCCCAATCTCCATCAAATCCTGCATCTCATCCTGCATCCGCTCGATCTGGTCGATGTCCACCTTGCCATATTGCTGCTTGAGTGTCTTGGTCGTGGTCTTCATCGCGTCCACAGTCGTCATAACGTTTTTCAGATTATCCTGCATCATACCTGCTTGTTCCATATTCCATGACTGTTGAGAGAGTTGGTCGCGCTGGGCTTCGTATTGCTTGCGCCGTTGTAGGACCTTCAGCGCTTTTTGACGCATAGCATTCTTCCCAGGCCCGTCACGCATTTTGGCCATTCGCGATTGGTAGGAGGATAGTTCTGCATTTAGGGCGGCGAGTTTGACGTCTATGCTTGCGACGCGGTTGTCGACCTGTTAGTTGGTTTTAATAAGTGTTTACAATTCGGTGGCACTTCCGAAAAGGGTGGTAGGGTTGGGTGGCGGGAAAGGAAGAAACGCACATTTGAGATTGCGGAATCGAGTGTCGGTCTCGGAGCAGAGGTCTTGGTACCAAATAGCCGGTTCATGGCTGGTTGTTTGGTGTTTATGTGGCCGCTGCTATTGGTGTTTGGAGAGGTGGTGGGGTATTGAGGGATGGAAAGGGGAAAGGTAGGTAGGGATGGCTGAAGGAATCTACTAACGTAGGTTATAGCTTTGGAGGGATGGATATAAGTGGAAATGAAGTTTATTGCAAAAAATTTGGATTTGGCACATGCTGTCCTGTCCAACCTGTTACTGCATCGGAAGAAGATATCATTATCTATTATCCTTCATCTGAACCGATGATGCCTGGCGATCAACTGATGTCAGGGCCGGATCACATGACTCCTGCCAAGCCATGGATCAAACGCCAAACGGATCCGTCTCAACGTGGAAGAAATCGCAAGAGAAAGCAGGAATTTATATGTTTTTCATTTGTTGTTTCTCATTAAAGAAGAGTTCAACATTGGGTTTGCAACTAGCTTTATGAATACAAATCTTAAAAAAATCCCACTTGGTCCTTGATTTCGATCAAGATGACAACTAGTATCACATTAAGTTGGCTTCAAAAGCCAATCCGCTGGGAGCCGCAACAAAAGTTTGTTTTTTCAAGGGATCATTTGGTTCATGCGGAAGAAAGGGATTTTGTAGGACCCTGTTCCGAAGCGGTTTGCGCTGTGGAAGTTTGGTCTAGACAGCGGTTGGTGGTTACATGACAGACAGACATGATGTAGCCGAATATCAACCAGGCCTTAGTAGCAATGTATACAGAATACGATATCTGTTTAATTTCGCACCTATCCTTCTCCGCTGTGCCCAGTGACAGAATTGTATTCACTCTTGTGGTTGTTGTTGTCGTTGCAGTAGGAGTTAAAATATTTGCTTTGCGCGGCGGTGTGGTCCGTCATCTCAATATTTGGCAGAAAATTTGGACTGAGCCTCACCCACGCCAACGCCAGCACATCTCACAACTGCCACTTGCCGACCTCACCTCACCATCCATCCGCTCACACGATACCAACCTCCCGTTCTTGACTCTTGCTGGCCTTAGCTCTATAGGCAAGGCTACTTTTAATTATTTATTCTTGTTCATCTTCATCGTCATTCTCTTATTCGAAGGTACGTTGCTACCCTTCTTCCGGCACATGCATGCAGCCATTTCTTCAACAACCCCCCCCCATTTCCCCCCATTCACGTCAGCATCCTAAATAGCCCGCCCCCCTTGCATCTTCAACCACACCTCTTTCCCATGCGCCCTGTTCGTATACCGATATACCATTTTTGCATAGCGCATGGCCGCCTCGTCCATATTTCTATGCTCTATTCCTATCCAACACGTTTACGATATCCTCGAAATTCCCCACGATCTTAGTGCCACCATAATACCCATATCTCCCTCTGTACACCTCGCATCCCGTGCTTGATACTTTGCAAAATTATCGTTATTTTGCGGATAGCAACATTTGCGCATAGATTCTCGGATTCAGAAGCATACTTGGGGATCAAAAGAAAAAGAAAAAGTTTCAAAAAATAGAGAAGTCGCCGACACATCACCTCGCATTTTCCCTGACGTCAATGAAGTATCGTTCCCGTTTTTGTCTCTGGTATAATTATAACTCATCATGTTCTGGCGTTTTGGCGGATATGCAAATATCTCCGCCATCGATACCCTCCTTGAGAAGCCAGATGTCTCCCTCGAGGAAGTTCTCGATGAGTCGGAGCTTATGCAAGAGCTCAAACAGCATAATACAAAACTCATAGAATATCTACGTGACGATAATGTCTTGAAACGATTGCTCGACTACGTAATTTCGCCCAGTCTGATAGATGACGAAGATGACCACGATGACGGTGCGCAAGAAGAAAAGGAGAGGGATAGGGAGGGAGAATCAGCGGAAGGTCAAGAGGCGGCAGTGACTGCGGATTCATCGGAGAAAGCCAAGGAAGAGGGACAAGAGCACGCCGACGATAATCCCACTCGTTTAAGTTCCGGTCTCGACATCGAAGAGCTAGAAAATGCGGAGAAGTCACGTTTGAAATATTGCTACATTGCTTGCGAAATCTTGTCGTCCAACTCCTGGTCGATCATAGAATCGATGATGCTCAATGAAGGATATCTGCGGGACTTCTGGCGCTTCTTGTGGAGGGAAGCGCCGCTTGATCCACTCCAATCCGGGTACTTTACCAAGGTGAATGAAGTTCTTCTTGAAAAAAAGACAGAAGAAATGCTCGCTTTCATCAAGTCTTTAGATGGTGTAGTGCCCACGCTCCTTCGACATGTGGATAACCCAATGATTATGGATTTGCTTCTGAAGATTATAAGCCTTGAAAGGATGGAGGGTGGCCAGGGCGTTGTTGAGGTGAGCAGCATTGTTCCATTGCACACCCGCCCAGAATAGAACTAACCTAACTAACCGTTTCAAATTTAGTGGCTGCAATCACAGGACCTGATACCATCCCTGTTGTCTTGCCTCTCAACGGAGCATACCTCTTCGACTCAGACATCCGCCGGTGATTTTTTGAAAGCAATCATCACAATTTCTGCCAACGCGGCGCAAAATGACCAGTCTTGTATCGGACCCAACAGCTTGACGCGCCAACTAGTTTCCCAGCCCTGCGTGGAAGTTCTAATATCTTCAATGTTAAAGGGTGGAAACCCGCTTACTGTCGGAGTTGGGATTGTTATTGAAGTGATCCGCAAGAACAACTCTGATTACGACCCGGAAAATGCTGGTGGCCCGGACTCACCCCCAACGATTCATGATCCTATATACCTTGGGACTCTCTTGCGCATGTTTGCGAAGAATGTGCCTGGTTTTATGAACCTGATACTCAGTTCACAACACACAGTGAACGAAGGTGGTCAGCACAAAGTTGTTGAAAGACCCCGTCTCGACAGCGCCTGGGGAACTAGTATTGAACCCTTGGGGTTTGACAGATTCAAGACGTGCGAACTAATGGCCGAACTTCTCCATTGTAGTAATATGGGTTTATTGAATGAAATTGGAAGCGATGAATATATCAGGAAACGTGATGCAGAGCGTGAACGTCTACGAGCACAAGGTGTCTTCACCCACGGTGAGGATGACTCGGGTTTTGAATATGCTGACAACACGAATGAGTTCGCAAATGGTATCTCCCCATCTGCACTTGGTTCCGGCTCGCCTGAGGATATCAAACGGCTTGACGCGTCTCAGGCTGGTGAAGAGGATGGTTTCGAAGATGTTGCTTCATCCGGAGTATTGATAGACGATGTCAAGGATGATTTCGACGAGAAGGCTGAAGGGGAAAACAACGCGAAAGCTGGGCCTGAACCGTTTACAAGTATCCCACCACATGCACCTAAATTAGGCATTAGCGATGACTTTGTAGATGAACCGCTAACCCCACCGGAACAAGGGACCTCCCTGGATGCAAAGGTTATTCAGCCTCTTTCTCCATCTCAAGCTAACGACCCTTTATCACCTACCGCATCCATCCTCACCCAAAAAGTTGAAAGCTTCAAGATTGACGCCGAACAACAGCATAGCCCTAATGAGAAGCATGCCTCCTCCCCTCGGACTGAAGTTCCCACTCTTGGCCTGCCCGAAGGTCAACTTTCGGAAAAACAAGGTGGTAGTCAAGGAGATCATGAACTGGATTCATTGCTATCTCCGCACCTAGAGGATACACCTGCACCGCTATTCGCCGCAAAAGACTCTCCGCCAAAAGGGGAAACACAACCACCTGGCCAGGAAGGGACTGACGGGAAGGTGGAAACTTCAACTACCTTCGATAATAGTGGCGTAACTAGTTCTCTAACCCCGTCGATAACAATGGGCGATGCTGGAGAGAACGTTGCACACCCACATATCCAAATAGATACCGACGGTCAGCCAGTGGTAGGGGATTATCTGAAGATAATGTTTGTAGAACATAAAGTCATACCCACGATACTGGTAGGTACATGTACAGTCTAATTCGGATTTGATACATGACAGTATAGTAGCTAACTTACTGCAACAGTCATTCTTTTTCCGATTTGCATGGAACAACTTCCTCCATAACGTGGTATATGATGTTGTTCAACAAGTATTCAACGGCCCGATGGATCGTGGCTTCAACCGGTCCTTAGCCATTGACCTATTCGAATCGGGCCATATCACGGAACAGATTGTTCAGGGCCAACGTCGAAGTGACGAAGCACAACGGACGAAAAACATGAGATTAGGATACATGGGCCATCTAACTCTCATCGCAGAGGAAGTCGTAAAGTTCAGCGAACGCCATCCTCCTGAATTGTTGTCTGCGACGGTAATGGAGAATGTCCTCCACCCTGATTGGATTGATTATGTGGAACGAACTCTGTCTGAAACCAGAGAACGGGATAACGCAATTTTGGGGGGTGTTAGGCCCGATATGTCCATTGGCCATCGACAGGCGGTCCTTAATGCAGTCAACGCCTCACAGGGATTCACGGCCTCAACGGCCTTAGCCAACGCCGGTTTGAACGGAGGGGCCCCCGGTGCAACATTCGAAGGGTTGGACATTGTTAATCAAGGTAGTGCCTCGGGTGGTGCGTTTTTCGGCGGAATTGGCGGCCCCTCCTTGCTCAGTGGATTTGGAAGCTCGAGCGATGACGAGGATGAAGAAATGGAGGACCCAGAATATGAAGATGGTGCGAGAAAAGGCCCCTCAACTAGCGCAGAGAGCGGCTCTGATAATGTGGGTAAATCTTTCTTTCAGGACATTGATATGACCGACCGATGATGGCAACCTTTTACCAACAAACCTCGTTTCATGCTGCCGAACTCGATGTTTTGGAGCGGTGTGTTGGTGACATATGGGCTACTACTGTACTTTTGTAGCCTCCATGGCACATTGTATGGCACCTTGGCATGAGGTCGTTCACGGTCGTTTATATCGAGCGATTTTATTTTCATTCTTAAGGCTCCATATTTTTGCACAAGGCGCTATCTCAAATATGTATAGACACCAAGGCTGCTTGCTCGCCATTCCTAGACCTTCATACCACAATTATCTTTGTTCCCATTGGATCAGATACTTCTTCTGGCTACATTAGGTGGTTGTTGATTACTCTGATCTTTTCTCATCCTATTTCCCAAATCCTTACAACAAAAATTCTCTAATTGTTGGTACTCAAGTCTTGAGGATTTGATTAAGGATAGTATACTGATGGTTACCCTAACTTCGCTTCTCTACTTTTATTTTTAGCGCCCGGGTTGTATTTCTGAAGGAACAGGAGCATTAAGCAACACCTAACTTCCGTTGTGCATTATCGCTAACCAATTCTATTTAACCTTACAGGAAAGCTCCCATGCGACAAGCCAACCGATCCCCATGCTATCACCGCCTGCGCCTTTGAACATTCCACCATCCCGAGCTCGACTTCAACTAGCCGCACGCTTAGCAGCTCAAAAGGAACGGGCTGAAGCCGCCATTTCATCGCCTTCCTCGGGCGACATTTCTAAGCAGACTGAAGCTCCCTCTTCAAGCAACAGTGGCCAATCAGTGAACTACGGTTTTGGCCTTCAATCTATCCTAGATAGCTTCGGATCGCACGCGCAGAGGAATGAGGGATTTGACTCGTCAGCAGTGGGAAATACGTCGCCTTACGACCCATTTACTTCCCCCTTTGCGACATACGGAGGGCCGTCATCCCCTCCATCTTTCCTGTCTAACTTTCCCCAAGTTCACTCGTATTCGTCCAACTCGTCCGACGACGGCGACGACCCGTCGACCGAAGAAGCGGTACAACGGAAAGTTCGACTTCCGTTAGAGGTAGATGATGAAGACGCGGATGAGATGGGTGATATAATCGGGCCTAATGCGGAGCTTGTCTCAGCTTACTCCGACGAGGAGGACGAGACGCTGGTTGGAGAGCCGTTGGCTTATTCCAACTTCTTCGGAAGCGTACCCTTTGGTAGTAGTGCATCGGGGTCTAGGTTCCGGGGTGCCGGTGTTGATATTCTGCATGGCTCAGAAGATCGACATGACAGCAGCGATGGCGAGGAGGATGATGGCCTTGTAGAGATTTTGGTACCGGGAAGGAAATAATGATCCATTTCCTTTTGGCATATATGACTGTCTTACGCGTTTGATGCATTCCGCCCCTGTTTTTTCTTTCTTTCTTTCTTTCTTTCTTTCTTTCTTTTTCTTTTTCTTTTTCTTCTTTTTCTTTTTCTTTTTTTGCCGTTTCGTTTCGTTTCTCTTTTTTTCTTAATCTTTTGCTTATGGGTGTTGTTTTAAGAGGCGTTTTGTCCCCATCCCCAAGATGCTGGCTTTTCCATCATGTACTTCCCTGCTATCCCCCTTCCCTGTTACCCGTTACTCATTATAAACCCAAAAAGAAAGCCGATTATATTTCTCCTCCATTCCATTGGTTGAGACAAGTGGTTTGACTCTGTACAACATATATTGTATATACCTTCCTCATTATTTCCTCTTGTGCATATTTTGCTTCCCCGGTGTTGGATTTTAGCTGTGTCGCTGTTTTGTTGTTTACAGAGTTATTTCTTACTGGATTTTGATCTATTTTTCTTTTTTAAATTCCATGACGTCATCTTGAGCTTCTGGATTTGATTTCCCCTTAGCCAATTCCCATTGAACCTTCAATTCAAATTTATATCAATGACAATAACGCCCACCATGTTTTCAGACATCAATCCTCCCCAATTTAAGGTTGCTACCCGCTTCCCAAAATTGCCGCAGCCGAAGTAGCGGTGACTAAGCTGCACCCACGTGACTCGACTGCACCAATCACATCCGCCGCAAAAGTAACCCCATCCCGAGTTTCCATCAGCCAAATTCACCCAGAACGAAACGGCAAAACAACGTCCAACAACCGCCATCTCTTCTCCCTCCCGTCAATTCCTTCTCCCTCCAATTTCCCCCGCATTGTTATCGGCTCAATTGGAGAGCACAAGGAGGCATCATGATCTCTCGGGCGGCGGCTCCCTCTACACACTCCTTCTCCCACCTTACTCCTCGCACACTTCACACGGCAGCAACCTCATCCTCCTACCTCGCTTCATCCCAGGCCGCCCGACAACCTCGACGAAACCAGCAGCAACACCGAGGCCTTGCTACTGTCCAAGATGCAACTGCAACACCGCCTCCCCGGGCATACGGTGGCCTGAAAGACCAGGACCGGATATTCCAAAACCTGTATGGCAATCATGGCGCGGACTTGAAAACGGCGATGAAGTTCGGCGATTGGTATAAAACGAAGGAAATTATGTTGAAGGGACATGACTGGGTATGCGTTTTCCGGGGTTGTAGAACTGGAGTGCTTTAGGCGTTTTCAAGGACTTGCGAACTGATGGCTTTTCAGATTATTTCGGAGATTAAGGCATCCGGGCTAAGAGGTAGAGGTGGTGCTGGTTTCCCTTCTGGTTTGAAATGGGTACGTGGACTTTGAATCGCCGAACTTTGCGGTGCATAGTGCTGTATACCGGTGGTGCGTTATGCTGACCCAATCGCACGTTTCAATCGGTGATATTTGTAGTCTTTTATGAACTTCAAGGACTGGGATAAAGATAATAAGCCTAGATACCTTGTTGTGAATGCTGACGAGGGCGAACCGGGGACTTGCAAAGACCGAGAAATTATGCGAAAGGATCCTCATAAGCTTATCGAGGGCTGTCTCGTGGCTGGACGTGCGATGAATGCTACCGCCGCCTACATCTATATCCGTGGCGAATTCTACAACGAGGCTACCTCTGTACAGCGCGCCATCCAGGAAGCTTACCAGGCTGGTTTGATCGGCAAGAACGCCTGCGGGTCCGGTTATGATTTCGACGTCTATCTTCACCGGGGAATGGGCGCTTATATCTGCGGCGAGGAAACTTCCTTGATCGAGTCCCTTGAAGGAAAGGCCGGAAAACCCCGCCTGAAGCCCCCTTTCCCGGCTGCCGTCGGTCTCTTCGGTTGCCCCAGCACAGTCGCCAACGTTGAAACGGTTGCTGTGGCGCCAACCATCTGCCGTCGTGGAGGTAAATGGTTCGCCTCGTTCGGGCGTGAGCGAAATCAGGGAACCAAACTATTCTGTATCTCCGGGCACGTCAACAACCCATGCACCGTTGAAGAGGAAATGTCCATCCCACTCCGCGAGCTTATTGAACGCCACTGCGGTGGTGTGCGAGGGGGATGGGATAACCTCCTCGCCGTTATTCCAGGCGGGTCATCGACTCCAATCCTTCCGAAGCACGTTTGTGATGACCAACTGATGGACTTCGACGCTCTCAAGGACGCGCAATCCGGCCTTGGGACCGCAGCCGTGATCGTCATGGATAAATCCACCGACGTTGTGGCCGCCATCTCGCGCCTGTCCGCATTCTACAAGCACGAGAGCTGCGGCCAATGCACACCCTGCCGCGAGGGAAGCAAGTGGACCTACCAGATGATGAAGCGTTTCGAGAGCGGCCAGGCTCGCGAACGGGAAATCGACATGCTTCAGGAGCTCACGAAGCAGGTTGAAGGCCATACCATCTGCGCTCTCGGCGAGGCTTTCGCGTGGCCCATCCAAGGCCTGATTCGTCATTTCAGACCAGAGCTCGAGGCTAGAATACGCAAGTATGAGCAGGAACATGGTGGCAAGCAGGCATTTGCTGGCGGTTGGGACCCACAGGCGCGTGTGGAGGGGAAGCTCATTTCTCCTGGTCAATAAAAATAAAGGACGTATGTAAATGTAATATATACTTATAGTGGCTTGGGTTCCTGGAGGGGGAACGAGGGTTAGGTTTAGCTTGAAGCATCTCCGTGAACGAGAGCAGTGGTAATGGGAGAGCGCTTTTTGCTATGGATAAACATTATCACCACCTCTTCACTACTCGACTAGGAGATGAATGTCCCGTTCACTACTTCACTGGAAGGAGATGCACCTCCCACTTTTGACTAGATATTTTCCTTTATTTGTGCTTGTGCTATACATTTCTTCTTCATTTTTCTTCTTCATTTTTCATTTTTTCTCATTTTTTTATTCTGCTCGCTTATCTGCGCATTTCAGTTTCCCTTTCTCATTTACCCTAACAAGTTCCTGCCTTTTTTTGATACCGAAGGCTAAAAGAAGTACAAAAGATACTCATATTCTCAGATGGTTTCACTCTTCATTTCTTGTAGATATCACCACCTTTCTTTTTCAGCCCAGGCTCACTCAGAACTTGGGATGGAGCGCAGCGTGCAGGACAAATTTCAAGATAGGAGGAGAGAGAGTTGGCTAATCGTGCCTGTGTGCCAGCAATGCCAACGGTGCCTACGCGGCGCTCCACAATAAATTCACTTGCACATTGAACTTGAGAAACCCATTGTGTGAAATAACATTGTGGTGAAGCGCCCTATGACAGGGGAGTTAGTGAAATAAATATATAGATAGATCTACTTGGTCCCAGAATGGTCAGTTAAGGTGTAACCTCTCCCGATACCGATTACTCTCTCTCATTTCTAACCACGTTCTAGAGCAGTGAACAGAAACCAACTTATGGTTATAGAACTATCTAATTCAAAAAGCACATGCTTGAGAGAAAAATATTAAAAATAACTACAGATTTTATAAATAATAGAACAAGCCGAAGGCAATAATGCATTTGCCAACCAAGCGTACAGACTTTCATAGAATCACAAGAAAGTAAAATATCCATCAATCCATCTGTGAAAACAACCAATCTATCAAAACATCCCGCTTGCCAATAAGAAGCAAAAAAAGAAAAAAAACCTTTATGGCATGTACCCATTTCACATTAATTCCTGCTGTTCCATAAGTCGAACAGAAACCGCTCAGTGGGCAGTGGCCATGATTATATTGTAATACCGCCTGCTCATCTCCGCTGTGTGCAAGAGTCGAGTATCCTGTGTCAGCAGCAAATTGAGAATAGCTGAGGGCTCGATAGTCTGAATATATAAGGTTAGTTCGCCGTTATTTTCCCACTTGTGCAAAACAAAAAACACGAAACGAAAAAAAAAGGAGCGCGGAGAGAGAAAACTCACACTTCTAGTGTCCCTTGCACACCACCCAGCCACAACATGGCTAATCTCCCTAAATGCCACCGTCTCCTCCAAACTAACAGAGGCGGACGATGGTGAATCCCTATTCTCATCCTTATCCATATCCCTACCCTTCTCACTCTCCATCTTGAGCCCCAAAGCCGCCAGAGCAGAAACCAACCTCTTCAACCGCGACGGCTCACGTCGTGCACCCTTGGCCGTGATCAGATGCAAGAAGTCATCATAGATGGCTCCACCAGTAACCCAACCCCGCACCTTGCGCTCAGGAGACTCGCCAAATCCAGAAAGCAATGTTCCAAGCGTCGCATAGTCACGCTCAATGACCGTCCTGGGCCCGACGAGCCGGCGGAATGTCTCATGTGCTTCGTTCCAGTGTTTCGCGTTAATGAGGTACTGCACTTCGCTCGACGGATCGCACTGGGCTCGGGCATATAGTGCCTTGGCTACCCAGATCCAGCTGGTGGGGACTTGGAGGTCGCCTACGATATAATTCCACAAGGGGTTTGGGGTTCCATCGTCGAAAGTGCGGACAGGAAGCCATGCGGCAAAGCGAGAGAGGAGCTCTTTAATGCTACGTTCTCGCTGGGAGGAGTTTAGGAGATGTTCTAGGACGAAGATGCTTGAAGGGAATTGTTCGAGCGCTGCGAGCTCCCAGGCATAATCCCATGTTAACTGATCCCCTCGAGCTTCGTTGATGACCGCTGCATCAAGATGTCCCATCAACGCCTGTAAGTGATGGAATAGCTGGAACGAAAACCGATTACGCAGGGGGGTGCCGGAAAGCGCGTCTGGCAAAATTGCTTCAGGCAGATGGATTGGCGGAATTTTGCGATTTTCCTGCCGGCCCACGACCGCCGTGAATGATTTCAGCATAACCCATAGAGGAGACTCGAGAGGGTCATCACGACTAGAATCTCCAGATACAGCTGAAAAGGGGTATGCTGGCTCATTTCCATGGGTAATATCGTGGTGAAATAGCTCTACGGCAGCCTCGATAGAAGCCCCTTCGTCAATACCGTACCAGAGCCGAAGCCCGAACGCCTGGATCCAGTCAAGCTCGAAGCGCTCAGACAGGTAAAAAGTTGACGCTCTATCCTCAAGGGCGCCACCAGGTTTTCCATCACTCCGCAAGCAATTTCCAGCAAGCAACTCATAAAGGGCTCGAATGGGCTCGGTCATTTCAGAATAAACATTATGTTTACGCCATGATTCGATCTGCTCTTGCATATCACGGCGCACTGTGCTATTGCGGCCAATTTGCGGGATGAGGGTCGCTAGATGAAGGTTTCTACTTTCCACAAGAGTTTTGCAAGCTTCATCAATGCGATTGGAGCAAAGGTAAGCAATTGCACGCTCTTCAGGAGACTCGATATTGGCAATTTCGTTGGAATGTCGGTCACGTATGATAGATTGCCAGAGCCGACTAAGTCTGTCTTTCTTGATACGATGGAGATATTGATGGCGCAAATTTTTGGGAACCCCAGCCGATATATCATCGTGAATGTCGTCGTTGAAGAGAACATTGGCAAGTTGCCAAACTTGTCTCTCTAAATCGCCCGCTGGGGAATTATCTCTGACAGTGTCCGCCAAAGCGGAAAAATCTGCCTTGGACAATCGGGCAAAAGGTACGTTATCAATAACGAGGATGTTGGTTCTGGATTTTTGTTCATCTAAGGTACTTGGGGGCTAAACGCATTATAAATCAGCAGGGGTACACATCACCAAATTGGATATCATAGGCTATCTATCACATACTGAAGTTGGTTGGTCATATTTATGGAGCACAATGGTTCTCCCATCAGAAGAAAGAGCGCCTGCTTGGTTCCACGGCGCCTCGGATCGACCAATGGAGCCAGGAATTCTCGGGCAAATAAGGTTATCCATACAACCAAACTTGGGCTTAAAGGAGTTATGGAACATAATATCGTTCTCAGACATGTCCTTGACATTACCGCCAACTGTTTTGGATTGTTTCGGATAAGGCCACTAGAAAGTAAAAAAGAGAGAGGATTCAGCATATCGATTTCTTCAATTCGATTTACTACCTAGGTACGAAGAAGCAGAACGCAAAATAATATCCAAAAAACAAAGGGGAAGGATACATAAATACAATTTTGTCGCCAAGTCGAGAGGAAGGGTGAAAAAACACAACAAACGAAGAAAGAGAAAAAAATTTCAAATTAACAAACATCAGTAAAGAAGGGAGTTCAAACCTGGAAACCCTTAGCCTTCGCATCCTTATGCGGTCTCCCCTGTCCACCACTACTTTTTGCCTGTGGAAATAGCGAATTCATAAGATCTATGCTTGTCGCGAAGCCTGCAGTTTCCCGAGCGGGTCTGGTAGATTTCGTTGGGGTACTACCACCGTCTTCATTATTTAGGTCTGTGAACACATTTCCTTGAATTTCACGAAGTGCCTGTCGATTTTGCTTTCGGGGGCTAATGGTTCGTTGCAACTGCTCGGCCCAGTTTCCGCCTAAGTCAAGGTGCGCCTGAGACGGAGATCCATGTTGCTGATCTGGTCGCTGAAAAGTAGTAGTGGGCTTCAAGGGACTGCTGTGCATCATCTGCTCCATGGAATGATCAGGTGCAGGAAAGGCACCGACCATTGTCACATCCAGTTCATTGTCGTCTTCGGATAGGCCTTCTAATTCCGTACCATCTTGACTATTGGTTTGCTCGAGACTGCCGGTTTCAGAACGGGATGCGCTGGAACGGTCGTCATCTAAAAAAGAGTCCTGGTCCAGTTCCTCCTCATCGGTATCCATCGCTTGATCCTCCATTCCCCCATCATTCCCGCCCTGGCCAAGAAACGCCCCAGGAACAAGCTTCCGTTTCTTGAACTCAAACGTATCGTCCTCCATTCCGGTTGTGGAATCATCCATGTACGACTCGTTGAGAGAGATGGTGGAATCGAACTCAGAGTTTGCGAAGGACGACTGTGTGGGAGTTTGGGTTTGAGCCTTTGGAGTAGGAGTGTCAGGAGGAGGCGCACTCAAAGTGCTTTGATCAAAGTTCTCACCTTCATCATCATCGTCATCATAATCTAGGCCATAAGTCGTGAAATGAGGCACTTTAAACACCCAGGTTCCAGTAAGCTTCTCATAGGCGATAAACTCGGTATTCGTAACTCTCTTTAATCGTTCGACATGTCTATCGAAGGTTGGGCCGCTCGTCATGTGCGACGGGGCTTTCTTATCCCTACCTCTAGGCCAGGAGTTTTCAATTCGTAGGGTGGAAGGGACATTTAGGCCTTTGCCTCGAGGTGGTTTAGTCACGTCATCGGGGTAAACTGTAATTGACCGGGTGCCAATTTTAATAAACTTATCGAACAGTGAGTCGAGATCAACAGTAGTAAGATCCACAGGCTCATCGAAAGTGACAGAACCACAGCCCGCACGCCCGACAGTAAAGCCAACAAAGCGTTTCTGCTGTTCTCGGGGTAACTTGCTAAGTTCAGATCGAGTAGGCTTCATCCAGTATTCCCCAGGTTTGGGATCACCACCGGGAGCCTTGGCAGGAACTTCACCAGGGGGCGAAACAGCTGCGCCATCTTGCTCACGCCCCTCGGGAACAATAGAAAGCTCATTGCCTCGAACCTGTTCCATTTCAGGTACATTGCTGGCAGCTCCGTTGACGCCATTCACATCCTTGACCGTGCCATTTGTTCCATTTACTCCAGCGGGTTGCTTTCGAGATGAGCGCAAGAAGCCCAGCTCCTCTGCAGTCGGTTCAGGGCTCTCAGTCTCAACACGAACAACAGAACCATCGGCCTCAGCTCCAGAATCTCCGCCAGTAGTTTGAGAATCAAAGCTAACTTTCTTCTTGAGCTTGCTTGATCCTTGATCCTCGCCGTTGGTAAGAGAAGGCGACTGGGTGGAACGCGAGAACAAGTCAGTTCGAAGGCTACGATCAATGGTAAGCCGTTTGAGATTTGCATTCGAGTATCGTGAGGTTCCAGCTGAGAATGCGCCAGGGGACAAGATGCTATCCGTACTGCCATCGAAGGTTTTCCGGAGATTACTAGTGGACATGCTTTTGTTGAAGCTACGTCCAAGACTGCCGCCACGTAAACTTCCACCAAGGAGGCTACTGCTCAAAGCACTCGGAGTACTATAGCTGCTGGATGGTGTGCCATAAGTGGAGTAAGAAAACCCATAACCTTGACGAGTTGGCGGTGTGATGAGACGATTGGCAGCACTAGGTGAAATTTTGTAAACTGGCAAGGGTGTTCGCTGTTTTTGGCGGATGGTAGCAGACAACGGAGTAGCCAATGGGCCTGGCGATGGGGCATTTGGAGGTGGCAGACCGGAAAATATCGACTGACTACCGTACGGATTTCCGTCAAGAAGAGAAGCCTGCAAACCAGTAGCCTGCTGTTGTTGAGGTTGCTGCGACTGGTTTAGCAAGCTGCTTCCGAAGCCTCCAACAGGCTGTTGTTGTTGCTGCTGCTGCTGAGGCTGGCCCGCTCCTCCCAAGTTAAACAAACTGGTGCCACCGCCTGTAGCATTGGCGGTTTGTCCAAAAGCAGGCTGCGTAGTGGAACCTCCGAAGAGGCTTGGCTTCTGCTGTTGTTGAGCTTGGCTTCCAAAGAGGCTTGTGCCAGCTTGTTGTGTATTTTGGGCCCCGAAGCCTGAAAAGGGGGTAGTTCCCGTGGTGGTCTGCCCAGCGTTTAAATTACCAAATAGGCTTGGTTTCTGTTCCTGCTGTTGCTGCTGCTGATTACCACCTCCAAAGAGACTGGTGGTGCCAGTTTGTTGATTGGCGGTATTTCCGAAAAGGGATGTACCTTGTTGAGGCTGTTGTTGGGCAGTCTGACCGAATAACCCAGAGGTGCCGGTAGTTGCGCCACCAAATGGGTTCGTGCTTGGTTGCTGTTGCTGGGTGGTTGTGCCTCCAAATCCTCCGAATAAGGGTTTACTTGGGGTTTGGGCTTGAGTTTGTCCGAATCCGAAGCCGGTACCGGTCGTCTGCTGTTGGCCTTGCTGCTGCCCAAAAGCGGGGGCCGTGGCCGTTGTACCGCCAAATGGCGAAGCGCTAGTTGTAGTTGTACCCTGTTGCCCAAATCCGCCAAACGCGCTTCCTGTGCCACCGAAAGCGGGTCTATTTTGTTGGGTGCCGCTTCCGAAAAGCGTTGCACCGCTCAGGTTACTCGTTGAGCCGAAGCCTCCGGTTGTTGCTGTGGTACCAAATCCGCTAGGTTGCGATGTGGTGGCTGCGCCGAATAATGAAGTGGCTGGTTTCGATGCACCGAATAGTGGGTTGGATGTACCGGTGCCGAAGCCAGTTGTCTGAGTTTGCCCGAATCCGGTTGGAGCAGTCGTAGCAGCAGCTCCAAAAGGGGTGGTTGTTGTCGAGGCGCCAAATGCTCCGGTAGTTGGTGGTTGTTGTTGTTGTTGCCCGAACCCCCCAAAAGCAGAGGATCCAAATCCCGTCTGTCCAGTGGTGGTGCCATATCTCCGCCCGTGTTGGTAATCAGCAACTCGAAGTTCCTATTTCCTAGTTAGTAACTGGAAGCAGCAAGTAGGAAAAGCGGAAAAATCGCCCAAAAAAAGCATACCTCAAAGGAATACTTGGAATATGGCGCCATCGCGCTTATGGTTTGGTAATGACTGGTAATGCTGGAACCCTGATCCTTTTCCGTGTATGCGCTGAATGGAGGATTTGCTGTGCCCTCGGCAGGTGGAACAGCACCACTCAAAGCAGTACCACTCGCGCCAAATGCAGAACCAGCTTGCCCAAAAGCAGTTCCTCCGGTTGCAGTTCCACCAAACATAGAACTTCCCTGGCCAGCGCTCCCAAATCCGGTTTGCTGTGGCTGTTGCTGGGTACTCCCAAAAACGCCGGTGCCAGTGGTCCCAGTAGCAGTGCCTCCAAATCCCGTTCCTCCACTTCCAAAGCCTGAACCGCCAAACGTCGTACTAGGTGTGCTGGACGCTCCGAAAAGATTGCCACCGGTGGTTGTAGTTCCAGCTCCAAATCCTTTATTTTGCGATCCGAACATAGGATTTGATTGTGCAGTGTTCGTGCCGAATCCTGGAGAAGAGGAAAAAGAAGACGGGGTCAGTTCACAGTGTCCATTTGAATAAAATATGAAGCAGAGGAAGATCGCAAGGCCAGCAAACACATATTCGTAATATATATATTGGTGGACAAGCGGTAAAATGTAGGGAAAAGGCTATCCTTCGGAAACACCAAGATCAAAGCGGCATCATCCTCGACAAGATAAGTGAGTCCACGCCGAGATTGTGCCAGATATTTCAAGGAATGTACTTTGACCAATCCTGGATGGTTCGCCCAGAAGGATAGCGTTCGAAACAAGCAACAATATGCAAAATCACACTTTTGGGTTTTGCGCGGCCATTTTTGGCATGGACCGGAGAAAGTCAAAGAAGGCTGATTTGGTTTGCCAAAGACAGAGCTCAAGAAACATAAAAAATCTACGTCGAGTATCGGGTAGACTGGTAACGACGTACCTCCTCCTGAGCCGAAGCCGCCAGAAGTGCTTCCAAACGCACTGCCTGTATTTCCTGTGCCGCCGAAGGGGGACGATGTTGTTCCGAAGCCTAGACGATTGGTAAAATCGCGTCAGACGGACATCTGGTTGCTTAATTTCTGTTTCTTGCTTTCTTGGTTTTTTTTTCCCTCTTCCTTTCCATGGCGTTCCAGCGGCGTCCGGGGGTTCATCCTTGTCGACATAAGTCGAAAGACGAGAGGGGAAGAACCAAGATCCGGGGAAGTTGCCGCCAAAGTTTCGCCGAAGTAGAGATTCCGTATCCACCAAAGAAAAGAAAAAGGGCATTGAAAAGGGAAAGTAAGGGAAGGGAAGGTGAGAAGAAGTCGAGGGTAAAGCAAAATGGCAAACAAAGGGAGTGGAGGAAGAGGCATATAACCTACCAGTTCCAGTCGAAGAGCCACCGAATCCTGTTCCGGATCCAAATCCAGTTCCCTGCTGCTGATTTCCCGTCCCAAACCCTCCGAAGGAGGAGCCTGTGTTGAAAGCCATGACGAAACACTGACTGGCTTTAGGTGTCTCTCTCTCTCTATAACTTAACTGCGCAATTTCGCTTTTACAGGAAGAACAATATCAGTTCTCCGCCACGTCAACAGGGCCGATCCATAAACGATTAAAACGGGTCGAAGCTGGTTATCGAAGGTAGATATATTAAAGAGTCGTTAGGTTTTAGCCTGGGAGGGATGGGCTTGGAGGCGAAATATAGTTCACGACTCGAAGCAAAGCAGATGCGATGATGCTGAAACGCGGAGAAGGGGCGAAAACTCTGTGTTTTGATGGAGAGCAACAAAGATCATAGAAGAGAGTAGAAAGAAAATGCGATTTAGCAAGATTAAATAAAGAGGAGTCGAGGGGATTTGTGACTTTGCCACAGCTGTGGAGAAGGAAAAAAAAGACGAAGGCGGGGGAGGTGGTGAAGGGTGAAGCTGGTGGGTGAAGCTGAGGTTGAGGATAGACGTTTGTTCGGGTGAAGAAGGCAAACACGCGAGTTTGCGGCAACAGCGGGCGCATCGCTTAGCTGGCTGTTTGAGGTAAGGAGGCTCGGGTCAGGTGACGCGGCTATGCCTAAAATCGACAGCGTGTCGGCGCTAGGCAGCATTCAGCCATGTATCTTCCTTGGCAGATGCATGTCCGATATCAAATATAATAATCATAGTTCGCTGTAAATAAATAAATATACTGGACCAGGTCTCCATTGTAATCTATCGATGAATCATAATACACACGTGAACATAAGACTCAGAAGATCATGACCACCTACGGACAGGACAAGGCGACTCTTCACGCTCAGTCCACGCGACAATGGGCTAGGGAATGCCTAAAAACCATGACCAACTAAACAAGGTCAACTTCTAACCACATGCCTAACCATACATATCTAATAAGAATCGTAACAGGGAAAGATAAAATCGGTGGGGCACGCAATTCAGGCTTTTCGCGATAAAAAATATAAAAATAAAAAAAATAGCACAAAAGCAATAATAGCAGGTGGCTTCAATACAACCAAGCAAGGACAGGGAGGTGTATAATACTAAAAAACTGCCATCTATCTCCGTTGGTGTTTTGTGTTGGTTTGGGGCCCCTTTTAGTTCCCTTCTGTGGCACTCCAATACTCCCCCATCATTTATTCGTTTTACGGCGTGTCCGCGGGTATATCTTTCGCTTTATTCATTCATTTTATTTTTATTTTCATGATTTTGGAAAACAAAAGAAATACCCTTCTTCTTCTTTGAAGCATGGTAAGTATCGATGATTTTCGCAACAACACTTGGGTCGGATAGCTAAAGTAACTCCGATTAGTATTCCCTTCACAAGCCGCCCCCCCCCCCCCCCCAAAAAAAAAAAAAAAAAAAAAAAAAAAAAAAAAAAAAAAAAAGAAGGAAAGATAGAGGGACTTACAGTCGAGATATCACCCAAGCTATCCTCCTCACCGCTAAGAATCTTTCTCAAGATTCGTCGCATGATCTTACCACTTCGAGTCTTCGGCAGGTCATCAACGATGAATACAGCCTTGGGAGCAGCAAATGGCCCAATCGATTTGCGAACTTGCATGATAAGATCCTTGTGGAGTTGTTCGACATTGTCGCTGCTGGCCTTCAGGGCGACAAAGGCGTTGACGGCTTGTCCGGTGAGTTCATCCGCAATACCGACGACAGCCGCTTCAGCCACAGCAGCTATTTTGGAAGGAATTATTTATCAGCATGTTTGTTCTAGCTTAAAATGCCATTGTTGCGATCTTTGGTTCCAAGCCGACTCACAGTGTTCAATAAGAGCAGCTTCAATCTCTGCAGTTGACAGACGGTGGCCAGAAACGTTGACAACGTCGTCAACACGGCCTCGGATCCAGTAGTATCCGTCAAGATCACGTCCAGCACCATCGCCAGTGAACTAAAATGAATCGTCAGCAAGGGTTGTTACCGTGGAAGATCTCCTTCTTATATATGACTTACGTAAAAGCCCTTGTAGACATTGAAATACGTGTCCATATATCTCTTGTGGCCACCCCAGACTGTGCGGGCCATACTGGGCCATGGCTGTTTAATGGCTAGGACACCTTCAACGTCGTTACCTTTGATTTCCTCTCCCGATACCGGGTCAATGATGGCAGGTTCAATGCCGAAGAAGGGGAGCGAAGCACTGCCAGGTTTCGTTGGCGTGATGCCACCCAGGGGTGTAATAACGTGGGAGCCGGTCTCAGTTTGCCAGTATGTCTATTTTCTTCAATGTTAGAATTGAATGCTTAAATCAAGGCTAGGAATACTTTTCATCAACACTGGATTTTTGCCAAAACATACGTCAATAAGATGACACTCTTCCCTTCCAACGACCTCGAAATACCATTTCCACACCTCGGCCGCAATTGGTTCGCCAACAGAACCCAAAATACGGAGACTCTTGAGCTTGTGGTGGATGTAGTCATTTCCAGCACGCTTCAGAAGTCTCAGAGCAGTTGGGGCAACATAGAACTGGGTCACCTTGTGCTTCTCAATAACATCCCAATAACGGGAGAAGTTAGGATATGCCGGCGTGCTCTCAAACACCAGAGTTGCACATCCAAGAAGCAGAGGAGCATATACGACATAGGTGTGCCCCGTAATCCAACCAACATCACCACCGCAGAAGAAGCGGTCTGAGTCATGAATATCAAACACATATTTGCCAGTTGCGGCCGCGCCAACCAAATAACCAGCTGTCGTGTGCATCAGACCCTTGGGCTTCCCAGTCGAACCGGATGTGTACAGGAGGAAGAGAGGATCCTCCGAGTTCATTGACTCAGGGGGAATGTAGTTGGGATACTTCTCGACCTCCTCATGCCACCACAAATCTCGGCCCTTCGTCCACGGCACATCAGCGCCCGTCCTCTTGTACACAATGCAGTTTGTGACATCCGGGCATTGACTGAGGGCCTCGTCAACAATCTTCTTGGTCCCAATCAGCTTCCCACCACGCTTCCCCTCGTCTGTGGTAATGACAACTTTCGACTTGGCATCCAAGACGCGGTCGCGGAGAGAATCCGAGGAGAACCCAGCAAAAACGACGGAGTGAACCGCACCAATACGAATACACGCCATGAACGCAATCACGGCCTCGGGAATCATAGGCAAGTAAATGGCCACGGTATCCCCCTTTCTAACACCAGCCTGCTTCAGCACCCAGGCCATCCGGGAAACTTCCTTCAGGAGCTCGCCATATGTAATAGTGCGACCTTCATTGGGTTCATCCGCCTCGTAAATGATAGCCACCTTGTTGGGATCCTTGATAGCATGGCGGTCGACGCAATTGTACGACGCGTTCAAACGCCCACCAAGGAACCACGCAACGTCTCCGCCTTCAAAGGAGCCGTTGCGGGTGGTGTCGAAATCCTTTTCGAATGTAATGAGCTCACGGGCCAGCCGTGCCCAAAAAGTATGCGGGTCACGGATCGATTCTTCATAGAGCTTCTTATACTCGTCCAGGTCCTTTAGATGGGTTCTCGTAGGATGGTTCTCGACAAAAGCTTGGGGGACATGGAAAGTGTCAACCTCGTGGGCTTCAACAACCTGCGTCGGGGAACAGGCAATTAGTATTATTTTCTGATCTATCCCCCAGGTCGAAAACTGCAGTTTGCCGGTCCATTGAGTAAAGGGGCAATCACTTACTACTGGCGCCTTAGGCGGCGTAATGGGACCATCAGACATTGCGGCCAAATGTTATTAGAAATTCCCGAATCGACTGTATAAAGTATGCCGTGGGCTTGGAGGGTAGATATACTAGTGATTTCCGGTTGACCGGGAATGCGGGGTACGAAATGCGCAAAAGTGTAAACACAGGATCGGTCGCAAGAGAGGAGAGAGAGGAGAAGGGGAAAAAGGAGAGGAGGAGAGAGGAGAGGAGGAGAGGAGAGGAGAGGAGGAGAGAGGGAAGAGGGAAGAGGGGAGAGGGGAGATTGTAAGTCGAAGATTGAAGGGTGAGACAGAAGAGACAGAGGTCGAGTCGTAGAAAGGGGAGAAGAAGAAGCCGGCGCTCGAATCGAGAGGGAGGACCAGCGGTGGTATAAAAGGAGGAAACTGGCGACATGTATTATTGTAACTTTGCCCGGGGGGTAAGTAGGCGGAGGGAAGCTTGGACTGTACGTACCGAACATTACGTGACAGGGTTGCTTGTAACTTATTCTTGGAGGGAGAAAATTGAAAAAAAAAAAGAAATTATAAGTTACGTTGGTCAGGTAATTTACAATACACCCGATACCGTGTCCCTGTCCCACCATGCTATATGCTGCCTGTCGTGCTCCCTCCCATCAAACAGCGAGACACCGCCGGCCAGGTTGCTGTGCTGTCCCCATCAGCGAGTGATGGTTGAAAAGATGAGAATCCTATGGAGCAGAAACACCCGAAGACCATCTCCAATGGCGACGATCCTCCACATATCCACATATCCCAGAGTGATCTTTTGTAGCCATATACTATACTTTCAGTTGGCACAACAGCACAGGCGGGTGTACAGAGTTACTGTGAAGCACTGTAGCACCTAGTACGGAGTCCAATCCCTGCTGTTCGCCCGTTCTCCGAGTTATTTCCGGGCTCCCCAGGCATGTAAATTTGTTCATGGTGAACCCCTGACGAGGAAGCTTATTTAGGGGGGGGACGGGCCGTCGGGTACAATCGATGGTTACTTTGTATGGAGTACGGAGTACATACACAGCAGCGGGAAAATGGAATTGAAAATTTTCAATGCAAGCAATCTACAGCTTGGCCTTCCCAGTGCATATGTTGGACGGACGGCAGCAGCAAGCTCAGCAACGTCGATAGATACCAAAAAATTAAAAAGAGAAAAAATAAAAAAAAAAAAGGGAAAAAAGGGAAAAAAGGGAAAAAAAAAAGAGGTTAACTAGCCTCTATGCCCCACCATCAAAAACGTTTGGTGGTTGTGATAACCGCTTGGCATTCTTGCCCGGTATCGGTGATTTTGGGGGATATCATCGTACCGTGTACGCAACGCATATCAAGCATTTCGCCCGATAAGAATCAGCCGTGGCTCATGGCCCATGGCACGATGACCTTGGCGGGGTACGGGCTAGCGACAGGGCAGCATTTGTACATGTACGGAGTACATGCAGATGCACTAGGCGGGATGATGCGATTGGGCTTTGTGTTCTGCGCCGCCCCTGGTTTTTGGTTTTTAGCCGAGGGGCCACATCCAGTTCCAAGAGTTCGTCATTGTCCTACCTAAAATAAGAGGCCAAGGGAGAAAAAAAAACCAGAGAAAAAAAACCAGAGAAAAAAGTGAAAAGAAGTCAAATATATCAAGATATGATGCCCTATCTATCGTGGGACATTCTATGAAGCTGAGGAAGCAAAAAAAAAAAAAAAAAAAAAAAAAAAAAAAAAACCAAAACTTACTCTACCCTCCTCCACAAAATTTTCCCCAGGCATTACCATGCGACGGCAGCATACAAGTCGTTGCTGAGTAGCAGTGCTAGTGGCCTGCGGGCCCGATCATATTCTTCGCCAAGGCTGCGCGAATGACAATTGCATCGGGGAGCTTGCGAAGTTTGCAGGAAAACTTCTGCGACTCGACCAAACGGTTATTGGTAGGCATGCTGATGTTCCCTGGCTGAGTGAGATATTGCAGACCTCCCTGGTCTGTTTGCCATTCATTGTCGTGGGAGAAACCAAAAATAATGCAGGGGTGGGGCGATGTTTTGATCGAATTTGCTAGCCTCGTCGAATCCCTAGCTGGATATCCCAAAATACAAACGGGGAATGGTCGGGTACTGTACTTGTTTGTGCTGTTGTGTGGTTGCTCATGGAAGCATATCCACCCGCATATCGGTGTCCGCTGTGAAATCAAGGGGTTGTCTAGAATCCTGGAGTTTCCGACTCGATATTGATCACCATTCCCGAAATGTACTGTACCCGTACATGTACGAGAGTTACATACCTCAAGCGGTGGGCAACAATTCACAATAAATAACAACCATCCAAAAGCCTCCTCGCGGTCCGATTTTCTCGGCCTGATATTCCAAAATGCTTATTTCTCCCCGATGCCGTTTTTAGCGCGCTGTGGCATAAGCTTTGGAGGGGCTCGCACTGCTCAAACCAAGCTGGCTACAGTGACTAGCGGAGAAGATGGGGAATGAACCTTGCAAGTGAGGCTGCTTGCCACATTTTTAAGGGAAAGGGGAGGCCGAGGCAGGTTGAAACATAGCGCTTGCAGGGAGGGCTGGGGGAAGTGGAAGACACGCGGCTATTCGTTGTTTAATTTCATTCCAAGAAATCCCAGCCGACCTGATCCAACCCATACTCGCGGCATTGCCTCTTACAGATGCAAAGTTGGTGGGTTTCCTGCACTATTAAATTTGGACAAAGGCCGTCCCAAGGTGTGGCTTGGGCGATTGTTGCTCATTGTCGGCCACTAGGGTACAGGACGAGAACCGTTACAAACCATTTCATAAGACTGTATTCGATACAACCTGTTTACGTTCGGTTAGCTCAATTGTCTTCTACGGACAGATGGATGATACCCGGCTGGCAGCATTGTGGGGTTCTTGTGGGAGGCTGTCTGGTTATACTCATGTGCATGGGTTCCTGTAGTCGCTTTCATTCAGAAAATTGAGATGTAGACATGCACATGAAATCTCAGCCGGGGGAAACTAGAAGAGCCGTATTTCCCTCTCCGTTTCATAGTATATCCCGGGCAACCTTGATCATACCACGGACTTGCGTCCTAAACAAACGTCCAAGTCAGGGTTTAGACACTGTGCTGTGGTCCAAGACTCCCAAGAGGGACGGGATGAAGCTTGATGATACACCCGACCAAGCTCCAGCTTCTTGATGAGCCGTCTAAGTGCAACCTGCGTAGTTGCCCATGATTGTCCTCCATGTTCTCCTGTCGGCGCGCCTAACCTTATGGAAGCATTCGAGAAGGAGAAAAGACGCTAGAGCGTTTTAGTAGCGCGCCACCCTATCCCCTCGTCTGGGAGCGTTACTCCACACTCCCCGCAGTTTCTGCGGGATCTAGCACAACCATCGAATCATGGCATCTGTTAGACCGGGTTGATATCGTAAGCCAAGTCTTGAAATAACTATCTGTTGGTAGTTGCTCCGGCTAACTTGCTGCAGTCACGTGTCCCACATTATACAATAATGTTGATCCTCCTCCAGGTTATGAGACCCTTGTTGCTATCCATTCTAAAGCATTGCCAAACACGCTATTCTGCTCTTCCTCAAGCCTAGAGGTTGGTTCTGTGAGTCCTACAATAGTGGAAAGTCCGCAGCAGAGGCACCAGAAAGACCTTGAACGTGAGGCATTGAAAGTCCTCAAAGATGAGGCAATTGGAAGTCCTCTAACAGAGACACCTGATTCCCATGACCAAGGGAAATCAGCCACGATGGCTAGATCAAAAGAGTCAAGAAAAATCATTGTCTGAATTCTCTAGTTGGGGATACTCATTGTTCAGAGTCTCTAATTGAGATAACTGCTGTTCAGAATCACTAGCTGGGGTAATAAATATCATTGTCAAAGTTCATTGTCATCACACTCTCTAGCTGAGGTGATCATTACCTGAAGCTCCTAGTTGGAGCAAGAAAAATTGTCAAATTCGGATTCTCGAGTTGAGAATACCTGTTGTTTGAAGCCCCTAGTTGAGGTAATACTACTATTGTCAAGTTCATTGCTATTCTACATTCTCTATATAGAATGGGGGGAAGCTCCTAAGTTGGAGCAAATGATTTCAGAGTTCAGGGTTGTTGTAATGGAAATACAGAGATGGGGGGAACATTCGTGTGCTGTGCATTGAATTTTACAATTACTGCTGTACAGGCGCCTATTCCTCCTAATCAGGAAACTAGAGTCTGAATCTTGTAATTAATCGCTAGCTAGATTATAAGACAATAACATTGATCCTCCTACAATATTCGCTGTGTAAAAGGTATTTTTTGTAATATCCCGAGTGATTTGTGGCTGGAACTTTTCAGAGAGAGTTTCCCTGGTGTCCTGAGTGGATCTGTGCTGCTGCTGGACAGTGAGCAACCAGGAAAGCAGGCAGATATTGAATTCCATCATGTGTCAGACCCTAGCTAGCATCAAGCGAAGTAAGACAAAGCTGACGAGGTATTAGTAGGCAGCACCCACAGAAAAGGAGTTTGCTTGACTCGTGGGTGCTATAGTTTTGCCTCCATCATGATTAGTTGCACTTCAGAGGTTTGATGATTTCATTGCGCCAAGCATCAAATCCATAGAAGCACCGCACCCAACACACGCTAGCTACGGAGCCTCAATGACTCCTAAAAATAGCACTCTGTGAACATTGACACAATGCAAATATATGATTTCAAAAAGCTATATCATCCGGGTTTTCTACAAACTCCCAGAAGGGAGTGCCTGGTTGGTATCTGCACCAATCTCCTCTCTTCCAGCTCCTCGCGAATGCTTTGAGTGGCCATTGGAGCCAATCGATTTCAAGAGGGATATTTCAACGTGCTGTACCTGTGAAGCTATTTAGGCTATTTAGATCAAACCTCTGGGGCGAAACAAGCGGTTACATTGCCCAATAGAAGCCCATCCTCTCTGAAGAGTTGTGAGTAATCTTGATATGGACCAGTGAGCTACATATTTTCACGACCGTGTTGGCCCAAGACCCATCTAGCTACCGTAGTTAATGAATGCTCTCCCAGATCTATATGATTTGTATGATAGGTCCGCTAGTTCTGATCCGATCTGCCTGGGGTAGCCGTCCGACAAAAGCATCGGGGCGGAGAGGGTCAGTTGAGCATCGTGCCTGGGCATTCCGTTATCATTCCAGAAGTCTCAGTCGGACTACATGGGATGGACAAGTTGATTCCAGATCCTGGGTCCGTGGACCACTTATATTGCGATCTAAGGACCACGCCCGACGTCATTCATCTGCTGCCCAGGAATGTTCTCAAAATTAACCCAAGTTGTGAAGGTGCGGGTAGGGTACCGTTAAACTTCAATTAATACTCAGCAGGAAAAGTTATACACGTGCCTTCGCTTACCCCACGATGGGGTAAGAGAAGGGGTAAGCGAAGGGTTATGACTTAGCCCGTTCCGTCGATATGGGAAACGAAGGTCCCCGTATCATTGACGTGTGCCTTAGGGTAGACCTTGAGGCTAGGCATGATGATGACACTGGACAGGCGAGACCATTAGAGGGATTTTTGCAAGAGCTGCGCGCACATTGGCGCACATAAAATCCTTAACTGCTAAGTTGCCACGTACAAGCTGGGTTTTAATAACCACCATGTAATTATTTAAATTGCACTATCCAAAGAGCTTGTAAAGTCAGATCTTGGTGTTTATAAATTGGATAATCTCTAGATATTCTTGGAAACTTACTCTGTAATGATCAGCAAGCTCAGCCACTGTGCAGCTCATTGCTGTTTTAATTGATGATTAGTCACGTCACTATTTGAAACTAAACCTAAATAGACAATAAGCTAAACTCAAATAGATCAAAAATACAAAACTACTACACATAGCATCTGAGAAAGAACAGTTTCAGACTTTCAGAAATATAGAAATAATTTACTCTATATCTTAATTATGAGTGACTCAGAGTGAGAGTAGTAATTTAACTTTATCTATTCATTATTTCTGTATTATTTTAAAATCTAGAGAAATCAATATTTTTAATAATATTAATTTTTTTATTTTCATATTTTTATTTCTTATATATGAAGTATTATTTCAAAGTTAATTTATATTTTTTTAAATACAGAAATGATAGAAATTGAAATTCAAAGTTATATAATATCAATATTCTCTGAAAATATATAATTTTTCCCCAGATATACTGTCATGCTGAATTACTCAGGTAATATCTGCAACTGAGCAGAATAGAGGTCTGACCGTCTGAGCCTGCTGAGATAAGTGGAGGGTGCATAGTTATCTAGCTTGTCGCCTATGAGAGTCACAATGAGATGTCACTAACCTGATTTGGAATTTACATGCGTGCAAAGAACGCTCACAAGGAACTCATTTTCTAATAATTTTCTGGGGTGCACGGCCTACATTATTTTGCAACATGTGACTGATGTATTCCCAGAGCTCCCGAGAATTCGCCCTCTCCGGATCTAAAAATAGGATAAAAGCACCAGAATCCAGGGTGTGCTAGATCGAGTGAAATGACGCGGGAGATTTTTCTTCTGCTTAGGAAGTGGATAAAACTACTCCGTAAACAGGGGGCTGGATATTCATCCATATTCCTGTTAAAATCGCCCAGAGGCTAGCATTTGGTTCGTAAAAATATTTAGACATTTCGCATTATGGCCGTATAAACATCATGACTTATCTTCAGACTTCTCTTCACCAAACAACCACATCCCAGCACCAAGGACAAACACTGCAATTCTCCCATCCCTCACGAGCTCTCTCAGAATCTGTATCCAAGCCCGTGCATTCTTGAGTTCGCCGTCTCTAGCTCGTGTCAAAACTCTCGTTCCACACAACACAACCTCCCCAGTCAAGAACAGTACAAACGGATTTTGGGCAGTTGCAGGAGGCGGAGGATTCGGTCCGAAGGTCAAAACAGAGGACCGGAACAGACTGAGTAAATATATGCCCATTGCTAGAGAGAACACCACATGTACGAGTTTCCAAATGGATGTAATCCGTTGCTCCGCCGGCGAAGCAGGTTGCGAATTCCCGCCAAAGAAGAATTTGGCTAGGTATGGTGGAACACCAAAGCCGGAAGCAATATCGGCTAGATTAAACGCTGGGCCTTCTCCGCCGCCAGGGAAGGTATCGCTGCCAGCTGGTCCTCCAGCTAATAAGCTGCTTAGCAAAGCCGCTGGGTTTTGCTCAGGAGTCTGTTGGTCCAAAGGCTGTTGTGAGCGTAAAAGAGCCCGCAGATACTCTTCCTGTGCTTTGAGACCTTCGGGAGTCTGATCTTCGACATTGGGCGATGGAGGTAGAGGGGAAATGGATTTCGGCGGTGCATGTGGGCGGTGTTCGGGGGTTGGGGTAGAATCGGAAAGTGAGGCGGGAGAATCCTCCCTCAATGCTATTCAATTGAGTTAGAAGTTAAAACCCACGAACTGACACTTTCAGGCGCGAGATGATATATATCTTACTGTTTGCAGGTGTCCGTCCACTGAGACTGGTGATCTTGTCGAGCCTCGCAGAACCATCTGCTCTAATTTTAGCTTCGCGGCGTTCACGCCGGAGGCGAGCTGCCCGCTGGGCTGGCGATTCCTCTGTTGCTGACATTGTGGTTGGTAAGTAGGGTATATAGGTCCGGATATTATTTAAAAGTCAGCTCGTCTTTCGATGTCTTACGAATTTTGGTGAGATGTTCCAACAAAGCTCATCGTCGATACCTACTTGGCATCATGCTACTGAGGTCACATGATAAGTTAGTTACTTCCAAATACCCGTGGACGCTGCCAAGAGCGATCAACTCCAAGCTCTTTCTACATAACCAACCTCTGGACAAGTTCAAACTACACGCTTGAATATTTACTCATACTCTAGTCCGTGCTGTTGACAGCAATGCGATGTTCTGTAGGTCTACCTAAGTTATGCAATCTGATATATCTTTCTCATTGCAAGAACAGGGATAGGCTCCTCCATGTGTCAAGACCTCCATTATTCTTAAAGGAATTGAATCGATTCCTAAGAAACCTTTCTGAACTTTTTCATTCAGCTTTAGATATTACCCCAATGCTTGAAATTCCAGAACGGTTTGGCATCCACGCTAATGGCGTGATAATCACATAATGTCCGCCTGACGACCAAACCAGACAGGGAAGAAGTCTTTGCCAGGGAAGCGTTTGGCTGGTACCGGTTTTCCCTTCTGCATCAGGGAGGGAGAATTGGAAGTGGATCTTCTGCTCTCTAGAATCTGTTTGCTTCCTATAGGTGGGTGCAATACCTATATCCATCGATATAAACTTGTGCGCAGGTAATGTAACTATTCAATATCAGGCTCAGATTGGGATTCAGCCGATGACGCTGAAGTGGACATTTTGTCACGTGGGTCAAGAACCCTAACCAGAAACCCGTCCCCGGATTTGATCGCCATGAACGTCGTCACTTGGGTTGGATGCAAGGAATCCTGGCTATTGTTTTGAATTGGTGCGGCAGATTGATACCTTACTGGTCCCTATACTAATTAAAAGGGCTGTACCAATTGATGGCGGTAGTAAACCTTGGATCCCACAAGGCTATTCTAAAATCGCCACGATGACGTCTCTGCTACCAGAAAAGCTTCAATGGCGCCAATTCGATATTATTTATCAAGACTATATTTTGGGCTAGCCTCTTCCTTATAGATGTTAGCTGGATTATTTGACCTTCTTCTCTGATGAGGTCGAGGACGAGTCCTGATAACCACTTCTCGTCCAGCAGCCGATCACGCGTTTCTGTTCTGCATTCTATCAATTAGCTTTGCCAGTCAATATGACAAGTGAAACTCAAAGGTACCCTGGTGGGCATTGGGGCGCAAACAATCCGATTCCCACAGTCCAAAAATTCCTGCGTAACTTGGACCAGGAAAAGGAGGAGAGGGATAGGCAAATTGATGAAGCGGCGAAGCTCAAGCAAAAAAGGGGACAGGATAAGCAGAAGCAAAATGGCGAACAAGATGAGGATACGGAAGTGACAGCCCATACCCCTTTGCAGCCGAGGAAACGTGGGCGCAAAGTAATAGACCCGACAACTGGAAGAGAAGTTGAGATTGATGACGTTGGAGATGAATTCATGGCCACAGTTAAAGAGCCACAGGTATTTTCTATCTTCCACTTTCTGCAAGGCCACAACTAACGACTCTCTTTAAAAGCTTTCCGTACCCAATGCAAATCTGGGGAAGGAGACGGTATGTTCAACACCAAATTCATTGATCCCGGGTTCAATAACTTATTGTGAAGTTTAGCCTATTAAAACAGAGCCCACCCAAGATTTGCGAGAATACAAACGAATTCAAGACCTCGTCTCACCGCCAGATCCTATTGCCGAAGGCACTACATCTGATGTGCCAATCCATGGAGAGAAAACCAACATCTTGTTTCATCCTACTCCATCAGTCAGCTATGAGCCAATGTACCAGGCTTTGGAAAGACGTGGGACGGTGCTTTCTCTGTGTATTTTTTGTGGTATTGTGATTCCGGGTAAATTGATCGGTGGCTCACTCAAAGGGCTCATTCCTCTCGCTATCTGTATTACCTCTGGAGTATGGCTGTGGATGCAGGATATCATCCGCAAAGGACGAGATATGGAATGGAGCAGCGAACAACGTCGCGGGGAAACGGTATGTAATTCTAGTCAGGTATGGTATATTGAGTTATTACTGATCTTATTCAAGGCCACAGTGAATTTAATTCCAGAGTCAGTTGAATGGATGAATACGTTTCTGTCAATAGTCTGGGGTCTCCTAAATCCAGACATGTTCGCAAGCGTAGCAGATACTATCGAGGATATTATGCAGGCTTCCGTACCGGGAATAATCGAGAATGTCCGTGTGGCTGAGATCGACCAAGGATCGAACCCATTTCGGATCCTCAGCTTGCGAGCACTCCCAGATAGCCAAGTGGAGGACCTCAAAAACGCAGCGCATGAATACAACAAGGAGACAAAATCTGCTCAAGAAGCTGCTGCTGATGAGGAAGGAGGCTCCCATTACAACCTCGAATGCTCGTTTGCTTACCACGCTAAACCAAGCGGTACAAGCTCTTCCTCGAAGGCTGCCAATATGCATATGCTTTTGGTATTTTACCTGGGTATCAAGGGACTTTTCGGGGTTCCACTGCCAGTTTTCACCGAATTAATCCAGCTCATTGGCACTGTGAGGCTTCGATTACAGATGACTCCTGACCCGCCCTTCGCTAAAACCTTGACATTCAGCTTGATGGGAGTCCCTCATGTCCGGGCCGGTTGCGTCCCAATGGTCAAGAGAGGAGTAAATATCCTCAATTTGCCGCTGATCTCCAATTTTGTGAACTACGCCATCAAAACTGCTGCGAGCATGTATGTTGCGCCAAAATCGATGTGTATGGATCTACGCATGCTACTACAAGGAGATACCATACAAAAGGATACTCTGGCACTAGGAATTATGTGGGTCAGGATACACAGAGCCACAGGCCTTAGCAAACAGGATAAACGAGGCACCGACGGTGGAGGTAGCGACCCTTACATCAATCTATCTTTTTCAAAATACGGAAAGCCGATGTATTGTACCAGAGTCATCACCGATGATCTCAATCCAGTATGGGAAGAGTCAGCCGCCCTTCTAGTGACACCAGAGCTCATTAAGGCCGACGAACAGCTCAGTGTCGAGCTATGGGATTCTGATCGCAATACTGCTGATGATATTGTTGGAAAAGTCGAAATTTCCATACAGAAGATGTTGAAGCACCCGGGAAAGATGTACCAGCTAACTTCCAAGCTTCAAGGGATGGATATTGGCTCTGAGATGCCTGGGGAGCTTGTTTGGGAGGTAGGATACTTCGGGAAACCGCAATTCCGACCGGCTCTTCGGACCGATGGGAGGGATCCAAATCTACCTGCGACAATGAAGGATGATGCAGCACTGCAAGATGAGAAGGGTACTATTGACACTGATGAAGCTTATGCTGTCACCCATACACCTCCAGATCCGCTTTGGCCAAGTGGTATTTGCAGTGTTGTCATTCACCAAATCGTTAATTTGGACCTAGCAAACATTAAAGGGAGTTTTGCGAACGGCCGAAGCAGTAATAGGGAGTACGAACCCGCAAAACCATATGGAGAAAGTACAGATGAAGAAGGAAAGCAACTTCCAACTAGTTACTGTACAATCCTTTTGAACGATGAGCTTGTATGTCGTCGCCTTCCTTGCTGTGCTTAACTTTGATCTCTTCGTATTCTAACCGTTTGGGATCCAGATTTACCGCACCAGAGCAAAAGCTGTAAGCAGCAAACCCATATTCAATACAGGAACAGAAAAGTTTGTGCGAGATTGGAGATCCGCGATTGTTACCATTACGGTCCGGGACCAAAGACACCGGGAACATGATCCAATTCTAGGTGTTGTGCCCCTTAAACTGTCTGCTATTTTACAAACCAGTTCCCAAGTAACCCGTTGGTATCCATTGGATGGAGGCATTGGCTTCGGACGTATTCGAATTTCTCTTTTGTTCAGAAGTGTCGAAACAAGGTTGCCGCCTCCTCTTCTCGGTTGGAACGTCGGGTCTTTCCAGATTACATCAGATCGCATTACCGCCCTGGATTATCATCGTCATGCCAAACTAAGGGTACGAACAAGTGGGAGTATTGGTACGCTACCCCGACGAGCGTGCGGTACTCTTGAGGGCGGCAAGGGCATGTACTTCGACACCAGCTCTCAAGAGCTGAAAGATCGGATCCACCTACCAGTCAAACATAGACATAGGTCTGGAATCATTTTCGAGCTGCACAAAGGGGATAAGCCGGGCTGCGCCGTCTTCTGGCTTCATCAATGCATTGATAACGAAGACACGGACGTCGATATCCCGATCTGGAACACAAAGAACGAAGCGCGCCTGACGCAGAACTATATCACTGAAGAAAACTGGCAACAGAAACAAGTTCCAGGCCTGGAAGACCTTACCATCATAGGGCGTCTTCGGTTCAAAGCCAAATTCACCCCGGGTATTGATGAAAGCCACCGCCGTTTTGTTCAGGATAACGACTCCCGTGAAACATTTGAGACGTGGGAAGCATGCATATCCGAAGGAGTACGGAGTCAAACTGTTTCAAGAGAATTACCAGACTCCATCAAAGAGTTGCATGACAAGTCTCTCCTCCAAGAGCGTGATATCCTCCGAGCAGCAAGTGCGGACGAGCAAAAACGCTGGATTACTGCCGACGGGGTCGATTGGAACGAGGCATTCGGCACTGATCCCCATGAGCTTGCCGATCACCAACGACGTAACCTCGTTGACATAGGCGTCGAGGACCATGTGCGGTTTTCAGTGTCGTCTATGCAAGGCGAGGAACGGAAGGGCGCGGAGGCTTCCCACTCAGGGTCTTTGAGACAGGATTCAGGTTATGCAACAAACAGCCGGGAGCAAAATCTTCCTGAACATGCACGCGATGATATCAATGAAAACGCCGTCGACGACCACAGTGAGCATCATCACCAATCCGGAACTGACGCGGACGAGGCCGATTCGTTCACCACCACGGATACCAATCGAAGATCGTTAGAGACCAACGAGCAGCGTGCGCAACGCATCGGGAACAAGGCAAATAAACGGACTGAGCATCGCAAGCAGAGGGGAATTATGCAGTGGAAGCCAGCGCGTAACGCGGCGTTTGCGAAGGATGAGGCTTCTTTCGCCCTGAAGAAGGTTAAAAAGAAGTTTACGGGCGGGCTGACGGGGAGGGAACCTAGTGTCGAGACAGAGGTAGGCGGTTAATGGGAGGATTACGGTTACAGTTAACTACTGCAGTTTCGCTAATAGTGGGAAATATTCGTTTATCCTACTTGAACTCTTGCATTTCATGCAATGATTTTATTTTATTTTTCCCCTTTCTTTTTTTATCCCCTTCCATATGTACTGTACCTATTTTAATCCTTCTATCACGTTACGATTTCCAATAATATCTATCAATTTGTCAAATATTAAATTTACCGAGGGCTCATCCGCCCACCACACACGCGAAATATATTCTCTATGAATTTTCCCCATCTTCTCCACACTTTGGCCCCCCAAGCTACCTTCCTATGCTATGCCCTGTGTGATCCTTCCAGCCCGCTAGCTATGTACAGCACGTAGCTCCCCCGACCCCCTTAGCAACTGGGGAGATAATATCTATCCGGCGCTCGGGCTAGAGTCAATCGAATGGTAATCCGCCCCCGCCTTCCTGAATAGGCAGCTGACTGAAATAAGAAGGATGTTGATACAAATGGTTCGGCCCCCTTAACTACCAGTTTTAAGCCTGGTTGGTGGTGATGGAGCTCTTCTGCCCAGTCAGTGGCCTACACAGAGGAACCTCCCCCCCCCCCCCCGGGGCCCCTGTGGGTTTTTTTTTTTTTTTTTCCCCCCAAATGTATAGCTGAGAAAAGGGATTAACTATGAATGCCCCCCGGCTCCGGCACAATTGACGCGCTTTCCCACGGGGGGGGGATTTTTTTTTCCCCCCCCACCCCCGTTGGGGAAACGGAAGGGGGGTCGCAAAGTTTGGAGGTGAACGATGGGGAGGAGAAGAGAGGACTATTATTACAGTTTGGAGGGGGGGGGGGGGGGGTAATTTCTTCCCCTTTTTAAAAAAAAACCCTTTTTTTTGGTGTGGGAGGGGAAAAAAAAAAAAAAAAAAAAAAAAAAAAAAAAAAAAAAAAAAAAAGGGGGGGGGGGGGGGGGGGGCCCTTTTTAACCCCCCCCCCCCCCCCCCCCCCCCCCCCTCCTCCGAAACCCAACAAGCAAGCTAGTATTTAACTAGCTAACGACTACAAGATGCATGCCAATTTCAATAGCTTCTATAGAGTACTCCGTAGGTGTGGGGGCCATAGGTATCACAACTATACTGTGATACTTAATACACTAACTAACTAGAGGGTTGGGTTGCGCGAGCTTTAAATGGAACACTCTGGGGAACTTATTAATATTGAAAAACAGAGTTGCTGTTGCCGGAAACACTAATGATGATCAATCCACCTCGAATTGAGAAGAGGGCTGAAAGAAGAAAAGAAAAGAAAAGAAAGATATATATATATAAACTCCGTATATCAAAAGGGTAATAATAGTATATAACTAACTTATGATATGATGGTTTTTACTATGAACCCCTGTCCCGTCCATCATACTGCTTGCGCATAATGCGTACATTGCCCGCTCATAGGTGTATATCCCAAAAAATAAAAGTCCATGCATCAACGCTAAAAGGCGAATAGAGGAAGAAAAAAACGTTCGCTCAGTAGCTCCGTAAATACGTGGGAAGTCATATGGAAAAAGTAAACAAGTAAATAAGAAGAGAAGAGAAGAAATGTATGTAGAAAAGAAGAAAGCGGGTTTAAAAACAGGGGTTTTAATATAAGAAGGGAAGAAGAAGATATATAAAATAGTAAATCGAAATAGCAAAATAGATAGCATAAAAAGCCTAAAAATAAAATTGTGTATATATAAATTAAAATAAATAAAAGAGAAGAGAAACGGGGACGATAAACGAGTCGGGCGGTTCAGTCCTTGTAAAGGTTGGGGTGGGGAAGCTAGTAAGTGTATTGAGTAGAGGCAGTTGCGCGACTAAATATAGAAACTGACAACCGTGGGCCAAGTTTTCCTTTTTCTCCAGCTGGAGGCTGGAGCTCGACGCACAGCACAGGGCAAAGAAAAAAAAAAGAAAAGAAGAAAAAAGTGGAGAATCAAATCGTGTGGATTCGCGGAGAGTGATAACCAATGTTAGAAGCCATGAAAACTATTATTACCGACGGGCTTTATTTGGATATTGGATGATTGGGTGGTTTGTAGAGAGCTGGCGGCTGGAGGAAGATAGGTGGGGTTTTTTTTTTGGTTTGTTTCATGCAACCGGCCGGTCAACTGGTGCTTCCCTTCTTTCCTTCTTCATTCGAACCAGCGCAGCGAGAAGTAGATGGACGGAGGTTAGATGATGATGGTAGGGATAGGGATAGGGATATGGTTGTGTATTCAGATTCGTCTTCCCCGCTATACCCATCCTCCCCTCCGCTGCCATCGCGAAATCAGCCCGCAGCCCACCAAGCCCCTAGACCTACTGCATCTATAGACGGAAATTTTGGTGTTCTGTATCGCTCAGTGCCAGCGCGCCTTGGCCTTGATATGACGATAGCGCATAGCATGTAGCGGAGTACCTCATCCTAGTTCGTATATCCATTCGTGTATCCGGCGCCTCGTTGGACGAAGGTGGACGAAATAAGGTACAGAAGTAAGGTTCTTTCTCAGGAAAAGAAAAAAATAAAAAGTAAAAGTAAAAGTAGAGTAAAAGTAGAAAACAAGAGAAGAAAAGAACACTCCGCGCTCGATAGTGTATAGTGGTATATTCCTTTTTTTATTTTAAACAATTCATCCGTTTCGTTCTCGGTTTTCGTTTGCTTCGTTGGCTCGTGTTGTCCAGGCTCGTTCAGAATCCCGGTCCCCTATCCCAAAAATAGAACGTTGCCGTAAATCAACGCTAAAATAAACGATGGGGAATGAAGGCGGAAATAGATTAGATGGGGTATATAGAAAGCTTTCGTTGGTAGAGTAATGCAAAATGCAATGCAGGCGCTTGTAATGTTAGTATATAGGTGCATAGGTAATGTCGGTGTGTATGTGTAATGCCAAGATATGCAATTTTGCATAGGTCGGTAGTATAGGGGGAATCCCACCGTGCGGCAATTTCCCTCTTTGTTTTTTCCAGCTGGTGTTTCGGTCAAGGAAAAGGGCTTGATCCCAGACTCTCAGGTAGGGGCAGGGAGGAAGCTTCATGCAGAATGTCACACATGGGACCCTGGGGAAAACCATCCTGTGGCGGCGCGAGTGGGTCTATGCATGGGTGAGTAGTAGTGTTTACCAGCGGGCTTGGCCGCCGCTTTGGTGACGGGCATCTCAACGTGGGAACGGCCATTAATTTTGGTTCAGGCGCAGAATTCGATGCAGTCACGGAAGTTGCCAGGTCCGGCACCGTCACCGTCGCTGCCACGTCGGGATCCGGGCTGTTACTGGAGTTGGTATTAATATCATTAACTTGCTGCGCGGTTCCGTTTTCAATCGGCCCCAGGGTCCATCTCCATTTGCGCTGACGCTTCCGTCGCTGGTGGAGGAGGGAAGTTTTGGGAGTGTCATCGCGGTAGCCATATGCGCTGCTGCCGGAACTGGCTAGATCGTCTCGAAGCGCTACTGCTCTGATTTGTCGCTCGCTTGTGGAATGTTTCCGCTTAGCGGTCCGTGGGCGCTCGACGGCGGCCGGGGATGGGTTGTTATTTTTAACAGCACCGCCACCGTCTTCACTAGCGTTGCGGTCGATAATATTGTTCCTCGTATTTTCTTCCGCGGGAGGCGGCGCAATGGGTTCGTCGTCATCTGAAAAGCTGGAAGAACGGGGTTGCGATGGAGATGAGTCTGACTCTTCACTCTCGTCTGATGACGTGTAGACATCTGAGGGTCCAGATGGAGAATCTAGGGATAGGAGATCTGAATGCTTGGCAGTATAGCGGGTGGTCTTAATTTCCTCGTCGAGCGGACAGCGATATTTGACCTGTCTTTTCGCAGGGAAGAACACCCTGCGTCCGCTATGTCCATTGACAGAGCCATTACTACCTTGCGCAGCGAGCGGGGCCCGTCGTAGCGATGCGGACGTAAGAAGCGGGGAGTTGCGCAGAATACTTCGTAGCCCTAGTGGAAGTTTGTAAGGGATTTCGTCATCCACTCCTTGGTAGCTGCACAGGTAAGACGAAGTTCGTTTTCCAGCGCGGGAGGAGCATTTTGGGGACGAGGCGCCAGTTGTTGATGAGGATGGCGGGCGTCTAAATCCGTCGTAAGCATTGCTAAATGTATTCCGTACTGTGGGGGACTGTGAACAGCCTGCTGAAAGGGCTAGAGAAAGCGCCGTTGTAGATTTGCCAAAGGTCATTGGAAGTGACGAGGTCTGGAGTGATAGCTTTGGCCGTCTGCTACCGTTGGAGGAGGCATGGCTTGTGCTGGTAGATATCGGAGGGGGGACGGGTGGCTTCACAAGCGTATCGGGAGGTGTTTGCGATTCCTGCTGCGGCGGCGGCAAAGGAGAAGATGAGACGGAAGTCGAGGCGGCTGGAGGCGGGGGAGGAGCGGGAGTGAAAGAGTTTATAGACTCAGAGCGGGTCGAAGCATCGTCTGGCGGAGAATCATCCGAGTCTGGGGATTGGATATGAGGCGGCTTTGGGTTAAGAGAAATGGCGAGCATTTTGAAGAGGGAGGATATCCAGTGGGAGAGCGAGGCGAGGACACCCTGTTCAGGCTCAAGAGAAGCTGTCCACACCGACGGAGGCATGGAGGAAGTGTACAAGGGGAGAGATAGCAATTGGGCTAGGAATAAGCATGGTGTCTTTTGTTGCGAGAGGGGAGCTGTTTCTATTGCGCCATGATGGCAGTTCAGGTCGTATGAATGTATAGCAGGGGATCTGCAGCTTCTTTCCCTTTTCTCTCTCTTTTCCTTTCCTTTTCTTTTTCTTTTCTTTCTCTTTTCTTTTCTCTTCTTTCTTCTTTTTTATCTGTATAATTCTTTTTCAGTTTTTGTTCCCCTTGTTTTGCGACTAAGGTCTGTCGTAAGCTGGGGCCATATTAGAAGGTAAATAAGGCGGACGGCAGACCAGTAGCAGGCAGGAGAATAAGTTAACAAATGGCAACAACAACAACAACAACAACAACAATAATAATAATAATAGCAATAAGCGGGTGACGACAGAGGCGCGAGGATAAAAATAACAGAGACCGTCTGTATGTATGTGCGAAGAGAAAAGGTTCGTCAGCTGCTATGGCCGTTTCGGGAGTGATGGAGGAGTTTTGTTTGATGGTTGTATGGCTGTATGGCGATATTTTGATGAAGACCACGACGGCCGCGATGGCGCTTTGTGGGAGAGGGACCGACCAGTCCTAGACTACTCCCTTGGGTGTTAATAAGTGGCCTATTCTTAATCCCAAACCCCGAGGTCTGTAGGGTGGGGGAAGATAAAACCCGAGATTTAGATGGATATTGGATAGATGCTGGGAGGCTGAGCGGGGAGAGGAGGGCGGAGGAGAGTCGATGATACGATACGTACGGCTTCACGAGGATATACGGATAGATCCAAGATAGATAGACAGATAGATAGATAGATGGACAAGTTTGAGAAGAGAAGAGAGAAGAGGAGAGAGAAGATAGCAGAAGAGGAATGAATAGACAAGGAGGGGTCTCTGGCAGAGGTTTTTATTTAACCGTCCGTATCGTATCAGTGTTGGCTCTTAGTTCGTGATCGGATGTGATGGAACGAGGGAGGGCTTGCAGCAGCAGCAGCAACAGAAACAGAACAGAAACATCTATCTGTTCAGCAATAATAATAATTAAGTTAGTTACAAGTAGTAACTACTTTACATTATTATATTAATTATTATTATGGCTTGGAAGGGAGAACAGGCAATTTAAGATACAATATCCACTGTTTGTTCTGGTGTCTCTCTCTCTCTCTCTCTCTACCTGTCTATTCGCTATTCGGCATGGTGATTCTATTGTTTCAGAATAATATTAACTATTTATCGCCCGCGGTCTTGTCTCTCTTCTTCGCACTTTGATTGAGTTTCAACCACTAATAACTAACTACATACTACAATATTCGCATAACCATCCCTCCGTACAGAGGAACTACGCTGCGCACAGTACGGAGTACAGGCGACTCCCCGTACTTCTTACTATTATTATTATAAGTTACTGTGGCTGTTAGCGCAGCAAGTGGAGCATCATCCGGAACCTGGAACATCCAAGGCCTGGCGGCTTGCTGGAGGATATTTTGTTCAAGGCAGATCGCTCTCCGAATAGAAACAAACGTTGCGATGGGCGCTGCTATAAATATCCAAGAAAAAGTCATCAATATAGTTAATAAATATAAAAATATATAAAAATACATACTACATACAAACTTCTGCTGGACAGATAGACAAGACCTGACTTGATTATGCGGCCACTTCTTTTCCAAACTGTCGAATAATCTCTATTATTATTTATTATCTTGAGCTCAACCAATTTCCCGTCCATTAATAATTGTGTCATTATTGTATTTTCTTTCTTTCTTAGTATTGTGTCTCTCGTTCCACGCTAAAAATACAACTGAACCATCTTGGCCGCGACGATCCGGTACGGTACATCGTGGTACATCTGCTTCTCAGCACTAGCAGCGTAGCCCCCAGCAAACTCCGCCTTCTAAAAGTATCTCGGCGTAGCTCCCACCAGGCCGGCCCAACTTCACACACAGAAATATACATCTTGCCATCGCCAGCCCAGCAAAATATTAGGAATTGCCATCTACTATGTATTATTACTAGATTACTAGTCGCGAAGAATAAATGGAACCCCTTGACTTCATTATTGCTGTGTATAATTTTAACTATTTTTTCGCTCAGGGTCACGTGGCGATTTGCATTCAGCCACTTGTCGTCAGCCACAGTGTGGCACTGCTGTCCATCCCTGATCGGGAAAGTGGATTGCCTACCTAGGAATTTTGCCCTAAGCCACCACCAAACATCATATCATATCAATATCATATCATATCATATCATATCGTCTGTAAGACCAACATCTCAAGATACCGCTAACATTACTCCGTCCTCTCTTGCATCTCACGGGAAATCAAATCCAGTGGAGTATGTGAAAGTTGGTAGAGCAGCTTTTTAACTATAAGCGTCGTACAGCGAGCGTAGTTATCCCTGCTACCTAACTACTCTACTGCAGCCACTTACGCTGTACACTACTGCTCTTCCCTCAAACCCCCTCCCCTGCCTGTGATCTCCCAACCGTCGGCAGAGTCATCCTCTTTTTGGCTTTACTGTACATACTACTCTACTCTGTATACTGTACAGGCTGCAGAGAAGCCTGGAGTGAGAATCTTCCCCATCTAGACTTTTCCTCCGCGACGTGCATCGTCCGCTCCGCTACCTTGTCCTCCTGATCCTCCGCTCGCTCTCTACGCATAGTATCTCTATCTGTCTCTCTCTCCAAGCGCCCGCGCTATTATTAGCGTGAAACAAACCCTTTCCGCTATCCTTTGCCTCGCAGAACATCCCAAGTCCTTCTCTTCTAAACCCTAATCTTCTTCATCTTCATCATCCTCCTCTGCCCATCATCAGACATCCATCTGCGGGTGTTTGCCGAGACTCCCTTTGTCTCCAGGTAACCCTGCATTCCATCCCAACGGCGGTGTACATAGTACTCCGTAGATACTTGCATGATTAACAAACTTGAACTTCCCCCCTAACCCTTGCTTACTCAATTGCCACCCCACGTTTTCTCTTTCAACGCAGTCACAGCCAATGAGAAAATATCCCACCCCATCCCGAGGCTGTTTTTTCGGCGATTTATCCATATGCAGATGGACAGGAGCCATCTTGTCTAGGTAGGAAGTGCTGCCTCCTTTTTTCCGTCTCGCAATTTTATTGGGCCGGGGCTGGTTGGTTTTTGCCCTCTCTTTCTTTTGCTATCCTGGTCTATATCCGAGGGTAGACAAAAAAAAGAAAGAGAAAAAGAAAAAGAAAGGAAAAAGAAAAAAAAAAAAAAGAAAAAGAAAAATAAAGGAAAAATAAAGAAGAACAGGAGAGAAAATTCCAGTCATGGCAAACCTCTTCCGAAAAAAACAGAATGCCGTCTCGCTGCGCAGAGATGATAGTAGGATTATCTTGCACTTTGTTAGTAGGTCCCTGCAGTTTTCGTTTCATTTCTCTTCTTCGCTATTGGAAAAATTTAATATACATGTCTTTCGTGCGTTAGGTTTTATTTTATTTTCCTCTCCTTGATTCCCCTCTTCCTCTCTTTTGAGCTGCTTCGGATTTTAGCTTCTCTCTTGTGCAGAAGAGACAAGCTTAAAATTCCCCTCCCCTACCTCTGTCTATATGTTTCAACACGGCTCGTTAAAAAGCCGAGAATAAGTTAATCAGAAACTTGTACCTCATTGCCATTTATCACGCAGTTCCGGGGCAATGCGAACTGACATGTGTGCATGTATTGATTTACCCAAATCAGAAAAAGAAGGGAAAAAAATCCAATTTAACCAAGTACATTTTCTTACGAAACTCTTTCTCCAAAAACACACTAGGATTATGATTGTTTCTACGCCTCCGTTTTCGAAGCGGAAAATCCCGCCCTGAAATCACTGCCGCTGGCCGTCCAGCAGAAGCAGATTGTCGTTACCTGCAACTATGAGGCTCGCCGTCGCGGCTTACGCAAGTTGCAACTGATCAAGGAAGCTAAGAAGGTGTGTCCGGATGTGGTCATCGTGCCGGGCGAGGATTTGACCAAATTCCGTGATGCAAGTAAGGAGATCTATTCGTTTTTAAGGGGGTTTGTTTCGGGTTGGGGTGGGAGGGTGGAGAGGTTGGGGTTTGATGAGGTGAGTTTTATATCCATCCATCATCCTGGATAGTTGTTTTGCTTAATACGGATGTTTACTGGAAAGTGGAATTTGATTGGTGTCCACATTGTTTTATGCGCTTTTTTTTCTTTTGGCTTGTTCCATTGAGGATACATACGTTTCTGATGAGAAAGGATTATTGATGGGTGGTCTACGCAGGTATTTTTGGATGTCACCTCCCTGGTAGACTACAACATCGACCTTCTCAACCACAATGACCTATCCAGCTCCTTTTTCCATCTTGACAAGACAGACCCAACCCAGGGCTTTGCATACGATGCGCGGACAGTGTCGGGGCCTTCATATCCCCCTTCCGGCCAAACCCCTCATACTTCTCTCAATGGCTCAGCCCCATCTGCCACATCAGACTCTCAGACACACCCGTTCTCACCCAATAGCAACAATGCCAATGCCAATGCCAACTTACAACTACTCCAACGCCTAATCCTGGGCTCACATCTAGCCAGCTACATCCGTCACCAACTCGAGGAACACAAAAGCTACACAGCCACGGTGGGCATCTCTACCTCCAAGCTCCTCGCAAAGCTTGCAGGAAATGTCCACAAGCCGCGGAACCAGACAACTCTCCTACCCCCCTATAATTCCACCAATGATGACGATGATGCTTACTTTGACCATGACGACGGCGACGATGATGATTATGATGAAAAACATGCCCAACAACAGAGCAACATCATCCGCTTCCTCGACGCCCATGATATCAGCGCTATACCTGGCATCGGCTTCAAAATCGCCCAGAAGATCCGTAGACATGTTCTTGGCCGCGAGCTTTCATCAGGTATATATGAACAGCTGTCAAAAGCTGACTACGTCACCGTGAAAGATGTCCGCTTACATCCGAACATGGGCCCGCTGACGCTGAATGAATTATTATTACTTTCTTCTAGCACTAGTAGTGGTAGCGGTGGGGGCGTCGGTAGCGGGGCATTGCCCAAGGATATCGGAATGAAGATCTGGGGCTTGCTCCATGGCATCGACCCTAGCCCCGTTGCGGGGGCCAGGGCTGTCCCTACGCAGATTAGCATTGAGGATTCGTATGGGGATGGGCGGTTGGAAGGGTTGGATGTGGTCAGGGGGGAGCTGGTGGCGCTGGCGGGGAGCCTTCTTAGACGGATGGTTGTGGACTTGACTGAGGAGGTTGAGGGAGAAGAGGATGGGGATGATTGTGATGGTGACTGTGTACAGTCAGAGCCAGAGCGGCCGGAGAAGAGTAGAAGAGGGAAATCGACAAAGAGACGCTGGCTTGCGCACCCGCGCACATTACGGCTATCTACACGCATCCGCCTGCCCCCGCTCCCGGACGGGGCACGCGATTTCAGCGCGGGACGGGTGTCTAGGTCCTGTCCTATGCCGACATATATATTCTCTTCGCTGCTTAATACTGCAACTACTACTACGACTACTACTACTACTACTACTACTACTACTACTACTACAACTACTATTACTCCTGCTACTACTAACAATAATCGTAATCATACTCATCTCGAAACCAACGACAACGACAACGATGACAAACCCCGTGCTGGAGTTCACGAAGCCATGGTAGTACCAACGATAGACCCTCTAGCCATGCGCCTCGTGAACGAAACCATCCTGCCGCTCTTTCGTAGATTGCACCCTGAGAAATCGGGCGCGGGGAAGATATGCGTTATGAACATTGCGGTGACGAATATGGTTATGGTTGCGGGGGTGGGTGGGAAGGGTGGTGCCGGGAGGGATATTGGGAGGATGTTTCGGAGTCAGAAGAGGGTGTTGAGGGAGTGGAGGGGTGAAGATGGGGATGGGGATGGGGATGGGGATGATGGCGGGTTACTAGGAGGGGAAACGGTTGAGTCTACTACCATTGGCAACAACGACGATGATGGCGGTGGTGATGCTGCTGATCCTGATGACATGTGGGATAGCGAAGGAGACGAAGGAGATATAGATATACTAGGTAACGGCGATGCCATGATGACCGAATGTGCCATCTGCGGAGCGCTGATGCCTCATTTCGCCCTCCGGGCACATGAGGTGTATCATTCTGTTTGTCCCTAATTGATCACTAAAATAAAAGACCGGACTACCTGAGTTTTTTTTTCCAACTTATTTGATTTCCAACTCTGTATGTTAGCCCCCCCCCTTTTTTTTTTTTTTTTTTTTTGAAAACACTTCTATCAGTATATTTTGTAGACATGAACACCACCCTTAAATTTATGCTCCAAATCTTTTTCAAGCAGAAGCAAGTTGCAGAGCTCAGAGCAGGTGATTCTTGAGTTGGTGATGTTCTATAAAAAGTGATGAGAGATGGAGAAGTTGCAAAACATCATTTGTGTCAGTTGTACGGTACTTATGTTAGTTGCAGGAATTACACATCTCTTGAAAGTATCAGAACATACTCGTGTAATCTTCTTATTTTTATTTTTATTTTATATTTATATTTTACATTTACATTTACATTTACATCTCCTTTTAGCAAGTATGATTGGTTATTATTATACTGCTCTGATGTTAAGAATATGTATATATTCAGGAATTATCCAGTTATTTACAAATTACCCAAAGATATTTCTTCACTGTCCAGTCCAATATTGAATCCAATCCCCTTTCTGGTCCTGGAACAGAAGCAAGCGCTTACAGAAAAACAAGTCCCCCCTTAGATATTTCGTTATGGACACTTCTGATCCAATACACTTACTGAAATATAAATAGCCCCTGGACAATAAATAGGGCGAAGGACATGGGAAATGTGGGCATTATAGATGTGGCTCTCACACAAAGAATATTAATAAGGGCTTGAGTAGCATAGTACTTAGCAGAGGAGAGAATACGAATACAAAAATAAAAAGAGAGGAAAAATGAAAAGATTCCAGGGAAGAAAAAAGTTTCATATATTGATGAGAGCTTGGGACGATAATCTGCGTCTCAGGGATTCTGCAGAGATTCCCCTCCTTTTGAACCACAAACCACTCTTTTCTTTTGTTTGGATCTTGGTTCATTAACTAATTAATCAATCGCTTTCAAATACTCTGCAGTAGGTAGAGTAAGTACATTACCCATGGTTCATGCCCAGGGCCGTTGAATGTCACCGCCAATCCATGCCTTTAACCGTTACCCTATCTAAGGTAACCTAGCCCGTAGTTAGGCGGTTGTACACTGGGTGGCCAGTATTGCATCTTCCAAGATTACCTAGCCAGCAAGTTACATCCGTGGATTCTTCTTCGGTCAGGATGAGCTTATCGGATACAAGAAACTTTCTATTGTGAAGTATGTTGATGAAATAGGTATAGGATGGGTGTTATAACTCTGGAATGCTTTGTCATGGTAATAATTAGTTATGAGGTTCCAATTAATTAATTAATTGTTTCCATACCTATGTTCAATTCCAGAGCTGTGCATCAAAGAGATTGTATGGAGCAGATAATGCAGCGAGTACGGAGTAGAGATTTAATTAATTAATATTATTCTGTCTACGCAGTAATAACTCTGTATTTGGAATAATAAGTCAAACTCCACAATACAGTAGTTACCCCATTTAAAATGTACCTGTCACTATATCTAGAACATATATTACTAATGTTTGCTGGGCCAGGATAGCCCCGCGAATTGTGACTAGCGTATCTAATTTTATTTAGCACGTGATCGAAAGTGGACCGCAAGTCTGGGCCTCCGCGTTTCAGCCTCACCTCACCGGTTTGGTTTTCAATTTTCAACAGGCCCAACGTCCGTCGCTCTCTTTTTCTCTCCATCTTCCTCCTCTCGTTCTGTTCTCTCTACCTGAGGACTGCGTCCTATTTCTCCGTCCTCGCTCGTTCTCTCTGAATGCCAAAAGTCTCCCTCTCTTCCAGGATTCCAAACACAATTGCCCCGCCTCTTCTTTTCTCCATTATCGCCGCTTCCGCCAAGGCATCCATCCATTAACTACATTACGTAGCCCTCCTACAAGACACGCTCCACGGGCTGCGCCACACTCGGGCAACCAGAGACTTTCAACGCAAGCTCTCTAGTTCATCGGATCTTGATCAGCAAGTTTTTGCGGCAAAATCGAAAACCCGGAACAAGCCCCATGTGATTCCGCACCTTGACAGAAAGAGACCGATCGATCCTGCTCCCGGGTTCGCCGAGACCTGTCGGACGCGAAGTCCTTTTCCCTCTTTTTTATTTACTCTGTAGAAGGGAACAAAAATACAATAAGAATCGATAACAAGGGCAAGCAACTTGCACGACACAGTTTTGTTCTGGGAACATAGAACTCATAATCACACATTATAGACAGTTTTACACAGTCGCGCGGGACTCCCGGATGCTGGATTTTTTATGACAACATAGAAATAATATTATTACATCCATAAGCTCGCTTTGAGACAAGAATAAATCGATCTAGTCAAGGCCTTGGATTCGGTACTCCCTCCTCAGCCTGCGCGTTTGCAAGGATAACGTTACACCCCGTTAAACCACCAGTCATCATTGGTCCCACCTCAGCACTTTTGGCTTTTCTCTACAGCGCTACTTTCTGCGATTTTCGTGGCTGCCCCACTGGGCAGGCGGCGCCTGTGGCTGCTCTCCTTGGCCCCCTCTGACCGCATCTCTTGAATATCTGTATTCCGCCTCTTTTCTCCTGTTGACATCGAACTTGTTCAGCCCTGGGAAAACAAATATTCACATCCCGTTATCATTTTCATTTCACCTTTTTTCGGGGCTTCAGTTTTTGTCCTCTTGGCGGGCTTTGCCATATTTATCTCGTATTTTCTTTGCTGTTCTCGATCCAAAGGGTGCTGAGAGGAACGCTTTTATTGATCGACAAGTCGTTCTGACCATCTTTGGCACGGCCTTTGAGTCGTAGCGCCCGATTCCTCTCGATATGCGATTTTTCGGTGGACTGGTTCCATTGTTAACCAGTGTCCTAGCAATTCTTGTTTCTAATGTTGATGGTACGCTCCATCCTATATTCAATCCCGCTGGGTGTTCGTTTTGAAATACTGTACGATGCTAACAATGCCTCTCCTCTGCCGTCCAGCACGCTCCGAAAAACGAGATCACATCGCCTATATTTCCTTAGTCGAACAACCTGTTATCCATACCCCATCCCATCGAGTAAATGCACTGTCACATTTTGATATTACTTTCGAACTCCATAAGAGACAACAGCGGTTAAAGCTTAGCTTGGAACCTAATCATGATATACTTCCCGACGGCGCACAGGTGCATTTCGTTGACCAAGCTGGAAATGTTGAGAGATCAGAATTCATAAAGCGACGAGATCACAAGGTATTCAGAGGCTGGTCCTGGATTCAAGTTGGAGATGGAAACTGGGAGCGGGTGGGTTGGGCCCGTGTGACTATCAAACAAGATGGACCCAACCCTCTTTTTGAAGGGGCGTTTACGGTCAATCACGACCACCATAATATTCTACTGAGATCAAGTTATACCCAATCAAAACACGTGCTCGACAAGAATGTGGACGACACTACCGCGGAATATATGATAGTCTTCCGGGACTCTGATATGGGCCATCTAATGGAAGATGATGATGTTACTAAACGATCTTCGGTCGAAGTTCGTTCCTGTCAAGCTGATGATCTACCGTTTAACTCGAACCCTGAGCACCCCATTTTCCGCGGAGCTGCCGAGCAGGACACCAGCCCCTGGAGTCCCATGTCATTGGACTATATCTTCGGCTTGAATCGACGACAATTCGACGTGCCAGGAGAAGGTGGGAATGCTGGCGGGGTGAATTTGGTATCAAGTATTGGAAGCACTGCAGGCTGTCCATCCACAAGGAAGGTTGCTTTGATTGGGGTGGCGGCTGATTGTTCTTACATTCAGTCCTTCGATTCACAGAACCAGGAAGCGAGAGAAAACATTATAACTGTCGTCAATTCTGCATCCCAACTCTATGAGGACACCTTCAACATCTCCCTCGGCCTGAAAAATCTGACTGTTGTCCCAGCAGAGTGTCCTGCCACTCCTCCAGCTACATCCGCATGGAATGCCGCCTGCGGTGATGGCAGCAATGGTCATACCCTTAGTCAACGGCTCAACCTGTTCTCGGCTTGGCGTGGGCGGCAACACGACGACCTTGCCTTTTGGACCCTTATGACCAACTGTAGGACTAGCGCCGAAGTTGGGCTTGCTTGGCTCGGGCAGTTGTGCAACAGTGAAGTCCGTGGTAATCCGGATCCGGGTAACAGCTCGTCGCAAGTTGTAACAGGAGCTAATGTGGTCGCCCGCACAACAAACGAGTGGCAAGTATTCGCGTAAGTGCTTCCTATCCATTTCAGTTTGCAATCTGAGATGCATAGCTAACTATTTTTTGTTCTAAAGTCATGAAGTTGGACACACTTTTGGAGCTGTCCATGATTGCGATGCGTCTCTATGCGCGCAGTCGCAATCACTTACTTCTCAATGCTGCCCTTTGTCCCGAAATTCCTGTGACGCAAATGAAAGATTCATCATGAATCCCACCTCCCGCCGGGGTATCACGCAATTCTCATCTTGTACCGTCGGAAATATTTGCTCGAGCATGGGGCGAAATAGCGTGCGGTCAGATTGTCTCGTGAATAACCGTGGCGTGGTGACAATCTCGGGAAGCCAGTGCGGCAATGGGATCGTGGAAGAAGGTGAGGACTGTGATTGCGGTGGAGAAGCTTCATGCAAAGACAACCCTTGCTGTGATGCCCAAACATGCAAATTCAAAGACGGTGCGGTCTGTGACGATTCAAACGAGGACTGTTGCAATAATTGCCAGTTCCAATCCAGTGACACTGTTTGCCGGCCTAGCACTGGCCCTTGTGATCCGGAGGAAAAGTGTACCGGCAATTCGGGGAATTGCCCTGCAGATGAAAGCGCGCCTAATGGCAAGGATTGTGGGAATGGTCTTGCCTGTGCTAGCGGACAATGCACGAGCAGAGATCATCAATGCCGAACCTTGATGGGTAGTCTTCTCGACGGGAACGACACATTTGCCTGCGACGACCAGACATGTATCTTAGCGTGTTCTTCTCCATCACTTCCCCGTAACACCTGCTCATCACTCAGGCAGAACTTCCTTGACGGAACGCCCTGTGCCTCTGGTGGACGGTGTAAAAACGTAAGTACTATCATCTAACACTCGCTCGTCCAACGATTTTCCATACATACTAACGTATTCCTTCCAACTAGGGTGTCTGCGAGGGTTCTACGTTCAGGTCTTGGATCGATAACAATAGGACCCTCGTTATCGGTCTTGCAGCCGGCCTTGGCGGCCTGATCCTCCTCTCCATATTCAGCTGCATAATAGGACGATGTCGACGACCTCGACACCGGAAGGCTATGGCCCCGATGACCCAGGGCGCTGTGTTTTCTCCGCCGCCACGAGGGATCCCAGGATTCAGGCAGCCCAAACCGGTAGATCCTTTCATGCCATACCCCCCACAAAGAGGCCCGGGCCCGGGGGGTCCAGGTGTTCCCCCTATCGAACCACCGTTTCCACCACCAGCATACGGAAGCACAGCAGCGGCCCGTGGAAGGATGCCGTCAGTTCGATATGCATAACGGCCACTAGATTTTTGTTTAAATTTCTGTATTAGCCTAATTTCTTTGCGGGGTGTATGGCGTTTTCCCCACTTGTTCATTTGTACCGGTGTCGCCCTTGCATTTCCTGATGTTCTTATCATGTTCAATTTTTTTTTTCTTTTTTTTTTCCTTTTCTCACAATCCGGCAAATGCATATTTTTGCTTTTCTCACATTTTTGTAATTTTGTTAGTTTGTCCTTTCTGGCGGCTGCTGCAACTTACCATTTACGTCCTGTCTGCTATTTCACCACTCATATAGGTACATACACACCCACATCCCTGACTTGCATATGGTTTCCATCTTTTTGCCCCTTTCTTTTGCCAAACCCCGTTTTATGTTCCCACGGGCGGTTGGTATGAATATTGATTCAGTCTCACATATATATCATTGTAATGTACACATATATTGATTCAGAGTTATACATTGAATGATTCCAGTTTTTTTTTTTTTTTTTTCGTTGCTATTTTTGTTTGTTTTCCAGGTCCTCAGTCTTCTTTTTTTCTTCTTTTTTTCTTTTTCTTTTTCTTTTCTTTTTCTTTTTCTTTTCTTTTCTGGAAATCATTGGCTTTGATTTTGGGACCAATACCCATTGTTGGGGTTTTTGTACGGAGTATTGTGAATCCAGTGGTCAGATTTAGAACAATATACAGAAAGATGATCTAACACTCTTAATAGTACTAATCACTATACACACTTTTATACTATGAGCGTCGGGCCTCTAGGTGTGTTCGGCCCCTCTACCACCAGAGTATCAGAGTGGGCTGGTGGTGGGGGAGCCTAGCACTGAGAATTACTCTATCTACTAATCCGTATATTCTCAGCACATAAAATATATCAGACTGATATTTCGCTCTTAGAGATAATAGTCCGAAGGGCCCCGTTTCGAAAGTCTCACAGATCTTATGGTTTATATCCCCTAGGATATCCATGAAATTTCATGTTAATCCTGCAACCTTCCAATAGTTTGATACCCCCGGGGCACTCGCTCCCGAAGAATTGACATTTGCAATTGAATCTTTCCTTCCTCCTTTCCTTCCTTCTTCCCTTCTTCTCCATTTAATGTCCGACCTAGACGCTTTGGAACGCAATTAGAGAGGTGGTGGTTGAGAGACCCTGATATACATGATATCATGCATCCGTGCTACTCAGGTTCCTCGAAAGGGTTCCCTGACCCCTGACCCCTATCTGCCCACCCATTCTCTGGGGCATTTCCCTTCCGTGCTCAACGGCCGAAATTCACGTATACCCAAGGTTGATTGTATTCTTACGGCATTCTCCTGCTGAATGAGTCCCATTGGCCATGAATTTGGTGTATTGTATCTCTTGGGGCCTAGCTGATTTTCCTTAATAATGGTGCCAGCCTGCTAGTGCACCAAGCTCGTGATTGCTCCCAATGATTGTATATTGTATATGTATGTGTATGTGTGATCAAATCAAGCCGATTCAACCGCCCACCGATCCTCCCTCCTTTGCGGCCTATGTATCCACCTGGTGGACCATCCTTGCATGGCTCTGCACTTGCATCTTGTGTTCCAGTTTGATCTCACATCAGCTGTAGGTCGTAGGCTCCCCATCCTTGAGGTGATGGGGATGATCGATGATCACCCTGGAAATGCCGGCCTAGACCCGCGGGCCGCGACTATCGATGAATGCACCGGTGCAGCAGGCTTTCACCAGCCATACAATAATAGCCATACAATAATAGGAAGTGTAGAGAACGCATCAGAGGCGAGACGTGGGATGTCGCCCAAGGCAAGGAGGACCATATACAACAAGGAAAGAAGTAATATTAAAATGAAACAGGTAAGAGAAACTCCGCATCCAAAACCCTACATACATAGTAAGCAAGTCAAAAGACGAAGAAGCACACAGCCCCAACAACAGAAACATAAAAATCCAACCGCAACACCCCCCAAAAAATAAAAGAAATAATGTTCACTGTAAACAAATTCCCACAAATCCCTCCCTCGTCACCCCTCCCACACCTTCCAAATCAAACTCCTCAATCATAGCCCTCAACTCCTCTTCCTCTAACCCCGTCTCCCCCAACTCCCTCGCCACCCGCCTCAAGTCCTCCAGATCAATAAACCCCTTCCCGCCTTCATCAAACAGCTCGAAGGCCCTAAGAATCTCTTCGCGAGGGTCCCGCTCTAGTATCTTGCGCGCAGTGAGCGTCTGGAAGGCGGAGAGGGGCATGAGGAGGCTGGATGGATGTGGGGGCTGCTCCGGGTTGGGGCCACCCCGCTGGCCCGCTACCCGTTGCTGTTGTGCCGAGGGTGGTTGTGATGATTGTTGTGAATTGCGTGGGACGCCGTAGGTTGTTAGGAGGGAGATGAGGTCGGGTTTGGAGAGGGTGAAGCCTAGTGCGCGAAGGGCGACGCGGAGCTCGTGGTAGTCGAGATGGCGGTCGCGGTCGAGGTCGAAGAGGGTAAACTGAATTTGATGATTACTCATTAGCGGGTGGAGGGATCGAGGTGGGTGGTTTCGTGGCTAGTCATTTTTGCTTACAGCTTCGTTGATTTCCTCCCTCTGTTCCTCCGTCAACTCATTGAGTGGGTTGTTATTGGTTTGTGCATGCTGTTGATGTAGGTTTTGTTGTGCATGTGCTGGCGGGGCCGGCGCTGATTTTGAAAGGCTGCCATCCCCGCCCGTAAAGTCTCCCCGATCCCGTCGCGAGAGAACTGAAGCACCAAATGGGAGGTGGTTATTGCCCAAAGATCTGTCGGGGAGTTTCCCGCCGACGTAGGATGATCGCGGCGGGAACGAAGGATGTGCGGAAGAGGAGGCCATCTAATGGTATTTATTGTTTACTCTTTTTGGCTGATGGCGGTGAGGATTTGGAGCGGTTGAAAAACGCAATGGACACCATGAAAAAGTGAGCGTTTGAGGTATAATGACGATTTATTGGTTGATGGAGGTTTGTCGATGTGGGAATGGAGATTCTATGTCTTGTTTGTGTAAGACATGGAACTATATGAGGCTTTGGTGGTTACTTTTTTTGCGCATTTTGAGATGCAGCCGCGGTCGACGCGAGTGCACGTGATGTTATGCTCAACTCCGAAGAAGTAGAATAAAAAAAGGCATCTTGGGTAGGCATATATTTTTAGTCGGATAGTAATAAGTGAAGAAAAGTAAACTATTCTCTCCATCTATTATGTGCGGGAACTTGTCCCAAGTGCTATGAAGCTGGTATGCAATGCGATATGTGGTAAAAACAAAAAGAAAACACCCTGACGAAAGTATACGTAATATACAAAGGTAAAGTCTCCCCGATACCCATGCTGCTCCATGTATATACCCGATTTACCGATATTTTACCATAATAGCATCCCGTAAACCGTTATTGTACCGTAAACCTCTGCGGACAGGGCTCAAAAAGCGCAGCAAGTAAGAGAGAGACAAAGGATAGAAATGCGATGAGATCAACGAGAAAAGGAGGGAAGACTGCATGGCATATCGCGGAGATGCAAGCTCTGTAAGTGGGACGTAAGAAAACATGATAATAAAGGGAAGAGAGCCCACTCATCAGGATCAAGTAGATAAATGGGAATGCAAATAGTCTATGTGCGTATTCGAGGTATGTCGGCATGGCCTGTGGTCCAGCCACGGCTGATGCCTGGGTATGTAACGAAAGGGAATGAAGTCTAAATAAACATTGAAATGTTTTCGTAGATATTTTGACTTGTTCAAGCGACGTTGTCAGACGTCTCCGGTAGTTTGAAGGCGAGGACTGGCCTTGCCTAAGCTACCAGAATCAACTGATAGCCCCCCTTTAGCCCGCCTCAAGGTATCGAATAAATTCGTCTGTTTTGAAATATATTTCTACGGAGAGCTCTTGTTCGAAGCTAAAGGAGTCTGGGCGATCATCATCCACACAAGTGCACGATGAGGAGTCCATCGCTCCTAGAATCTGTTGTCGAGAGCTCCCGCTAGTCGCAGGTTCGATGCCTGGAGGTTCGACATCGACATCGGAAGGGGATCGCAAGCCTTATCACGGGGATGACGAAGGGTCATTATTTGTACATGCGAAGGGCACATGACAGGAACCTTCACCAGAGGGTTCTCCTGATCATGGCAAGTGAGCAATTGTGAGAGAGTAAATTTTGGATCTTGGATGCCAGACGAAGCAACCGCACTCAATCACTTTTGAAACCGACTCCTTGTCTCCACTGAGAAGATAAATTGCTACGTTAAAGGAATTAGGAACCAAAAGGAGGTATTGCCGTACGACGATTGAAAAAGTGGCCCGCAGATAAAAGGCGTTCTATCAACGAAAGGCTAGACGGTACTTGGGGCTAATATACCCGAAAATATCTCTTGAATCACGCCACCTGGCTGAAAGTGCTGCAAAGAAACTAGGGTCTGATGGTATACGTTAACGGCAATATTGATATTCTGAGGAATCGGCTTTGATCTTGACGGTCGCAGTGTGGTGCATAAGTTTGAACTGAAATCATCGGTAAGTTGGGAGATGAGTTTGGCGAGAGAAACTAGTAGATCCACGGATGTAGTTTTTACTACATCATAGTATGTAGATAATATATGGAGCCCGGTACATGTAATGCTAATAAGGAATGAAACAGAGGGGAAAATGTTCGTTGCCATCAGAAAAATGTCATAATGCTCGCTGCGACGGTCAGCATGGTGCAGCGGTGGAAAAGGAATCGCCCGACCTATGCTGGTGAGCAATCGACCTTTCTCTGCCCTCGGGAGGTGAAAATGGCTCTGTGGCAAATCTGAATGTATTGGATCCAGTAGCACCAAACCAGACGGATCCGGTTGGTGACGTCGAATATATAAAATGACCTGTGCCGACGGGTTCTGTACCACAAAGTTGGAACTTGTCAACCAGGTCCTGGACTCTTTCAATTGTTTGTTAGCTCTCACGAAAGTATTATATTTCCCACGGGAAATAGCAACGTGTTCTCAGTTGGGATGGATTGTTATGATCTCACCAGGAGGTCTACCACTACACTGTACGGGCGGGAACCACTACAGTTGCATCCGCATGTATTTCGACTGGCCTGGACCGGACCAGGATTCCCGATTTTCTACCCGCCTGGGTGTATCCTAGAAAAATCTATGGCCCTCCAATGAGGCTTGGTACGATATAGATTCATCCACTTCAGGAGTAGGTGGAGATTGCGAACTAGCAATCTTGTACCGTGGCGGGGCATGTTAGTGTAACCTGGACGTAGGTGGATGAGATCACGGATCGCTAAAGCGCTGAACAAATTCAAACGAGATAAAATGGCAATAATGCCCCCAATTACTCACCTGCTACTGCTGGCGGAAGGGTAAATGATTCTGGGCCTCAGCGACGGTTAAGGAGAGTTGGGGGCCAAATTGGCTTGGTGGTACGGCTGACGATGAAACTCATTGTTGAACCCGATCATCTTGTCGTTCTTTGATCTAAACAACGTTCAAACTGAAAAAAGGATAAAATAAAAGGAACAATTTGAAGACTAAGTATACGACAAACAATGGTATTAATAGAAACTCAGGTTAAAGCATGCGGCGGTGAGTATATTGCTGGGAAGGAGAAGCCATGTCGACTTCTAGCACCGTCGGTGGGTACGACGTTTGCCCTTGCGCGAACCACGGCGGTCGTAGGGATTATTGAAATATCTAAAGCAAACAGCATCAACCTACAGTAGGTTGCTCATCGGCCCCGTCTAGCAGAATACAGACCGTAGTTCTTTGTTTTGGCAACAATTTCGTGGAGCTGGGATGAAAGCATGACAAAGATTATGAAGATGACCTCATATGGTTTGCCAATGTTAGTGCCTGGGTTAAATGTAGATCGCAAACACTTCTATCCATCATTTACTCTCATGCCCTGGCTATGACCATATATTAGTATTCAAAGCTATCAGAGAGGTCTGTATCTACCTGAAGTCCAAGATCGTGATCTTCTAAAAATTTCTTGCCAAGCAACTTTTCAGGAAGATAGACTTGGGCCACTTTTCCATCAACATAGTTCGGATTATATTTGTATTCCTTCCCATACCCCATTTCTTTCATCAACTTTGTCGGGGCATTTCTTAAATGGATGGGAATTGGCAAGCCAGCCATCCCGGGTTCTTCTAACACTGCTAGCGCGTTGCCAAGGCCCCGATAGGCCCTTGTGCTCTTCTTAGATAAAGCCAAGGCGACCGTCGCATGAGCGAGGTTAATGCGAGCTTCAGGCATGCCAATTTTCTCCACTGCGGTATACGCAGAGGTTGCAAGCGTCAGCATCGTATTATCGGCCAGTCCAATATCCTCAGAAGCAACTACGATTAGCCGTCGAGCGATGTAAAGTGGGTCTTCCCCGGATTGAATCATTCGCGCCAGATAATAGAGAGCGGCATCAGGGTCGTTGCCCCGAATGGACTTGTGGAATGCGGATATAGTGTCATAATGTTGGTCACCGACCCGATCGTAGACGAGTGTTTTTGTTAAAGACTTTTTAAGATCCTCCTTAGTCATTCCTTCACGGCGCGACAGGTCCATTGTGAGCTCCAATAAGTTGAGGGATATTCGAGCATCCCCATCAGCAAAGGCGGCGAGATACTTAATTAGCTCGTCGTCTACTAGAGGAGAGGGAGAATAATTGGAGCCTTCGACTTCCAGCGCGCGATTAAGTATCGAAACGATATTCTCGACTGTGAGTTTCGCGAGAGTAAACGTGCGGCATCGCGACAACAGAGCATTTTGGATCCTGGACGAAGGATTCTCGGTGGTAGCGCCAATGAACGTTATTTGACCACTCTCAACAGGGCCAAGGAAAACATCCTGCTGCGATTTGGAAAATCGGTGGATCTCGTCACAAAAAAGGATGGTTTTCTTCCCAGACAAACTGAGCTCATTCTTTGCTTCAGCAAATAGCTTCTTCCATTCAGCGATTCCAGAGTTGGTGCTGTTGATTTCCACAAATCTGCTGCCGACCATCTTTGCAATGACGCGCGCAATAGTCGTCTTCCCTGTTCCAGCACCACCCCAAAGTATCATGCTTGGTACCCGGTCCTGTTCAATGAGCCCACGAAGCACCCCTGATGGCCCAACAAGCTCCTGTCCGCAAACGTCGTCTAATGTCTGTGGACGCATACGTTCCGCTAGCGGAGCTGCATTTTTAAGTGCATTAGACGTCCGGTTCCGCTTAGTCGTGCAGCCACCGTCCTCCAAAAAATCCGGCTTAGCATTTCTAGGTCGGTCTAGATCTTGCTGCGGACCACCGTGATCCGCGAACGATCGCTTCCTCTTGAGACTTTGGGTCGGTGTAGGAGATGTTGCCAGGCCGTCTATTTTCGATATTGGTAGAGGAGCCGCCTTTCTTACGGAGTTCTGGAAAAATGACGAGACAGGAAGAGTTGTTTGAGCTCCTTGAGAAGAGCCATCAGTTGTTTGGCTTGAGTCGACGTCAACGAAGCTTTGGCAATCGGAGTCAAGGTGGGAGTTGATCTTGGTTTCTTTCACGAACTTTTCGCAAATTGGACATTTGACCATAATTGAAAATGCCCCACAGCCCTGCCCGGGTAATTCACAGGTATGCCAGCTTGTTGTGACTATCAAACATGCAGGAGAGTTGATCAAAGATCCGTCTGTATCGGGACGCTTGGAGTGAAAGAGATGCTCGGCGTGGAACGCGTTGACGTTGAAAGGTTGATGACTAATCTTCCGGACTATCATAATCCCGGCTCCCTCTGCCCAGGCTTCCCATGCTATCCAAGCGTCAGCTCAAATAATGATATATTTGAGCTTGATACCTTTTGTCCTTGTTGATATTGTGTGTAGGCTTGCTAGTTGCTTGCTTTCGTAAGGGCCTGTGTTCGAATGTTTAACCCCTTGGTGGGCAATGTTCTCTGCACCTGCACGCCACTCCATACATTCACTCCAAAACATAGGTTGCTCACAGTCCTCCCCAATCTCCAGAGCAGCAATTCGAGGGATGTCTTCAGCCGAAGCACGGCAGGATCCTTTTCGCCCAGCGAACCGGGTTGCAGGACAGAGACAAGATGTCTGGTATTGTACACCTGATCGGCTGGATGTCTCTGGGGAATTTTCTACTCACTGTCATTCCTAGGTCAATTGTCAATGAAGCTGCGGCTGCGTCACCAGTTCAACCCATTGTAAATATGGGTCAAGGGTTTTTGTGAGTATGCGCTTGGGGCTGTACTGGGGATCACCCGTAATTTGAATTGAAACTTATGGAGGCTTCAAAAATCCTCGCTCCAGTGGTTATAATCCCCCCAAGTTTGTCATCGATGCAGCAAAAGATGCCCTGGACAAGGTCGAATGCAATCAATATGCGCCCACAAAGGTCCTTTCCAAATTCATTAATTTTAGGTTTTCTGTGCTTTGGAATGTCCAAATTAATACTTAAATAGGGTGTTCCACGGCTCAGGAAAGCCATTGCTGCTGCATATTCTCCTTTCTTTGGTCGAGAACTCAACCCTGACACAGAAGTGACAATCACTACCGGCGCCAATGAGGGTTAGACTTCACTAACTCCCGTCTGAAATTGAAGTAAAAGACAAGCTAATAGGTAAATATATAGGCATGTTGAGCGCCTTCATGGGATTTATTGAAGAAGGAGATGAAGTGATTATTTTTGAGCCGTTCTTCGATCAGTGCGCTCTTCCTCCCCAGCCCCATCCCCACATTGACACCGCTCCTGGACACTGACTCTTTAATAGATATATAAGCAATATTGAGATGCCCGGAGGGACAATAAGATATGTTCCTCTACACCCTCCCAAAGATGGAGCATCGAGGACTTCTTCGGCTGCGGAATGGACAATAGATTTCGATGAACTCGAAAGAACTATCAACTCCAAAACGAGAATGATTGTACGTTTGTGATATTGCCCATCGCCCCTGCCGATGATTTTCCAGGTTTTTATTCCTTTCATTTCTGACCCTTCTAACTAGGTTCTTAACACTCCGTATGTCAATGTATTTCCGCCGGACATATATGAGAATCCTTTTTAATACCATATACAGCCATAACCCAGTCGGTAAAGTCTTTTCGCGCGCGGAGCTTGAAAAAGTAGCTGCGCTCTGTGTTAAGCACAACATCATAATACTCTCTGATGAAGTTTATGATCGCCTTTACTACGTCCCATTTACGCGCATGGCCACCTTGTCTCCCGAGGTCGCCGCGCTCACGCTGACAGTCGGGTCGGCAGGAAAGAATTTCTACGCAACCGGCTGGAGAGTAGGCTACTTAATTGGTCCCGAGCATCTTATAAAATATGTTTCAGCAGCACATACTAGGATTTGTTATAGTAGTGTTGCACCATTGCAAGCAGCCGCAGCCGTTGGTTTTGAGAAAGCAGACGAAGTTGGATTCTGGGACAAAAGTAGAGCAGAAATGAGAGCAAAAATGGACAAGTTCTGCGAAGTGTTTGATGAGCTTGGTATTCCTGTAAGTTTGGGATTCGTCCGTTGTGATATACATTGGGATTCAACAGCTCAGCAGCTCCTTGATACTAATATTTCCCCGCATTAGTATTCTGACCCGGAGGGGGGCTATTTTGTCCTTGTAAACATGGCTGCCGTCAAGCTTCCGGAAAATTACCCGTTTCCTCCACATGTTGCAAACCGCCCCCGCGATTTCAAACTGTCCTGGTTCCTTATTCAAGAGGTTGGGGTTGCGGCTATCCCACCGACAGAATTCTATACGGACACCAACGCCCATATCGCTGAGGATTATCTGAGATTTGCTGTGTGCAAAAATGATGACGTTTTGGAGACTGCAAAGGAGCGTTTACGTGGACTTAAGAAGTACATCATCCGTTCATGATTTCGGATAGAAATTATTTTCGGGATCTATGTAGTCGTGGGACTTGAGAATTTTGAGAAACTTAAATCTACAAGCGATTCTAACAACATCTCGGTATATTTTTTAAATAGCTAGTTATATAGAATATTTGTCTAGACAGGTGACTTCTTACAGAAGATACCTTAGCATTTTTAACCTGATTACCTGTGGCTCTCTTACTTCAAATTCTTGCCTCTTCGACCCTATTTCTTCTCCCTGATGCTTTCTTTGTGCCGAGCTTGTACTGCGCGCTAAGCTCCTTTGAGTTTGGCATCGACCAGTCGTCTTTCTCCCCTCGAGAGACGGAGAAAAAAACATGATAGGGACAGACGACAGACGACAGAGAGACCAGTTACACCGAATCTGCGGAAGAGTCACCGATCCGGTCGCTTGTTTCGAGTATTAATTTGACTAGCAGTCTACATTTGCATGCGCGATTGGTGGCCCAAATTGATACTACGTTCCTGCAAAATATTTCCACCTCTTCGCCATCCGCTGCCCCTGCATCACCAGTTTTCGAACGGCATGCGATCATGGGTGACCAGCAGAATATTTCCCAGATTCTGGCAGCCTTAGGTATTCCAGTGTCATCTTCGTCGGAGTGATAGTCTTATCCTCGTTCTTTTTTGCTTTTGCTTTTTTGACTCGGACAATCTGCTTACCTTTGCCTTACTTTTCGTGCTAGCTGCCCACCAGTCTACGAGCGCCGCTGGAAATACATCCTCTCCTCAACCAGGGCAAATGCCCTTAAACACATACCCAGGAAGCTACCACCACTCAGCGACATCAGCAAACGTAGCCAATTACTCTTTACCACCCCCTGATAATACCGGGAGTTTAGATATCAGCGGCGCCAAACCTGTTAACACCGGCTCAGTTAGCATCGCAGACGCAATTGCCAAAGCGCGAGGGATTGCTGCCGAGAAAGGCATTGTACACGACCCAAACAGAGGTATGATATTGCGCATATAGGTTCCGGTCTTCTGTTGTTGTAGTTGCATTCCCCCTTGTTCTGTGAGCCAGTTGTGTCCCTTTTTGCTGACCCAGGACCCTGTCCGGGGCTCCTCGGGAAGTAGATTCACGACGCGACCCACGATCCTATCATCGTTCGCAATCTCCACAAAGAAGCCCTCCGCGAATTACGCGTGATACGTTCCGTGATAATTACAATCCGTATCGCGATGAGCGTCGCGCTGATAGGCGCGCTAGTACGAGTGAGCGTGGTTATACACGGGAGCGTTCGTTCTCGCCCCGCCCAGGCGGGCGGGGACAGGAATCGTACTCCCCACAACCATCGTCGAGACAATATTGGGGAGCAAATGACCGGGCTCCTCCACAAGGTCGCAGACCGGGCAGTATGGACGAAAATATCGAAACCATTAGCGTTGAGTCTAGCTTGGTTGGCCTAATCATCGGGCGCCAGGGCGAGAGTTTGCGGAGAATCGAATCGGAAACTGGAACGAGGATACAGTTTTTGGATAATGCTGACCCCAGCAGTACAGTCAGGCCTTGCAAAATCACAGGAAGCAGGGCCGCCAGAGGTGATGCGAAAGCGGAAATCACGCGCATTATCAGTGAGAGTAGTGCGTCGCGATCCGGTGCTAGGGCAGACCGCCCAGGCCACATGCCACCTAAAGCTGCGAGTCAGCCTTCCCAGGACGACGAGGATGCCGTACGGATCATGGTTCCTGACCGGACGGTTGGGCTTATTATCGGCCGAGGAGGCGAGACTATTAGAGACCTCCAAGAGCGAAGCGGGTGCCATGTGAATATCGTAAATGAGAATAAAAGCATTAACGGGCTTCGCCCGGTCAATTTGATAGGGTCTCCTGAGGCTACGGAGCGAGCAAAGAATATGATTCTCGAAATCGTCGAGAGTGATACTCGACAGCTTGCGAACCCGACACAGCGCGAAACACGTCCACCATTTGGTGGAGATCCATCTGGAGGTGGGCCCGGCGGGGAGAAGATCAACGATATGATGTTTATTCCGCCAGATGCAGTTGGAATGATTATTGGAAAAGGTATTGTTACAGCCTTGTTTTAGTCTCCCCAGTTGTTTCTGTTGTTAACAAATCCAATACAGGCGGAGATACAATTAAAGAAATGCAGGCCATTTCTGGTTGCAGAATCAATATTCAGTCCCCGGTAGGCCGTGATGCTGATCGGGAAGTGACTTTGGTTGGGAGCCGGGGCGCCATCGAAGAGGCAAAGAGAATGATCATGGAGAAAATCGACAGTGCAGTAAGTAGCAACAGAGAAGAAGAGAAAACAAACCCATCCGGAATCCCATATAATTTCAGTGAACGGTATTGACTTAACTCCTTGCTCAGGAATACAAATCTCGTTCTCAACAACCTCAACGGCGAGATGACTCGTATGGCGACCGATATGCCAGACCACAGCAGCGCCAGACGCAGCCGCATTACCAGGACTTCCAGGATCAGAACAGACAAGCCACACAACCTCCCGCTCAGCAACCCCCCTCTCAATCTAGCGGAGGGGAGGACCCTTATGCTCAGTGGGGAGGTTATCAAAACTATGTTGCTTGGTGGTACGCTGCCATGCAACAACAGGCACAGCAACAAGGCACGCAAGCTCCACCTGGTCAGTCTGAGCCGCCTGGCCCTCCTGGGGTCTCATAGGCTCATTGCCAGGCAAGGTTCCTCGTTCTATAAGTGGGTAAAATGTGCCTAAGCACTTTTACCTCCGTTGCGATACCCCCTACCCCCCATTAACATCTGATTCCCGGCATCCGCAAAATCGTGGAGCACGCGTGAAGCATGCTGTCGTCGATCTAAATTTCCGCAAATGTCCCTTCATATTCCTTTACGTCAATTTGTTCACTTCCAGTTTTACTGTATTCCTTTCGTCTTATCACGTTTTCTTTCCTATTTGGGCCAAAAACAAAAATGAAGATTTTCAACGGATAGCTCAACTTGGCGGATATGGGTTTTAATATAGTAACTTATTTTTTATGACTGCTGGAGTTAATTCTATCCTTGTACTTTTCCCACATCTTCCCCCATTTTCTGCTTTTCTTTTGTATTTCAACTGTGCTGTGTACATGTAGCTACTATATACTGTTGATGGAAGAATGATATATCAATTATATACATAGCCAATGGCGTTTTGGTACCCACACCCCATGACATCATCGGCTGAGTTTAATTTTGAGCCGCCGTGATTATATAATCACTTGGCACTTCCCGCTTCATTGGACGCCGTGAATTTCCTGAAACGATTCATACATGAACAAACAACGACAACGACCCCCACGACCAGAGAATAAGAATAGCCATTGAGCGGCTATTCACCTGGGCCAGTGACAAAGGACTAGAAATCCCGTCGGAAACTGGAAATATCCTGAAACTCCGCTTTCTATCATGGGAAATCCCATATATTTCAAGGCTTATTGTGTTGCTGTCGCTGTACGCGCTGTGTGCGTTTCAGGGCAAAATAGAATCGGGTATCAACTTTTGGCGCCTGGCTATGAAATGGAGACAGAAACCTCTGGTCGCAGATATGCCCAAGCATGTCAGATCCCCAACTTACGATTGGTCTGGTGGGAATATTTTGCGCCCGCTCTAGCATTGGCGCCAACAAGTCTCTGGTATTTTTGGGACCGCCGCCTTGCAGCCAGAACTGGCCACTAGCAGCCGGCGCATGCTTGAGAACGTTCGATTCTTCAGACACTTCAAATGTGTTTCAAAACAATATGGTGGCTACTGATTTGCTCGCAGGGTGCCTACGGCGAAATAAAGAATGCTTGTCACCACTGAGCTTGCTTTCTTGCCCTTGCCAGGAGCTCTGTGGGGAGTCACCTACGGCTTGTAACGGTGCCTACAGTGCTCGCTCCACCACAGTTTTGTTTGGCAGTCTTCCAATATATGGTTTGTTGACTGCCCCTCTGTGTTGGTATTCACAACAAATTTTTAACAAAAGCATTCTCTTCCTTTCCTCATTGTCTTTGAGGGTTGCACTGTTTTTCTTCCTTTAACGGATTTCTTTTGTTTTCATTTTTGGCTGGCCCATTCAATAAACCTGAATAGACAACAATACCCATCTCGAATCGCTTCGGGAATAATCTTTTGATAGACTTCCACTATATTCTACTGTTCCTTCACTTCTTGTGTATCTCCCTTCTTTTTTTCCCTCCGTAATGGGATCCTTCTTCTTTTAATTTTTCTTTCTTTAATATTGTCTTTCTTCTATCTTGAAGTTTCCTCATATCTCTTAAACAGAGTACCTCCAACCACCTCTCTTTGGAACCGCTTACTTCTCAACCAATATACACAGCGCTGGTCGTAACCTGCCTACGATTTGAGGCCGTTTAACCTAACTATCATGAAATTCTCACGATTCATTCCACGGTCACGAACCCCTGGTCTACCTCCGTACGGCGAGCAGGATCCTAATACATTCGAAAATGGCTACCGGCCATCACCACCCCCAGGCGCCATTACTCCTTATCTTGGACTACGATCTCGGTTATCACAAATTTGGTTCAACCGATGGACCATACTGTTGTTGCTTATTCTCGCTCGGGTACTCATTGCCATCGGCTCACTGGATGGGAACCTGACCTCCGCAAAGAGAGAAGCCTTATCTGCTTGCTCAAGCGTGGAATCCGTGGGCAGCGCTATGGCCTCAATGCCTCATTATATGTCAAGGGGTGTAAATGAACTGACCGCGTCAGGCGTTGAGAAAGCGGTTAACGGACTTATGTCGATGCTAGAACTTACTATTACCGGAGTTGAAGAAATATTTGTTTTCTTCGTCAACGTCATGACCTCAACATACGTCTGCCTTATCACGCTGGTTGTTGCTGGAATGATGAATGCTGCCATCGAGGTTCTGAAAAAGGCAACTGAGTTCCTTGATGATATAGTTGGTAAGATCGGAGAGGGAATCAGCGATGGAGTCGATTTCGTAGAGAATGCACTTAACGGCTTTCGGAATACCATCAACCTTTTGGGCGCCGATATTCCTAAAGTCGACCTCAGTGGGCCCATCAAGGAGCTAGAAGATTTGTCACTACCAGACTCTTTGACTGATGACCTAGATAAGTTGAAAGAAAAAATCCCGAATTTTGAGGAGGTCAACAATTTTACAAACAATGCCCTCCGCACGCCATTCGAACTTGTGAAAAAACTCATCAGAGACGAAATCGACGAATATAAATTTGACCGCTCCGTATTCCCAGTACCCCCGAAGGAGCAGCTCAGCTTTTGCAATGACGACGATGGTATCCATTCATTCTTCAACAAATTGGCGTCATTTATAGGAACGGCCAAGAAAATATTCATTGGCGTATTAGTGGTCGGCGCGATACTGGTCTGCGTCCCAATGGCGTATCGTGAAATACGAGCCTGGCACGGTATGAAAGAACGATCATCCTTGGTGCGAAGAGATGCTCATGACCCTATGGATGTCGTCTACATCGTTTCGCGACCCTTCGCCTCAACAGCTGGCCTAAAAGCCGCAAGCCGGTTCAGTGCACCCCGTAGGCAGGTGCTTGTGCGATGGATCGTTGCCTACGTAACCTCTCCACCAGCACTTTTCCTACTCTCCCTAGGTGTTGCCGGACTCTTCTCATGCGCCTGCCAAGCCATTCTCCTGAGGGCCGTGAAAAATGAAGTTCCCGGCCTCACAGACCACGTCAGCAAGTTTGCTGAGAAAGTCGTTTTTGCCCTTAATAATGCCTCCGAACAGTGGGCTATCGGCACCAACCGCGTCATCGACGATACGAACAACGATATTAACCAAAAGGTCTTTGGTTGGGTAAACCAAACCACAGGGTCAGTTAACAATACCCTCAACATCTTCGTCGACGAAACCAGCAACCTCCTCAATAGAACCTTTGGTGGCACGATCCTCTACGAACCAATCAAGGACGTCCTGCACTGCCTCATTGGCCTGAAGATCGAGGGAATTCAGAAGGGTCTGACTTGGGTATCTGAACATGCCCACGTGGATTTCCCCAACATGCCCAAGGACACTTTTTCCCTAGGTGCCATCGAGAAGCTCGCCGGGGACAATGATTCAACCGCAGACAGTTTCATCGCGAACCCGGGCGATAAGACTGCCGACAAGATCGGAGAGGTGGTCCAGCGCGTCACAGACTCTGTAGAATCTGGCATCCGAACCGAAGCCATCATATCCGGTGTCATCATATCCATATGGTTTGCCGTTCTTCTGATGGCGATCATTCGAGCACTTACGCTCTGGTTCGGCCCTGACAAGACCCGCGGCGACGGAAATGGTGACTCTGAATTCCCCCACCCTGACACCTTGCCCAGAGACGCGGCGGGTTTCAGTGACATTCCTCTTGCAACTCCAACCCATGTTCATCCTGGAATGGTAGATAGATCTGCACCGGTATGCAGCACAAGGCACGACTCTCCTGGACAAGGCTTCAATCGGGCTCATGATGCAGAGGATTATTATCAGGAGCAGAAGCTGGGGTTTGCGGGCCAGCGGGAGTTGAGAAGGGATGGTGGAGGCCATTCGCGTGAGAGCAGCTATGGGGAGGTTGAGTATGTGAATGATGTCAAGAGATGAAGCCATCTCCGTATTTTCAGATTTATTTATTTTCTTTTTCTTTTCCGTGTGGTTGGTTCTTTTCTTTTTGAAATATTTTTAAGAGCATGTAAACTTGCATATGTAGATATCGGCGTCTCTCTCTTTTTGTAAAGCATTATTCTACCCGCTCTTCCTCATTCTCCCTGACTTCTACGAAGTAATCATCTAAATATCGAACAAATCTACCCTCGATGTCCCCTTCCCCCTTTACTTATTACTATTTGAAGCGATAGGCGGCATCCTCCAGCGAAGTTTTTCTTCTTTGCTTTTCGCACGCGCACACACCCCTTCTCTCTCCCCTTCTCTCTCTCTCTCTCTCTTTTTTTTTTTTTTTTTTTGAAATCATTTGGGTCCCCCATGATCTTGTTATGATGCACTATGCATTGACAATGGTGGGAGACTGGGAGCCCGCTACATAACTGTCCATCCAAAGGCTTTTCCAGCCTCCCTTCTTACTACGCCTCTTCTTCCTACACTTCTACACTTCTGCACTTCAACAGAAAACATCCTTTCACCTCCTCAGGATGAACACCATTGCCCGATATGTTTATTTTTGGTTTTCTCAACTCTCTATACTGAAAGGGTTTTATCGCGGCCGCACAGGAGAGGACTCCTATATTTGATGGGCCAGGATGGGTTTTGTTGTTATCTTGTAGGAGCTAGCTACATAGAAGAAAAAAAATATATAAAAAATGAAAAATGAAAAATGTAGTCTACATCTCTTTTTTGTCCTTCGTTGTATTTATTTTTCGATTTTAGGTCTTGAAGGGGTTTGCTCTTGTTGTGCCATCCATGGTCATATAATTAATTTATAATTTGGGGAATATATATAGGCTAAAATAAAAACATTTGACACTGCGTTTACATGTACAGAACATTCCAAAGCCGTAAAACCAGCCCGCTTGCTAATAAATCACAACATATACAGAGTCCAAATCTACCCATCCCGCCCCGGCGGGCACCTACCCCCCTTCCCACCCCCGAGATTGTAAGGAAGACGATACCGCTCCCTGCACGACTGGCGTTGGAGTAGGCGAAGGGGATAGCGGCCACCCCTCTTCCTTTCCCCCATCACCCTGCGTTGAGATTGAGCCAAAATGGCTCCTATTCGTCGGCGACGGCGGCGCCAGCTTCGAGTGGGGCGACGCCTGTTAGAGGAACTAGAATGTATCGCCATCGCCCCGTTCGACGACTGGTCCTCAGGAATATATATAGTTTTGTCCCGTGCGGAACAAGGTCGAAACCTTCGTGTCGTACTCGAAGCGCCGCAGCTCTGCCTCGCTGTCGTCGCTGCGCCTTAATGGAGGTAGGGAGTCCAGTGGGTGGGACTGGGGATCATTGCTGGATGCAACTTGAGATCCTTTCCAGCTGCCTGCGAGCGGGGTGGTTGAGGTTTGAAGACTTGAGGCGTGTGGTAGCTGGTTAGAGGACGTGGGATATGGTGTCCTCCGTGTTTCCCACCATCGGGGAAATAGTCGTGCAATAAGCGATTTTAATGCTGGGGTTGCTGCGGACCAGATTGCACAGTTTGTTTCTATGTTGGCGTATGTGTATTTGGTATCGTATATTTGTTCCCTGGGGGTTTTGGAAAAGTTCTCAACGACTATTACAGCGCGTACGATTGAAAAGGCTGTCACACTAGCGGAAGAAAGGTAAGAAGAGGTAACGAGTTAGCTGGTTTTGATTTCTGGAATTGCATAGTGGTTTAAGAAAGGGACCACTGTGAGAATTTGTCACTGAGGCAAAATGATTCAGCAGTTGGGATCAATCGGGTAAGAAGGATAACATACACAGCTCCAATGCTCAATACAATCACAACCATAAATTTCTGCCTCCTTGTCATGTTTATCCCCCATACGATAGCTGATGGAATAGACAAAAGCCAGGCATCCAGGATTATTGTAATCAGTGCCATTGTTAGAAAAAAGCCTCTCTGCGGGAGACAAGTTCCCCCCTTGACCAGCTTTCCATCTTTCATCCCATTTTCATCAGCCCCAGCAGCTTGCTGAGCATTACGATCCATTTCCTCCGAATCCCAAGCATACTGTACAGGTCTGCACTGGAATAGATTGGCAAGGAAGATAGCGATCCCCGCGCAAAGGTTGACAACGAACAAGATACGAAGCGTTAGTACGACGTACTTGAGAAGGCCTCTCAGACTGAGGATGAAAGCAAAGATAGATGCCCTCACGCAGGTGAGAATAGGAAAATAGAGGAGTTGATTTGCAAGGTTGTACTGCTTGCCCTTAATGGTGTATGGGACGCGCCCTGGTGGAAAATATTCAGGTGGATACCCCTGCTTGGTGTGAATCGTATCTATACCTGCAAGTTAGAGGGACGATAGAATCTAATCTGGGGCCTGTAAACGGAAAAAAAGAAAAGGAGGAGAGAGAAGCAGCAGAGGAGAGCCATAGGCAAAGCATGACTTACACCCCAACTGGTCGCACACATCCCTATCGCTAGAACCTAGATTTTCTTCAGTTAGATGGTGAAAAGTCATTCTTTCTTGGGATGGGAAAGGTTTCCATCCATACCACTGCAATTATCACAAACATATCATCTATCGGCAATATCACATAAGTATTAGTTTGCCAGAAATATGCATAATAGCGACTGAGGGCCAACTATATAGAGAGAATGGGTTTGCTTAGTATTTGGGCGCACTCACCCCATCCCCAATTCTTCAACAAATACCTGGAGAAAATACAGGGCAAGGCTTATGGCTGGGAAGACCGTGATTACCACCAAAGCTTGCACATGGCTTTCTGGAGCCATGTTCTTCCAATAAACAGCCTGTCAAGTCACGAGAAGAGAACGCGAGAGCGCGCTTCCCCCTATGAAATCGTGGCGACTTCGAATCTCGATAAGGCGGCCGTGGCGAAGTTGCTCGAATCCCAGAGGGGAGAGAGTGCTTAAAATCCAGAATAATGCAGTACTAATACATGGAAGGCAACAAAAACCAGAACGACATCGTCAGTTGGGATATGTAGACATTGGGAGTCGAAGATTTTGCCCACGGCAAAATCTCTATGGACAGCGAGTACACTCGTGTATGCCAGGAGAGAGCAGCAGTTTTCCCAGAGATAAAGACAGAGAAACAGAGAGAGAAGCTTGAGCCACCCCCGCCAATTCGATGCAGGGTGGGTTGGTAGAAGTGTAAAAGTCTGGCGGAGTTGGTGTATCCAGCTGCTTGTCTCCCCAGGTTTGCGGTCTAAACACCCCCTAGCGATAAAGACCGGGCGGGCTTGGTTGCAGAGTGCAAACCCGTACGGAGTAGTATGGACGACTATGGTATGGATACTGCACTAAAATAAGTTGATATCAGTGTTTCCCGAGGCCCCCACTCAACGGGAATGTTACCTACAATGCGAATGCCCTAACTCGCAAAGGGGACAAAGGTTTTAAAGGGTCTGCCCTATGGAAAGGAACTAGAGGCATACCAGATCCGTAGTACGTACGCCTTTCAACCCTCGAATCTCTGTACAGATGTACTCCGTACAGGGCTTGAATTGTGTAAGTTAGTAGTACATAGTCCGTCCAGTCCGTACATAGATGTGGCTGTCTGTCGAAAGTCAAAAGAGTAAACTCCGCCTACCCTAACTAACCAATTTAGGCAAATGGGTTGTGGCGGGACAAGTTATTCGATTATGATCATCAGAACTAGGCATCTTATCATTCATTCCCTAGCTCATTATATCATAGATAATTTCTGTTGATAGTTTGCCCCAGCTACTGCACTCCCATGTCTCACATTCTATATAGAGAACCTCACTAGGTAGATTATAATAAACACAACATTGATCCTCCTACAGTTTCATTTCATTATTGACAGAAAGAAGAGAAGGAAAAAAATTATGAAAAACCCCCTATCACGGAGTTAAAATCCCCTGCGTAATCAGCGTTATATATATATAAATATTCTTCAACCGTGGTTCAAATGGAAACAAAAAATCCATCACCCTGATCCTTCACCCGACTCCTTTCCACAATCGGATCGCAACAACTAATCCGAATCCTCTCCGGCGTCGCCGGACTCTTCAAGCTAAGCACCTCGTCAACCCCCCATTGTTTCCGTGCCGCCTTCAGCGCATCCCGTATCGCGAAGAAGACAGCACTACCCATGAAAAGCGGCGGTTCGCCAACCCCCCTGGATCGCTGGATGGTCCGGAGATTCTCCCATTGCACATCCTTGAGCAAACTCACATTGAACACCTGCGGTATGTCTCTGAAGCCGGGGATTTTATACGTGCCCGGTCCACGGGTGAAAATCTGGCCCGAGGCCCGGTGCCAGAGGCTCTCTTCTGTCGTGAAGAGGCCCTGGCCTTGGATGAAGGCACCTTCGATCTGTCCGTAGTCGATAGCTGGGTTTATACTCCGTCCCACGTCCATTTTTATATCTGCGCGCAGCGGCGTCCAGTCGCCTGTTAACGTATCGATCTGGACTTCAGCTGCCGTAACTCCTTGGGTGAAGTAGTAGAACATCAGGCCCTTGTTCTCGCCCCACGTATAGCCTATGTCGGGCGTCTTGTAGAAACCGTTTGCAGTGAGATTTACTCTGTCAAGATACGCTGCTTTGACTAGCTGTTTCATCGTCGCGTCGGGCATTTTTTCCCTGTATGGTTGGAGGCGCTGGTTGAGCTGTTCGCAGGCATTAAAGACTGCATAGCCGTTGAGGTCAGAGCTTGCGGAGGCTGCCGTGGGAGATGCATTAGCCACGGTGTTGGTAGCCGTTTCAGAGATGAAGACGTCGGACTGAGGAACACCAAGTGCCTCTGCTGCGATCATGACCATTTTGGTATGCAGGCCTTGGCCCATTTCGGTGCCGCCGTGAGCAACAAGGACACTACCATCATTATACAAATGCACCAACGCACCAGCCTGGTTCAAGAATAGGGCAGTGTACGATATACCGAATTTTGTTGGAACAATAGCAAGGCCTCTTTTGGACCATTTGTGAGTTCGGTTATATTCCGTAACCGCTGCGCGACGGGAAGCATAATCCGACTCGTCCAGAACCTGCTGGTACATGAGAGGCACGTACCAATCGGCATTGAGAACCTGATTGAAATGCGTCTTGTCCCCTCGACTGTACATGTTTATCTCCTGAAGCTTTTCCACGGGGATGTTCAGATGATCCGCGATCTCTGACATGTATGTCTCAGCGAAAAATAGGCCTTGGGGTCCACCGAAGCCGCGGAATGCAGTGTTGGACACCGTATTTGTACGGCAGACATGCCCACGTACATGAACGTTAGGAATGTTATAGACACCATCAATGTGCGATAAACATCGATCAACCACCGCAGCAGACAGGTCTTGGGTATGGCCCGCGTTAGCATAAACATCGGCATCCAGCGCCAATAGCTTTCCTTCTTTTGAAACACCGACTTTCCAGTGGCAGAGAAACGGATGTCGTTGACCGGATGTCAGAATATCCTCATCACGATTCAACATGCAACGAACGGGGCGCTTAGATTTGGAGGCAGCCACTGCGCAGATACCAGCCAGCTGAACCGATCTAGATTCTTTCCCTCCGAACCCACCGCCAAGTCGTTTGACTCTCGATACAACCTTGTTAGATGCAACCCCAGTGACCTGGGCCACATACTCTTGCCTATGCAAATTGTTAATAAGTTCATTCTAAAATATCTCCTAGAAATTACAAGAAAAGAAGACGAACTCACGTTTCGTTAGGGTTTTGCGTACTACTCCAAATCTCCATCTCCCCATCCTCTGGCTTGGGAATAGCCACGCACGCCTGGGTCTCAAGATAGAAATGCTCCTGCCCGCCCATTCTTGAGACGCCAGTGAAAACATGATCCGCTGTGGCGAAGGCAGCCTCTGTGTCACCACGCTTAATATAAGGATTATGATGGTCATAAAACGAGTTTGCTTCAATCGCTTGCTCAATGGTCAGAATGGCAGGTAACTCTTCATACTCAACCTTGACAGCTCGTGAACCCGCTTCGGCCAATCGTGCGGACGTAGCAAGAACCATCCCAATGGGCTGACCAGCTGTGAAAACCTCATCGACGGCAAAAAATACCTCATCAGCTCTTGGATGGCCCCACCAATTTGCTTCTGGGTTCGGCAGGCTGGTGTGATCGACGTAGTCGATTACACCTGAGATATCCAAAGCAGGGCTGAAATCGACGCTTAATAATTTTGCCCGAGGCTTTGTGGAAAGGACAAGGCACCCGTAGAGTTCGTTGTGCTGAGGGGGGATGTCATCTGTGTATTGGGCTTGACCTGTAGTCTGCTTCAGAGCAGCGACATGGGGTACCTCCTTTCCCAAAATGCGCTTTTCATATGACTTGGTAGCTGCATGATCTTTCTGACCAGAGGATATTTCTCGTTCGATTTCTGGGACCGCTTCGTTGTCGACCGTGGTGGTGTTCCCCTGGATACTGGAGAGCACATCGTGGTAAAACCGATAGAAGAACCCCAGCGCAAGAGTTTTCCTGTATGTTGGCATCCCACCCGGAACTGAGGATGGAAGATCAAAATCCATTTCCAAAGCATTCATTACACCTTCAAGTGTGGCGGGATCAGCCCAGTCCTTTCCGACAAGGAAAGTTTGTGCTTGCCTAGCAGGGACGGTGGTTGGGGCCATGCCGCCGTATACTAGGTTCGCACTTGTCACGATATTTGAATCCGAGAGCGAGACCCGCAAAGCAGCATTGACAATGGCGATATCATCATCCTTTCTTTTTGCCTGCTTGTACGCCCGGAGATATTCCCGAGATTCCTGGCCTACGGGGATCCGCAACGATGCAACGATAGAGTTGGCTGCCAAAGCCGTAGCTCGATATCCCTTGAAAAATTCTCCCATCGGAATCTCCGTATCTCCCTCTAGAGATTTTGCAACTAGGACCGTGTCAGTTGCAACGAAAACTGGATTTAGGTCGGATATCGGTGAAGCAGTTGTGATATTTCCTGCTGGCGAGGCAACATTGCGAATCTGCCTTCCAGCAAAGTACTTGATTTGTTTCTTGATTGCAGCAAACACCTGGCCCTTATTTTGTCCATATCTCTTAACCGCTTCATCGCAAATAGCCTCCAAATCCGTCAAGGTGACATTCGCACCCAATTCCAAGCAATCGTCCTTGAAAACGTACTGTTTCAACTCTGGAATATCGCCAACATATACTGAGTCGACATATTGCATGGCCTTGAACTTGACCTCAATCTGTGTCTCCGTGCTCCCCCCAATAATCTTGGCAGATGGACAAGCGTCCTTGATCTCCAATAACTGCTGCACGGTGACAGGACGGTACCAGCGTTTTTTCTTGTTTCCAAAGGCCAACGGTTTAAACTCATACTTTTGTAACGACGGAGGGAAAATCAACTCAGTATCGGGTTTATAGGGGATGAAATCCGGCGCATCGAAGGACTTCTCGATTGCGACACTGTCGTCATTACTGATCTCACCATTTGTTGACGCCTTATCCTTATCCATACAACAACCTCCCGATTGTTTCTTTTCCATGCAACAACCTGGCCCGCCGTTGGCACTTGCTTTCCTACAAGAAAATGACTGGGCGGCGTCGAGGATGGAGCGGTATCCAGTACACCGACAAAGATTGCCATCGAATGCTTCTTCGATTGCATGTTCCGACGGAGCGGGGTCATTACGTAGCAGAGCATATAAACTCTAGTTATCCAAAATATGAATTATTTAGTGAATGCGATTAAAAGCCACAGCACGTAGAGCGCAGTAGAGGGCATGCGTAACCCTTTTTATCAACCAAAAAAGGGGAGTTATAACATCTTACCATGACAATACCCGGCGTACAAAACCCACACTGGCTACCATTCGCCACAGCGATTCTTTGTTGAACGGCATGCGGGCTTTTCACATCTCCAATCCCCTCCACTGTGATGACATGTTTCCCATCCACACTGACAAGCGGTGATAGGCAGGCGTTGACGGATGCATGGTATATTTGCTTGGTCGTGGGGTTCAGTTGCGAGATCACCTGGAAAGGCACAGCCCGTTAACATTAACATATGCCATCCAAGAGGAGATATTATATAAACATCACCTGTACATACCACTGTACAAGCACCGCACCCGCCCTCTGCGCATCCCAGTTTGGTCCCCGTCAGCCCGATGCCCCTAAGATATTCCAACAAGGTGACCTCAGGATCGGCATTTTCCAGCACAACCTTTGATCCGTTGAGATAAAATCGGAGAGAACTGTCATATTTCTCTGTTACGGCGGCTAGTGTAGGGGTCTGCTTTAGGACTCTGGAGGAGTCGGGGAGCTGGAGGATAGCAGGAGCCATGTTTCTTGCTTTTCCTGACTGTAAATAGGGGGAAGCTTCATTCGATCCTGAACAAAAGGATGGTCGTAGTATTTGTTTATGTGCGTAGATGATGTGTACACGTTTACGTCGTAGGGTATATATATGGTCATCGCGTCGGGAGAGTGTAAGACCAGCTAGGTCATAGCTTTGTGCGCGATGGCTGGAAGCTTCGTAAGAGTGCAAAGCAAAGTAGATATCGAAATATGCAGGTAAGTTAAGGAACCGCGCCAGCCATCAAGGAGTGATATTGGAACCCGTCCAAGAGTGAGGAGGGGGACGTGCTGTACTCAATCATTTTGCTCCTTGGGAGAAGATGGGGTGGGGTTTGCCGCTGCTTTTAGCATATTTAGCTCTATGTGGATGGATGGAATCGTTATTCTAACCACTAAATAAATATTGTACCTACTCGGTACAAATTTGTAGTATTATTATCTGTAAGATTTAACTAACTACTCTAATAATAATAAAGTTACGTCATAACTATGGATTAAGTATTGCAAAAAATTATTTGAATATCTAGGAGTACGATGTAAATACTGTAAGTTAGTTATCCACCGTGACTGCAGAACTGGTGATACTCATCACTCATCAACACATTTAATACCTCACAACACCTAGAATATTTATATAGAAATTAAATGTCTATAGTAAATGACTTCTAATATATAAATTACAGGGTAAATATTAATTTTATTTTGATAATAAATTTAAGGGGCTGAATCCCTTACTCTGGAGCAGCAGCATTTCCAAGGCCAATATATATGTATATCTCTAGCCATCGTCAAGCTTACCATTGCCGTTGGAATCGAACAGTTCTAGTTATGATTGAGAGAGTCAGCTACATATACAGTACAATGTTTCCAATTTCTGGCCCTTGTGCGAGCTCTGAGCATTGCTAACCTAGCTGTCAAAAGTCAAACTCCATGAAGGAGTGAGAGTACCTGGCTCGCAAGGATAAATACGGTGTCGTCGCCAGTGTTCGTCACCCGGTTTATAAAACCGCACCCGAGCCAGTTCTTGATGTACTGAGCGAGGAGCTCAGGCTCCGAACTGCCCAGCTCAAAAACCACTGAATCTGATATCATCCTTCGACTTCAGATTGGACTGCGTGTCCAGGCTACCAAGCCGCTATTGCAAACTTGCTCCATGTCAACCTCTAGTTACGGCTACTGAATCCTGCGACCTGGCGAGCAGCGACCACAGCTATATTTCGACGCCCAAAAAAAAAAAAAAAAAAAAAAAAAAAAAAAAAAAAAAAAAAAAAAACAAAAAAACAAAAAAAATACGCACTTTACTGAAATCGTGGTAACTGAGTTGCCCGGAGCGATATCCGCCATGTTCTTCCATAGCCAGGTTCTTTCTTTCTTACTCCGGACAGTTCGGTGGTAGAGGATCGAGCTGAATCCGGGAAGAGAAGAGATGGTGAAATGGTCTATCTTACAACAACTGTGAACATACAAAAAGGATGTCAAGGAGGACACAGGAGGATTTTTGAGCTTGAATAGCTAAACTACCCCTGTTTCCTTCTCTTCTCTTTTCTTTTCTTCTATTTTGTTCTCTTGTGATGCCTCCCATGAGGATATAATGCTCAATTTGAGTGTTTGTTAGCAATATAGTAAGTAGTTAAATTTTTTTTTTTTTATAAGACTCTAGCTGAGAGACAGTGACTGTAATTGAACTCTTTGTAGATGTCTCAGAAAATTCAATAGTGTTTATGTTTGTTTACAGATTAGATACTCAGTTAGACTCATACTCATGCACTTCTAGAAATGAGCAGACTGATCAATATTATGAATCAGATGCTGCAATGTATTCAGAATCATGAAAAATGAAAAATGAACAATGCAAATAAAACCCTCACAGACTACTTCATTTCAGTAGTTATTCAGAAAAACAAGTAAGCAGTATTTTTGCAAATATTCTACATATTGTGTTTGAAAATTCTTCTACATTCCCCCGCAGAAGTTACCCCGCGTAGTGGGACTCGATAATTACAGTGCAGTGCTGCTCTTAATAAGACAAGCCGCCAGCCGACTAACCTGCGCCAGGTAACTTAACTTACCCAGGCGGGGATCGCCACAGTCCGGGGAAATGAACATAGCGGCTGCTGAAGGCCGGCTCCGGGCCACGTGATTACCCGCAGATGGAAAGACTAAAATGACGTCACGTCAACATTGCAGGGGGAGTGGGAGGAGAGAAAAGAATTTACCTTTGCTCTTTCGATGTTAGCGGCGGGTAAAAAATTACGAACCCAACCTTCCCCCAACTGATCAGGGTTAACCAAAGCAGAGAATGGTGTCAGCCAACAGCCTGCAATCAAGCTAGCAATGGAAAGATGAGGAAAAGAAGAAAGAAAAAGCAAAGAGTATCGGGTAGCGGAAAAGCGTCTCACAGAGCCGAAAGCCGGCCGGCCGGCGGCAGACCGCCAGCTAATATAAACGAAAGGGAAATAGACATAAACCTGCTTGCCATTCCTGGAGCTACAAGCTCGCGCTCATCTCATAGGCTTGAATTCTATCCAAAATTCTATATTAAGTACAAAAAATTTGAATATACATCGTCGGGAAGGGGGCCCAAGGCCCAAGACGAAGAAACCAAGCATATATAAATACAAGAGAAAAATATAAAGTCAAAACAAATACACATTATTGTCGAAAGAGGAATGTATATAATAGGAAGTAGATCGTTGGTAAATGTGTCGCATACGTAGATATTTCTTTCGGCTATGATCCCGCAAACCACTTCTCTTCCTCCTCCCACTTTTTCCTCTCGACGACGCTTCTAGCTCTGTAAACGAAAATTAATAAGTATGCAGAGAAGATGAACAAAATATATATATATATATATATATGAAACCTAGGGCTGAACACAGGGGGTGAAGATGGCGGAGTCAATACAATACATACCTAAAAGCGCGGACAAACCGCCAAACCTCCGTGTCCGCCAGGTTCCACGCCTCCGAAACACTCCTAATCATTTTGTCCTCCTTCTTAGAGCTCTTCAAAACCCCTCTTGCCTTCCCAATCAAATCAAACTCCGTCTTGATTTTTACCTCATCACCCCCGGGGAAATCCTCCATGAGAGTTTTCTGCGGGCTGTCTTTTTCACGCGGTGTCTCACGCGGTATACGAAAGCCGAAATGCCAGTCTAGATCATCAATGGTTTCTGATGGTAGCGTGCTTTCCTTGGAGTTGGCGGGGAATGACTCCACAGTAAACCACAGGCTTCGGGAAATTCCATGACGCCCTGCAACGATGCTTTTGAACGGAACCACACGGGAGTAGCCGTCAACGCTTGTACCAAGAAGCATTTTCGTAGCCTCTATGAGCCACGTGTCACGGTCAGTCTCGCGACGGATGTAAGAGACAGTGATATTATCGGAGCCCCTATGTAGACTTAGCAATGTATAGGGATGAGGGAGGACGCCGATGGTATAGACTGCGGAGTTGTTAATGTAGCCGCTAGGTTGCAATATTTTTAATGCATTTTTTGCGCAAGGGGTACACGCCAGATTATTAGGTGGACAAGTCACTTGGATTATGGAGGGTGCGCACTGAGTAAGCAAGCCGGCCAGTTTGACAGCCGGGTTCACGAGAACCGATGTTATTTCAGGAAACGGCTTCATGACTGAGATTCCCGAGTCGAATGTATTTTGGAATGTGGTTTGTAGGTGTAGGTTGATTAGATCGACCAAAGCAAGTTTGCCAACCGCCGGGTTCTCATTGATCTTCTCCGAAATGGGGGAGTACCGACGGGCAACAAGGCCAGGCTCATAGTAAGCAAGGCTGGTCGACTTCTCGACCCTGAAGAGCGTATCCGGCACCACATCAATCATATCAGTCGCATCCTTCAAATTTTTCCTTTCCAGCGCAGCTTCTATAGCATCGTTTACACGACCCCGTTCGCCTGAAAATAGGCACGTGCCCAAATTCTCTAATCGAGTAATGTACTCCGGAGCAGTTCCTCTTCGAAGAGAGGCAAATAAGCTGTCATCGTATTCGGCCATGGGGAAACATTTCCAATCCACAAGAATACCGGTATCAATACTCCCCCATGCGAGCCATTTCATAAAATCTTCCTCAAGTTCCGGACCCAACTCCTTCGCCTTGACCGCTTGATATCTAGGGTTGTTCATTGCCTCCGACGGTCCCAGCACGATAGGATGAAATCCTTTCGCCCACCACGCGCGGCGCCAGGTCAGAAGTAGCTGTCTATCCGCCTCAGCTTCACCTTTCTGCTTCCTGCTCTTGGTATTGTAGTAAGTGAATACTGGCCGCCTAGAGGCCAATGGCGGGAGGACAGAGCGGTTTTCGTCCAAAGTTACGAGAGATGAAAATGGATTCAGCCATTTCCAGTCACTGAACCACTTCGACTCCCCGCTGGTGCTGTTCGTCTGTTCTGGAGGCTTGTGGGTAGGAGGACTGAAGGATAAACGGAGGTTATTGAGGTCTGGAAGGTCTGGAAGACTTGGAAGCTTCGGGAATTTCGGTATATTTGGGAGGCTTGGTCTTGGGACTTTCTCGACGTAGGCGCCCGCCTTCTCCTTTACTTCCCGCAGCTGGGTTGAGGGCGTGCTGGACAGGATCAAAAGGAAGATGGCAAAGAAGGCGACCACGCCAAAAAGCCTCGTCCCCTTATGAGAGAGCATCGTCAAACGAACACAGACTGTTAGCAATTCAACCTAAATCACGAGAGGAATGCAACGGGTCGAGATGTTGATCGATTGGCGACCTGTCAGCCGCATGAGTGCGCAGGAACTATCAGCCAACGAACTTCAGGCAGCCCGTTGATCGCATGAGAGGAAGAAGAAGCCCGCAACCAATCAGCTCCGCTCACGCTCTTCTTCTCATTTTCACTTTTTCTTTTCTATTTCCTATTGACTTCGGCTCGCGGAGTATTTTACTTTGTCAGCACTATTCACGAAGATTGAACTTTTTGCTGTTGGTCAATGCCAAGGCGAGATATTACCTAATCGAGGGTCAGGTCGGTTAGGTTTACGCGGTTTGAGCTAGTTTCCAATCCCAGATACAGAGTACATACATACATTGCACGGAGTATACCTGAATTCCAGGCCTTGATTTCCGCTGTGCTAAGACATCCAGGAGTGCGAGAAAGGCCCAGCTTTACATATATTAGCTCTATTGCTTTTAATCCAATACATTTTGTCCATCTTTGAGTCTACCTTTGCAGACAATCTAACTCATTTATAACCACCGTTCCATCTCGATCTATATTCCAAAAACTCCTCTCATGTGAATATCATAGAAGTAGGGACACAAAGGTGGCAGAAAGTAAATATAGATGATATCACCGCCGTACCGGCGCCCCGTCTAATTCCGCCACAAAGTGCCGATCATGCTGTGTCGGCATTTCGACCACATTACTCCCGTAATGACTTAGTTCCACCGGTCTCTGGTCAAAATGAAGTTCCGCTCGATCGTGGTTATGTAGCTCCGCTCCCTGGTAAGCTTTATACATATAATCCTTATCATCAACAGAGGGCGTGTTAACAGGAACCATGTCATCGTCTTTGGATAATGTCGGCCGTTTTTGTAATCTGCGACGGGCAATGCAGAAGCCCAGCAACCCAATAAGGCAGCCAAGGGCTATTACCCCAACGACCACGCCAGCTATCCAGATCTTATTGCTGCTACTGGTGGATGGGGTTTCGGGGGGGTTGCCTGGGTCTGTCATGATTGGTGGTCTGGCTGTGGGAGCGGGTGATGCGTTCGTCTTTGTGGATTGGGTAGCTTGGACCGTAACAAGAAAATGTCAATTCTCACAGTCCAGTTCGGATCTAGTATTTTAGGAACAACAAATACTAGTATCTACGTACCAGATGTAGTAGTGTCTGGAAAATTCCTATACACACTCCACGGAGTGTTATCCCCGAGCTGATCATACCTGCAGACCAGCTGCGTTCCGAGCAGATTTTGAGATGGTGCGCTTTCGTATATAAGAAGCGATGCGCATATATTGTTCTTACTGTTGCCAGATACAAAATCAGAACGAAATACCGGCTATACGATTTCTAGGGAACTGCCGTTGTTTAGACATGGGAATGGATATTGTACATACCAGTCCCGCGTCTTGGCCCCTGGGAATAGAAGGGTGTTGCCAGAACAAGTTGTCGGGAGCAAACAGGGAGTCGTCGCAGATGCTGGGCAGCAAGTGTAATAGCTACCCGACTTCGTGAAGGTGTCTTCATGATCACAGACCACGCGCACTATCACCGTGTTAGTTGTTTCGAGTCATATATACCCCTCGATATAAAGGTCGGGTTAGATTGAGCATACTAGCAGACTTGCTCCCAGATACGGTCGTGATTCGCCATCCTACATCAGGGGAGGAGAGAGGGCGCCTATCTTCCTGCTGAGCGTGGATCTGATTGCTGAAAAGTAGTAGAATCAGTGTTGCGGCTGTTTGTAGTGAGAGATTTCGCGGTGTACCCATTTTGAATGCTGATTATCTGTAGGGAATATAAAATTCCCACGCGCTAGGGCTGAAGCAGGAATCGGAAACATAATGATGGAGAGAAATGAAAACTTTGCAAAATATAAAATAAAAAAAATGAACAGCCTTGGAAAATTGAGAAACGCGGTTGTCGTTGGTCATCACCTCCGATTCTGGTCTTCTCAATACGAGCTGATGAAGATTTTCGTTGGTTCAACTTGTCGGCGTTGCCCCTTTTCCTTAAATATTTAGCTTGAGCTTAGCGCTAGGCTTAGCAGCAGTTTTTTTTTTTTTTTTTTTTTTTTTTTTTTTTTTTTTTTTTTTTCCATCTCCTTCTCGAGCTCTGCGTTCCCTTCAGGAAGTATTTGGCTCTCTAACGTTTGGTGACGGGAGCTGATCGTGAATCCTCTAGCTTTAGCAAAATGTTGATATGTTTTGCAGACAGTGGGCTGGTGGGCATCCTCTGGGGTTCTGGGTTTGGATTCGATCAAAAACCTCCAGAAACAGGTTCAAAGCCCAAGCCTCTAGAGACCGTAGATCGGCGATCGCAACATCGGCAATGTCGGGGACTTCTGCTAGAGGCTCCAAATCAGCCTCACTGCGGCCGTTCCAACTGCCATCAACGCTCGTAAAAACACTCCTAGAACACCCTCAACAAATTCTCTAACCATATTCAGAACAATATAATATAATCCGTAACTTACTCTCCGTCTATTTGAATTTCCAACAAGTATATAGTCATTTAACGTGCCCTCACCTCCCGCTCAACCACACTCAACACCTCTCTCACGGCCCACTCCAACAACTCCGTGATATCAGCCCCTCCTTTTCCTGGCGCCACCAAAACTCCAGCATCCTCCTTGATATACTCGCCTTCTCCTACAGCCTTTTTCAATTCATTCTCACTCCTCTCCACACCCGGGTCACGAAGCAAGAGCCACCGATGGTCGGCTATATACCGCGGCCAAACGATATCATCAACGTACCCGGGTGGATCCGTCCAGAAATTCTGGTGTGGCATGGGCTCATCGTTTTCAATATCTCCAATGACATCTGGACTTGACTTTGTAGATCCATCTTTATTATTACTATCTTCATCCGACTTCGGCGTAGGTGCAGGGCCAATAGTAACATATCCCGTTCTACTCTCCCGCCGCTCCTTCAGTAAAGAGTACGTAGCAGGCAGAAACAAGGGCACATGTATATTATCATGCACGGCCCGAAGGGGATGTTCCTCATCATCCGGTGGCGCGTAGAGCAGAAATCCTTCTAGAAACGCGAGTGATAAGGGCAATGAATTGTTCCCAGATTTTGTTGAGAGTATGCATTCCATCCTCCGCGCAACGTCATCTTGAATGCGACGAATCGTGTCCTCTCCAACATCCGAATCTGTAACTTCATTGAGGTCCTCTTTGCTTTTTAACCGGGGTGGTAGAATGCCATGGGAGCGTACGTAGGAGAGTACAGACACCAGTTGTCGAATGTCAAGTGCGTCGATGGTATCCCAGTCCTGCACACGTTTTCCCGATGAGGTGGTTGTCATTGGTATTCTGTATGCCGAGATGTACAGTGCATTCAACTATTGTTAGTCCATTGTACAGTACATGCGTATGTGAGGGTAAATCTAGGTCCCAATTTCCCATGTTGATGCAAGTCGGGAGGGGGTACGGGTGAAACAGCACATACTGATCATCTGGTTTATAAAAATCATCTTCATGGACGATAAACACCATCAGGGCTTCTTTATCCTTAACCCTGTCCCTGTCCGCTCTCTCCGCCTCCTTGTTCTCAATTGCTCCCGAAACTGCATTCCCAGCGCCGCCTCCAAGTTTTGAATCTGGTGTGAACACAGTCCGAAGTAGGCGGGCAAGGGTCGTTTTCCCGCTCGACGATGGTCCAGATATCCCTACGACAATTGTTTGTCTGTGAGCGGGTTGGCCTGGTGCAGCTTCGTTTCCAGTGTGTTCTGAGGAGGTCATGTTTTGCTTGACGTTGGATGTCGGCGGGGTAACTACATATATGGGCTATAGCATGTCGCTAGAGATTTCAAGGTTAAGCAATAGACCAATATGGGAATCTTTTGACTGATGAGAGCTTGGAAATTAGCATACTTTGCTTCTGACTGAATATGAGGAGTGCAGGTAGTTATGTCTTCCCGACCATACTGGAGTCCATGTTAAGATTTGGATGTTGTCGGTTAATCTTGTTGCGGAAGCCACAGCTAATACAATTACTATTTAGGGGATTTCTCCTGTATCCACGCGTTTAATAAAGCATTGTAAGTAAGGTCAAGATACACATAGATAACTATCGTTACATGCATTGATTAGAACCAATGTGCGATGGTAACACTAGTATAAAATAATACTCAAAAAATATCCATTTGACCCAAATGTCACTATATTATATATAGGCTGCCGTAGTGCGGTACAATGGGAAATATATGGTAGTATTTAAACTTGAGAAATATCAGCCCCCCACTTTGCGCTGCCACCATGATTGGCTTCAAAGTCCTAGAACTCAGATTCCATATTCGGATTCAGATCCATGTCCATAACCATACCCATACCTTACCCATACATACCCATATCCATATCCATATCCACATCCAGAACACCACCTAACGCCAGGACGAGTCGTCCAGCTGCCGCACCCCAGGCAGAGTTTAAAACAAAAGAAAAAAAAACGTAATAGTGAAACAAGAACCGACACGCTAGTTTAAGCAAGAGCTCTGAGTTAATAAAGAAGCCAGCGCAGAGGTAATAAATTTTCGAAAAGGTGTGACTCAGGATCCTCCTCAGAACGAGGCAGATCCTCAGCTGTATCACTTGGGCCATCATACAATACAGGAAAAGCGTGAGTGTTATCAGCCGGAGATGCGCCTTAATTAGTATGAAGCACAACTTGCGGGACTGGATCGCGGCGGGAGGGTGGTGTTCTGGTCCGAGGAGCCTCCATAATAATACCATTCATAGTCTCCAAATGCCCGTTCAAACGTCTCTTTTTACGTATGTTTGGACTAGAATTCGATGACGACTGGACATCTGATTCTAGCCAAGGGAAATCGTTGGAAGGTTTGCTTTTCTTAGTGGGAGTCGCTACTTTAACAGGCGCCGGTGCTGATGGGGAATGTGGCAACGAGACTGGCGATACATGCTCAACCTCCTGGTAATCGTCAGGAATGGGTAAGGTATGTCGATCAAAAAAACCGACGGGTATTTTCAGGTATGCAGGTCTTTCAGAAGCATCGGTTTCGGGGATAGGGATGACCTCTTCATTTTGAATAATGCTGCTCATCGTCTGGTCATCTAGGGGATCTTTCTCCGCATGCCGCAATTCGGTAGTTGACATCTGTTTCCGTCGCCGAAGCATCCTGTCTTCGAGCGTACCTTTAAGAACAAGGGTCTCCACATAAACAGGCTTGGTCTGCGAGATGCGGTGAGCTCGTTTGATTGCTTGGCTTTCAATGTTTGGATCCCAAATTGGATTTACGATGAAAACTCGGGAGGCGCACGCGATATGAAGACCGTGGGAGGCTTGACGAAGGTCCATAAGTAGGACCCGTACGGTTTCCGTTTCGTTAAACAGTGAGAGATACTCCGATCGGGTCTGCGTTTTCAAAGTATTTGCATAAATTCGGAATTCGACACCGAGAATTTCAAGTCCTTCTGCAATGTAGAAGCCCGTGTTATTCCCTTCATAGAAAATAATGATTTTCTCCTGTTCCTGAAATTCAAGCACCTTATCTAGTAAATACGTGAGTTTGGCTGACGCAGTAGCAACTAGCTTAGTTTTATTGAGGGGTGATTCGGGAGAAAGTCTCTTGACGCGGCCCAGAGAGAATGATTTCTTCGACAGCGAAATTTCAATTCCTTCAGGTTTTGGCCGGTGAACAAGGTTATCATTGGGCTTTTTATCAGGCACATTCCCTCGCTCCTTCATTTGACTTCGCGCCCGGATTCCGGCGCCAGCGATACCTTCAGAAGGGTCAAAAGCACAAAGGTGTGAAGCGACAAACCTTTGTGCATGTCTGGCTTGTGAGATCCCAAGGAGTAAGGGCTCAGAATGTCCATTGCTGGCATCAATTGCCCATTCGGCGCGTGCATGATCTGGGAACTCATCCAGAAAAATCCCCAACTCAGTAAACTTACTAAGAGCATCCCAAGACTTGCAGTTTATTGCCTTTTCGGTGACGATAATTGCCTCACTCAGTCGCCTTTTATCGCCTGCATCAATCCTGTGAGTGTTCTTCCCGAGATACTCCCGGGCAAAATCTACCGACTTTTGTACCTCATTTTTCTCGAAACCGGCCCAGAAACCAGCTTGTCTCAGATTGCTAATGAGGACAGCTAAATGTTTGCGATTCTTGGGATGGAACATGTAATCTTCACCTGTCCGCTCAGAGGTGATTGCATTGACCGTAAGTGTGAATATGAAAAGGTTCAAAGACATTTTGTCATAGAAAGTTGGCTCCAAGTAAGTCACCTTGTTATGCAGCTTAGGCAACGTTAGATCCCTGTTTACGTCCTCGGCTCGATGCCGGACCACAAGTGATTGAAGCGTAGATCGGAGGGACGGAGAAGTTCTGCGATTCCCATCCAGCCCAACAGGTTTGATATACTTTGCCCAGCTGGCTGGGTCTTCTGCTCTTGAGTTTGACCAAGGCTTCAAGGCAAGAAAGTCAACAACAATTGACCGGAGTTTATCTATGTTCTTTAGCTCTTCTTCCATGACATTGGTTGACATTTTTCGAGCCTGCAAAATGGATGAGGCATCTCCTTGTTTCTCACATCCTCCTTCCACACTCTCCTGTGAGGCTAGGGCAACTTCAATGCCATATAGGCCACGTGAAGGGGTACCTGAAACAACCCAACGTCGCTCAACGTGCAGTTGACTAAGTGCATGGACGGCCGTGGTTCGTGCACCTTTGGCAGCAAAATTATGACCTTCATCGACTATGATGCGAAGCCAATGTAGACGTTTCAATGGGGAAGCTTTCCGCGGTTCTGGTGCAAAACCTGAAGAACGTCCACCACCACCAGCTTCCTTTTCGAAACGTGACTTTGAAAATAGAAGAATATCATATTCAAGCAATTTCTCTGGAGGAGGAGTCGCACGGCGACTGTCCCGGAGAACAAGTACCTTCAGACCCTGCGTATGCTTGTCAATTTCACTTAACCAGTGGTCAACCAAGTTTGGCGGTACGACGATAAGGGTTCCAGAACACAGCCGTAATTTGGTAGGTGTCACTTTCAGTGCAACTTCTCGGCTTTTATACCTCTGAGGTGGCCTAAGTATTGCGTAGCTCCCACGATTGGATTCACAGGCTGATATGCATTTTTCAAAATGCATTCCCGAAGCCTCCAACCGCTCAAAGTACGACTTCCACGGGAGGGAGAAACGCCCTGCGGTTGCTGCAGCCATTTCAAGTAATGATGCTGTTTTCTCACGAACGGGGTGAAGGCCTTCCATACAGTGAATTGGAATGCGAGGGAAATGGCCCCTCGTTGCAAGTATAACGGCCAAACATATCAGAGTTTTGCCGTAGCCCATCGTTTCCGCCAAAATTCCTGTACGTTCTATGAGTGAGTAGGTCTCCAACACACCAAAAAAAAAAGGAGACGGCGAACCAGGGCCTTACCGCCACACGCCTCCGAGTAGAGCCGTTTCTCATGAAGAATGTTTCCTTCTTCTTTATCATAATAATAAGGTTGTCCAGTTGGGCCATGCAGTGCTTGTAAACGAGGGTCCAGCATTTGTGCTGGCTCGGACTCTCTTTGAATCATATACGCTGCTGAACGGCGCTGATAAGCATACAAGGGAGTTTTCAGGCCAATAACACCAGTGTCTTCATCAGATCCGCCAACGTAGTCCCCTTCTTTCCAAAGAACCTCTTCGATCGCAGCTCTTGCATGAGGGTCGGAAACTTTGTCAATATCAGGGGTTGGTGATTCGAGAGTATTAAAGATATAAAACAATGACTCTACCTCCGTGGATCTCGGCGCTGGTTGTGCATAGGGATCGAAATTACCTTCCCATGCCGTCGCCGATGTATCCACCTTTGACATCACTACTTTCAAACATCCCCTTAACACCCCGCTGGATCGGTGGATGTGTTTCCTACCAATGTCATCGGGAAGAACATAAATACGTATAGCACTCCACCCAGCAAATTTCTTATTGCGGCAAATAGAAGTTCGAATCCAATTATTTTGCTCCAGCTGCGAGAGCGCAGCGCTGGGGTAGGGAGATACCGATTCTTGGTCTATAACTCTGGGTTCGTGATTATTGTCTAGCTCATCGCATCTTTGTAAAATCCCCACGGGAATAAAGTGGTTCAAGTCACCCAGTAAATTCTCCTTTTCTAGGGTCAAATTAGTGACAGGGTGGTGTGGTGTAGGCGGGGATGATCCGAATGACGAAGTAACGGAGGGTGCGGAAGGGGATGTGGCCCTCGATTGAGTAGATGAAGACGATGATGGCGCAGCCAGCTCATCAGGTAGGATATCTGCAATCGCAGATTGGAGCTGTTGTGCAAGCGGAGAATCCTGTTCATTTGATAAACATCAATATGAATTTTTTTAAGGCTCAGTAGCTATTGGATACACCTACCTGTGACAAGCCATTTGTTGGCAAAACTGGATCAATGCCAGAGAAGTTCATTTCTGGTCAGTATGACAGAAGAGAAGCCAGACACAGTTTGAAAATCTTCGTCGATTATGGGCTCATCAGCGGCCTTGCGAGGAGTTTGAGAAGGGGTCCTGAGTCAACGGAACGGAGCCATGTTATGGACGCTCCAATCGGATAAGTTGAGAGAAAAGAGAAACGTCCAACATACTGTCCCTTGTCTTCAATTAACATCACCTAGCGGGGAGCGGATGTGTTGTTCTGTTAGTCATGTCAACTGCGGCTTGTCAGCGAGCTGTTGCTGACAGCAGTTAGGGCTGCCTGCAAGAGTGAATGCCGACCTCACCGCCTTGGGCAGAATAAAAGAGTCTAGACCTCGTGTAGATTTTGTACAGTGTGTAAGGAATTGTTTTAACTTTTAGATTCTCTGTATTTTACTACTAGTTAATAGTAATAATTGCAGAGTTATATAACACCAACCACAAGAACATCACAGGAGTCAGGCCACAATACTGTTGGGGGTCCCGGGTTGATCGGCCCTTCTACCAGCAGTGCGCTGGTGGTGACTGAGCTCTTTTGCCGCAGTAGTCTACAAATACAAGGAGGAAAAGGAGATGAGGAAAAGCGGTCGAACCAAGAGATTCTAACGAATTAGCCATCAAGGGTCGCAATGCTCAGGAGATAAATGAGAGAACTGATCTGATGGATGGAGGTAAGAAAAAAATTAAAACAAATGATCCTGCAAATCCAGGGCCCCACACCTAGTAAATTATGCCGTTCTGTTTACAGGGGAACAAAGGGGAGAAAAAAGTAATTACTGCATAGCGAAAACCATTGAGAAAACATTGGAGAAAACGATGCACATTTGCATGCAGAAAGCAGTCTTGGGATTTTTGGAAACACTGATAAATGAAGGCGCCGGGTGGGAGAAGGAAATCGAGATAACCGATGGGCAGGGAAAAAGAGGCAATTAGATCTCGGCTGTCTGCGTGATTAATAAGTCACCCAGGTAGAATCAATAATGCCTAGTGTTGTCAATAAAATAGTATATTAAAATAAAAAACACATTACTTCCTCAAAAATTTCTCAACCTCAAATCCCACCTCCCTCAACACCCTCCCTTCAACCCCCTGCGCCGAATTAGCTAACCGCCGCACAACTAGAGTTCGAGCTTCCTCAAAATTTTCAACCGAGTTGCTGCCGATTTTGTCTAGCTCTTCTTTATCGCAGTCTCGTATTAATACGGTGACATCAGGACCAGCGCACCCGCGCCAAAGCGAGGCCATCCATTGCCAATGGTCGGTGGGAGTGTAAAAGTCGTTGATGGGCGTGGAACATGCGTGAAGATCAGCCGTCGTTAGCTGGTAGCCGGGTACAAGGGCAATGTGGAACGGTGATTCCGATTCTGCAGGCATCGCGGTTGCCGGTACGGACACGGATGTGGGTGTGGGCGCCGGTGTTGGCGCAGAGGGAGGGGAAAATCCATCTGGAGAGCCAATGCGGAGTTGGGCTGTTTTTGGGACGATGGATTGAGGGGATATGCCAGAGGCTGGCTCATCCAGCCCAGTCGGCATTGACGAAGACTCTGGCGTCCCGTTGATAAAAGACACAATTTCCTTGGATATTGTGTGCCAGGCGGATATTGTTTCGAGATATTGGACTGTTGGATCCCGGGAATCTCCTGACTTGTCACTGTTGAATTGTTGCGTGGTTGCTTCTGGCCCTTTAAAAATTCGGGCAACGTTCTTGCCATCCTTCAATAAGGTAGTTTCCAGATGCTGGATCATCTGCTGGACAGATTCTTGCGCTTGTCCTTCGACTGCCACTAAAGCTCCCCGTCTGATCGAGCTGCCCTTGGAAACGCACGACCTCACCGGAGGAGAAATTCGTGCGAGAACCTTGATCTTGCTGAGATACGATATGTTCATCACCTTGGCCTCAACATTGGTTTGGTTTTGCTGCGAAAGAGACATTGTCTGAAGCGGTGGCAACGTCAGACTATGGTCGAGAGGTGGTTGCTGAGTTGAACCATGCCGGTAAGGTCGACCAGGTGGAGTAACTCCTGATGAATAAGGAGCTCTGGGATACAAACTATCGGGCCGTGGAAGGGATGTTCTTCGAGGTGAATAAGGGTACTCGGGACTCATATCACGCACCACGGGAACATATATACCATTCCCATTGAAACGACGTCGTTTGAAGTCAGGTGACAGTGGTATAAGCTCTTCACGTAGTTGGCTACGGACAGCCACTCGGCGATCCATACTTCTTGTTACTTGGATAGGGCTTGGGAGCCCAATATCATCCCTAGACCGTCGCTCCTGAAAATTTCGTTGCGCAGACTGAATTGGCTGACTCGAGGACGAGGTGGAAGATACCGGACTTGGGCCGGACGAGGTAAATGGTGTGTTCGGAGTAGATGGAGGATTCATGACACGCCCGCCACATCTGTTGCATACAGAAGCACCGGTTGGGTTGTTGCTAATCCCTGAGCTATTCCCGGCATTATTGCTACCATTTCTGCCGTAGCGGCGAGGTTGGTATCGATAATCCGGGTACTGCTGCTGATGCCGAGCTTTTTCTTCCTAGTCCACTATCAGAACCTGTCCCTTTGCCTTTGCATTTTACTTTATAATTGGGAAACTATCAACGAAAATAAGAATTTCGAATTTCTCACCTCAGCCAGATTCTTCCAATCTTGCTTCGACTCTACAGGAAGAGTCCTCCACTTTTCACCTATGATCTTCGATATGTCGGGGTTTGCAAGGCCAGGATTTTGGGCAACGACAGAGGCTTGGAAATGTTGGCGGAAAAGAATGAAAGCTAATGAACGGGGAATTAACATATTAACACAGTTAAACCAACATATCGAATCAAAGTGGAAGATAATGCGGAATACATGTTCCGCCCCTTCTTATGCCAAAAGAAACGTAATTTATGACAAAGAAATCAAAACCAACAGACCATTTCTCGGGCGAGGGATTTTGGGATCGGGCTGACAGAGGCAAAACTGCAGGCTGGATGATTCTTTCGATGATGTGGATTTTGAGGAGCTTGAAGATGCGGATCGCTCCTGTCTTGCAGCCTCGGATGTGATTAAGGAACAAGGTCTCTTTCGGGCAATTGGTGATATTAGGGGTGGGACCTCAGCCAATACGGAAGTTTCGGGACTTGGGATTGTGGCTCTTAAGAGAGAAGCTCCCAGGGCTCTGCTCTCCAGACCGACCGATTGGTGACAACTCTCTTCATCCGCAATTTTGGAGAATTTGTCTATCATAATTTGATGGTCCACTGGGGTGCTGGTCCGCGTCGGAAAATCACGTCCGATGGGATCATAGTATAGAGCGGGGGGTTTTGGAAGAACTCGATCCCAAGACATGAATGAGCGTTAGAGCAAGGGAAAATAAACGAGAGAAAAGAAAACGTAGAAAGAAACGAAAGGAAAGGAAAGTAAAGGGTGAAAAAGAAGATAGCGAAGGAAGAAGAAAAATAGATATCAAGATATTATCGAAGCGGTACGGAGAAGACACGATGAACGAGAGAGAATGAAAGCACATAGCTTGAGCTCTTGTACTCCGAATGGACGAATTGTTTTCTGTAAGAAATTAAGCTTGAACGTGGCGAATAGGGACGCTTCACGAGCGTCAAATCCTTTGTTGTTAGCAAAACGGACGTTTGGTTTATTCTAAGAGTCGCTCTTCTTTGTTTCTAGTTTGCGCAACCCAACAGTTGCAAACAATCGAAGTCGTTGGGCTGTAGTCTGCAAAGAACAGGCAGCGTGGTTGTCCGTACTCTCCTCCATAAACTTAAGCTATTGTTTTGGTTCCTTTGTCCCCAGGTTCACTGATGAAAGCGGAAAACTGCAGAGGTGATTTGAGCTGAGACATCCAACCAAGCCGGAGCTGCAACAATGCGATGAAGAATTGCTGATTCCAACGAAGAGAATTTACAAAGGGTCATTGGATAGACCGCATTTGACTAGTGGAGAGCGCAGGACAACAGGAAGTGAGAGTGATATTAGGGGAGAGTGGTACAAATAATGGAGCAGATGCGCGTCATTTTTCGTCGACTTTATCAACAAAGAGCATGGAGCTTCGGAAGCTCTTGAAAACATAGAGGTGGTAGGAGGATTTGTTATGTTTATGAAATTGTCTTTGCCGATTCATCACTTCTCATTTCATTCTCCAAGTGTCCAACTTCGATCTTAAATCTTAAAATGTCTGCTCTGGCGACAATGAAATTAGGCGAGCTGATTGAGAACAAAAACGATTATCCAGGTATCCCAAACCGGCCGCGATCACATCACGTAATAAGACATGCAGCGATGGATCCCGGATGATTTCCTACGCTGAGCGGGAAGGGGTTCTTGAATGAGATGGGCCCGCTTTTGCGTCGTTTGCGGATTCTGCAAAGGGTTTTCCTTAGGCGGTTGGCAACTTATCCTAGGATGCGGTTGGGACAAGGGCTCATGAGTCCGAGGGGTCTTCTTGGTAGAGCTACAGGGTATTAACAGCGTCAAATAATCCCGACTAACAGCCTTCGTGCTGTTGGCCCAAGATGCATCTCATTGCTATGGATAAATATTTAGCATAATCCTCTGAGTGCGTCCAATAACCTCGGCTCGCAGGTAGTTAATCTCAAGGGCTTAGTCTCATAATTACCTAAAGAGGATTGTTTTCCATAACTACCGAGAAAGAATTTTCCTGGCCCCGGAATAATAATTCCCTGCGAGGTTCGCATGCCTGGATAAGCTTGGCCCAAACCATGCCCTTTTTACCATAAGATTCGATCTCGGTCAATTAGCCCACTGATGTCACTGGCATGCCAGGTTAGGGATGCCAGAGTTGGTTTCAATAAGGTATATCGACCAACGTTTCCGCTCCTGTGAATGCAGAAATATATGCCGCATTTGCCGCTGACAAAAGGATCAACTTCATGTCATTTGTGATTTATTTACCTCCCCTGACTGAGAGTTAGTTGAATATGGAACTTACGCTCGGTCGAACGAACTCTTTCGCAAGTTGTACGCTTGCCCGAATAATCGCCCAAGTATCCTGGATGGTAACCGATATGGCGAGGATAGTGAACTCCTGCCGTGTCTTCTTTCGATAGCCTGGTAATTTCAATGTAATATGTAATTTACTTTCTCCTCCATCATCCAACGGCGGGTTGGATCAGGTCTGCAACCAGCGATCTAGCCCAGCTAGTGTTTGACACCCTTTGATGTTCGTCAATGTCAGTTCCAGCACCGGAGTAAGATGATGCTCCGCCATATTCCCGTGGAGACCAAAGATCTAAAGGAAAGCAACCTAAATTTAGCCCGTGACTAACGCATCCGGAATAACAATGATAAATAATGATGCGCAACGATCAAGAAGTCGAATTCGTACCTCGCAAGAAAGCCATTTGGTACACTCTTCCGTAGCGCAAATCTTGTCGTATCTTCTCATTACTATTATCACCCCACGAACCACCAGAAACAGCCAACCTCTAAGCGAATCGGTTCGAACTGGGTCTTCCGGGAGGAGAAGGGTTGGTCCTGGAAAAATGCACCAGCCACAAAGGGTAGAGCATGCTGCATAGTGTATCCTGCTTGTTGGCCCAGCGTATGAGAGCTGTTTGAAAACGCATGTCTAAAAGGAATTACGGAGCCTGACAGATAAAAGAAAGGAACTAACTGATGCTACTCTTAGCCAGTGCATGTCCCATAATCCTAGCCGCGGGAGTGGGGAAGAGGTTTGAGACAGCTTTTGATGACCAGTTGGGGATTTGAATTTGGCCCAATGAACAGCAAGAGAGTTTGTAGACCATGAGCAATTATGAATTAAATCATGAGGGAAAAAAATATTCCCACCGGATGGAATAAATGAAGCAGGAAACAAAATGGTTGTTGAGAACTGCTCTGTGAATGAGAGAGATGATCACTTTGAAAGTTAAAAAAGTCTTGATTGGGCCAGATTTTTTGTAGAAGCTCAAGATGAATGGCTTCTATTTTGTAGCTTGCTAAGAGCATTCAAACATCATGCAACATGGATGGTTGTCACTCAGTCTTGATCTAAAGAGAGGTTCCAGAAGAATTCTGCAGTTGATGTTCTTTTTGGCTAGGATGTAACTAGTTACAGTAACTTACAGTAGTGTCCAGAAAATCTGTGTACTGTAGTTAACTACTAACTTAGGGGCTCGGCATCAATAATATCTATTCTACAGAGTACTCACCCATTATATCTTTATACAGCGTACGGAGTATATATGATTTAGATAGCTAGAATTAATAGAAAATATCTACATACATCTTCTTCTTTAATATTTAATTAATTCATTCTTAGTCTTGATCACAGTCTTCAATCTCTGTGTAATTAGTCTTATAATAGCTCAGAGATTCTCTATAGAATTCAAATCAGAGTTTTATATAAATCAAATCATCTGTTCTATCTATCAATTTTGCTCAGTGGCATTGTCCTAGCAATTGCTCCGCCTACACATGATCTCTCATATGTAAAATAATGTAGCTAGCTCCTCTGATAATGAATAGAAGATTAACCATCTCACAAAATTTGAATGCTTAGCTCTGCTCTCTGGCTCATACAGCTCAGATCAATCTTCAAATCTTCATTCTTTTTTTTCATTCTGCTCTTTTCATACATTCTCTACAGTATTTACATTCCTTATACTCTTCTCTATGTTCATTTTTGATCTCTGTGTTCATGGCATGTGCTGCTAAATGCCCTGTAACATGACCTCACATGATGTCACATGCACCCCTTTGAATTCATGGGATTGAACAGCAGGCTCTGCGGCCTGTACAGCTCTGATTAATCTGATGATGGTGATAGGGGTGGTAAGGGGGGGGTAGAGGTAGAGGGTGGAAGTGGTAGAGGGGGCTGCGCAAGCAGCAAAGCGAGCGTAAGCGAGCGTTTGATGCTTGTGTTGAATGATGGAAGAATCAAGAAGAGAAGAAGTGAGACTCTTAGCGCTGAGCCCCTGGTGCACTGATGACTTCTTGAACACCGCTGTACATACATGTTGTTAGTTAGTTGGAGGTAGTTAGTTAAAGCCAGCTAAGTGAGATGCCAAGAACGACAGCCACTCACCCTAAAATAGGGCCTGGAGTAGCCTAAGATGTTAGTTAACTCCAATCTTTTAAGGTTCTCCAAATCTCTATCAACCGCTCGCTCCGCATCCCTGAAAAGTCGTGTGCTTTTGCTGCTGGTTTATTTACCTATGTACGGAGTACACTAGTTACTACTGCTAGAACTCAACAGGTCAATTGAGACTGATACCAGAATGTGATCAGGTGGGATGCCTATATTATGGTATAATTGAAAGGAGGGATAAAAGTAATCGTCGGTCTCTGGCAAGACTAGAGGAAAAAAGCAATGTCCTTCATGGTCTCTTAGAGATGTCCTGTAAAATTAGTACAGAAACGAGTTGCACTTGTCTTAGAGAGAAAGTAGATATTTATATATTTTATTGTCTCAATAATAGCTCGCGTCGCGACTAAATTAAGGAGAGCTATGCTATACAGTTTTCTAGAGGCTCGGTTGATATCATGTGCTTACTAGCCCAAAACGACTAATCTTGGCGGATAGGGCTGCTTATATAATTTGACCATCCCATTGCGGTTAAGCGTCGCTTAGTCAACCTCCCACAGTCAGCAAATTCGCTACAACCAGCAAAACCCACCACAAAAGATTTGGTATCCAGAACGCTCGACGACGACGACCTCAACCTTCCGACCGACCGACAAATTTGCGCCTCCCGTCTTGACCGCGGAACCTTCGTCAAGATGAAGCTCAACATATCCTACCCAGCCAATGGGTCCCAGAAACTGATCGAGATTGACGATGAACGCAAACTCCGGCCGTTCATGGAGAAGCGCATGGGAGCCGAAGTCAGCAATTCCCTCTACCTCCGCATCCTCTTCCCTTACGGCGTTCCTACAGGCGGAATGTCATCCGGGGGTTGGGGGGATTTTATTTTGAATTGGGCTCTTGTGCTGATTCTTTTTGTGATGGTGTTTTATAGATTCCCGGCGATTCTCTGGGGGATGAATTCAAAGGATATTTGTTCAGAATCACTGGTGGAAATGACAAGCAAGGTACGGGCGGAAACGAAATACACTCTGGGGGGAAGAAGATTTTGGAATTTATATATATATATATATCGGAATTGGTTTGCTAACTTGTGTTGAGCTGAATAGGTTTCCCCATGAAGCAGGGTGGTACGTTTTGATTCGACCTAGAACGGGATAACTGGAGCCCAGGGGATGAAAAGTTGGAAACTGATAACATATTTTTCGCTGCAGTTTTGGTCCCAACCCGTGTTAGACTGCTCCTCAGCGATGGACACAGGTAATATTCCCAAGCCATATTTGAGATTTCAAGGAGCTTCAGTATACTAATCTGAATAAACAGCTGCTACCGCCCCCGCCGAACGGGAGAGAGAAAACGCAAGAGTGTTCGCGGAGGTATATAATTATCCATTCCCTGCTCCCTGTGAGAACAACGAAAATAAAAATCTAACGCGTCAAATGCACGACTTCCAGCCATTACCAATTTCGACCTCAGTGTTCTGGCCCTCAGCATCGTCAAGCAGGGCGAAGGCGAACTACCCGGCCTCACAGATGTCGTCAACCCCAAACGACTTGGCCCCAAGCGTGCCACCAAGATCCGCAGCTTCTTCGGTCTCGACAAGAAGGATGATGTAAGAAAATTCGTCATCCGCCGCACCGTTACCGGCAAGAACGGAAAGGAATACACCAAGGCCCCCAAGATTCAACGTCTCGTCACCCCTCAGCGCCTCCAACGCAAGCGCCAGCGGATCGCCCTCAAGCGCCGCCGGGCTGAGGCTGCCAAGGAACAAGCGTAAGCTGGACACCCTATCCTGCACTCTGGTTTCTAGCGCACCGCGGCTAGATGGAGGTGATGAAAATGAACTCTCGTGTGAAAATATACTAATATATTATATTTTCCTGGTAATCTAGTAACGACTACGCCAAGCTTCTGGCTGCCCGTGTTCAGGAGGAGAAGGCCAAGCGTGTGGAACTCCGAAAGCGAAGAGCGTCGTCGATGCGGAAGTAATGGTAGCTCGGGGGTCAAGGAGAGAAGGTGTCTTGACGGGTCTTCCAAGCGGAGACAGGGGAGGTTGAAGTGGGCGTGGGAGTCGTTTTTCCATGTGTTTGAACTCGATAGACGAAAACCAAGTACTCGAGGGATGATGCTTGATGATGAGATGGCGTGGTGGGATTGGGCAAATCAATCAATACACAAATGGGAATTGTTCTGTTTTTTTTTTTCTCCTTTTTCTCTTTTTTCTTCTACTAAGGAAAGCATGTTATAGTATTTTCACTTTTTCTTCCTTTCCTCTGGTCCCCATTGGTGCAAAAGGGACGTCACAAAAAATCCAAAACTTCTTTTTAGGTTTCCGCCAAATCCTTCTATTGACAACTAGATACTTCGATTCGTACGTCGACATCCTGGAAAGCGCCCGTTCCACATATGCATACCGCATCTTCGTTGTGGCACGCTTGAACACATCTAACCGAATTGCACGGTGTTACACTGTTTACAGCTCCCTTTCCTACCAACGCGAGGCAGAGCTTACGGAGCCAAAATCAATCCGGAAATTTCAACTATTGGAAGCGAAAGAAAAGGAGATCACTGTTACTACATAAAACTACACTATACGGCCATCATTGCCAATGTACTTTTTTAAGGCGTCCGCCTTTTCGCGATTTTACCAGATGTCAAATCTCGATAGAGTGGGTAGCAGGAATCCAGTGTCAGAGACTCGTGAACTTTCTGGGAACGCTCATATTCTGGCTGGGAGATACCTAGGCATTCTGGCCCTGGCTAGTGCAAGACATCCGGGTGTGGTATCATGAGTAGGAGTTTCGAACTTGGCAACAAAGACAAGTTAGATGTAGGAGTAGAAATAGAGAGAAATGAAGTCAATATATGACGAAAATCAGTGTCGAAAGCATTTTTTTGATGAAATCATTAAAATATATTAATGTTGTGTGGAGGGATGATTTGCTATCCGGTTGTGAAGAGGTTGTTGTTAGATGAAGCTTGTTCTTCATCAAGCTCTTGCTTTCTGATCTCTATGATCTAGGTTGCCCGCGCAACTCATTCTAGTAATATATAAATCATATTATGGCCCAACTAATCCGTTACCATGGTCTGTAAACGGCTTTTCCGCTGATTCCATAGGTTCCGTAAGCTTGCATCTTTCGGAAAAGCCTCAGAGCTCAAAAGGCGCCGGTTCGCTACTTCGTGACTTGAGTTATTCGTATTCATTCCTTTTCCCATAGTCCATTTTAATTGAGATATTGTGGTCATGTCCTTTTTTGTGGGGCAGTATAATTGCTATGATATATCGTACGGGCGTCCTTGAGGCATCAAAGGGGAACCAATGGACTTCATGAGATGCTGTGGGTATTCGTGGTTGTTGGGTGGGAAGGGGTGGACGGCTGAAATATGGAACAGAAAGACAGGATGTCCGCCACCACTCGTAGGCCCAGCGGGAAATGAAGAAACAAAAACAAGAAAAGTGCGTATAACATAAAAAACGCCTGCTTATGTTGTTCTGTGAGCGCTGATCTGGCTGCTGTTGTGGCTGATGCCGTAATTATCAACATAACTCAGGTGGGCATATATTAACAGTGGGAAGTATTACTGGAAAAATAAATAAAAAGAAGCAATAGATAACACCAACATGACAAAAGTAAACCCTCAAAAAGAATGACCAACCAAACCAACCAAAAGCCATGGGAAAGGGGTGCTATGACACTGCATGCGAAAACAAAAAGCTAACAGACTCGCCGTTGTGCGTTCTCCGGCATGCCTCAGCAAGCGTCGGGCTAATATCGATGGTCTCCAAGCGATCGCACTGTTCCTTCTTCTCCTGATGCGGAACAGTGTTAGTAACCACAATACGCGTCAGTTGGCTGTTATTGAGGGTCTCGATCGCCTTGCCGCTTAGGATGCCGTGTGTGACAATTGCAACGACTTCCTTGGCACCATGCTCCATTATCGTGCTGGCTGCTTTCACAAGCGTGCCGCAGGTATCAGCCATGTCATCGACGATGATGGCGATTTTATCCTTGACGTTGCCGACTAGGACCATGCGTGAGACCTCGTTGGGCCTTGCGCGCTCCTTGTGGATGAGCGCGAATTGGAGATCGAGACGGTCAGCGATGGCAGTGGCGCGCTTTGCACCGCCGGCATCAGGAGAGACGATTACGCAGTTGGCAACGTTGAGATTCTGTCGGATCCATCGTAGCATACTTGGCTCTGCATAGAGGTTGTCTACAGGCACGTTGAAAAAACCTTGAATCTGACTTGCGTGGAGGTCCATGGTGATGACGTGGTTGCAGCCTGCTGTCTGTAGCATGTTTGCCATAAGCTTTGCAGTGATTGGTGCACGGCTCTTGTCTTTCTTATCCTGGCGGGCGTAGGGGAAATTGGGGATTACGGCTGTGATTCGTCTCGCAGAGGCAGTTTTGCAGGCATTAATCATGATGAGGAGTTCCATGAGTCCGTCATTGATATCATTTGGACGGGTGGATTGTAGAATGAACACTATCATAAGGTCAGTATCTACTAGTTCACTAGCTATTTGCTTTCCATGGCATTGCAAATAACCCGCAAAATGGGCGGATAGTATTGCGTCTCATGAGAGGCACTATTCTGGGAAGTACGTCTTCCAACGGAGTGGGAAAGGTACACCCCCCGAAGTCTGGAAAAGGGATAAATACCGTCTTCATCTCTCACACTCTCCCCAATCGTCACGCTAGTCTCCTGATTGGAATATTGTAGGACCATAACCCTGGTCAATTCAATACCAAGTCTGCCGGCAGGCACTCAAGCAGCGGATATGAGGGTAGCAAGCCCCTCACAGAGCCGCATCGAATAATCAGTCAGTAAAAGATATTCCATTTGCAAGAGGAGTTAAAGCAAAAAATAGACCATTCCGCAAACTTAAATACCAAAAGTAAGATCAGTGACTGGGCATCTCTCAGCGCAGCTCCGACGGACTGGGAGTAAGGGATAGAACGTCCTAGTCCATATACACATACTGTCACCAAGTTCGCTTCACGCAGGGGCAACATATAAGCAAGAAAAAAGAAAGGCGATCAATCAATAAAACATAAGCCTCAAGAAATTTTAAGTGAGTATAAAACAAATGCGATAGAAATAAAATATCAGAGGCAGCGGCGGGGGGTTATATTCTCCGATACTTCACTAAAACGAAAAAAGAAAAGAAAGTACACAGATGGATAGCGAAAATGAACAGACATACCTATCCGCAACGAGCTGAGCAAGCTCAGGATGGCTATTGCCCGTCAAGAGCTTGATAGAATTCGTCGCCATTTTGTGAGTAGCTATAGTAAGTAGGCTCGGTCTCTCACACTTTGCCGCAGACTTGAAAGGGAAATCTGAAAAAAAAGTTCAAGGAACAAGTATGGCCTTTGCCCCTATGTGTGATATCAGAACCAGAGGGCCTCTGCACGAGAGAGAAGAGTTCCAGGGAGAGGTCGAAACATATATAGCTAGGTTTGTGGTGGTTGAAGGCCGTTTGATGCCGCCTATCTTTTTTTTCCCGCCGAGTTCACGGGAAAACTCTATTTCTGCTGCTGCCGGGTCTTGGCGTGATACCGACTAGCAAGCGCCCGATTCGGTAACTTAGCCGACATCTCTTGAATGTCAAATTCAATAGGCAAAACATGGAAGAGATCTCTACTTTTAATTCTAAGAGTGCTAAGCTAGATACATGGATGTCAAGGGGATAGATTGAGCGGTGGCTATCAACAGCAATGAGCGAAAGTAGACACGGCAGCTGGCCTGCACTCCGGCTGGCGACCTCCTCTCCTCCGTTGCTAGACTGCATCCCTGCTCAATCTTGACAGAGAAAAGTGAAACGTGGTCCCCGTTACCTGGAGTATAAAGAAAAGAAAAACTGGAAGTACAGTCTCCCCTATCCCGTCCATTCCCCTCCGATATAGAACAAATCGAATACCCGTGCCGTTCGAGTGTACAGTTTGGAATCAGGGTAAAAAAACACAGAAAGTGAACAAAACAAAAGTGACAAAACAAAATATCAAGGTGAGCGCGCCGCCAGATGCTTTGAATAAACAAATGCATAGTGCATAGGTCATAAAATGGAAATGACAAAGATATATCTGTGGTTAGGGGATTTTGGAAAGAAAGAGGCTGGGAAAAAAAAAAAAAAAAAATCAGAAGGGAAATAAATAACAACAGAAAACACAAAAATTCACGACAAGTACACAATTTTGCTCCCTCTACGCGAAACCAAAATATTCACTGCCTGCAGTCATTGCTGTGTAAAGCCGCTGCCGTAGGGTTTCATAGCTGTCATACTCAGGCAAGTCGAGCTCTGTTGCATCCAAAGTTAGCTGATAGATGTTCATACCAAACTTGTGAGAACAATGGAATTACACTTACGGTTAAAGCATGTATGGGAACTAGGCAGCCTGTCCTTATTCCCATAGTCTCGGTGAATGTTGAATTTGCTGAAGCCATTCATACCCTCAAGCTCTTTGAAGCCATTGAGCGGGACTTTACTAGTACCAGTGACGAATTGAAGAAGTTTCGCACGTTCTTCCTTGTCAAATGATCGTACTGCACGCCAGAACCATTGGATCTGAGGTGAGGATGCGGAGTAATTATGATATTCAGAATTATTCTTCCAGTCATCTACGTCAATTTCGGGAAGCCCGGAAATCAAGAGCTCTAGTTCTTGTTCGTTGAATATAGCAATAAGATCGGCAGGGATAATGTCGTGGAATCCTGTAAAAAAAATAGACATTAGTCGTCTGTTCAAATACACCCAAAACTGCACTTGTTGTATGACGATAGTTTCTCACCTTTCAAGAAGTTGTCCAGCTGGTCCTTGACAGAGCCAACAAGGCGATATTCAACCACGCGTTGTACATATTCTTCCTTATTCTCCTGTGTGACTGGGATATTGCGACCATTCTCAACCAAATCAATTGTCTGCTTCTCGCCAAAATCATCAGACTCGACGGAGAAGTTTTCAGTAAGAATGTCAGTAATGTCATTCTCCAACATCCACAGCAAAGACTTGTAATAATCGAGGTCGAGTGTTTCCATATCTTTGATAGAAACAGACTTGCCGAGGATACGCTTGTAGACGGCTCGACTAAAATGGCAATCAAGCACACGTCCTTCGTATAGAGCTTTGCCGATGATTCTTCCGATGAATTTGAAGAACATCAAATGTTCCTGATTCACTCCACTGAGGCGATTTGGATGGAATGTTGTGCGATCAGAAGCCACAGGGATGAATAGGGCATAGTTGGGGTTGAACATGCCACGTGCTAGAACCTGAAACCATTCACGAGTGACCCCGCCGGCATCAACACCTTCTTCGCCATGGAACCTAATATTCAATTTGCCGTATTTCATTTCGTTGGCAGTCTTGAAGTAGAGAGATTTGAAGGAATCCAGAAAAACTTGGTCTCGGCGAACAGAGAGTTGCAAAGGAGGATGGGGATGTCTGATTTCACTGCCACGCGAATGTATCCGACGTGTGAAGTAGTTGCGCTTATTATCAAACTCCAATACCTTAGGGTTCTTGACGAGAAGAGAGAACGTGCCGCTCATGAGCTTAGGATTCTGACGGACAAGCTCATTGAGAATCTTGCGGTGCTCTTCCGTAAAGTTGAAGAATAAGGCTTCCATTCCAGACTCGGGTGGGGGACTAGAAACGGAATATTCCCGTCCATGTCTTGAGAGAGGAGCATCTTTCAACGTGGTGTTCTTGCATACAACCATAAGTGATTCGATGAGTGGCAGAAGTATCGTGGCCACATTGAGCATGCTTTCTTTCTGTCGAATAGAATGCAAACACTCACTTAACTTCGCCCACAGAGGTCCGAATGTGGTACCTTCATAGAGTATCTTCAAAACATCCTCATTATTAGACGACTCGGGCTCGCTGTACTTCTCCTTGTCAAGCCTATTTGGGTCAAATAGATAATCAAGGGCAGTCAAGGCCCGGAGTAATTTGGCTTGATCCGAACTAGCAGGAGAGAATTTGGAAAGCGCCATGCCCTGCACCTCGATACCAGTCTCCGCTTGGTTAATATGGGGAAGAAGTTCGCCAAGATCACCCAGTATTGAATTACTTAGAGCTTGTGTCTGGGCAATCAATTCTTTACCAAACACTTCCTTGGCTCCAGGGATAGCGGAGAGATTGTTGATGGTCGAAAGGGTCTCTCGGAAAGTTTTGCCATTACATTCTCGGGCAGCAAGGATGCGGACAACTAATTGAAGATTGTGTTCTGGTACCACAGGAGGCTCAGGGATACGAGGCTTCTTCTGCTTCTCTTCCTCAGCCAGTTTTGAAGGTTCTGCCTTTTCTTCAATAGATGACCCACTCGCTTCTTCTTGACCTTCAGCACGATCTTGACCTTGCTCTGTGGGTCCAGCATCAGCCATCGTTGTATCACTATGCGGAGCAGTCTCATCGGCAGTACGAGTGCCCTCAGTTTCCTGGGGAGGAGCCTCGGTGGGTTGCGCAGATTGTGTACTTTCAGCAGTGGCTTCGGTGCGTTCCGCTTCTTTCTCCTTGGCCTCTTTCTCCTTGGCTTCTTTCTCCTTGGTTTCTTTCTCATGCCGTTCCTTGTCTTTTCGTAGGAGGAGCGTTAATGGCTGAGTGATGCTACTGAGAAGGCTTGAGAGCTGTTCCATGCAACTTGGGCTATCCATGATCGACTTGCGATCAAGCAGGGACAGGAGTGAGTTGAGCGCGAACTTAGAGGCTCTATTTTCTTTGCCTTTTCCTTTCCTCAGCGCTTTCATTTTGAGGGACGCCGCTGTGTCGTGCTCCGTGAGGAAAAACCATGCGATATGGGGATTGTATTGCGTGAGGAAAGATAGGGCTCCCAAGCACTGTTGAATCACAACCAAAGGCGTGACGTCATTATTGGCACCAGGAACTGGCAATGACAACGTTCGCTTCAACTGTGGGGTCCGCTGCGCCGCTGTTGGGGTCTTAGCACGCAGCGACAAATGAGCAAAACTGCGCTCGACAGCAGAAACGTCCGCGCTTCCATCTTGGAGAATCAGAAGCAGGAGACTTAGCACCTCAGAACGATTTTGGCGGTTTTGGCAGACGTTATGAAGGATGTCATTGATATGATGCCGTGCATTTCCCTGCAGAGGCATGAACATGAGACGGAGGAGGGTAGCTACGCCAGCCTTGTCGAGCATCTGGACAATTTGACGGCGTTGAGGTTTTTTGGCTCCATGGTCACGTTGAGCAGCGTCAGGTCGCGATCGCTGGTCTAGCCTGCCTATATCGGCAAACTGAGCAAGTCTTCGCCCCGTGAGAGCGCGCGCTTCCGAGACAAATTCAGGACCAAGAGATGCAAGAATTTCTTCGGGTTGATCAGCGAGTACGGTTTGTCTTAGGGAAGGATCCAACGTAGCAATGAAGCTGGCAGGATCCATATCATCCGGAGCAGCTGCGCCACCACTTGCAGCTGCATTTCGACGGGCAGCCTCTCGCTCACGTCGTCGACGATCAGCGACCTCCTGTTGCAGAATTTCATCACGGATATCAGGGGGTAACGCTTCCAAAAACTCCGGGTTTATCTCGCTTGGCTCTTCGCCGGATGCAGCAGCCTGTGATCTTTGCTCAGTGAGTTGCTGCATTATGACCTCTTCACGGATGTCTTCAGGAAGTGCTTCTAAATATTCTGGGTCAATATCCATTCCAGTAATGTCAAGTTGGCGACCGCGGATTGTGGTGTGAACCCGGGGCGCAGGTTCGGAAGGGCCGGCCGCCGCAGCCTCGCCCTCGCCTGGAGCAGCGGCTTGTTCTTGTGTTGGTTCAGTAGGCTGCACACCGTCCATAGGCTCTCCTTCAGGATGTTCAGCGGCTTGCTGTGCACTTTCTTCAGCGGCTCTCTCGGCTCTCTCAGCTTCTTCTTGACGCCTTAACGCTTCCTCTTCCTCCTCCTTCCGTTTTCTCTCCCGCTCAGCTTCATCCTTCGCGAGTTGTTCTTGACGCTCTCGCTCGATTCTCTCCTCCTCTCGTCGCTTAAGCTCTTCCTCCAATTGCTTTTGTCTAACTTTTTCTTCTTCAATAGCCGGGGGAACAAGAACTTTAAGGAGGGAATTTACAACCCGCTGGGCTTTCTCCAAGTACGAATTATTAAACAAGAGTCGTGCTTCTTCTTGCCAACGAGTCGAGGTTGTCGATAGGACAAATGTGACCGCTTGATAAGGATCGTCACGAGGACGTCTAGTGGTCGCTTGGGGTCGACTAACGCCAAACAAATCCTGGATACGACTGGTGAAAATAGGACGCTGGTCAAGACGAACACGGACTCCTTCTGGTCGGCTAACCACACCAAAACCACCGCCACCTTGACCGAGAGCTTGCATAATTGCGTTCATGAATGTAACCGGGCTATCCATCGAGAGAAGACGCCCTTGGTGGTTAGGATCAATTGCATGGACCCAATCACTCAAAGCTTCGGGAGGACCTCTAGCTCCAGGCGCAACGTCCGTAGGGCGGTCGTTACGACGTAGCAGTGGATTGCTCCCATCGTCATTTCCACGTGAGGGAATTTGATTCCGATGGGTTCTATAACCCTGGATAGGTACGATACCGTGACGATTTCCCAGGCCTCCAGAAAACATGCTCCATGGAGGGGGAGGGATTCCACGGAATCGACCATGAGGCGCGTGGCGGTGATCCATTGATGCATCAGTGTCATGCAACATAAATTGGCCTGCGTGATCGAAATCTGTATCATATATTATCAGCAAGAACTCCCTTTCAAAAGTAAACATAAAAGGCAAAAAATAACACAAATAACATGAGAAAAATAATATCATACCGAAGGTCTGGATCAGGTCTTCATCGTCGTCCACTTCGTCCAACCCTTCCAGCTCATCAATTTCGTCATCCTCGTCTATGGAAATCGTAAGAGGACATCGCAAACAGTTAGGAGTGGGAAGAATGAGAATCTTACCTTGGTCATCCTGCATTTCGTCGTCCATCAGGTCGTCATGAAGTTCTTCTCCCATTCCTATATCTAATTCAAGACGGTGAATATCAAGGCGGTTTCTATTTTGCTCCCCTAGAATCCGTAACACATTTTGCAAGTTAGACCCGTGGTCTCCTTGAGCAAAATCACCCAGTTCGTTCTCTAGTTGATTCATACCGTCTTCCTCCTCATCATTGTCCGAGATATCTTCACTTTCCCATTCACCTTCGTCTCCATCCTGGAGGCTGTCGTTGTCATTGTCTCCAGTGATTTCACCCGCGATCAAGTCATCGTCCATGGCCGACGAACCTTCTTCGTCCTCGTCGTCATCTTCATCGTCCTCATCGTCGTCGTCATCATCGTCATCGTCATCATCGTCGTCGTCATCGTCATCTCCTTCGATGAGGACTTCAATATCCATACCGGAATCCCCAGGCAAACCTTCAATAGGCCCTCGCTCGTCCATATCCTCTTCATCTTCGTCACTAACGACCTCTCCATCGTTTTCCGGCATATCCTCTTCATAATCCATTTCTTCATCATACTCGTCATCGTACATCTCTTCATCGTCCTCCGAGTCCTCTTCGCTAGTAGTACCCTCCTCATGGTTTGGTTCGAACATGCCAAGCGTAGAATGTCGGAAAAGATCGGGGGTTTCTTCCCGCTCATCTTCCATATCCGATACAGAGGTCGCCGAGGATATATCATCATCTTCATCGGTTTGCCCTGGCATGGTTGGAATGCTTGATGTTTCACTCAACAAGACTGCAGTTTGTGTTAGTTTGTTCAGCGGTCGAAGAATGTATTTAACAGCCCTCTTTGCTGGAGGGAAATTCAAATCTATATCGGATATAGACGCTGTAAAGGCTGAAATGAAATTCTTTTCAAACATAGTTTTCGCAACCTGCCGAGTAGACGAAGGAAAATGCGTGGTGCCATCTCCACTTGTGCCCCCTGAGAGCATCTTATCAAATAGATCGGCTAAACTAAGAAGTCGGGCATATTTCGCATCAAGAGGTTCAGTCGAAGCATTGGCATCTTTGTAGGATTTCAGGGCATGCTCGAGGACAAACTTGCGGACAAATAGGAGCTCAGGTTCGTTGTCGTCATTTACAACAGTGCGACGTCTGGATGGCCCGCCAAACTCTCCCGTCTTGGTGCAGAGGGCAACTATCACCCGCATCGCCCAATTAGACGTATTGACCCGCTTTTTGAACGGGATAGATTCTCCATGATCCAGTGTCCCGATAGGAACTAGCGAGTTCAGTAAATAGTTCAAAACACCGGAGCGTGGCTTCGAAGGGGTCGTGGCGAAGGGGTCAGCTTTGCGCGAAAAATTGATGAACTCCACTTTTGTTCGGTTATATGAGGACAAAAGCTCAGTTAGACACTGTAATAGGAAACAGCGGTAAATGTAGATTGGATGCTCGTCTGCCTTAAATTGAGGCTTTTCAGTCTTCTTGGGAGTCTTGCTAGTCTGTGTCCCCGAAGTAGATGAAGTTGGCGACGCTGGTCCACTTGCCATTTCTACATCGCTTTGAGACTCTGTGCGGGGTAGTGATTTCTCTGTAGATTCTGCGGGTGGTTCCTTGTCGTCGACATCGCGATAAGAGAGTAATTCGGAGAGCAGGTAGTGGATCACCCCATCAGGATTTTCAACAACGGGCGCCTTGAGCTCAGTTGATTTACACTTCTCCTTGCCATCTTTACCTTCCTTACCCTCCTTGTCCTCCCTAGCTTCCTTGCCTTCAGCTGGCTGCCCATCTTGAGGTTCAGTATGAGGTCCGGCAGACTCTGGCTTCTTAGAACCTTCATTGTCCTCCTGGCTAGAATGGCCCTGATCTCGCCGAGAAGCCGCATCATTTGCTTCGGATTTCAGGACCAGGAGTTGTGGTCGTTGGTGTGAGTCGTACCGCTGTAGTTTTAATTTCTCATTCGTAACCTCCACAAATAGTATCGGGTTCCTCAATATAAGATGGGCGAATTGGCGCACATATCCTGTGGTGTCCGTCTGACGTGGTGATCGACTTTCGAAACCAGCAACAATTTCACTTCTCATTATTTGACGAACGGTATCGTTATCTTCAATTATATGTCTCAAGATCAGCATAAATGTATTCTGAAGTCTGTCATCTGAACCACTAGCTAATTGCTTGATCATGACAAACAGGCGTTGAAGGTTGCGCTTTTCTCCTAGCCGTACGGCAATATCCCTTTCACGGGTCAAGATGACGAGCATGCGAGAAACAGACAGCGCGAGTGTTTCGTCCTTGCCAATTCGAGGGAGAATATCAACCATTGTTTCGAAAAGCTCCATCTTGTCAGAAAACGGAATAACTGGTTCCTCAAGCTGTGCTAGCTCTTCTGGTCCGGCAGACCCATCGGGACTTGGTGGGTTCCACCGAATTAAAGGTGGCGTTACGTCATCGGAAAGGACTCTTTCAAGAATGAGCAAAACTTGCGGAATCCACGGACATGATTCATCAGTAGGCTTTTCAGCGGAAGAGGATGGGATTTGGATAAAGCCAAGCAGGTTCGAGAAATTTTCCTTCAACTCTTCAAGAGTGGCTTCATACACATCCTTATCTTGCAGTACCAAGGCTAACAAGCCAGCGTACGCCGCTATTTTCTTTCCTGATGATTGGAAATTTTCTTCCATCTGGAGAGATATCAGGAAATGCATCAACGTTTCACCAACCTCCCGACGAAAATTGACCGGGTCAGGGAGCCTGGCGGTTGCAGACCCAATAAGATCGGCGAGCTCAAAAGTTATGTCGTGATGACCATTCAATACATCGAGACATCGTTCAATGAGGTTGGTTCGGACGTTATCACGTTCACTGTCCAGGTCTTCAACAGTTACTACCTCCCGCCGCTTTGGAGAAGGAGCCGGTTGGCTAGTTGGTGGAGGTTGAGGAGCGGTCTCCGCGCGCTGAGCAGACATGCTCCTCTCTTCAGCCGGGGATCCTCCCTGATCGTTAAGAATATTATCAATGCTCATTGCGAGCAGCCCACCAGTACTCGTTGTATCCTCACTCTGGGCAGCTTGAGTTGCTGCACTCTCTGCTTGGTTTGTTCCACGTTCCTCGACGTTTGGACTTGGTTGGGTAAGGTGGGGAAACAATGAGGCGATATCGAATGGGGTTGCAGACAAAATCTGAGTGCCGTCTGATGGCGGTTGCGAGGTGCTAAGGTTGGTAAAGATGCTGTCACGGAGCGAGGGACTACTACTTGTCGCTTGCTCTAGTTCATGAGAAGGGACTGGGCTCCTAGGTGGTGGGCGGAGACCCTTCTGGCTGGCACAGTACTCTTCGGCAGCGGGCGCGCTGTTATTACAGCGGTAGAGGGCCTCTCGGGCAAGATTTTCGTCATGACCATTTTCTTTTAGTGTGGACAGACGCTCCCTATGGCACGTGAAGGTTCTTGGAGTCGCCGCTGAAACGGCAGGAAGGCTTTCACCACGACGGAAGGCTCCCGTTTCATATTCTCCTTCAAGGACAGAGCGGAGAATGTCAATCAGAGATTTCAGAATAGAGCTCGACGCTTCTTCCACAAACCCGGAACTCCACATTTCTTGCACCATTGGTATGACCTCCATTCGAAGTTCAACCAAGAATTGCGCTGGAAGAAAATAGTCAGGACGGTCACGGTCCCCGCCGGTGCTGGCCATTGCCTGAGTCTGGGTAGAGTCGATAATATATTGAGCAGATGTCATCTCGGAAAAGAAATTAAGAATAATCTTAATCCCTCCATAAGCAGATGCCAGACGTGCAGGAACATCTTTTGAAGTACTATCCTGCCCAGCTTGAGGGCCAAGGTTCTTAATCTCATTCAGGAATAAACCACACAAACCTTTCATTGTCTGGATCCCATTTAGCTTCTTGAAAGCCGATAGAATGATCGTCAGGCAATGAGAATGTGGACGCTCAGCGGTAGCTACAAGTAAGTTAGTTGCATTTTTCACGAATAGAAAAAATAAAAAGAAAGGATGTTGGACGGGGGAAAAGCGTACTATCAAATAGTAACTGAGAGAACGACGACAATATGACTATGAGATACGAAAACCGGTCTTTTACACAGGTTGTTTTCTTAGGCGCGTCAAGGTTCAATTGCTCCAGAATCATCGAAGCAATCGCATCAGCAACGTTGCCGGCCTTTTGCCGTTGATAGTTATCCATTCGCCGTTTGCTGATGAGACCATGACCCAAAAGTTGGAAGAAACCAGTTATAGAGGATGGTAGAGAACTGAGCAGGTAACGGAGAGTTTTCACATTCCTAAATGTCGCACCCCTCTCTGAGCTAACAGAGGTTTGAGTAACCGCGCTTCGACGTGTGGTCTCGCCGTTGGGAAGTCCATGGGCAGGGTCCGTTCCAGCAACAGTTGTTCCAGTTGCATCTTCAGTGGCCACATCCCCAGGCTCTGATACATCATCTACGGGTAAAGTACTTAGCGGTTCAATTTCTTCCTCTCCATCAAACCCATATCCAGGAACTCTAGTGGCTTCATTCCAAGATTCTGGCATATCCTTCTGCAGCAAGATTTCTTCCCAGACACAAGCCGAATGCAAGGACCCAAGTCGCTTGACAAGAGCAACATATTTATCAGCTAAATTTACCTGGACAAACGGAGATGTCTGCTGGCTAGGACGGGTTGGGTAGATCGGCGGTGTATATGCTTCGCGGAGGATATCTGTAAGAGTATGGACTGCGACGAGATGTTTTGTGTAATAGGCCCCCTTAGCCTTCACATCTTCGGATCCTGGAGTTTCGGCAGTATCCTCGGTTTGCTTCGATGGGTTTGTCAAAGGAGCAAAAAATCCTGTTTGACTAGACTGTCGCCAAAACGGAGCTAAACGATCAACTGCATCCTGGGTCCGTTTCAGAAGCGAAGGAAGCACAAGGTGAGGCTTCACCTCAACCATATAGTGGATTACTTGTGCTAGCTGCTGACTCGCTTCCGTGTTATGGAAATCGAATGGCAGGCTCTGAAGGGTGGCAAAATCAAGGACATACTCCACCCCTCCTGCCTCGATAAAACTGGCGCAGATAGTGTGGTTCTCGAAAAAAGCATTTAGGAATTTCACAACAGGGAACATGTAGTTGGGAACAGAAAGCCCATGCGCATCAAGGTCCTTGAAATCGCCATTTTCCGGCTTCTTCGCAGGTGTCAACGCGTTTCCATCCCCGGGAGTCGTTGTGACACTCCTCATCTCAGAATCTGCTGGTTCTGTTGGCCCCGCTGGCTCTGCCTCTGAAGGGGGTTGCTGATTACCAAGAGTATAAGTGAAAGCAGAGCCAATATCACCAAGCAATGAAGAAGCTCCCCCAGCTATGGAAAGCTTTCCATCTTCTCCTTCAGTCCAGAGCTTCGCACCAAGTCCAGGTTCAGATGCTTTGGATTTGCAATGTTGGGCTACGCGAGCAACCATGAGCAGAACAGCACTCATAACCGCAGACTTCAAAGGGGGGTGATGTCGAACGAGTTCGTCGAATGAGCCACCCAAAACACGAACAAGATTCGAATCATTCTTCATGCATTTCACGTGCTCTGGACTTTCGAATATATCAAAGAAGCTTTCAAGGGCATCTGACTTTCGGAATAACTCTAGACCTCCTTGGTTCAGACAGATAGCCCCGAATGCTTGGGGGATACATACGATAGCTTCGGTTGAAGGCAAAATTGCTTCAGCAAGCTTGCGATCCGGAGCCCTGACAATCTTAGACTTGAGAGTCTCATGATCGCCGGCTTCTGCACGGGCTGGAATAAACAGGGGTCGGGTTTCGGCTGGGGCATGATCACTGTTCTCAATATCACTAGCGGCAGTGTTGACATCTGTTGTATCGCTCGGCACGGGCCGGCCAGTCACTGCTTCGAGGAGGCTCTTGCTCAACCCAGCTTCGGCAATAACAGCGTAGCTGGTTGGCTCGTTATGTATGAAATGGCTCATAATGTTCACTGCGCCACTCCATACATGGGACCCGTAGACACGGGCGTTTTCCAGGACCAAACGAAGAGCCGTTAGAAGTGGAGGCGAATCGATGAGATTCCGAAGTAGACGCTCAAATCCACCACTATTATGTTGCATTACATGGTTGACAAACTTGAATAACCACCTCAGGGATTGCTGCTGGAAGTAGGGAATCTGGTAATCGATGGAGGGCGTCTTAAAATGTGCCGGAATTCCCGCATCCTTAGCCACCGAATCGAACGACGTTTTTGTCTCGAAAGAGATTAGATCTGAAATCGCATGGAAACCCTTGGCTCCAGCCAATGTTGCCAACGCATCTCGAACAGAATGAACAAAAGTATCCAAGAATTCCATCACTCGGGGATATATTTTTCTTGCTTTATCCGTCCGGAGGTTCAAGATGTCGACAAACAGAGGAATCAATCCGGCCGCCACGAGAGTCTCCGGAGTTCGCGTGCCAGCATTTGGAAGAGTTCGAAGGAGTGCAAACAGAGTCTCTCTCCAGTCGTCAGCTTCAGGTGGGTCGTCCGCGTTCTCCTCGATGGCCAGGTCTGCAACAGCCTTGCGCGTGAGAAACATGAGAATTCCGTGGTTAACATTCACGCTAAGGGCCGCGCAAACATCCGCAGAACGGGATTTATGTTTTGCCAGAGCGTCGAGACAGTTGAGCGCGAAGGTCTGATTAAGCGTTGAAGCGGTAATATCACCTGCGACACCGAGGTGCACAAACTCGGCAAGCTGATAGGCAAGTTGCAGCCGCTTCGGAATATCAGAATCATGATTAAGGACCTTTTGCTGGAAGAGAGTTTCCGGATAAATGTATGCCAAGTTTGTGACTGCAAGGACTCTAATGGCAAGAATCTGACGCCTGGTCTCTGCGGAAGTTGCAAGAGCATATGCAACACGAAGTCGTTGTAGCAACTCATACTTCGAGGCGTCGTTTGGAAGTTCCTCCAGATGCGTTTGCAAAACTTCCTCAATACTCGTGGTTACTATCGTCGAGCTTGGGATCTCTAGATTTTTAATTCCTCTATTTGTTTCCTCGTATTTATAGATTGGAGAGCTGGTTAGTGGAGCGGTTGGTGAATCATCCGTTGCTGAACTTCTACTCAATCTTGAGCTGGGGTGAGTAGAAGCTCTACGCAAAGGAGTCGGGGTCGCGGGGGCATGCTGGGGATTCGGGGTGCTCCCGGCTCCTGCCAAAGTGGTAACTTCAGCAGTGTCCGAAAAGGGCGTGTAATACGACATGCTAATACTAGCCCATTCCTCCCAGGCCAGAGCAGGGATCCCATTGGGCTCCGAGGCATCAGACGGCTCCTTAGTAAGGGCAATTAGATCATTCGCATTGCATTTGGTGACGGAACTCCGACGGCCAACCTGCACCTGGGTGGCCTTTTCTTTTCCCTTAAGGCTAATAATAGATGAACTATCAGTTGGCTTAGCAGGGGCAGGTTTGGGAAACGGCGCAGCAAGCTTCTGAACACGCTCCAATTCAATATTGTAGTGTGTGGCAAGTAAGCTCTGATGGAAATGAGTACTATTCGATTGTCGTTGTCTGGAAAAGTATCGCTGGGCCAAGCTGACACCAAGACGGAGCGTACTCTGAAGAAGGGAAAGTGACGTGGTATTCAAGAAGTCATTCAAGCGATCGCTGCTGCTGTATAGGCTCCGATTGCCGCATTTCTCCAGCAGCAGTCTTGAGAACGATAGGAGAGCCTCGACTAACTCTCGATCTCCTTCAGGCCCAAAGCCAAGCTTGTCCAGATGTGCTTCAGACTCTTGGGTCGTTGCTGCAATACCGGCGGAGACGCATGCATCGTGAAGAACCAAGCGGCCAAAAGGCTTCGTCTGTGGGCCTAAATGGAGGTCATACTTTTCCACCACTTGTTGAAGGATCGCATCAAACCGGTTCAGCACTACAATCCAATGATAGAGATCGCCTCGGGGGAACGGCCATCGGCGAGGGAAGGTCAAGAGATGTGAAGGAAGTTCCGGAATGTCAACGCTAGTGGTTTGTTGAACGAAGGTAGCTAAGGCGGGAGACTATAGAGAATGAAAAAGATATTAGTATAAAAAAGAAGTGCCCCTACTCAAATCAAGATTTCCAATACCCGTACCCGCCGGGTATAAAATTGATATGGTGGGGAACCTGAGGTAAGAAGGAAAATGATATAAAAACGACAAGGCGAATACAACTTACGATTGTAGCCTCATGTTTAAGGCCCGCCACCTTCTTTATTCTCCCCATATTAGAATATAGCTCTGTAGTCCACCATGGGAGGTTGCGCACTACCAGGAGCCTGGTGGTGGTAGAGGTCGAGAAGCTCCGCTAGAAGTGTTGCTTGACCGGCCTTGCGTCGCCACAAGGTTGACTGAGGAGGGGGGTCTATTTAGGGGCTTGTATCCTTGATTTGCGGACCTGCTGTTAGTGGTCTCTGGATAAGATACTGACTTAAGAAGCAAGAATCTGATGCGTTGAGTAGATAGCTCAGGTCGATCGGGTCGGTTAGAGAGCAAAGGTGACAATCGATCAGGTTCAGTCAGGTATGGGCCAAACGTGACGGGTAAAGACAAGCCCAAATTGTGAGCAGGGGGAGAACGAGTGCAGGTCGTATTCCCAGAAGCTTGAGCACTTTATCCTAATTACGAAGTCACTGACTCTGAGCCTAGGCTTGATGGTAGAGGGGATCGTGGCGATGGAGTGAAGAAGAGATGTTTGTTGGGCGTTGTTAGGAGTCGTCGGTTGGATGTTGGTTTGCCAAAATTATTATTGCCTTGTTTGTCACCGCGTAAAATTACGCGGGTAAATACACAGAACGGAGCTTCTCGGCGGTAAACTTGCTGTACTAAACTTCCACGCACCTCATCTCGGTTTGCCTGACACATCATCTGTGAGACGCTGGATGCTGTGTTGTTGTTGATATATACTCAAGACCCTTGTTCATATCGCATCTTTGCCCGCGAATCGATATGGGACTTCGAACTTCTACGAAGCTCAGAATGAAGATGGTCCAATCACCCATTATTACACCAAGTGGGATGACTTCATCGCCCCCAAACCAACTTTCCTAGGCAAAACGGCATTACTAACCACCCTCTTGCTTCTGAACTTCCACCAGTGTTGCGGTCGTATTTTTGTGCCAGCACACGGCATGGTGAACAGTTATGCGATTACGTCCATCCCAGAATGAGCAGATGATAAAGTTTGCTGATAACTTAAGCCCTTCATTATTCAAGAGCTAAAAGATACATACAAATACCCGAGAAGAATAAAGCTGCAAAGCGCCCGGAACGTAAAATGGCCAAACATGATTTGACGAGATCTTAACCCACACATGGTGGTAGTTCCTCATCCCACTGTACCTTCATGGTTGTTGGGAAGGGAAAGTAGCCAGTATAATCCGGCACTAAATACTTGCTAATGCCACCAGGCCCTGGGATCCTCCTGAGCTCCCCTTGGGGACCTGGTACTCGTCGCAGGTTCTCCAGCTTGCCTACCGTTTTTAGCATCGCCGTTAGTCCGGTGATGCAGATATTAAACCCCAAGCACTTATGAGGGCCCTGTCCGAAATGGATATACGAGTCAATATCCCGCGTCAAGTCAACTTTATTGGGTTCAGGGAACTTCTTCGGATCCATAGATGCCTTGACCTAAATCAAAACGATGAGCATCATAATTTCAATGGATCTCAGGTTGCTTTTGTCTTACCAGGTTACACGCAACACGATCTCCAGGTTCCAAGTTCAACACTTTTAGGCCGTCCTTGATAGTTGACTTGGTGACAACCTCTCTATACAGGCCCACCGTTGATCGAAGCCTAGTTCCCTCGAGGAAACTATAACCTAATTAATACACAGCTAGGCGCAACAAAACACGGCGACCTTGATGGGAAGATAACTTACTATTTCAAAAGAAGGTCATCAGCCTCAGCGGTATCCAACTTGGACAATCGATGGATCTCTGGCAAGTGGACAGACCCTTCCTCTGATAAAAAGTAATCGAGACATTGAGAAAATAATTGCGCCTGATTTGCTACCATACCACCTGCTGTTGGAAGCATATGTGTCCAAACGATCTCCTCAGGAGGTAGGCCGGTATCGAGTAAGCGGCGAATCATATGGACCCCATACTCCATCAGGATATCGTTTCCATACAATCGTTCAGCAACACTCGTGAGGAATCCAGTTTGCTTGATCAGCTGCACATTTAACATGACAATATCTCCAAGCTGTTGCGTAACGTTCCGAGCTCCCTGGCGAAGAGGGAAACTCTTTGCAGGGTCCGCGTCGAAGAAGATGCAAGTGAACACAAGCGCCATGATCATATAAAGTTCGGCTTCGGTGTATATACCGCGTGAGTTATCTGCTGTCTTGAGTGGAAGTGAAAAGACGCTCGCGGCAAAATGTACCTGGGCGATGTTGGCGACGTCTCGCACAATGTCCACTTGATTGACTCCAGCAATCTTGTACGATTTTTCGAGTAGTAGTTTGAGCGTAATATGTTCATAGAACTTTTTAACCTCCGCCTCCCATTCGCCATGATATAAGGCTTTCCCCATCATCTGCCTGGAGGCCGCATTGGGTGGCTCATCTCCAGAAAGCATGAAGTCTCTACCAAACGAATTGCGCTCCTTGTGCATCAGAAACTCAATTGCCTCGCCCCATGTAACCTTGAAATCTTTTTGGTTTTTAAGGATCGCGTCGCATGCAGCATACGATTCGATCATGGTTGGATGGGGAATCCTCGCCGGTTTGTCCCATGAGTATTTGCTGGCAAAATCCAGCGTTGTAAGGATTTCTCTGTTTTCATCAGGCACCACTAAGGGAAAGTGGGCGTAAATTGAATTCGGCTTGAAGTGACTGGGGAATGTCCGGAGGAACAATTTATAGAATACGTGCCCTTGGTCAACGGTGTTGTCAAAATTTGCTTCATTAAAGCCCCAGTTTGTTAAATTCTTTGGAGTATAATCCACAGTATAGAAGCGGTCACCTCGTACCAGAGCAACAGCGTCGGAAAGAATTGCCCGAGATATAGTAAAACTAGCACATAGGCCACTTCCCGGTAACAAGGCTTCTTTAGCTTCTTCGACAATGAGCCCAGGGTAGAGTTCGACATTGTCGGGATGGTCGTACAAATGCTTGAGTTGGTCAGCGATATATGGGTCAGAGTTGATATCCTCGAAAGTTTCGTGAGGTTTGAGATTGAAATATTTGCGGAACTCGTTGAGGCTTGAAAGTCTCCAAGAGCGTGCTTGCTTAATCCCAAGAATTTCAACCGCTCTGAAGACAGCGGGAATTTGTGAAGCGCCAAACGGCCCTGCACAATCCTCAATGCTCTCCGTGAGAATTTTGGTTAAGTCGTCATCGTCGAATAAACCGTTTGATCCACGGGTGAGTTTGGCAAATGGTCGCTTTAGAGGATCGTTCGGAATTCCAGCTTCCCATTTGCCGAGAACCCTTAGGAAATCAGATAGGCTTACTTTGTTCGGGTCCGTATCATCGCCGAATAGCTCTCTATAGGCGTCTTGAGTCCATTTGTCATCACGTTCCGAAACGCAGGAGTGCCACCGATATACCAAATTAAATTCTGCGGAAACTTGGTTCCCACCTGCTTCATCGATCTCAGTACCGAAAAGGCCTCTCATAGATTCAGAACGAGGGTCGAGGCTCCAATCACTGTCCGTCCGGTTGATATTTAGAATCGTGCGCACATAATCTTTCAGGATAATATTTATGTACAGCCCACATGTAATCAAACGGCCAGTTTGGAAAAGGTCGTTATCGTACTTGGCGTATGCTTTCCCACTCGACTCAGCTGGCTTCGAGAAGCGATCGTCTTGGTTGATTAAAGCCAGATTTTCAACCACATGGTTATGGAAACGGTTGAACATTATGAGAAGCACGCCAACACCGGGTGGAAACCCTAAAATTCTCGTCTCGGAAAAGCAGTCCGGCTTCAACTTCCCATCCTTGAAGGATCGGACTGTATTCTGTTCTTCCTGGTTGCTCCCGTAGAGCGGAGCAAGGTCAAGATAAGAGGAAGTAAGGGAACGTGTATAGTCACCACGGTCAGTGCGGAATAGGTCTGCTGCTATGTAAGCACCCTAAAAATCATTGACACAGATAATAATAACTTACCATGAATAATAATAGAGGCCAGGTAAAATAGCATGCTCGATATTTTATTAGGATGAGCTTTGAACTGTTTCCGAACCAACAGACTATCGAAAAGGGTCCCCGGGTCTGGGAGCACTGCTGGTTGAACGGACTTCGATGGCACAGTCCTCGCATATGAAGAACCTGCAACTCCGATTTGTGGCCAAAGGATGTTCTGTATCTCATTTAGCTTCGAATGCCGAAATGTTCAGGTAATGGATACCAAATTACATTGTGTGAACCATCTGCCTGTCGATAAACATACTTTTCGCCGAGATAACTACATATAATCCGTCAAAAAAAAAAAAAAAAAAAAAAAAATCCTCTGGAAAGGTTTCGAATAGATACCTACGACAACGGCGGATGCTTTAGATCGTTCCAAAGCAAAGAGAGAAGAGAGTTGCTCAACCTATCTGCATTTGGTGATCTGGAGGGCAACGAGGAAGCGAGCTAAATATCCAGAATGAATCTCTGGAGGCAACTATTCGTTTGGCGGCTGTGCCTTACCTGGATGACCCTCTCCATGATATAATCCTTATCATTGACTGGTTCTCCCGTCGCAGCATTTCGAACAACATCAACCAGCGTATCGAGATCTTTAATGCCGACTTTCTTCAGGTCATCGATTAAAGTCGGTTCAGGCGGCGTTTCGTCAATATAACTTCCATCCCCAGTTCGGGTAGGCAGCGGCCGCAACGAAGCGCGGATGAGTTGACTAAGTTTTGACACGCCATCTTCTATCTCTTCGCGGAGAGAACCGTTCCCAGAAGATCCCGTCATTCTCGACGTTATCTTCACAGCGGCAACGATAGGGAAGATTAGAGTTCTGATGCAGATGTTAGCTACCCACTGCTTCAATCCTAGAGTCATGGTGATGGTGGTGATGGAAGCTATCTGAACGCCTAACAAAAGCAGGTATATGAGGGCTTCTAAGTTTCTTCCAAGCGACATGTGTCATATGGTCACCCTAGCACATGAAGCCAGAGATAAAGGTTTTATCAGGGCATTGAGACATGGTATTACAATGCACTCTCCACACATAGGGGCTCATGATGATGCTTCTGAAGACATGAACCGCAGCAAATGAGCGGCAATAGCACGGCAGCGAAGATAATGGTTAGACATTGCATGACTTACCGAAATATGAGCAACCACTGGATCAGACGAGCAAATAGGGACGTGATCCGATTTTAGAAAGCAACACAAAAGGTCCTGATCTCAGTCACCAAATACCGCGGGAGCACAGAGACAGGGAAGCAGAGCTATTCGTCTAAGGAAATCAAAGAACACACACGAATCAACGATATGGAACTCGTTGATCCATTTATACAGTGGAAATTTGACATTCGCACTCCAGAACGAGTGAATCCTGTTTCCTTGATGGCGAGGCTGACAGCGGGTCTACTAGATAGATCCACCATCGGACGATCCAGGGCTGGCGGTTCCAGACGCACGCAGATCCCGTTTGTCATCGCCAGTTTGAATCCGGGATTGGCGGAAGGAATGCAGGCCTGGGATATGCACAATCCCTTGAGCTTACTAGGTGCTAAGTTGGTTGGAGTTTTGCGTACAAGCATATCTGGGCCAGATTTGCGATTTCCCCGCCTGCGTCATGGGCACAGAGTCCATCAGTTGCGGCTGTCAGCGACGGCAGGAGGTTCGTCTCACCCACCAGGCTGAATGAAAGAGGCTAAAAGATATCCCAAAACAGGAAGGAAAAAAAAGAAAGAAAAGAAAAGAAAAGGAGGCTATTAAATACGAGGACAACGAAGGCGCAAAATCATGTTCAGGGTTTAATAAGATGCAACCAAGGATCCAAGGCTGTGGTGGTCCCTTCTTTCAGCCGCTAAATTGGGGGCAACTGTCCCCTGCCCAGGTGTTTCGGGTATTGAAGTCGTTAAATGCCAGTTTAACCTCACTTAGAGCGCTATCCGTTTGCTGGGCGAACTCAGTTCATCAGATTAATCAGTGAGCGATTGTTTGGTCATCTTCTATGGCTGGCTGGGAAGCAATGTGGGCAATTCATTGGTACGCTCCTTCGAGCTGTAATGTCAACAATCCATGGAAGTTAGTCTATAAATAAGTAGAACAAGTCTGAGCTGAGCGGTTGCCTACCAACGTCGGGCACAACCCCGCTTGTGTCGGTACAAAACCTCTTGCCCTTGAGATCGTTAACCTGACGCTGTGTGCCATACGTTTTTCGGATGTCACAGTATTTGAATCAGCAATGTTCCGTGCTTTGCTTCAAGAAGCAAGATGTAAGGTGTGAAGGGAAGATATAGTTATGCACTCCACTTCTAGTTGCTAATGCCGCTCACCAGGCATACTGTTCGGCAACTGGGCTCCCTTGCAGTCACCAGATATCGTCTTGGTTTGCTGGATAACGATGAAGCTATCATTGCCTTCACCCAATAACGAATCAAGGAAATATCCTATCCAGGCCCATCCCCTCCATGTCATGCCACAGCTCTATCTATCCCTGCCAACAGATTGGATGACAAAGGAGATGACAATGAGATCACCACTGGGTGCATGAATCTAACACTGAATTACCTCCTCCACTTGTTAGACTCAAAAGCTTTAGAGAACCTCATAATATGTTGCGCTATCCGTATAAAACTGGCAATGAGCTCCAGGACTGCCGTAACCGGATTAGGATGCCTCGAGAGCCGCCAAGCAGAACTGGGTCCATCACGTGAACTCTTTCCCTTAAGGTTAGTTACTGGCTGGGGCCAACTTGAACTCGGGAACCGAGTAACCTTCCAACTCGTTGATGTTCCCAGTCTCAGGCAAGCACTGTCAGGCCAAGAGAGTACGATTTCTGGTTGATTCATTGATCACTTGAAGGAGACTGTATTCCAATGGCTTCAAATATCACTCTCAGCATCAAGCCGCGAGGTGTGTTCAAACTTAGAGGGTACCCCGAAGTTTGATATATCCTTACACGCCCATATATCCAAAAGTTATAGAAGCGTATCAAAAGCTAACAATATAATCAATCACCTTCTCGACAGGCAATCCAATCGCCAAACTTCCTCAAGAGCTGTCAATCGAGCCCAACGCAACTGGGTCAGAGCTATATAACACCATCGCGTCGCGATGCGGGCTTTCCATACACCGCATTAGGGTCACCAAGGCCAGCGATGGGAGTGTCATCCGCAACAACAGCGATGCCACTGTACACTCCACCGGCCTCCGAAATCAGAGCACCATCTACATAAAAGATCTAGGTCCGCATTACCTCAGTTCCCTTGTTCCCTCTTGCATTCTCACTCTACCATCTTAGGATGCTCAATACGTATACATATTCCCCGCGAGAATTATCTCTCTGACATCATATCCAGGAGTCCAACTCGGCTGGCGAACCGTCTACCTGATTGAATATTTCGGCCCACTCCTCATCCACCCAATATTCCTCATGCAGTCCATGCGCTCCAAAATCTATCGCACCCCTAATCCTCCCCAAGTTACCAATTACCAACTTCTGTTCTGCGCCCTCATTCTCCTCCACTTTGTGAAACGCGAACTAGAAACAGCCTTCCTCCACCGCTTCGGCCGCGCAACCATGCCCGCAGTCTTCGTCATCCGCAATAGCGCGCACTACTGGGTCCTCTCAGGTCTTAACGTCGCCTACTGGGTCTACGCACCAACCTCCAATGCCGCATCTACAACGATTGAATCTGCAAACCCATTCCTACTCTACACTGGCCTAGCTTTATTCGCCTTCGGCCAACTAGCAAATCTAAATGCACATATAGTGCTCCGAAACCTCCGACGGCCCGGCACGAGCGAACGGGGCATCCCGCATGGCTTCGGGTTTAACTGGGTGACGTGCCCCAATTACCTATTCGAGGTAATTGCATGGGTCGGTATGTATCTGGTCAGCGGGTTGAGTTGGAGCGTGGTGCTCTTTATCATTGTTGCGTGTGCGCCCATGATTACCTGGGCGAAACAGAAGGAGCGCTCGTATCGCAAAGAGTTTGGTGACAAGTATAAGAAGAAGCGGTTCGCCATGCTGCCGGGCATTGTCTGAGCTTGGTGCTTTCCGCTTGTGGGTGGTGGTACTAACGCTGTCGACTGGCTACCTAGACGCGGGATCAAATCAGTCGACCATTGTCTGGGGATAGCAGCAAGGGGTTGGACGGCGTGGTGTTTGTCGGTGGGACAGGACGAGGTGGCCATGATTGAGTTTAATGCAGGCTCGGATTGTGACATTGGTCAGCAGGAGGCCTGTCCTTTGTCTTCGGGTAACAACCTTTCTTAATCCATAAAAAAAATATGTGTTCGGCGTCGGTGTATATTATGCAACGTGAAACAATCCTGTTTTATTAGCCGGGGAAGATCAATTTGCGAACAGATGTACTATAACTAGTTGAAGTAATGTTTGTAAATTTATCTCTCATTCGTTTCATTCGTGAAACATAGTTTATTCGCTTTCATCCATTTTATGCAAAACCGTTGGGTTGTGTGATATAGATAGAACATTGTATCATCCGTGGATAGATTATTGGGGGCAAACCGGACATTTTTTACTATTTACCTATCCTTCGAGGTCGGGAAGTAGATGGTGTAGAACGGCTAGATATTGTTTGTAGTAGATAATGATAGGCTGCCGTAAATAGCATCCTGGAATGTCTGTGAAACCCTTTGGTGCCAGGTAGATACAGCGATTTTCTCAATCATTATCTACTTAGTGGCTTGCAATCGAAATTCTATGCCTGTGGCGGGTCTCAGTATGCCGGACACCACAGGAATGATGCAAGACATTTGAATGGGTTTTGGAAATTTGGATAAACTCACCCTAGGCAACTCTATCAGAAAAAATGAATGTGTTCAAAATATTTGACTTGGTTTGGGTTTTTTTACTGCGAAGAACATTTGCGGATGTTACAGATCCCTTTCCTTGGGTGCCTTCAAACTCTCTGACATTCATAGATATTCAGAGAGCCAGCAGGCAGACTCATTCAAAAGGCAGCTGCTCTCACATCTACGGCCACCAAGTTTTATCAAGCTGGTCGTGCTTCGAACCTGCAACCCGTCACTTCCATGGCCGCTAGATAAGCCAGAATTTCTTCGACAAGTTGGCTTTTGGTGATATGCACCCTGTTGCCCTTCTCAATTCTATGTCACCGGAATATGAATCAACTGTTAGAGAAGTCAACGCCTGTTCAACAATCCAGTTCTGCCATGTATGAGCTGCCCCCAAGCCTTATCACAAAGTTGTACCACCAGTAACCTTTCGGAATGAACCTGAGGGCTGTGGTAAAGTCCCGATATTCAGGACACCAGCCTGCTGACTCCCAGTCCAAAAAGCCTGTAATTTGTCCATTTTGTACAGCGATGTTATGGTGCTTGAGGTCGCCGTGCGTGAAAACGATACGATGAGGCATTGAATCTACTTTTCTAGCACAATCAAGTGCGTTGTTGTATTCTGTTTCTGATGGGAATCCCCCTGACCAAGCAGTGCTCCGGAGGTATTCATGTATTCATTGAACTTTTGTTCTGACTCAAAAGGGCCAATGAGATGATTAGGTACGCGAACGCTCCTAATAGCTGTGTTCATCAAAGAGCAAATTCTGTTCTCCCCCCATGGACTTTTCCATCTCCGGATTGCTTCTAAATAACCGTTTAATTGCAATTGGATCGAATCTCGCTCAGTGTCACTTGGGATTTTGTAAACTCGACCAAGTTCATCGCCGGGGATACGAGTCATCAGAATTGATACTGGAGCATGCGGAGTATCTGGATGGTCTCCATAGCAGATCACCTTCGGAACTGGGAGACCTGCTCTTCTGGCGACCTACATTGTCAAGACTTCTTCTAACCGAGTACCATCAGACCACTTCAGAATCAGCCCAAATGGAAGCTGAGCAATCTGATTATCAAAAGTAGCCCCGACCCAGCGACAATAAGACTCAGAGAACAATCTCAGATATTTGTGGATAATGCCCCATAATCGGCGTACTTTAGGGTGGGTCGCGCGAGGTGTTTCTGGTATTTTGCTGGTCACTGTAGGTGAGATATTATTTGCCCAGGTAAAATCCGGTATACGTGAGGTTATAAAGAAAGTGCAAGAGAGAGAAACTAAGTAGTTAACCGTCAGGGGCTGACTAATCAGTCCGCCGCGGTCACAAAACCTCCCTAGGGGTATCAGGCGCGCCAGCACGGTAGCTAGTCTACCGCCAGACGGAGTCTAGTTGCCTATGCCTATCTACATTATATGTACAAATTATCCTCCTTCCTGGAGGTTTTGCTTGTGGTGCCATTACAGGTGGGCACAGATTGCTGCAGGGTGTTAGACCCTGTTGGGGGTTGTCAGGCCCAGGACAGCGAGATATCTGGGGTAAAGAAAGTAAATGAAAAGAGAAGAAAGGAGTGTGGAGAGAGGGTAAAAAGGAAAAAAACAGGACATAAGAGAAGGGGCGAGAGAGAGGCGCCAGGGGATAAGAGGCCTGGAACCGGGCTAATTCGTGGTGCGAGTATCTGGTTCTACTCTAGAAATTTGAAATACTAACCTCGTGTCCAATGCCTTGGCCTTCTAGGTAGGTATTATACATCGTGCGATGCGCCAGTTGCTGGTTCCAAACCTGAAGGGGGGTTAGATGTAAGCCACCTAGTCACAAAGGTGGATGGTACCAGGCGCTATCTTATAGCAAGCGTTCACACGTATACAGTAAGGTTGGGCCGTACAGTATGCCTTATGATGTTTGATCACTATAGGATAGGGTAGTGCCAGCTAACCGGATGGACGGTAGGTATATAGAGGATATCTAGCGTTACTAGTTAACCACGGCGGTGGCTTAAGGTTCTTGTAGAATATAGTAGTCTAAAAGAGTAGACAGAATAAAAGAGTAGCAAACTACCTTAGAAATACATAAGAGCAAAAAATTTCTCCAGGATACAGCCATTCAGCAGTTCTAGATCTGAATCCTGAGCTCCTTCCATCTTTATGTAAAATTCTAAACCAATCATGAAAACTCAAATATGTAAATGAAATGAAACGAACAGAAAAGAAAAAGAAGAAAAAAAAAAAGAAAAGGGAAAAAAGGGAAAGGGAAAAAGATGCCCAATGGACGACAGATATTATTTAGATAATAGGAAAAAGCCAGCATTTTTCATGGACATACAGAGTACATTCTTCAAAGCAAGGAAATAGAAAGAGAAGAGGAGAAAATTTTACACTCATCTATTCGCGTTACTTGTCTCCCGGGCCCATTTCGTCCAAAAGATCTCCATCTGCTGCTCGCAAGTCTTTTTGGGTTCAGGGGCATCGCAACCCAAAAACCGAACGATAAAGTCTCCGTCGTTGAACAGGCTGTCTGGCATTAAGGAAGGAGAATCCGTCGTATAAGAATTGAGAATACGTTGTGGGATCAGCGCTAATTTTGCGAGGAGGGTGGGGTGCCATTGGATGATATGATCCTATGATGGGAAAGAAAAGAGGGTTAGTAAAAGAGTAGTTATGGTTGCGGAAGCGTTTGCGGGTTGGATTTCACAGATACATGGCAATATGAACACTCACCAGAGCATGGGTTTCCGCTTTTGCAAAGTTATAACTGCGGTATAAGGGGTCAAACCACGCATCCAGAAAGTAGCGAGTCCAGTCTGTTCGCCGCAGGATCATGCTACCAGGGCACAGATTTTCCGCATCTTGGCTGATGATGAAGTCCACGTCTTTTGCTTTTAGGTGACTAAATGTCTTGATGACGCTACTCGGCGGCACTACGGGTTTATCTTTGATCATAAGGAATTCCAGCCGCTTGTAATCGAGGATATGGGAAGTCAGGGAGAGGGAAGGGTTCATGATGACGGCATGCGGCGAAATATGGAAGAAATGGGATGCCTTCGGATACAAAGTGTAGGCATGGCGGAGGGCAGGGACTAAGGCCCAGCTGCGAGGAGCGCCGTCTAGGTAGGGAAGGTATTCTCTTGTACTGGCGAAAAAGTTTGTGTAGCCTGTTTGTTTATCTCCTTATTAGCACGTTGTAATTCACTGCCAAAGAGCTTCTTGCATTATTCTTACCATGACGCTTAGCATAATCTTCCCGATTATGCTTAATGCGTTGAATATACTTGTCACTGAATTTCTCCTCATCCAAAACCGTGACAATTACTATATTCGTCTCCCCGGTTGGTATGACCTCTCCCGAAGACGCAAGAGACGAAGAAGAGGAGAAAAGGCGAGAGAGCAAGAAAAAGAACGAGAAAGCAACAACTGCCAATACAGCAGCTACTTTCAACTTGCGGCGAGTGGAGGTGTGTGAGAGGCGCGTGTACGAGACATTATGCGAAGGCTTGCGCGGGGGTAGGGCGAACTGCATCTTCTGTATATTTTAAAATTCCTGAAATTCAAACTCCTTCCCCCAGCTACGGGGATGCTGGGAGACAACAGTAATCAAACCCTCCTCTTGGAAGACTTTGACATGTGGTTCTTTTTTTTTTTCCCTGGTCTCTGGGCCGTTGTTAAGAGCTTCGCGCTTGCATAATAATTTGAGGATGCGAGATGAAGACGGGCCTCGGGGCGGAACAACAAGATTCTCCGCTCTCTATCCAGCAGAATGTTTTGGACTACTGGAGCTGTATAATAATTGATGTGGTGTGTTCAGAGGTTTTCTAGTTATTATATGTTTATTGATTCCAATTTGCTTTACCTGAGTTGTGCGCCACGAGAGGGCAAGCAGTTTTATGGCATCTTGTCAGGGTTATATATATTGTCAAATATTATCCGAATATCTGAGACATTCGAAGAACATCATCTCCAGCTAGCCATGCAGCATTCCAAGGATCCCAGTCTTGAAACCGAGGATGGACTGCACACGAATACGCGAGACTACGCTTTCTGGTATTGTAAAGTTAATTTTGTAAAGTACTAGCACATATGTGAAATTTGCGTGCCACCCAAGGGGCGCAGATGCGGTAGTCATCTAGGATTGGACGCTCACATTTTGGAGAAGAAAGAAATTAATTGATTACCACGACATCAAAAAATACATAGTCTAATATACATCCCATTGTAAGCAGGGGTAAGTGTGTGAACAATCAGTGCGAGATATCTTCCAGCCATCTACCGCCCCATCCTGCCACCACCAGAGCGCAAGGCTGACGATTTACACCAGTTGAACAGATAAGATAAACCTAGACTCAGATACCCTCCCGACACATCAATCAACTCAAAGGCACACATCCATTCCCATCCAAATTGAAAATTTCCGCTCGACTACTCTGAGCTCCGCGGCACAGCTATCTTTTCCTGTCCGGCGGATTCCAATTCTGCAGCAGCCTTCAATTCTAGTTCCCTTTGTTCCTGCTCAAATTTCTCCTTCATTGCCTTTGACCGCATCACTTTCCACCGCAGATTCCACCCGAAAACACCCAATTCCTTTATCCTAGCCGGTTTATCGCCTAAGAGGTACTGGTCCAAGCCCCCCACCTTCTTAATTGTTCTCAGCACGCGATGCTGGACTTTGAGCTTTAAAGTCTTCCCTAGGGCTTCGCTATAGAGTTCTTCGTGGCGAATGTTGGGTTTCCATGTCCGTCTTGTCTTTCCCTTATTTCGGCCCTTGGAGATTTTGTTTCCGAATTGGATTCTAGAGCCGCCGTAGAGACCTGTGTTTGATTGTTTGTAGAATCGGGCGGGGCCGTAGGGATATTCTGGAATTGACTTGGGTGGGTTTGTAGCAACATATAGGGAGCGAGTTGGTGTCCAGAAGAGATTGCGGAATGCTTGGAGGAAGGATGAAGGGCGGGAGGCGGAGAGAGCGAATGGTTTGGTCGTGTGGAGAGACATTGTCGCGACCATGCTGTGCTAAAGCCCAAGCATGGCAGTGGAGTGGGAGAACTGACTGGATGTGCGGCTACACTCCCACGAACCGGATAAGGTCTAGGAGGTCAACGGCTGTAGGCAAAGAGTATTGCTATGGGTGAGATCGATTGACAACGGTCTGTCGGCATTGAATATTCAGGACTGAATGATGGTTGCTTTGGAGCGACTTTTGCAACTTTCGGCGCTAGGGTTCATTCGGACTAGCGTCATTCTACAGTTTTGTTTAGCTAAGCCAGACTAACTTAGTTAATCGATTGCTCCAGGCCGCAAAACCATCCAGAAGCAAATAGCGCGAGGAAGCTTCAAATAACTGTCGTCTTTATTTGCAACTCTGACCACGGACTATCCACGACCCTTTTAATTTTGTGATTGCCAATTATTCTCAACCTTGTGATTGCTCCTAACCATCAGCTCATCTGCGCTCAGCAGAGACCTCTACCACCATGGTTCAGATCAGTGAGGTCAAAGGAAATTCGCGCGAGAACAGAACGGCAGCGCACACCCATATAAAAGGCTTAGGATTACGGCCCGATGGCACTGCTGAACCTACTAGTGCTGGTTTTGTTGGACAGGCTGCCGCGAGAGAGGTGAGTTTGGAATCTTCTTTGACCATTTCCGTGTCGAACTTTTTTTGTTTTGCCAGCCGTAACACTGCGGTATTTCTCCCAGGCTTGTGGTGTAGTGGTCGATATGATAAGAGCGAAGAAAATAGCAGGGCGAGCAGTCCTGCTTGCGGGCGGGCCGGGAACCGGTAAAACCGCCCTGGCGCTGGCTGTGTCGCAAGAATTGGGCACCAAAGTACCTTTTTGTCCCATCGTGGGAAGTGAAGTTTTCTCAGCGGAGGTCAAGAAGACCGAAGCTCTCATGGAGAACTTTCGAAGGGCAATCGGTAATAACTTTTGCATAATTTCCATGATAAATTACTTTTTGGTTTTTGAGCTAACTTTTCTCTGCGTAGGACTACGGGTACGCGAGACAAAGGAGGTATACGAAGGAGAAGTAACAGAACTTACTCCAGAGGAAGCAGAAAACCCATTGGGAGGCTACGGAAGGACGATAAGCCATCTAATAATCGGACTCAAATCTTACAGAGGGACGAAAAAGCTGCGACTCGACCCTAGCATCTACGAAGCGATCCAGAAAGAAAGAGTAGCCGTTGGCGACGTCATATACATCGAAGCTAACACTGGCGCGTGCAAGCGTGTTGGACGATCTGACGCCTATGCCACCGAGTTTGATCTAGAGGCTGAGGAATACGTTCCTGTCCCGAAGGGCGACGTCCACAAGAAGAAGGAGATCGTACAAGACGTCACGCTCCATGACTTGGATATTGCCAATGCCAGACCCCAAGGTGGGCAAGATGTGATGAGCATGATGGGTCAGCTCATGAAACCCAAAAAGACGGAAATCACAGACAAACTGCGTCAGGAAATCAACAAGGTTGTAAACCGATATATTGACCAAGGGGTTGCCGAATTGGTTCCTGGCGTTTTATTCATCGATGAAGTAAGTTTTACCTTTCCGCCCCAATGAAATACCCAAAACGAGTAAAAAAAAAAAAAAAGAAAAGAAAAGAAAAGAAAAGAAAAGAAAAGAAACCATCCAGACTAACAATCATTCCCTTCCGCAGGTCCACATGCTTGACATAGAATGCTTCACCTACCTGAACCGCGCCCTCGAATCCTCCATCTCACCCATTGTAATCCTAGCCTCGAACCGCGGCAACACCGTCGTACGCGGCACAGGCGACATTGTCGCTGCCCACGGAATCCCACCAGACCTCCTCGCCCGCCTCCTCATAATCCCCACCCACGCCTATAACCCCGAAGAAATAAAAACCATCGTGCGCCTGCGGGCCAAGACAGAGGGCTTGACCATTAGCGAGCCGGCGCTGGAAAGAGTCGCGGCGCACGGAAGTAAGGTGAGTTTGCGTTATGCTTTGCAGCTGCTGACGCCGGCGAGCATCCTGGCGCGGGTAAGTGGGAGGGCTAGCGGGATTGAGGAAGCGGATATTGCGGAGTGTGAGGATCTGTTTATTGATGCGAGGAGAAGTGCGGGGATTGTTTCGGGTGGGGGTGCTGCTGGGTTTATTTCGTGATTTTTCAATTTTATTTTTTTATACTAATATGATGTGATGTGATATCTTATTTGCTTTTCGATGTTGTACCGACAAGTTTGTTTTAGCCTACAATTCTTTTTAACTTGGACAAGGCTGAGAATTTTCTCCCCTTTCTTTGTCCCATAATAAGTTCTTTTATATATGTTATTCCATAATTATGCGAGGGTGGTGGGAAAGTAAAAGAAGGGATTCTAGATGGTCAAAATAAAACATAATAAATCTAATACACGAAGACCAACCCTTCTCAAGGAAATTACTTCTGAAATCTCTCTATACGGCCCTGTTGCAGTTGAGACAAGTGACAGCCAGGGCCCGATATACTCTCACGTTGGGTATCTTCCACTGCCGCGCCTTTATTCTCTTCTCGTCTTGTCCCCCCTCTCCCAAGCCCGATGAAAATAAAGCACCACCCGCCTCACAATCCCCAAAAACCAGTAAATTACCAACAGAAACCTAACAAGAAACCTAGCTAGCCTTTCCCGTTTGGCCAAAGCCTCGACCTGCGACCATTCCATAGCGTCTGGGTAAGAAGGAAGAAAGGGGTCATCACCCAAGACCCCGAACGGCAATTCAGCTCCCAAGTGGTCCACAGCTACTTGAAACGCACTGCGGACCGCATCCTCGTACCGCCCGTATCCAGTCCACGGACCACAGTAACTAATCCCGCGCGTATTTTGGATCCGTTGGAGCAACTTGTGTGATCTCAACGCTCGGTTATTGAACGTAAAACGCGAGTATTCCCATATCCCCTGAACGCGGAGTGGGTGGGGAGGAGATATGGGATTGTGAGTTATGAGGACGGGGCCGAAGATTTCTTCCGAGAGTCCTTGCAGCCGATTTATGTGAAAGGAGGTGCAGAATTGACTGGTGTCGGGGGGGTTGCGCTGGGAGGATTTTGTAATGAGGTTAAAGGCGGCCCACACACGTTTTCGCTTCGGCATCAACTATCGATGGCGAATAGCATCTTTAGCTAAATGTGTGGAATGAAAGATAAACTCGTTTCGGAGCAAAATGTCGATTGGCACGGTCCAAGCTCGGACATGTGGACGCAAAAGGGGGAAGAGTTGGAACTTACCGCCGTGTCGGAATGTAGGATTGCGATAGAACTCGCTGTTTGGAATCCGCTCAACGCCCGGACCTCTTCATCAGTCGCATCCGCGGATATCAGGTTTAAAGCGTTATGGGCAGACGTCGCAATGATGACATGATTGAAATATTCCGTTCGGCCTTGCTCCCCTTGCACTGCCAACCAACCGAGTCTATCACTTGTTTTAACTGATTTGATTGTCGTATTGAAATGGACTCTCTCAGTAGCTGAGATATTGGTGGTTGCTGCCGCGAAATCAGCTTTGCCTCCTGCTACAATCATCCACTCTGACCACCATAGTGAGCTCCGGAGAATATCACAGTTCGCCATGAAACGTAGAAGTAGCGCTATTGGAAGCTCCAGTGCATCCCTTGCATTATGGACGTTCCATAAAACTGCAATAAGTGGAATTATGTAATTATCGCGGAAAGAATTCGAATATCCCTCGGTGGCCAGATATGCGCCGATGCTCTTCTGGGATTGCTCATGTTGGTAAGGTTGCTGGATATTTTTCCATTTTCGCGACCTTTGTCTTTTGACAGGTTGTTCACCCCTTAATGAATCCAGGGCAAAATGATTGAATCTCACAACATCAATCAACATCCTCCACATATCCAACCGGAACAGGTTTCGGGAAAGAATTGCGAAGGGGGATGCTGTTCTCCATTCAAATAAATCCCCGAGCTGGGTCGAAGCGATTGAGAATTCTATGTCGTGGCAAGGTATCTGTAGCTCCTGCAGCAATGCATATAGATTTGCTGGCCTCCCAAGTAAGCTCCTAAGACAAGGAAGGCTCAAGGTACGGAAGCAAACTAACGTGAAGTGGAAGGCTTGAAATAAACAAGTCCTGTATCAATCCCAATAGTCTTTCCTCTCTGCTCGTACTGTACTAAATGCGTAGGACCTCCAAATCTGCTCCCGGATTCGAAAATATGGACTTCATGCCCTGAGTCTTTCAAGGCCCAGAAGGCAGCAAGACCGGAACAACCCCCGCCAACAATGGCAACTTTCTTGGAAGTCATTGTGATGTGCTCGGCAGGTATCGGAATAAACGAAAGATCACATCCAGAAATATCATTAGTGTTGCCAGCAATATAATATGGCTGACTGGTTGGCCATTGGACAAGATTCGTGCCGGATTCAGCAAAATTTGACGCTCTCCGTATTGGCGAACCAAGGACAATCTATGCGACGAATACAAACACTGCAATCGCGCAATATCGCCAGGCTAAAGTGCAGATAAGTTCTATCATATGGAAAGGCATTGGTATGTCTCGACGACTTGTGGTAAAGATGCTCCGGCGCGCAACGTCTCGTGAAGGGGAAGGTGGAGGAATAGTATAACTATATATTACTCTAATTAGTAATAGACCGAAATACACTGATCTCTCTCTCTACTTCTGTACTCCGTAAGTAGTTACAGGATATTGTAGCAAGAGATTGCATCGCACGTTCCAAACACCGTTCTAGCTGTCTCATGTCTGGATGTTGCAAAGGTTCCAGGCCGGGCAGATGGATGGAAGTAGGATCACGTGCGGCTAGATTCAGAGGTACTTTTAAATACAGGATAGTCAACCAATTTTTAGTCGTTTGCAGAAGTAGTTTTATGTATTTATGTCGTCGCCTATTTATTTAGTTACCCTTCTTGGCGTGGCTGGGGTTGGTTCATCTCCCAACTCGCAAGTCTCCAACTCAACAAGTATACCACCACATCTATATACAATCCCGCAGAAGCCAGTCATTAATCTAGGAGCCTGGGGGATCTGGAATCGACAGTAATTAAGCTTCAAACGCTTCAACATCTCCTAGCCATCCTAAACTTCGCCTATACAACAACAAGGAAGGAACAAACCAATCCACCCATCTGTCTGGCATCCGTCATAGCCGCGTCTACCAGCACTTCCTACGAGATATTCCGTTTCGCATTCGAGATATATAAGCAATGGCCAGGCCCCTCGAGACAGATTCCGGCTCAGAGCTGTTCAGTAGCTATGAAGCTGAGCTTAAGCTCGTCCAGGCAGACCTGAATCAGAAACTCGATCAGATCGCTGAATCGCAAGGAGAGGAAAGGAAATTGGCCATCAAACAAGCAGAGAGGGCGTTAGAGGAGGCCACTGAACTGGTAAATTTATTTCATACCTACTCCCTTAGCCCCCGTCCTGTGACTTCGTGACCTAATCATCAGTCGCTGTCTGTCCCGGATCTCCGGATGACAAACAAATTTACTCACACACGAGCCCCCTCAAAACGTATAGATAGATCAAATGCGGATAGAGAAAGAGAATATCCCCTCCGCAACCCGTTCGAAAGTGAACGCCCGTTTCCGCAACTTCGTTACAGATATCGACGACGTCAAGCGCCAACTTAAGTCCCTCTCTGATGACCGCAGAGCGCTCTTTGGCGACCGATACACAGATGAACCTAACGGGATAAATGACCACCACCTGGAGCAAAGACAGCAGTTACTATCTGGTACAGAACGGCTAGAGCGGAGCTCTGCTCGCCTGAGAGATAGCCAGAGAGTAGCGCAGGAGACAGAAGATATTGGACGGAACACCCTAGCCGATCTATACGTCCAGCGGCAGACCATCGAACACACCAGAGCTGGTTTACTGGAGAGCGAAGGCTACGTGGATCGCAGTGTAAAGACGCTGAGGGGGATGGCCCGTAGGTAGTACACCCTCAATTTTGAGCACAATTAAATACATGTTGGCCGTAGGCGTAACTGATTTTTGTGTGAATAGGATGGCTACGAATCGGGTGATAACCATCGCCATAATAACCGTATTAGTCCTTCTTATCATTGCGGTTGTATATAGCAAGTTCCACTGAGCGTTCTCCTTTGGGATACATGGTTGCACGTGTTTTGTTGCGGTGTTTTGGGCGAACTGTCTCCTTGTTTTGCTGCTTTCCCACTTGTCCCAGTCATTTTATATATCACTACTGATTCATTTGCGATTTTGTATGATACGGGTATTCCCTACTCCTACTATAGCCCTGTTGGTTTTCCCTTTTACGTACCAGATGAGCGGATTCTGATGGAGACAACCCGCCACACGATATATTAATGTTATGAATTCATTATGAGCTAAAACTATGCTAGATGCGTGGGTATCTAATGCTTTATCATCTATCATCTACGGAGTACATATCCAGTCATGGCTCCAGCCAAAACCAAAGGGATTAAACAAAAGCGCTATAAAACACAAAACCAAAAAACATTTACGGATAAACATAATGCAATTCAACGACCCTCAATTCAAAAACCTCACAACCCCAAAGCCGAAATTAACCACAATCCCCACAAAAACCGCCAACCCTTTCCTCCAACTCCAAACCCCTTGCTCCCTCAACAACCACAGCCCACACCCCACAGGCCAAAAGAACCCCATCACAGATCCCCACAACATATCATCCAGTGGCCCCGCCGCCCCCGACGTTGAGCCGACTCCATAATTGGCAATCCCCGCACTACCACCGCCCCCAGCCGCCCCCGCGCCGCCGCCACCTTCTCCTTCCACAGAGCCCGCAGAACCTCCCTCGTCCATCCATATATCTTCTAGCCGTCGTAGCTCTGCGCCGGACGGCATCGTATCCGGCGTATGCGAGAGTGACTGGAGGGCGAGAAACTGCGAGCGCAGCGCGGAGACTTCTGCCGCTGTGAAGCCTGCATCTAGCAGGCGGTCGAAGCCCCTGGGACCGGGCGCGTTGGGTGGTGGGCGGCTGGCGGTTAATGAAGATTGGACGTGATCAGTAGCGGAGGAGGGCGAAAGCGAGAGCGAGGTGGTACCACGTGGTGCGGTTGCGGAAGTAGAAGTTGCAAAACTGCCCGATGTCGACGATCGTGGTGGGGGTAGGATGTTGGAGGCGGAGGCGGAGGATGAAGCGGCAGACGAAGGTTTTAGCCGAGTGGATGACCCGTCCGACCCCTTGCCTTCCCATTTTGCACTATCATTTTCCTCCGCTACACGCGCCAGCTGCGCCTCAGCCTCTAACTCCTTTGGGGAGAGGATAATATCACCAATCGAGCAGTGAATGTAGGTCCGTAGTCGTGGCGCGGGGGGGTCCCGCACGGGTGCTTTGCCCTTGTCTTTCCCACTCCCATTACCACCACCACCCCTTCCATCTCCTGCGCGAGAGAAGGAATCCGGTACCGGGAACGAGGTGATCTCATCCCTAATCCTAGGTAGGGTAGCGGCGATGTTTAGCGAGGAGGCGAGCGAGGAGGCATCGTCGAGAGCTTTGCCGGCATATATGAGGCGGAGGCGGTGTGTGGAGAGATCATGCGGGAGTCGTTGGCGTATGAGCTGTTTGAGGCCTGCGGCTGTCAGGTGGGCTGGGTCGGGGATTTCGAGGAGGACGTCTGGGATTGAGGAGGAGAAGCGGATTGTGAGACTCAGGAGGGAGAAGTGGTCTGTCATTGTTTGTTTCGTTTCGTCGGAGGCGTTGTTTAATTGTTTTTACTTTGGTGGTAGTTTCTGATGCATTTGCGTTGGTGGAGTCATATTCTTTTCTTGTTGGATATTTTTTTTTCTTCACTCTCAACCATGACGATTCGTCATTTATTATCCTATAAAGTTGTAGATCGGTTCATGCCGATGAAGCGCGCACTGGCTGAGCGTGTATATAATCACGTGACAATATATTTATCTCAACTCCGTGGGTGGCAAATAACTCGGCCAGATGAGAGGCCTTATACGAAGCAAGTTACTGAAATTAATATTTGTCGAGTTTCTAGTGATGTGTCATGGATAATTGAAAGCACGTATTGTTTATCTACGCAGCCTATTGCCCTCCCTCTACTGCGGAGAAATCAAATTGACCTTGTAGCAGTGGCCGCCTCGGTGGCGTTGCCCCAATAGGAAGTTGAGAAGATCCTGGATAAACACAAATACTATGAAAAGGTTCAATATCTCGTAACTATGGAAAGGCTGGAGTCCAAGCGAGGGATTCCTGGCAAAAGATTGAGGAGGATCCTGAAGGTGCTCAAGAAGATCTACAGGAATTCGAGGCACGGTAAAATAACCGCCGGTCCCAAGCTATATAAATATTTACTCCCAAGCAACAAACACGGCCTTGACGGCGGGGTGAGTGGAGGAGGTGGGGATCTAAACCACACCCTAAAAACCGAGCATAGGAAGAAAATGGTCCACTTGGTTGGCAAGCCTTGCTGCAATGAGCACACTTATAGCGCCGGCCGCCCAACACGCAGGGTTCAGTGGGAGGGTACTTCTCCATCTTCCAGACACAGCGGTAACAAAACTCGTGGGGTTCCATCTCATAAAGGAACTGCGGAGGTGGGCTCGCCGCCTGCATCGCGATGCCTAGCTCGATCACCTCCGCCGACGGCATAGCTGGGGCAGGGGGGTCTGGTCTGTACTTCGAGTTTGCAGGTACCGGGACGAAGCCAGGCAGAAGCGCGTATGCGGGCGCGAGGGGAGTTGAGATTGCGTCAGGACGAGACACAAACACCGAGAGCACAGAGTGAGGGGCAGGGGCAGGCGTATTCGCGGAAGCGGTAACAAAACTTCCAGAAACTAGGGCCAGCATATCCGCACTTCCTCGTCGGCCAACGTGGCAAAGAAACCCTCCTTCTCCAGGTAGTTCTCGAAAGATCCCATTAACTCGACGACTCAAAGACCCATGATCTCGCGGTACAGCGCAGTATTCCCAGATTGCGCAGTCCAAAAAGAGCGAACGTCGACCAGGATGGCGACAAGAGGATCTGAGAAACAAGAGGGCACCTAGAAACTCCGTCAGCTACCACATTCTCACTTGGTATATCATGAAGATATGGACCCTATCGGCAGATAGAATCGTTCGAGGCCGTGGCGCGATGCCAGAGGGCAAGGGAAGGTAGAGGTGCAGGGGCACTGGAGGCACCCACTGCAAAGAGAAAATGCAAACCAGGCAGAGATCATTGACCCGTAGGGCCAAATCCACAGACTTCGAAGCCAAAGCATGATGGCGGCAATGGTGGACGTGTTGGAGGCGAGCGCTGATGTCCGGCATGGATGCGTTTGTTCGTTGGAACCCCCTGCTTTCCCAGCAGCGAAGCTCATGTCCTTGCAGCTGCTGCCCGCTTGCCTCTTGGTTCGCCGTAAGTCTAACATAAGATATTAATTAATAATTGGAGACTGACATGTATTAGCCCCTCCCTCTCATCGCCCCCGCCAGCCCCCCTCCCTCTCTCCTGAGTCCTTGCTCCATCACGCTTCCCCGCCTCCTCTAACGGGGGGGGGGGAGGGGTTTGATGGTTTCTACTTTAGGAATGACGGTCCGGGGCTCTCGCGGCTCCTGCCACCCCCACCGCCGGCCTAGCATCACTCCTCTCCCGTGCCCACCACCCCCACCAGGCCAGACCTCTCTCGCAAGGGATATGTCCAATTTGATCGGGCTGACCAGGAAAGGATACCCTGGAAGTTCCAGAGCGGGTATAAATGCTCGACCCCTACCCGCCGATGGTAGTGAGGAAGTGGTGGTTCAGGACAGACCAGGAGTGAGCCAGGCTCCTCCGCTTTTTCCCATGCCTCTGTTTCCCCACATGGTCGAGTAATAACCATGGCAGGGGTAGTTCCTCGAAAAAACAAGTCAAGAATAGCGACAACAAACCTCGACGTTGTACAGCCCAAAAAAAATTTCCACCCTTCATTGACGCAAGCGGATGTGGCGCACATATCATGACTGGGTTTCGTGTTTCAGCTCCTAGGACCATGATAAAACCAAGAAAATGAGTTGATCCCAACCTGTAAAAGACAACTCAATTGTTAAATATGTTGTTGCAGGAGATTGGTCATAGGTGTTTTCAGGGATGGCGGCGAGAAGTCCTTTGCGGTAGGATGATATTGCTGGTAAATAATGACAAATGTCCGGAATGGTTTTTTACTGTTCGCACCTGTAATCTCCACTAATGCCATCGCCGAGTGCGGTCCTGACCATTGCGATTCAATCGCAAATTAAGGCTTTTAGGTGGATTGGAGAAACTATCTAGGACATGCAGCGGTCTGCATTTGTCATGTCACGGTATAGCGGCGCGCCGTCATTGTATAACTGTGGGAATCCTAGCCAAGTTTGGAGGAAGAAGCCTGCAACACGCCTTGAGGTCCTCAGTCTTTTAAAGCCACTCAAAGTGGAAGCATCGTCCCATGGCGCGGTGCCAGTTCATCCACACAGCAGGATATTATTCAGTGGCTCGGTATCAACAATCAACAGTCGCTCAGCATCCATGCCATCTTCGCCATCTTGCTCCTTGTATAAAGCCGGTAAGACAACTTGGAGGCGCTGGCGAAATAGATCAGATCTCAACATTGACCGGTCAACATCCTCATTCGTTCTCTTATGAAGGAGCTTGGTAACAAAATCACCCGGGTTTTGAATGGATTTCTCAAGATATGCCAAAAGGTAAAGGCCACAGTTGAATGTATTAGACTGCTGTGGTATGCCTTTCGCAGCCATACCTTCTATGTTTTTGCTGTTGATGATAAGTGATCGTTTCGACTTGCCTTCCTCTATAACATATTCCTGAAGAATTCTTATAGTTTCACTTCGCCGGCTTCCCAGGGAATCAAAAATGATGATGTCAGCCTACTGAGAACCATTTTCCTTGGTGCTTGAAACATCAACAGGGGAGGTTGTCTCATCGGTTGAATTTGGCAAATTGCATATGATCGCCATATACCAATGAATATTTTCATTAATCGGAACAACAATGTAGTTGTAACTGAAAATATCCACACACCCAGTGTCCATCTTGACACAGTCTGATAGCCCTTTGTTAAGCTGGTAAAGGACTATGAATTGAAAGAAATACACTTTCTTGGCCTCTTCTGGGTCAGAGCGCTCAAGACGGTGCAACGTCATCAAATTGCCTATCATTTGGTGCTAGATGACTTCCTGTCCTCTTTGCCATCATCGTCATCCTTCTCCGGACGCGGGCGATGGTCCAATGCCTTAGTGGGAGTAGTGGCAGCCGGCTTCTTCTACTAGTCCTTGTTCTTCTTCTCCTCCACCTTACAATGGGTGTTGAGGAGGTAGATGAGCCAAGATAACCGATTAGGCAGTGTATCACCCTCCTCCTAATTGGGAGCTTTTTCCGTAAGTGAGAAACGGTTGATATGTTTGAATGGGGTTGCACTTCTGGAGTCGATCAAGTGCTATAACCAAGATCCTATATGTAGTAAATCTGTATCAACAAATCAAATTATATAGAATTTAGCTAAGAGCTTTAGTTGTTAACTACACTAATGATATTGCGCTAATAGTAGCGTAGCTAGCTCCTCCCAATATCAAGAGATTAACCATCCATCCCACAGAATTGTTCCACATTAGCCGTATATATATATATATATATATATGTCGCGAACCTCAACCATGTTAGTTTGGCTTTCAATTAATAAATAAAGAAAAGAAATAAGAAGGGGGAGAGCGGAAGAATTTCTCTAGAACGAGATGTGCAGGTAGTGGAGACGGGTATATTCAAAAAGTGCATATATGTATAAACAAAAATATCAAAGGCTATCATAAGACTTAAAACAGCAAAGAAAAGATCTCAAATCCAATTTCCGGATATTAATCCACTCGGGAGATATATATAACGCCCGTGCATGCACCTATAAAACAAAATCCCAATACGTAAGAGAAGAGAAATCTTTGGTTGCAACTAGCGTTTACACCATGAATGATTCACCGCAGCCGCATTCGTCCTCTGTCGCAACAACACCTGTCAGTAAAATGGCTCTATATACATACATGTTTGTATCGAAACTTGAGACGAAAGAGGAGCAAGAATACTTACTGATATTAGGATTCCTAAACACAAACCGGCTAGCCAGGCTGTCCTCCTGCCAGTCCATCTCGCTACCAATTATGCTGAACAAAGCTTTGCTGTCAATCAAGATCCTAACTCCGTCTTGCTCCACCACCTCATCAAATGGCGCGGCTTTATCCACGTATTCCAGATGGTAAGATAAGCCTGAGCATCCTCTATTCTTTACGCCAACTCGAACTAGCTTCGGATCCGGCTGGTCGGTTAGACGTCGTAAATGTACAATAGCTTCGGGAGTGATGTGCATGGCGATTTTGCGGGCTTTCAGTCTGCTCACGCGGCGCGGTTTTTTGGGTGTTTCAGATTGCGCAGGCGCTGCAGGAGTGGCGGTTGCAGTTGCGGAGGCGGAGGCGGAGGTTGATGGTGATGAGGGAGATGTTGGTTTTGACTTTTGGGCCTCGGTTTCAGAGGAACTGGTTGTACTCGTCTCTTTGACGGATTCATCGCTCTTAGGTTGTTGTGGCTGTGGTTGACTATTTGATTTTGATTGCCATTTGCTGAGCACAGGATTCTTGACAGTGATTGAGGATTCAGAGGCGCTACCCGAATTCCGGGCGGGCGGGGGAAAAGAGTCTGGAAGAGAGTAGGGTTGATAGGCGGTTGCGGTCTGTAATTTTCGTTTCGAGGAATAATTAGATGAGCCGTGTGAGGAGAACGATCGGAGGCTAAGATGACATGCTCGTCGTCGAGCCAACTTGGTGGTGACTGATCTGAGCAGGCCAGATGATGTCACTGGAGGGTGAAGACTCGAACAGAACGACATGGTTGCAGTAGAAGACGAATTGGCAGTAGTCTATAAGGTATATACAGCCCCAAAAGGGATGTTGGTACAAGGGAGTGAGCGAGTATGGAAAATGAGACCTGGTTTATGGTAGAAATGTGTCCTTGGAGGTCAGCTTGTTGGGATGGGAAGTGAAGGGGGTTTTAGGTTCAACTTATAAATGCAGCATCAGACAAAAAGGGACTCGGCATAAGACGGTCCGGGGGCGGGTGACTAATGATCTTCAGCCCAAATCCACCAATCAGCATGGTTGGGTTTCAACGCATTCTGGTTGGTGGCTGGGGCATGTGTGTGGCGAGGTGGTGTGGCACAAATGACGCCAGTTGGTTATCGCGCGGCTAATGCTGACAAAGCGGGTATTTCGAGGCTTGTTACCACCAACTCCGCGGTTGAGCGCTCTGCTCCTGGGGATAATGAACGCCATTCGATTCCCTGGATCTTATTCGTTCACCATTAATAGACGTTGACAATACACAACCGTCGGGCATCCTCTTCCCCAAAAATCATGGAAGCTTCTCCTCTGACGCAGCAATCCAGACCGGACACCTTCCAGCCAAAGATCGTCAAGCTATACGAAACTCTATTTCTTGTATGTTCCAGCTGTTATTATTCATAGCCACTGTAGCCGAATCTGCTGACAAATGATTTACAGAATCCTGAATATGCGGAACCGTCAGAAGGTTTCTGGAGAGAGTTCTTTCTTCTCCCACCGGAGAGGGTCCGCCTGAGCCAGATACTGGACGGTATCAGTCCTGATGAAATCTTGCAAATCCACGTATGTGCCTATTTGCATATTCACGTACATAATCGTTGAGGACTTGACTAACATAACCCCTAGTTTCACACTCAACAGCTGTTCTCCAGGGCCGTAAAGGAGGCAGCTTCTGGAAAATCTCCATCAAATCTACAGGCTCTAGAGGTTAGCCTGGCTGCATTCTGAATGACCCGCCTAAAAAGACTTACTGAGAGCTTCACAAAACAGACCTTGACAACTCTCTTAGGTGGCGTCTTAACTAAGAAGTACACCAACCCGAGTTCTGATATCATCACTGTTCTCGCTGGCATTGACGAAGTCGACCATGTTATCGCTGACTTTGTCGCTGCCCTGGACGGGATCATACGTAATGGAGCCACCTGTATGATATTACATGCGAAAAACTCAATCATTATGCTTTATCATATAATAAGAACCCGGCTGATTACCTCACGTTAAAATAGCCGAGATCCGTATTAAGGCTGTTGAAGCCGCGATATCAATGACCAGCGGCGGGTATAAAACAAGTCTTATATCCTATTTTATGCATAGGGATATTTTTCCAGCCCTGATGAAGGTTCGACAAAGGCTTCTTATATATATAGGCTCCAAATCTTCTAATCCATATATGCTGACTGCAGATTACTTATAGTTTGTGCATGATTCAGATACCCGCACTCAAATCTTTGAACCATTTGTGCTTCTAGGGCTTCTATCAAACTACAACAAGTTTGAATTCCAGAACCCGTACCAGCTACGACTTGATGACTTTGTAAATGAATCAACCATTCAGAAAATAGTCAATGGAGCTGGTGCGACATGCACTGCCTTGCGGAACGGGTACGTTGCCGTCCAGGATGATCTTCCTGAGGGTTGGAACTTGAGTTCAACCTTGGCCTTCTTTGGCCTTGGGGTTCTGGCGCCTAGTCGCAGAGCTAAGACGCCGTTGACTCCGGAAGAGGCTAAAGCACGCTTTGGAGTTCTGTAAGTATATTCTTTTTTGGTTCTCCTACAACACGTACTACCGAGGACAGGGGTTTTCTGACAAACCTAAAGTCCCTGCCCCGAAGCGACTATATTACTTGCGATATACGATTTCATCAATGCGAATAAGCTGTTTGCTTTCAGTTTTGTCTCATTCATGCCAGAAAAGCGCTCTGAAGAATCACCGTTTTCAAGTTTCCTCTCACTTACCTCGTATCTCCTCCAACATGCATATCGATCGCCAAGAGTTACTCTTTATGCGGAGACTACCTTGTTTTCACTTCGCATACTCGTGGAAGAGCCGTTTCTATGTAAACAGATCTGTAGCGAGGAGATGAAGCGCCCTATACGGCTTTGTCGCCAACGAGCACCTTACCTTCCCTTGATACAGGGAGAAAGGATCCTCGCAACCGTCATCTTCGACATCATGATAGATACTATTAACCATAACCTCCGCAGGGAACTCGACGTCGCCTTATATTGGTGCGTATCCCAACCAGCCTCGGATATTTAGCCACAACACAGTTATATACTAACTCATTGACTTGAACAGTCACACAATCTCCATCCTTCTCCGTCTCCTTACTTATGTCTCCTCAAACCAAACACGTCTCGCATATCACTGGTCCGAGCTCTGGCGGACCCTGCTCACCCTCACCCGTTTCATGACGACTTACGCCAAGGACCTCACCTCAAACCCTCAAATCCACAACCTCGCCACCTCCCTGATTGATCTAATCGCCTTTTGCATATCCGCTGGCGACACCTTCCTCCCAGACCCGGCGTCCTATGACGACCTATTTTACAAGGTCGTCGAGACAGGACCCATCCTCGCCCGCTTCAAAGATACATACGAACGCTCCCTTTCCTCCTCCTCACCAGCAGCCCTCTCAGCCTCCACTGACTCCGCCACACCCTCAATAGACACCCTCATCAGCGTCGCCTCCCACTTCCACTCCCTCCTCTTCCTCGCCGATAAACCCAAGGACACAAAAACAGCAACACAAACACCCACCTCCCCAACCACCAGCACCGAAATCCTCGCCACCGGCAAGAAGAAAAATCTCAGTCCGCGCGAAGTCCACCAGATCATCAAGCAAGGGTATGATACGCTGAGCATCCGGTCGCAGGAAGGGCTGAACCTGTGGGAGAAGTGGAGGGAGGCGGATTGGAAAGCGGAGTTGAAGCGGATTGCGCGCTGCGCGGTTGAGGATGCGAGGATTGTGGTTGTGTCGAAGGCGGAGCAGACGCCGGTCCTTGTGGATACGAGTGTAGGCGGTGGAGGAGGGGGAGGTGGTGGTGGTAAGCAAGTCAAGTAAGACTTGCGTCGTTGTGTCCGGGGACGTTCGTGCGCACCCAATCCATGTTTGGCACTGAGTGCTACATTTTCCGTGTTTCGCGGTTTTAAGATTTTGTCTTCTCGTATGTGCAAGTTTGCGATGAGAAGCCGGTTGTTATACTCAGGGTTTATTTTGTGGTTTACAATTCTGTCTTACGCGCTGCCTCTACCGTTCCCATGGCATTATTTTGCCTGGATGGTTTGTGTAGGGTGATTGTGTTGAAGCCCCAATCATACCAATATAGATCAATGTTCATTTAACTTAAAGTTGTCGTAATGAAAATCGTCCATTCGCACAGAAAAACATAAAATCAAGGAAGGAGGGGAGGGAGAGTTTTCTTCCGTGAGTTGTCAAAGAAAAAATGAGCTACCCTGAAGTTTCCACACCTCGATCTTGCATCGAATATATAATATATAAACCTAAAAACGCCAATAAAAACCACGGGGGAAAAATACGAAGGCAAAGCGAACGCGAAGGGAAAGCAAAGGGAAAGTAAAGGATTAAATAAAAATATCGAGTGAATAGCAAAGCCTGATTGAAAAACTAGGAAAAGGGCGTTGAAAGAAAGGATAGAAATTGTGCCTCACGGTGCCCTTTTGATCACACGTGCCTGGGCGAACTGCCATCTTTTCACAATTCCCTGCGCTTTGCTTGGATTCTTTCGAAACAAAATGGCAAAACATCCAAGATGCAACATATTAGGGTTTTCATATCTCGCCATCCCAGTAAAACGATCATAAAACCTGCTTACATATCGGAATTTGAACGCAGGATATTGAGAGTAATGCTAGGGGTCATTCTTCCATTGTGAGGGAGGCATCGACTTGCAAGTTCCCTCTCCGTAAAAACGCAGCGATAGCGTGCAAATTCCAAATTGTATGAAAAAATATATATATAAAATAAGGAACAGGATTAAAAGAGGCGGGACGTCGCAGTTCCGGGAGCATCCGGGTTTGAAATGCCCTTTGCTTTGTCGATATATTCGTTGCCGGGGCTCTTATATTTGGTCGCAAACATTTTTTCAGAGTTCCTACTTAGCCATATCGCGAGCTTGGATAATTCTTCACGCAGACGGTTTGTGGACTCTTGGCCTAGGTTTGTCTGCGCGAGAAGCTCAGGTAACGAGGCTGTGAAAAGAAATGAAATACGTGTCAGTTCTAGTTTGCATATATAGGTAGACTGGAAAACAGCATTGGAATATTTTGGTAGCGGCGCAGGGTTAGCTTAGTTGATAAAATGAACAGAAAGTCTTACCGAATAATCTGGCTAGATGTTCCGCTCCATATACATCGCAAGGTCCCTTGTCCACGAAACCTTCGGCCGCAGATTCCCATTTCTTCTGCAGGATGTGATATTGCTCTCTTTCAAAACTGTATAGCAATAGTCGGCCAAGGCATTTATCGAAGTATTCTCTCACGCCAGATAACACTTCTTCCAGCACATCCACTTGTGCCTGTGAAGTTCTCTTGACTTTTTCCTCTTCAAAATATGTATCCAGAATTTTGTTCACTGGGACTTTTGCAGGAAGCGGTACCAGCTGCATGTTCTTCGTGATGTTTTCCCAATCATCCACGAGAAGTGCCTTCAGAGTATCAGGCATCACTATCCTTATTGATGGGCGCGCATTAAAATGTTCCTCCTGTGGCAAATCATCAGTCAACACGTCACATAAATTGTTGGTTTGGCTGATTCCAGGCAATACCGAAAATATGATATGGGTGACTTTCACAGCGAAATCGAAACAGTATCTCTTAAGTAGCATGAAAGGTAAAGATGGGCTACATACCTTTTCAATTTCCGCATCTCTTGATCGCTTGGTGCCTCTGGCAGGGGTGGATGAATGCCTTTCTTCGCTATTTCGATTCGAGCTCATGTCGGAGCCACGGCGCCTTTTCGCGGACGACTGTTTAGTCCGCTGCCGCATCGAAGCTTCCACATCACGACGGAGCGTAGCAGCAAGTTCCCTGTTCTCTTCAGTTGCTTTGCGTAAGCGGTCTTGTAAAACCCAATCATCCCACCTGTCACATTCGTGTTAGCTATGCATCCAGAAAGACAAGACGGCACAAAAAAACTGCCTTCATCTCAAAAAAGCAAGATAGACAGGGGTGCATACGTATTCTTCCAGCCCTTGTAGTGGACCCGATACTCGTAAGGGCTTTTCCTGTCATCTGGATCGGTCAATCTGACCTCAAGGATCTTCGCCTCGTAGAGAATCTCATGATGGAAGCAGAAAACCTTCTCATCTTTATGATAAATCGGGTGATTTGCTGGCGCCATGACAGTAGGTAGTACAGCAACAAAAGTATACCCGCTTCAGTGGCTAGTTTTGCAGTTCTCAACAGCCTCTTCTATACTGGGTCCTGCAGCCCGAGAACGGATGAAAGGACTGGGGTACGTAGCAAGCTGGGGTATTTGGCCACACTCGCGAAAGCAAAAAAATAAACCACTGCGACAAAGGACAAATGAAAGGCAATAATAAACACTGTTGCAAATTCAGAAACAGGATCAGTTAACGCTACTAATGCCTCAATCAGATAGACAAGCAGCTACGAAACAGGGTGGAAAACGTCAGCACGGGAAGAGGAGCAACCACCACGTAGCAGGGCAACCCCAAAAAGAAGGATTCCAAAATGTTCGTATTGACAGTTCTGTTGTGAGAGAACGATGGCCGGCAGAGGAAGAATCAAACCAACAGGCGGAGGTGTGGCTTCTTTCTTGCTGCGGTGGCTCAGAGAGAGAAATGTCTGGATATTTGGATATTCAACCGAACGAGGACAAGACGGACAAGACGGACCCTTTATTATTATTATATATAACTACGGAGTAAGTTACTCCGTACACCTTTCTTTCACCTTTTGCTGCTCCCCTTGAGAATCTTTTCGTAGCCAACGCGCGCCGGTATTAGTTACCTACCCTGTATCGGGCGTTACGACCCTGTAACTTTGCCCTAAACCGCGTTGATGACTCGGATATTATGTCAGCGTCCGCAGCAAACGTCAAACCAACAACCCCCCCCCAAGTTCTTCCTAAGAGCGCGAAGGAGAGGAGAGACAACAACGCAATGCACTATTCAAAGGAAGGCATTTAACTGGCTTTCTTACGTTTTCCTAAGATAAAATACTAACTGGTGTTATCTGTTCTTTTCTGGGCTTCAGATCTATGCGCGTTTGGATTGTTCTATTGCTGGTTATCAAGAACTGAACTGCACAATTTATGTTGGGATAAAAGTTGGAAGTAAATTCGGCCCCGTTGGAGTTGTGTTCGGGAACTGCCTGGGATTTCACTATTATCCTCGCCATTCACCCATCATGGCCCCTTCCGAAGTGTCAATATTGTCAAATTTCCTTCTCTCCCCATCTCCTCTACCCACCCTCATCTCTTTGAGCAAATTCACAGAGTTATTCCCCAGGCATCTCCGGTCCCACCCGCAGATAAGGGTCCTATATCGAGAATTACAACATATCCGCTCTCAGGATCTTGATCTCGTCAGGGAAAATATCGACAGAGAAATTCAGAGAGGCGAGAGACAAAGAGAAGAACTGAGAAATGCAAAGCAACTTACCGGTGTAAGTGGGATGGACAAAACCGATAAACTAGAAATGGAGATGGATATCCAGCTTTTCGGTCAAAGAGAGCCTGCAATTTCCCCCGAAGATTTGCACACATTGGCGTCCATTCTGCCAGAGATGGGAAAAGCTTGCTCATCGATGGAACAGGAAATTGAAGCTGCAGATGCCGAAGCTGCGCGTATATTCGCAGAACTTAGTTCTACCGTGGGGGAATTAAGTGAACTACGCTATGGGAAATTCAACAAGCCTGCTGGTGTTGCCACCAACGCTGTTGACGATGGTATTCGAGGCTTGAAGGAACTTGAGAATGCCTGCAATCCCTCTAGGAAGGGTTGATTAACCCTTTCCCAATTTTTGATCCTTTGGATACCTTCAAATGGAGACGCCCTTGTCCAAAAGCCATTTTTGTTATGGTGCGGCTCACCCGGGTCGTGCAAAAAGCTGGCTGGATTGCACATTAATATGGAACAAGACCCCTCTAGGGAACATGTCAAACCGAAGCTCAGGCCAGGATTAACGAGTCCAGCGACCACAGCACTGTACTTTTCTTGGTTTCGAGATGTGTGGAATCATTGAGGTGGTATGGATGTATTGAGATGGGGTTCCCTTTGTCGAGCGCTTCAACACTATTTGGAAAGGCCACTCTGACCAGGAAGGCTATGGAGTAACACGGAATAAGTTGATTTACTGCAAGTAAACATGATAAATTTCACCAAAAAACCTGGCTGGACACTGCTAAACTTCCGACGTCCCTGCTGAGAAAATGGAGATGAAATCGTCGAAACTTCCCAACGCTTCTCACAAAATGTTTTGAAAAAAAAGCCCTTAAGGTTCAAACTGTGAAACCACCATCCGTACGAACAAATGCACAGGATATTTACGGTCTTTTTCGTTCTATTCCAGGGCAACTCCTTATTATTCCGCGGACAGAATATTGGAGTGGCGGTGAGAGATATTCTTCAGGTTAGGAAGATATTCTGTGCTCTGAGAAAAGTTCTCTGTTTCTGCCTCCATTCCTACAACCATTCGAACCCTCCACTGTCAATCTCCTCCATGCAGTAATATGACCGTTTCAACCAGCCCAGTTCGGCCAATAACGCGTTACCAACAAGCCTCAGGATCTCACCTTCAAGATACTGAAGGCGGACACTCCCTGCGCCTAAGGCCGGTCGGCCGACTTCGTCGAATCGATGCTGCTTTACTGGCATACGCTGTTTCCAGTTGACGGTCTCGTTCCCATGGCCACGGGGCAATGGAGGAAATCGACAATAGCCAGATTTGCTCCGGTCATCGCCCTCGTGCTTGAACTCCTCGTAGCTAGGCCAAGGTGCCAAGTCACGAATACTGGGATAGGCCCTCCGAGGCACCCAAATGGTCTCTCTGGCGAGAACCAAGGCCAGCCCGTCTGGTAACTTCTTTCCTCCAAGGACCGGACCCACTTGGACCGGCTCGCACCGTCCCCTTTCAATCGCTCTTCTGAGAGCTTGGCGTAAAAGACGACTATGCTTCTCCTCCATCCACGCGAGCCTATGGGAAATCCATGCCCCAAAGGTCCTTGGCGTAAAGGGGGATTTTGGCGCGACGTACATCATCGTATTCCGGACCCTCACCCAGGCTTCGAATTCTCTTGTTTCGGTTGACAACCATGTTTGAGATGCCGTATGGCTCATGATTGCCGCGTTGGCGTCTTCAGTCCGGCGATGATGGGAGCGATTTACAGCGGTCGAAGGGTTGGTGTTGAGGTTGTTAAGTTGGGTTCGAACGCTGCCCATTTAATTCTGGGCTATGGGAAACTGCATATCAATATTCGCCGTTAGCTTCTGCAACCTGATATAATGCCCATGGGACCTGTCCCCGTACCTTAAACTTGACTGTTCCCGAGCACACAAGAGCCGTGGCTCAGAGCTTGAAAATTGGGGAGGTGGGAGGAAAGCCTTGCCTACTTTATAGGCAATGTCTGATATTCAATCCAAGAACGCCGCGTTGTATCTGGATGTTTCCTTCTGGTTCTATTAATGGATGCCTAAGGCCCATATCTCGCCCGTGATAGAAGAAGGTTCAGGAAATTTACAGAGTCGAATTCTTTGGATAGCTCTGCCTTTCGATGGCTCATAAGGCGGCTGTTAAAGAGTAGTAGAGGTTGGAGGGCCATGTTTGCTGTTTTTCTGATCTAACCCTTGCTTAATCACTGAAGATTGTATTCGCCCTTTCTGACCGACCCGCTGCTTCTCAAGAAACAAGAGCTGGGAGGCTCCAATTCCAAAAACGAAAGTCTAGCGAAAGAGAAGGGTACTACTGAATTAAAGTTGAATGACTTTCATTTGTTGATATTTGAAAGGCGAACAACTGTTTTTTTGACACAAAAGTCCTGGGAACCTGAAGTGAAGAAAAATATTCTGTGATATAGACCCATAATTCATTTTCAGTAAGCAGCATTTTGTTCAAGGAGCTATATCCATATTCTCTCTCTTGACTACAAAACCTCTCGCCTCCAGACCAAGGGGTGTTAACTTGTCTGACTGGATTTCTCTGTGAGGGTGTTCTTCATTCCTGTGGCAGCTAGGTTATATTTAGGTTGCTGTCTTTCTAAAACTAAAGAACATTATCTATGAGATGCTTTGATGATCTTAGTGGATTTGGGGTGTTTTAGTTACTCCTGTCCCTCCAATTCAAGGTGCGAATCTTCCAATGCTTCCCGGGGCAGATTCATTGTGACTGCCTGTCTTATTTATACATGTCCACTATTTTTTAATACAAAGGGTATGATCAGATCCTTTACCTATCCATTATTGCAATTGTACTTCCGTATATTCAAAGTATATCAATTAATTGTGTATTCTGTAATAAGTACTCCATAATCCTTCCAAGCGACCCAGGTCGGTCTTGAATATCTTACCTCGGTAGTTAGCTAGTTAGTCTTGGCAGATCTCCGAAACTTTTCAGTTTGTCATGTTTGGCACAAGTCGACGTCATAGATCTAAACTACGAAAAAGTCCCGAGATATCTTGTTCATTTCGAGCACAGGAAGAAGAAAAACACTGCGTCGTCATATATCGAGAGATAAGATCCCTAAGGATACCAGCAGCAGAATAAGCTACTCTACTTCTTTCTCCATAAAACCGGGGCTTCGTGTCGTATATCCTCATATCAATATATCCTCATATCAATTACACACCATGCCAACAGTTCGCCTTCATCCGCCATCTGAACGAGGCGCGAAGTCAGAGAAGCCCAACAACCCGCTCCCACAACTCCTCCAAACACCTTCTGGACTCGCAATACTAGAGATGCAGGGCACAATAAACCTACCAGACCCATGTGCGGCCAATGACTCAGATACCCTCAACATGGATCTTGAGTCCAGCGGACTCGCCGATTCGCCAAAGCAGTATAGGACACCCATTGGCCGCCTGATATTCCCGGACTACAATGACGCCGCAGACAATGATCCAAATGATAGCTCCTGGATGAAGCGTGTCTATCTATACGTCGGCCGGCACCAGCGGCTTACAGGGGAGGTCAAGAAACTTCCGAGGCCCTTGGCGGCTATCCAACGGGTTGAGGAGACGAGTCAGGAGAGCACGGCGGGCGGCATGAAGGGGAGGAGGACGAAGGCAAGATTGCGGGCGGAGGGGATATTGGATGCTGAGTGTTCAGATGATGAGGAATGTGATAGCTGTGATGAATTGGAGATTGTCGATGTGATCAGGCACAAGATCATATTCTCGTCAAGGCCGGAGCCGGTTTCTTCAGATGAGTAGGCTACGGTAGCGGACGGGTTTGTTCAGGGTAGATGATGGTGATGATTATGATTACGATGCTCAGGTTACATTCATAACGGTCCCCAGGCGGCAATCTTTATGTGCAGTGTTACTTATATGCATGACGATTCGTTTTTTTTTTTTTTTTTAAGTGTGCTACAACCTGTATGTATATACAAATATAGTTCTATTCTCCGAATCCCTCAATTCAACCTGTTTCCTTTCCAATAAAACCTGCCCAACAGATTCATGTCCGGACCAGAATGCAATGCAATCTCATTTGCGACAATCTTAATTCTCACCGCTCACCGCTCTTTCAGGCCAGGAAGAATAACCTAGTCCTGCAGTGGGTGAAGAAAAGATTTGCAAGAGGGTCTATTCATACATAAAACAGGGCTGTTTGGTTGATATGTGTCGTGGATGGCTGCAACAAACGCCCACCCGAGCTGGCTGGAATGTTTGTAAGCGCGAAGGTTTTGACTTTCTCAATCGTCAACCTCGCTTCCTTTGAACAAAGTTTGCGAGTGTAGGACAGAAGGAATCGCTATACCACTATATACTGAACATTTTCAAACTTGCAGGGCTGGATATGCATGTACATGTACATACATACATGTACGAGGTTTGTTGAAGGAGAGATCCGGGCATCCTTCTCTCAGCGTCTTCACAACAGCCCCGGCATTTCATTTAGCAGCTTTGCTGGCTCGAAATATCCAAAAAGAAAACTTGTGCCTACATTCAATGAATGTTCTGTCTATATTAGGCATGTGCGTGGTTTCCTCCCCTGCATTTTCTCAAATGAAAATTCCTAGATATGCCTCGTGTTCTTCGCGCAGTTCCTATTGACACCAATCCCGCCATCATACCTACCATCCCAAAAGCCCGCTTTAATCCGTCCATAAAACGAGGGGTGTTCCCGAACACATCCGGTCGAAGTTCTAGTGACATTGATCTTCCCAATTGTGCCGCAATAGATACCTCTATCAAGAAAAAAGAATAAAATAAAATAAAAATACCCTTTTTTGAAAATACAATTCTCTCCCAAACATGACCCGCTCCCTGAGTTTCGATACCACAGGCACCGAAAATGGTGAAATTTTTCCCTCCATATTGGGTCCGGAGTACTACGGTTTCGACCATATCACTTGGTACGTGGGGAATGCGAAACAGGCAGCGTCATATTTCATCACTCGCCTGGGCTTTAACCAAATCGCATATCGCGGCCCGGAGACAGGATCGCGCACCGTGGCCTCATATGTCATCTCGAATGGCAGTGCTACTTTTGTCATGACCTCTCCCGTCTGCGGGAAATTGGCAGAGGATGAAACAAGCAGCTTTGGGATCTCCGACGAGGAGAAAGTCTTGCTTGATGAAATCCATGCTCATTTGGAAAAGCATGGGGACGGGGTAAAGGATGTTGCTTTTCAGGTCAATGCGAACGTTAGGTCCAAGTGGGAGAGGGCTGTGGCTCATGGCGCGGTTTCTGTGCTGAGACCTACGATCATCCGGGGCGAGGAGCCCGGGAGTGGGAAGATAGAGCTGGCTACGATCAAATCGTATGGGGACACGACACATACCCTGGTTAACAGGGACCGCTATAGGGGATGCTTCATGCCTGGATATGTGCAAGTGGAAAAGGGGGACGCGATCAACGAGCTCTTGCCTGCTGTTGAGTTTATTGAAATTGACCACTGTGTTGGGAATCAGCCGTGGAATGGGCTGGACAAGGCAGTGAAATTGTACGATGAAATCCCAATATATATCAGTTTAGTTTTGAGGAGAGCGAAAAGGACAGAACGCGGCAGCTAACCGGATATATTAGCTACGAAGACTGTCTTGACTTCCACCGGTACTGGACCGTCGACGATAAAACCATGTGCTCCGACTATTCCGCCATGCGCTCCATCGTCGTCGCATCACCTAACGAAGTCATCAAAATGCCCCTGAACGAGCCAGCAGTGGGCAAGAAGAAATCACAAATTGAAGAGTAAGAAAAAATCATGCCCAATAATATCCAATATCCATTTCATCCATAGGCAAAAATGAGTATCAATATATTAATATCCACAGATTCGTCGACTACTACAACGGCTCAGGGGTGCAACATATCGCCTTCCGCACCCACGACATCATCAGCACTGTAACCAATTTGCGCAAAAGGGGCGTAGAGTTTCTATCCGTGCCCACAACATATTATGATGCGATGCGCACTCGCCTCGCTGCCATCGGTGCCGGGAACACGGACGGCAATAAAGGGGGAAGCCTAGTCATCAAAGAAAGCATAGATTCACTGCAGGCGCTGAACATCTTGATAGATTTCGACGAGCAAGGGTACCTACTGCAGATATTCACGAAGCATGTGCTGGATCGGCCGACGGTGTTTTTGGAGGTGATTCAGCGGAATAATTTTGATGGGTTTGGTGCGGGGAATTTTAAGAGTTTGTTTGAGGCATTTGAGAGGGAGCAGGCGGCTAGAGGGAACCTTTGAGTAGGGTCAATTTTCGATTTTCAGCTTTTCACGTGTGTGTCCTTGTTGGTTGTGGGTTCCGTAGAAACAGCGAGTGGTTTGCGAAGGAACGATCGGTAGGGAATAAATGTACGAGCTGTCTTGGAAATCTAGAGACAAGAGCAAGAGCATCATGGTACTGTATTTCCAACTCCGACAAGTGTTTATTTAACCTCCTCTCTTCGAATCCCCTTTTCTCAATTCTTCCATCTGCATCTAGGTGGTGTCATTGAGGGCAACACTGGCCCCATATCCCCGCTTATGCACGACGGTGTGCATGACCGAACGTGGCTGCCGAATAGTGCATGCAGTAAGTCGTAGGACAAGCGCAGAGAAGCGCCTGTACAGAGAAATACAAAGAGGAAAATAAAAGAGGAACATACGGCATGAATACTCCGTCTCAAAAATCTTTCAAATAGCAAGTTACTAATATCATAGAGGAGAACGAATGTAGGGAGATATAAGCAAGACACTGTAGATAACAAAAAAAAAAAAAAAAAAAAAGGAGAGTGGAATTGAAAGAAGGAAAGCACTTGAAGAAGTAGAAACAGGATGGATGGATGGATGACATGACATAGACGAACGTAGAATAACATACAAGCATACAAAACTACATGGCAGTGAAGAAAATAAAAATCGCTGATGGGCTACCTGTAAGGGTGTGGTGGGTGTTCAGTTGAGAAGGTAATGTACCGAGTGCGTAAGTAGATCGATCCAACGCATCCAACGGGCCCCGCTACTTCCGTAATTATTTGGAGACGGCAAAAGGCAGACAGGAAAAAAATCCAGACTCGGCTTTAAACATAAAAGAACCAAGAAGGAAGAGCATAAGGATCGCATTGCAAGACATCATTAAAAAAGTGTTAACATGGTAGGGAAAGAAGGAGGAATGAGGAGCAAAACCCGGAGAAGACTGGGAAGTCTTAACAATTGATTGTTCAAAAAATATTCTGAAGAAATGCACACATGTTGGAATAATTCGTACCGGTACCGTGCAATGGTCAGCGATTCTGCGTAGCTCATGGTTGTTGTGGTTGGTGTGACGCGGTGGTGTTGCAGATGGAAGCAGGTATTTGTTACTGTTATCTATGAACGTATGTATTTATGTTGACGGTTGATAGGATGCAAAATTATGAAGCCGTGGTGGATGTGCAAAGGGTAATAAAATGAGAAAGTTTGGGTACAATGCAAGTGGTATCGCTAAGGAGGGAGGGAAGGGGTAGGGTAGGGGGACTAGATATTTGACTTTCGGTTTCCCCGTTATTAACCAAGGGCCTTTCGTAGGTCAACCCACTTTTGCTTGAGGCTTTCATGTTCTTCGGACATCTACAACAATAAATGTGTATAGCTGGTTAGTAGGAAAGAAGAACAAGAAACTAAAGTAAAAGAATGAAAGAAAAAAAAATTGAATGAAAGGCGGGGGAAAAAGAGGGATTTCTTACCTCCGCCCACTTCAGTTTCGTATCAACCAGATCCTTCTCCATCTCAGCCATTTGCTCCTCCATCGCCCTATTCTCGTTCTGCACCTCAATATTCCGCTTCATAATCCGATCCATCTCGGTCCTCAGCGTTTCTTCCAACTCGGCAGGTTGTCGGTCAATAACAATCTTCAGCTCCTGAACCTCAACCTTGTAACTTTCATTGGCATCCCTGAGCTCCTCATTCTCCACCTTGAGGCGAACTAGTTCGGACGCAAGCTGCACATGTTCTGTGTCCGACTTCTCCGCGCGCTCTTCAAGCAAGCGGATGCGAGCAGCCTGTGTTGCGACAGTGTGTCTTAACCCTTCAAGCTCAGCAGCCTGTTCCTTTTCCACGCGGACCTTCTCTTCCCACTCTGCAGTATACGTTTTGATCATGTCATTCGAAAGCTTGACAGCGCATGCATCTTGGACCATAAGATCAGCACGATAGACCTCTTTGTCCGAGGAACCAGAGCTGCCGAAGAAACCGGACTCGAGAATCGAACTTGCAGAAGGTTGTTGGTCGATATAGACGTCGAATAATTTTTCTTTTAGGAAATTAGTCAGCGAAGTCATATCGTTCATCTCTAGCAATGCCTCGGTATTCCGCTGCATGATCGCGACAGCGAATCTGAGGATTGTGGGCTCTAGCCCTTCTTCGAAGATCAAATCATAGATGCGGAGGACAAGTTGTAGCGGGAATCGGTATGCAAACAATGTCAGAAACCACTGCGTCGCATAGAGCTGGGGAGTAACTCCACGTCGACGTAGATGACAAGCCAGGGCAGGTTCCAGATCCTCTAGTAAGCGCTCGAACTGGTACAAGCGCATGTGAAGCCCTGGCATGTCTTGGATGAACATATCTCGTAAGCGGTACTTGTTCATTAACTTAACCAAAAGAGTAAATGCTTCACCCTCATCCATCTAGTTTTGTTATTATCCCATGTTAGAATGATAATACGTCACAAATCATACCTCGCCGGAATGAAAACCAATGAGCACTTACATTAAATAATAAAGGCATAACAATGAAGTTCATCCCTTGAGCATAGCCCACCCCTTCATCGTATAGTGCATAGGCTTTGCAGAGTCCAAACAAACCATCCTGGTTGCGCTGTGATAAGAAGTATTTCGAGTAACTTGTCCTCGACCCCAGGTCCCGCCTGATAGCCTTCTCCAGTTTCTGAAGAGCGATGGCATCCTCCTTTGATTTTTTCTTCCGAGCGGCTTCGAGACTTGCCTGTGCTTTTAATACCGTTTCCGAATCCTTTTCCGGTATTGAAAGGGGAGAGACGACGCCATTGGTTGAGTTAGCTGTGGGACTCGAACGGCCGGAATCAACTGAGGACCGGGAAGAGGTGAGTGATTCCTTCTCTTTATCCTTGGACACTCCATTCCCTTGGCCGCTAAGAGTTATGGCAGAGCTGATGCTCCAGTAGCGATCTCGATCCTTTTCCGTGCCCCGCGCTAGGAGTTCTCTATACACATCCTCCAATTCGGGATTCCTACTGTCCGCAAGAACTTGCCAAATAACTCCACGGATCGTTTGCGGAATACCTCTCTTGATAGCAGCATTCAACTCTTCGGCATTGGATCCTTTAAGGGCCTCCGGCCCCAGGTTGACGATATGTTGCCATAGCTCCCAATCAACAGGAGCCGAGGCATCGGTTGCGGAGGAGGATATACCAGAGACGGTGCCAGGAGCTAGGTTCGGATTGACGGTTGGAGGCAGACCTGGGGATGTTGCCACAGGGGATGAAGCAGATGGAGCAGCAAGCCCAGTTTCACCCCTATCCGATCCGCTTGCTGGACTCCCAATGACGCTGGTTCGGCCATCATCCTGGCCAGAGGTGACACTAGCTGCTTCATCAGAAACACCCTCGTTCCGCATTCTTAGCTGCTTGAATTGGTCTCTCAAGCTGTTCCGCAATTGCCTCCTCGAATCCAGGCTCGCGGAATCCCCATCACTGCCTTCCTGTAACCGGGCCAGCAACTCAGGATTGCTACCCACTGTCGATATCGAAGCCGCTGTGTTTCTCCGGCTATCCACAGACCCGGAGGAGGGTTTTACATCTTTACCGCCCGTACTAGCCCGCGAAAGCCAGGAAAACGGACTAGTAAGTTTCCGGGAGGGTTGGGGTGGATTCGCTAATTGGGTTGTGGGTGGTTGATGTTTGGTTGATGGCGGGGGTCCCCACGGTACGGACGGGAGGGAAGCGGAGAAACCTTGTAGGCGGCCAGTTTGCTTCTGGGAGTCTCTCGAGGGAAGGGGGGGAGGGCCAGTTGACGAGTCTGAGGATGGCTGTTGCGTTTTCTCGTCCTCGTCCCCTTCCTTTGGCGCAGCTAAATTGATTTCATCGAGAGACGTTGTGGAGAGGCGGTGAGCAGTTAATAGGGGTGATTTTGCAGGTTTCTGTTTCTTCGGGGTCTCGTCACCTCCCACAGGAGATACTGGTGAGAGCGTATCATCCTGGCCACTCGGTTTCATCTCTGGTATGGGCAAGGGAGGGTGGGTGGTGGCGCGCGGGGTGGTCAGAGATCCATTGGAAGGTCGACGGTCGGTTAGAGAGCGGGTAGCGCTTTGGGGAATAGGGGATTCGGGACGTTGTGCAGCAGTATCTTGTGCGTCTTCGAAGGCATCCTACAGACGAATATTATAATGAGCAATTATTCTATTCTATTTTAGTTGTTTAACAGGAGCATAAACGGATAAACGGGCAATTGGGAGGGAGAGAGAGGGGGAATTGTAGCCCACAGCTTCATAGTCCGTATTCTCCGCGCTGCTGGATACCATGGCTGGTCGTGTGCATGTAGTGTAGCAGATGTCGGTCGTTCACAATATTTAAGCCTTGCTAAGAAGTAGAGAAGGCGGAGTCCATAGACAGTTTTGTTTCGACCAGATTGGATAAATTAAATTCTTAGTACAGCGGATGGGATGGGGTAAGAAAGATGAACTAAAATTAACTCCACATGGACAGGTATATTAAGGAGGAATGGAATGGTTGGTTTGCGTATGAGAACAACCCAAAAAATAGCCTTCGGGTACTATTTATTTTAAATACTGCACAAGGCGGGCGGTGCTTTCGAGAAATTGCGTTTCAGCAATAATCAATCAATCAGATCAGTCAAGAGGGAAGTGAACACAGAAAGGAAGAAGAAGAAGAAGAAGAAGAAGAAGAAGAAGAAGAAGAAATGGGATGAGCACAAAAAAGAAAAGCAGCAGAAAAAGCGAAGATCGCCAGGCACGGTGCTTGAAATGGAACGACGTGGTTATTAGACTATTTAGATAGACTGTTGTGTGGTGGTGGTGGTGGTGAGGAGTTGTTTGATGTTGGGTTGTTGGAACATTGCAGCAGCAGCAGCAGCAGCGGCGGCGGCGGCGGCGGCGTTTTCTCCAACTCGACTTGACTTACGACAGAGCAGCAGTCAAACCATCCATTGTTCTACTAGCTAACTTACTACTACTGTGTCTTCAGCGTATCGTATGGCGGGAGAGTGACGACGAGGGACGGAGGCATCTTGAAACATCTGCAATTAAGGAACAATGGCCTAGTCTGAGAGAGGCTTGGTCTTACGATATTGGCCACCTGTTGAAGCCGAAGTCCTGGTCGCCTCGCGATATATTATTGTTTTGAAACTGTGTCTCTGTCAAAATATACCCATGCTGTACGTTTACTTCGTCTGTTTTTTCGAAAATCAGATTGCCCAAGTGTGTGTACCTCTAAACTGGTAGTTATCCAGGGGCGGGTATATATATATATATATATATATGTATCTTTCACAAGGCGCCCACGCTGTAATTTACTCGATCGGGAACATGCATCAGATTCCTCGGAGCCTCAACCGGCAAGATAATGTTGGCTAACCTATTTTATTATTATATTGAAACAACTGCATGTGTGTGTGTATTTGTGTGAGTGAGTGAGTGAGTGAGTGAGTTTACTTAACCACTACCAACAGTTGGAGATCGAGTACATCTGTTTGGCCTTGTTGCCGCTCTCTTTGTCCCCAAAGGTCGAACAATTGTCCAGTCTGGATAATAGGAGAATGTATACAAATGCGCACACATAACAACAATCTAGAGGTGTCCCAAAGCCGTTGGTTAACTATTGGTTTGGTTTTGATTGGATCCGGCGGCCCGGAAACTTAAATCTTCAACACTGGACATACATTGCACCTAGATGCAGATTATCGATTTATTCGGCCCATGAAACACACGTCTAAAACTTTTTTTTTTTTTTAAAAAAAATAAAAAAATAAAAAAATAAATCCAATACCACGCATTCCATCCAGCGGAGATGCAGTGGAATGTATGTACAGTAGTTACCTTGTGTGTTTTGGTGTATCATGAAACATCGCCGCTTTTACAGGCTCAATGAGGCCTCCAGATCCAGCCACCTCCCTTGCCTCAGTGGGTCAAGCCTTTTTAGCTCACATACCCATCTAGAAATTCGCTGTTTCATTTCCGTCGACATCCCCCCTTCGACGCGAGAAATAATCGCGCCACAGTTAATGAGAGCCTGATAAATCCACTTGCAGTCTTCCTCTCCGTCCAACATCTCAGTAATAGCCTCAACCTCGTTCTCAAGATATTTTAACCGCTCAGCATCCGTAAGATTTGGTGCCATCGTTCCCGAAGCCAGCGGTGGGTCAAAAGTGCACATCAGATTCTGGTGGTAGAACCACAGCGACTGGTCATATGGATCGATTAAAGCCCGATGGATCAATTTCAGCTCTAAGTGTCCCACAAGAAGGGTTGAGTGGTGTCCTGTGTTAATAATCAACGCAATCTAATGAATTGTATAAACCCAGTTCGTTCGATGAGTAGATTGGCTTACCATTATCCAACATCCTCTGCCGTTCCTCACTGCTAGCTGCCTGTTCATCCAGCAGCCGTAAAATAAGTTGCGTTCGATTATGCCAGGCGGAGAAATTGGATAGATTAGTACCAATCATCTTGGTTGTGTAGTCGAGTTCAGCCTTTACCATGCTTTTCGGTGCCGGTGCGCTGTCATTTTTACCTTCTTTTGCATCATCGTTGGAAGCCAACTCTTCGAGTGCCGATATGACTTGTCGACGGTATCCCCAACCGTGGAAGTTCCTACTATCCAGGCTGAGCATTTTGCCCACGAGCGCAAGTTCCTCCTGCCAGAAACTACGGGAGACAGAAGCCGGAAGCAGGAGCGTGGTTTGCTCTAGATCCCAGAGGCGGTGATTCCAGATCCAGTAGCACTTGGGATACCCCCGAAGAAGGGGGAACAGAAATTGAAGATCGGATTTGATAATGTTCCTGATTTGGTCATCGCTATTTCCTCCATCTGTAGAAGACGTAGCCATAGAAAACTGATGCTGCAGTATTAGGCGCCGCGTATTCCATATCGTATAATATTCTGGATTGGTAGTGAGCAGTTCTGAAGTTTTGTTCAAGGCCTCTGTACTGAAATTGCGCTCTGCTCTCTAGTTGACAGTGTCAGTATGTTTGGTTATGCATTGTCTTCCGTATCTACAATCAAGTGAGCGTTTACCTGTGAATTCACGATCCGGACAAGTTCATTATATGCCCGTATCTTCTGGAGCTCTTTCTGCCGCGCTCCCTCCGTCCTTTGTCTGGAAGTGTCATAACGTGGGACTCCATGCTAGTCAAAAACCATTTCGAGGTTAGCTGGAAGACGCGAGGTGAGGAAAATTAGGGAAAACCTACACTTGCCATGATAAATATATAATTTAATATCCGGTATATTCTGTATATATTAACCCTGACATACTATATAGATATAGATCCAGTGGATGGGAACAAGCAGGAGGAAATTGCCAGCAGTTGACTCTCCCTTATCGGCCAGCCGCAACTCGCTATCAGCACGTGACTGTCCTCCGCGACGACTTCCCTCATTCATCCATCGCCGTCCAACTTCAGCCTCATCTCAACCTCAAACAAACAACACACAACATAAAATATTCCAGGAACTAACCAGGAACAAGGCAAATACCGCGCAGTAACAAGCAGCTACAATGGAGGACGAAGCGCAAGAAGCTATTGTCAGAAGACGGATGGCAGAAGGGGCATTGCCCGGTTGGCAGCTCGATCCACCTCATATCCTCCCATAACTACTCCCGCTTTACGCTGCACAGGTCAACAAATTCCACAGACATACTACTAACTAGCATTGTTAGCTACAGGAAACTATCACACCATCTTTAATGCTGTACATATTGTCTTTCTTTGTCGCCATCGCTGCTTTTATTATCAATCACATCGCATTTCACGTAGTGATTTGATGGTGGAGCCAGCCGGCGCCCCTCTGCCTGGGCGGCAGCAATGCTCTCGAGATGCCAGTCACTAGAAGAGTTAAGCTCTAGCAGGAATGGCGACAGTCTCTCCTTAACTCTCGTCCCTGATTCTCCTGTTGAACAAACAATATCTGGGCCAGCCTCCACAGCGTCTTCCCCAGAAGCCCAATCGTTGGGTTCGTCTTCTCCCACTTCGTCTCAGGTTAATGTAGACTCCTCTCCTTCGCCCACTCTAGAATCAATTACCAGTCCTGGATCCAGCCGCAATATCACTAGCCCCTTAAGTGATAGCTACTTCAGCCAAGGGAAGAAACCAGACGGTGTCGAGGTAGATCACAGCCCAGTCCGCTCCGGCTTACTCAACACACTTGAGAGAAGGCGGAGCTTAATCAGAAGTCCATCACCAGTTGCTCGCAAGAGGTTCTTGTCTCCAGACCGCTTTATCCCAGCTCGTGAGCCTTATGCTACAGATGTACCTGCATTCCGCTTAAGCAAAAATCCGCGTTTGCTTTCTCCAGGAGAGAAACTGCTACGGCGACGAGACCCTAGAGCAGACCCGTTTGCTCCATACCAGCCAAGGAGACGTGCTGGTCTCTCTAGGTCAAGTCGATCGTCGGACCGTAGAGATACTCCTCATCACTTACCGCGACATGTTAGCGACACGTCAGTTTACGCAAGGAATGACAGGCCGGCTGGCCGCGGAAACCAGCGCCAGATCAGCGCCGGGGCGGTTTGGAATGTGGGAGGCACAGCCGCTGCAACCGGACGTGCACCCGTGGGTGTCGACAATGGCCGCGGAGGGCTTATTTCAACCGGGACGAATGCCCCGATGTACATTGCAAACTTTCTGGACAAGGACACGCATATTCAGCACCTCAAACGTCACGAATCTCGCCTTGCAACCGCTTTAGATATCGACCAGGCAAATAAAGTCCTGAATTTTGGGGACCCTTCCCTGTTTATGGATCCGGGATATCTCGCAGAAGCCGCTCAACTTGAGAAGTACTCTCCTTACGTGTGGAAGCATAGTAGCTGGATACGAGCAAATAGCAATACATGTGAGTATTGTGTGCCTCTGTTTCCACAATATCTTACCGGCATCCCCAATTCTTTTGATTTTATTTCCTCTTTTTTTTTTTTTTTTTTTTTTTTTTTTTTTTTTTTTTTTTTTTCTCTTAACAGCTCGACTTACATGCATCATATTTACGGATATTATACGTCTCCTGGAGGACCTGTCGCATCATCCCATTCCCTTTTGATATCTCGCATCTCACATTTTCCCGAAAATATTTATGGAAGAATATAAGATTGTATCCGAGGAGACAGGCGCATTCTAATTGACTCTCATTAACTCGACAAAAATAGTAGTGCACAAAAGTACGTCCAAACCAGCACGATCTGCAGTTCCATCGACGCCTTTCCGGGTTCTCGATGCCCCTCTTCTGCGTGACGATTTCTACTGTTCTACCCTCGCGTATTCGTATACTGCTCGCCTGCTGGCCGTTGGACTGAGTAGCCGTGTGTACCTCTGGTCAGAGATTCTCGGCGTGCAATACCCACCATTGGCGCCTCATCTTGCTTCAAACTATGTGACTTCTCTTTCCTTTTCTTCACCTCAAGGGGGTAAAAGCATTTTGGCTATTGGTCGACACGGTGGTCAAGTTTCGCTTTGGAGCACTTTCGATACTGATGTTCGATTTGAATTTTACCAACGGACTGCTGTTTCCTGCGTCTCATTTAAACAAGTCACAACCAAAAGACAGTCAACCAGGTTTCAAGGATTGGTTGTTGATACCGAGGATTTGGTTGTTGGAGACGATGCAGGTAACGTGTGGTATTATTCTGTAGAATGGCCAGATTCGAAAACAAGAGATCGCCATGGGTGGAACGGAGCGACAACGTTGATTGCAAAGATCTCTGCGCACACCCAGCAAATATGCGGCATGGTGTGGTCCCCTGATGGTAAATATCTTGCAACCGGAGGCAATGATAACGCTTGCCTCTTGTTTGATATTCCGGATATTCTAGGCAAGAGTGACAGAAATGGACAACCCAGCTCCTCCGTAGAGACGACAAATCCACCAGCATCGCCCCAAGCTCGCGGCAGTCTTTCCCGTTTCCCTTATCATTCGAATTTAAATCGTATCTTCGACTGGGGCCGGCTCAATCAGTTTTCCATACCCCATGCACTCAGTAGTGCGCCTTCCTCTGGAGTTGCACAGGACTCCGCCCCAAGACAAGCTGGATTTTTAGGATCTAGGCAGCATCAGACTATTTTTATACCAGCCAACCGACAGAAATACAAATTTCACCACTCTGCCGCGGTGAAGGCAATCGCTTTTGCGCCTTGGCAGCCATCACTTTTGGCCACAGGGGGTGGGTCAAATGATCGTTGCATCCATTTCTTCCATACAGGATCAGGAGCCTGCCTCGCCACGATCAACGTCCATGCTCAGGTGACAAGCCTCATTTGGAGCAAGACACGGCGGGAGATCGCAGCCACGTTTGGATATGCGCAACCGGAACACCCGTTCCGTGTAGCTGTTTTCGCATGGCCCAGTTGTCAGGAAGTGGTAGCTATCCCCTGGAGCCCAGCTCCTGATGGTGTAGCTGGTAGCACGGACCTTGACAACTCGCATGATTGTGGTCGTGCCTTGTGGGCGATCAGCTATCCCGGAGGTCCCAATGATATGACCCACACTGGTGCGGATGAACGTGTACCTTCGACCTCATCGTCGAGCTCTACAGTCATAGCAGCACCCCACAACCCCGCGACGGGAGATGGTTCTAACCGATCTAATTCTACTGGCTCTTCCGTAAATACTACTTCTACAATAGTCGCTAGCAGCCCGATAACAAGACCACGTGTCGCGTATCGGGAAGGCGGTACGTGGTGGTCCCGTACTGCAGAAGAGGGATGCATCATAGTGGCCTCTAGCGACGAGTGCGTCAAGTTCCATGAGGTCTGGAGTGGGTCACAGAAGAGTACGGCTGGGGCCACTGGTCAGTTGGGCGGGAGTCCTATACTGGAGAGTTTGGAGGGGATTGACCGGGAAGGAAGCGAGGTTATTAGATAAATACCCCATATCGCGTTTTGTTTGTTCCCCTAGACGGCGGGGTCGCTGTGAAGTCATACCCTGTTTTTTCCGCTCACTTTTTCTTCTTTGAAGCCCTAGGATTTGAACGTGTCTTGTTAGGTTGGGGCCTTCTCTATCCTGCCGACTAATCCTTAGTCATTCCTAGATTCAGCGTTCTTGGGTGGACTTATTATTTTCTGCATTCTTAGCTTAGATTCTCTATGGCTAATGGCTCCGGTATAGATGGTTATGGAATCAATGTTATTCTTATCAATTTTCGGGTCGTTTTCATTCTCCCTCTTTTTGTCTTGTAGTTAGCACCGGGTGAGAATTAGAGTGTGGGTTAAAATAAATATATCTTCAAATTTTCCGGGTTAGACTGAACCACCTACTTTTAAACGCTGTGAAGGAGTTGGAAACAGACTATTTATCAGAGTTAGGTTTATATTTATTTCGAAATTATATAAGTAAAATCTCATACCTAGAGAGGCACGATAGGATACTAAGGAGCCAAAGACCAGTTACGTACATGCAGAGTGGGAGCTAGTCAACTGCCAGCAAAACTTGAACGAAGAACCAAATTTTAATGGACCGTGTTTATAAAAAGCCCAAAGAAATAAAAAAAAAATACCTGAAACAGGATGAATAGAAAACAAATGGGTGAGGTAACAACAGGGAAGAAACAAAGTACAAAAAATAATCTCTATGCATCTATCTTCGCGATTTTCCATGTTTTAACTTCCCTTTTTTCGACGAAGTAGGAGCAAGATCAATAGACTCATCCTCCTCAGAACCCGCAATAAAGTCCGCCATGCTACTCCCTTCATCCTCGTCGTCTTCATCGTCTTCCTCATCATCTTCCCCACCGGCACCTTCTCCATCCTCAGATTCCTCTGCCTCATCATCAAATAACTCTACCTCCTCGTCCTCGCTCTCCTCCTCTTCACCATCCTCCTCCTCCTCATCGGATGCCACTCCGTTAATAGCTAAGGGCATGTCCTCATCATCCTCTTCCTCTCCATCGCCGAGACCCGCACCGAGCACGCCTCGTTTCGCAGCCACACCACCAGCGGCAGCAGTGCCCTTAATGCGTCTGAGTCCATCTCCATCTTCATCCTCACTATCCACCAAATCCTCCTCGCCTTCAACATAAATAACATCATCTTCATCATCTTCCTCAGAACCCACCGTGCCGGCGCCACGGCCACGACCACCAGGACCAGCAGCTCGCTGCAGATTCTGCCTAAGACCCAGCTGCGCATCAAGCATATCCAACTTCCCCTTCAACAACAGAAGAGACGGCAAACTCGCCGACCGCTGATCCATCACCTTAAACAGCGCGGTAATCTTGCGCAGCACCTCCGGCCTCCCCGCAATCGAGCCGCCATGCGCAATGCATGTCCACTGCACCCAGACGAGCAGGTGGCCGTAGCGGCCAGGGCGGCTGGAGAGGCGCTCAGCGAGCTTCTGGAGCAGGGTGGCAGCGAGCGACGAATTCATGCGCTGGATCGTGGCGCGGACGATGTTCATGTCTGTGGTGTGGAAGCAGGATTCCAGAAGGGAGTTGTCGTTCGTCGTGAGAGCTTGGGAGAGGACGGTGGAGAGAGAGAGGCCGGTGGGGAGCTGGAGAGCGGTGTTGGACTTGTTGGCTGTAGAGGTAAGGGCGCGGGTGTGGGCGTCTATATCTGCGTTTGCGTCGTCGAGCTCTGCTTCGACGTCGATGGGTTCGGCGGCGTGGGCGCGGACAAGTTCGCCGAAGGAGGGCTCGCCACCTTCTTCTGCGTCGGCGTCCACCATGTCGATATCTTCCTGTTGCTCTTGTGTTTTTGCGGGCTCTGACGCGTGTTTGGGTTGTGCGGGGTCTTCTTTTTCTTCCTCCATGTCCTCATCTTCATCCTCTTCATCAGAGGCTTCTTCCTCATCATCACTGGGGACTGGAATGTGGGTTCTCTGTTTCTCGCCCTCCTCTTCCATGGGGATTCCTTCTGCAACCCCGCCTTGTTCCACAACTGCATGGGACTCATCCACTTGAGTCCTACCAACATTCTTGACTCCATTCATCATTCCGGATCCAAGCATGGATGCGGACTTGCCGCGCATAATTTCCTTCTCTCCCTGGAACACGAGTTCTTCTGTATCCTCGTCTTGCCAACGTATCCTTTCAAACACCAGGTTAACACCGCCTTCAGCCCATGCAACGACCAAATCAGGTCCCTGGAAGCTAACCGAAGCGACAGGTACCACTGTTCGAGATTTATCAGGTCTGACAATCTTAATTACAGCTTCCGCACGGCGTGTCATTGCTTTTCCTCGCGGCTTCAGACTGTGCGCGGAACCGGCAGACTGGAGTTGGTGAAAGGGTTTAGAAAACAATTCGATGACACCATTCTGCGTAACTACAGCAAGAAACTGTCTTTGCAATTGATCTGATCTTGTAGATTCCTTACTATCCTTACCCTGGCCGCCCTTCTGAGGGGCCGAATAGAACGCCAATTGATCTATGTCGCTCTCAGCCACTAGAGTATTTGCGATTTTCTTTTTCTGGATATCAAAGATGTTGATGTAACGGTCAGAATCAGAAGCAAGGAATTGCTCTGAGAGATTTCCAAGATCAGTGGAAGACGGTATTAGTGTATGGATGGAGTTTTTCATGGCACTGAACGAGACCACACCATCAGTGCCTTCAAGGCCTATTAGATACGGCGTTTGTGAAGCACATAGGATAGGAGGATTGGATGGAACGGGCCGCGCAAGCGCAGAGACAGAAGCTGACGGCAGAGAAATGACTCTAAAGAAACATACGTTGTTAGAGAAAGCAATTTTTTCAGTTGCCAGCAGGAGACGAACAACGGAAATTGAAATTGAAAGAAGTCATAGCATACCGTATACTCCGGCCAGCTTTTAGATCCCACTGCACAAGCTTCCCGTCGCCACCAATACTCCACCCTTCAGCCCCCGGATTGTTCACCGTGAACTTAAAATCCCTAATACCCTTTTCATGTCCGCCCGAAAGAGTCCCAACGATCCTATCTTCAGCGGGCGAGTACATTCGAATATCAGACGAACTTGTACCAAAGGCAATAGCCACATTGCTCGCATTATCGCCATCAGCATTGACAATGCCATTTACCCCAGATGAGCTGCGCTTGCGTTTCTTCTTCGTATGTTGATCGCGATCTCTGCCCTGATGAGAATCACCATAGTACCCCCAATCCAGCGAAGTGATGGCTTCTCTTGGATTCACTGCATGCTCGCAATGTAGACGGCCCGAACCTATCTCATGCACGCGGAGATGCTGCGAGTCAAGGCCCTGGATGACAGATGCAAAAAGCGCCAGTTGATACTCGGATGGGGAGAATGCGGAGCGGAGGATGGAAGATTTATTTGCAGAGAGAGGTGAGGGTGATGCTGATGGAGCTGCGGCCGAGGAGATTTTCGACACGGGGCCTCTTGAGCCCTTCTTGGTCCCCATGGTTTTTATATTAGATATGTCGAGGGGGAGATGCGGTAAGGGATTGAAGGAGGCGGAGAGGGGGAGGAGAGTAGCGGAATGTGCAGATCCGCAAATTTGTCGGGAGCTGTACCGGGGTTATACGGTGGAGTGGATGGGATGTTTGAATCCGGCCGCCTGGCAAAACTCTCTTTTCTTTCTCTCTCTTTATATTCCTCTCTCTCAACACATGTACTTCCCGCGTTTGGATGTTTTGCTTGTGTGAAAAAAAGTTGATGCTGAAAAATATCGCGCCTGGCCGGATCGAGGTTAGCGCCAAGTAATAGACCAGATTAGTCAGAATGCCGCCAGGGACAGAAAGGTTATTCCGAGGCCGACCCCTTCATAGAGATTAATTACCAAGTACACTACATTACATTTGCCTTAGCAACATTGCTCTCATCAATGACTGGGAAAGTTGGACTGTGCCTTTGATTAGATGATACCAAGCTTGTTGGTCGCTGCTATTTAATACGTGCTCATGACCGAATGTCTATGCAATGTACCCAACCCTAAGCTTTTCCTCTCCGGCCGAATGTGTCTGGTATGGCAAGAGAGAAAGTGGAGTCTTGACTCAAGCTGATTAGTGATTGAATGATAGGTTATCCTTCTACGAATGACTTTAATGTTCACTTATCTTCGAAAATTCCTCTGGATGCGACCATTGCCTCAGCGAGGAATGAAAGTTGGTTGTATGGTCCCAAAATTCCTTCTTGATATCATTGCATGCGAGGGAACTCAAGCGATCACCACAGCCCAGCGTTGAAAGAATGTTGTCTACGCCTATTCTATTATTGCACGGAACAGACGATGCGTGGATTGATGTTGAACTAGGTCGACAGGCATGTCGAAACTTAAACCAAAATCGGGCTGCATGTGGATTGGGTCGAACACTCTGGAGCGGATAATGAAGGACACCGGATAAGGGAGCCGGAAGGCATTGATGATATTGTTGCCTTTGTGGAAGCTTCTTTTGCCTCGCGAATGGAAAGGAGAGAAGGATAAGCGAGTAGAAGCCAAGCAGGAGTTAAATACTAGTCATTTCCTGTTTCCTGTGGTTATGCCAGGTGGGCAGGTAAATGCTAGCTCCTGCGACGTCCTCACCTTTCGCTGTTTCAGGCGGCCACCCTATCCGTGCAGCAACCAGTTCTCGCTCATATTACCTGCCACAGACATCCTGTTAATTCTTATCAATCTCCTGATATCCTAACAAAATGTTTCCAAAAAGCTGAATATCTTTGGCCTTCCTGTCGCTCAACAGCAAGTTGCCTTCATTCCATCCTCACTAAGGAATCAAATGAATAGAGGGGAAAAACGCCCCATCTGATATGATTGTGAATGTTCAGAAGCCATTAGTTTCAAGACAGATGATAATGTATCATATGAATTGTAAAATTTTGTTCATTCAGGATTCATTGAACAAAGGAATGAAAGGAAGAACAAAAAGAACATCAACCACCCATTCAAATTTCATGCTCCGAGTGAAATGACACTGCGAAATCACTCCCTGAAAAGCCAATGGTTGACAAAGTTTACAGACCTAGAAGGACGGGCCAGTAAACCTCCAGCGTATATTAATCACGGGGAGCAAGGTAAAACAGTCCAAGGATAAATTTATCCTTTTTTTGCCAGGACAAGAGAATATAAGAGGAAGTTTCGGGGAAATTGAAACTATCATCAGCATCCCACGGCCCATGAAACCTGACGCTGGGGCGGGGAGGAGGAGGTGGCCTCACACGCACACAAACGCAGAGGTTCCAAGGATATCCTCATAGGATAAAGATTTCTCTGCGCAGACACACACATCGCTCAAAAAGCTCCGTTGGGGGTACCTAGGTGCCTAGGTAAGTGGGCCAGACCACCTGCATTTGGTGATGTAATCAATCCCTAGTTATCTATGTTTAGATTGCAGCGTGGCAGCCATGATGGGATGGAGACATTGCAGGATGCATGATTGGTGCTGTTGCTGGATTTTTGTCTTTTTTTTTTGTCTTTCAGGTTGATCAACTGTGACATGACTGAATGTGTGGGCAAGTGTGGGTGAAGGTGGGTATATGTGTAAGTGCAAGTGTAACTACCCTAGAGTATCTGCAAGGGGTTGCCTGTTTCTGAAAGAAAAGAGAAATGAAGAGAGGTGAACAAAAATTACTCATTCACATATAGAGTGAAATGATTTTTAAGTGTTGGAAATCAAGTTCCACCGGTATCTGAGCGCTGAATATATAGATGTTGTGGATTGAGTACTGCTCATTGACCTCCCAGGTTCTGATAACAATTTCGGGAATGATTTGATATATTCTGTATAAATCAGCCTCTCCACTCCCAATGATACGCAGTTTCTGCAGCAGTGTTTCAGGCTGGGACAGGTTAAAGGTCTGCCTTGCTCCAAGAGGAGGATGAATAAAGGATGAAGCAACAGGCACAGCGGGCGGATATAGAGCGGAAGAAGGACGCGCTTCCAAGGCGGGTAGCCTCCTGTTAGTTCGCGTATTAAGTAAGCATGGAAGTTTGCGAACAGCCAGTGGACGAATTTCATTGGTTGGCCAGGCACTTGATTTTCCGCCAAAAATCTTGGCATACGAATTTGGCGACCTGCCCGCACGGCATTATTATATTATTTCTATACGGAGTAGTCAAAAACGGAGAAGTGTCGGGGTTAAACCCTAGGAAATCAAAAGCAGGAAAAAAGGTACCGGCTAAGCCCTAATTGCAGACTGTTCTATTATTATTATTCCGCATGGGGGGAATACCTAGGTAATTCCAGGTTTTCCTGGATTGCACAATCCTGTCGCCTCCTTGTGGTTTATTTCTGACAAGAAACATGCATGGAATGTTAAATATTGTGTATGTATCACATCTTAAATTGATCAATTTTGCGCTGCCTAAAAAAACAATATTATGTGTGTATCAAGGATGCATGTCATGGACTGGACGGGGGGTTTGCAGGACATGTTTATTACGTCAATACAGAGAACAGTCAGTGATACAGTCATCTATTTTGTGGCTGTGGCAAGGCGGTAACTTTTGTTCTGTGTTTGTATCAGCGGTTTTGTTTCGGCGTTGAAGCCTTGAAAACAGGCCAGAAGCAGCAAACAGAATGTAACCAAAATACCGAAAAGCAGAGCAAAATTACAATATGAACAGGGATGGTGGGGCGTGTGATTCGGAAAGGGGAGGGCACTATAGCCAATGAGAACATACGCCAAGACCAGGATGACGCGTGGCAGCCAATCAACGCGGGCAGAATGGCATCAACAAGGATCGCCGCCTTTAGTAGCGTCATCCGAGGCTAGCGGGACAGACTGCTCTGGTTCCCTGGCACGGACTGGCAGCGAGAGGACTGCCCGTACTTAAGGATTCTAGCATCCCCTCTGTTTCCTCAGTCTCTCTTTTTGCTCGCCTCCTCGCCTCGCGTCTTCCCGTCACGCACTTTATCTCCCTTATCGCCACGCTTTCGTCTGCTCACCAACCCAGCCCAACCCTAGAAACGCGGCTTGTATCCTTACGCGCACGGCCTTTCTGCACTGTCAGATTTATCAATTCGGTTCGTATTATTGCCCCTTGTCTTCTACCGCTTATTGCCACTTCCTAGTTGGCCTGTATTTTTTTATTTGCCCAGCTGCAAGGCCGACCACCCTGACTTGCCTTGTTGTTGTGAGACTGTATTCCTCTAAGTGCTGCCCCGTGAATAATTCTAGGGCATAATAATTTTTGTATAACTTGGACACTTCATACACACACTTACATGCACGTCCCATATGATTCCTAGCCTCCTGTACTCTCCAGTCTCTTTGTCATCTGATATGTACTCCGTACATGTACAGTACATTCCCTACCAGTTACCTAGGTAGCTTTTTCCGCTCCTGCCTTGTCCTTTTCTGGTTAGCAGCGGGATTCTCCGCATCACCTTTTTTTTCCGCTGGCTTTTTGTCAGTGCACGGAGTGTTCCTCTCTTCCCTCCTTCATTCCTAGCCAATCACCTGCACTCTTTTACCTCGCTCTCCAGCAGCTCTGCTCTGTTCCGCTGCCTGTTGCTTAGTCATCTTTCCACGTGGCCACAAGCTTTCCCGTCAACTTTCTTGGCAATATAAATTGCGCATCCTTCGCTCTGCTTCTTCTTCTTCCTTTTCTGCTTCCCCCCCTCTTTGGCACTACTGTCTCGCCAACCACCCCCTATTGAAACCACTGTCAACAACAAATCACGCAACAGAAAAGCAGACATTGTTGTGGGAAATTATTCTTTTCTCAATCATTGTACCCTGTGTTTACTAATATCTAGTGGATATTACTTGATTTTCTTTTGCTGCTGCCGGCTGCTTTCTCATACATACAACGTCTCTTTTATCCACGCATGGCTCTGACCATAACTCTGTCGCGTCTAGTCTAATATAATATTCTGACTTAGATTAGAGATAGGGGACATCGACCCATAGCTTTGTGGCCCAAAAACAAAACAACAAGATCAAAAGTCGGGATTAATATCAGATTTCCCGCCCAGCCAGCCAAGCTTACCAGAGTCGCGCATTCTCTCAATTGGTCTACTCTATTTGCTCCGTGACGCGTTAATACGTCCTGTCTATCCTCTTCATCCAAGACGGACTCTATCCCGCCCTCTCCTTTCTCTGGTGCTCGGATTTCCCGGCGGGCCAGGGCGCGCGCGTGTTTACCCTTCATCTATCACCCCCTGTGTTGCCTCACGTGATCGTCGCTGATGGTCATGGCAACTCCTCCCCCAGACACTGCTGTCGCGGAGAGCAAGCCCCAGCAACCTCCCGTTGTTGATCAGGTTTCTCTTGATGCGAACTTATTTGGGTGAGTACTCTCCCTCTCTCTCTACCTATATCTGTTTCTATATTTTGCTTTGTATCTATCTATTCTATTATATATCCCGTATATACCTCTTTGTACTGCTGCCATGAATGCTTTAGAGACGTGGCGGGATCATTCAGGCTAACTGCCGTAACCTACCAAAACAATAGTGGTAACCCGACTCTAGAAACGAAAACAGTTGCCGTGAGGCTTTCTGAAACCATGTCTTCTGAAGCCCAGGTAGTCAAGGAGCCTGCTGCTACAGATGAAAACAAACCTCTTTCGCCGGTAGTAAACGGTAATGGGGTGGTGGGCACCACTAAAGTTGAGGCTGCCGATACTGCTTCTCCCCTTTCTCCACTCGAAGCATCCCGCCCCAAATCACCACTAAGTCAAGAAATAGCTACAGCTCCACCAGCAGACGTTCAAGTGTCGACAAATCCTGGGTCACAGACTACGCCAGAGGTAGATTTAGATTTGCCAGCCACACAACCGGAGAAAGAGGCAGCTGCCTTGAAACCAGAAACGACCCCTGTTGCTGCGAAGGAATCCATGGATTTGGATGAACTTCCTCAAGCTTCTTCTGAGCTTGCCAGCGCGCAAGCGTCTTCAACCACGAGTGCCCAACCGAAAGAATCACAAGTAGAAACTGAGCCTTTCCCCGTAGACGCAACGTCGAAAGAAGCTGCTGGGTCAACGAATGAATCTCTCCCGTCTTCTACGAATGAACAGCAACCGTCACTGCCAGCTCAAAGGGAAGAAGCACCCGCTTCCTCAGATGTTCCCACCCCTCCTCCTCCCCCTGTTCCCGAAACTGCAACTATCCCTTCTCAAACAGCCCCTACCCAAACTAACATGCCATCTCTTTCCCAAACTTCACAACTATCTCCTCCTGCAACCACCGGCTCCATTGAATCACAAGCACCAAAATCAGAAGAGCCAAAACCTGAGCCTGTCATGCCAGCACCGGTCGCAGCACAACTCCAACCAGACCAGGAGATGGTAGATGCCCCTCCTGTGTCTCCCACTAAGGTAACGCGGGAGAGGGATGAGGATATGGATGAGGAACCGGCCCCAAAGCGAAGTAAGAAGGATGATACTGCAGGTGATGCTGCACCTGCTGTGCCAGAGTTTAAAGTTCCCGAATTGCCACCGGTACCAGCGGGTGCAGGCAGTGATTCGTTGCGGTCAGAAGCCCCTCTCACCACAAAACAGTTGAAATTCTTGGTCCGATGCATTCAGGGTTTGAAGCGTGTACATGATTCCCGATTTTTCCGTGAACCGGTAGACCCTGTTAAGCTGAATATCCCAAACTACCCGCTTATTATTAAACAGCCCATGGATTTGCGAACCATTGAAGAGAAATTGAAATCAGGGTCCTATGCTTCGCTCGCTGCAGTTATTTCTGATTTCGACTTGATGATTGACAACTCCGTTACCTTCAATGGACCGGAGCATATGGTTAGCGTGGAAGGCCTGAGACTCAAGCAGAACTTCGAGCGCCATTTGGCCAAACTGCCTGGCCCAGATGAAGTGGAAACAAGCCCTGCTCAAAAGAAGGCCAAGAAAGTGGCTACTGCGCCCACAAAAACTCAACCTGCTCGACGTGACTCAAGAGCGGTTGGAAACAATGCGCGACCGACAAATGCGGCGTCACCCACAACAACGTTTGCGCTTGGACCCGAGGGTTTGCCTCTCATCCGCCGCGATTCCACCACCGCGGATGGGCGGCCAAAACGTTCTATCCACCCTCCAAAAAATCGCGATCTACCCTACAGCGCAAAGCCCAAGAAGAAGAAATATCAGTGGGAACTGAAGTTCTGTCAGGAGGTACTAGACGAGCTCCATAAAAAGAAACATGAACCCATCGCCCTTCCGTTCTATTACCCCGTTGACCCAGTGGCCTTGAATATTCCGACATACCACAGTATAATTAAGAAACCCATGGATTTACAAACTGTCCAAACCAGGCTGCAAACCGGCCAGTACGAGAATGCCAAGGAGATGGAGGCTGACATCCGTTTAATATTCAAAAATTGCTACAAGTTCAACATCCCTGGCGATCCGACCTACAATGCTGGGAAGAGTTTGGAGGAGGTCTTCGATAACAAATGGAGCCAGAAGCGTCGATGGATCGAAGCTCATGAACCATCCTCTGGCCACCAAAGCGCTGGCACGTCAGAAAACGGTAGTGAATCAGAGGGTGAGGATAGTGAGGAGGACAATGACCAGGAGAAATTAAATCAACTTCAGAAACAAATTGCGGAGATGTCTAAGCAAGTAGAGGCAATTACTCAAAAGAAGAAAAAGACCCCACCCAGTAGCTCGAAGAAATCGGGCAAATCCAAATCTGGCAAGAAGGACAGTAAGAAGGGTTCTGGCACAACGGGAGGCTCGTCTGGGAAGAGGGATAAGAAGAGCGCTTCGAAATCCAGCAAGCCTGAGAAGCAGCATTGGGTTACGTATCGCGAAAAGCAAATTATTTCTCACGGTATTAGCAGCTTGCCTGAAAAGAGAATGACCGAGGCGCTTAAAATTATTCAGTCAAATGTCCCTGGATTAAAGGTACGCACTTTATTTGACATTTCGAATTGCTCTTTACAACATAAACTGACTTTGAGGATGATGCTCAGGATACCAAAGAAGCGGAAATTGAACTTGATATCGACGAGCTACCCAACGAGGTTCTCCTTGTGCTTCTAAGATTCGTGAAGAAACATGCACCAGCGGCTATGGAAATTGATGAGCCGGAACCCGAACCTGTTCCCGTTGTGGCTCCACCGAAGCCCAAGAAGAATAAGCCTATGAGCAAGTATGAGCAGGAAGCACGGATCAATAGTATTGAGGGCACCATCTCCCGCTTCCAGGGTGGTGGCGGTGGCGGTAGAGGAGGTTACTCACAACCTAGTATGTTACCTTTAATATCCTCCTATTCGCTTTCATCAGAAATATTAATTACTAACAATATCCTTTTCAACAGTACAATCCGTCGAAATGCCTGAGACCAGCGACGACGAAGATGACTCGGAAGAAAGTGAGGAAGAGTAGATCCCTTGAAGCTGAAAATTATCAGCTCCTTGCTACGCGTTGTTGCCATGCCCTTTGGGACGAACAGACAGTCAAACATCCTTTCTGCTCTTTGAGATGCTTTTTAATCTGAGTTTTTGCACCCCTCCTTTTCCCTCTTGCTCTTCGGCTTCACTTATGCTGTCATATCCATCTATTTACCCCAGCCCCGTGCGATTGCTGGAATTCTCACGACGACCCCATAGGGATGATAATGTTACTATAAAAGCTATCCACGAATCAAAGACACACAAAACATAACACTTGCAGGCGCCCTTGATCGGATACTTTGGACGGTTTTTTCTTCTTTTTTCTTGTTCCTTATTTCACTGTTTTTTCTGTACTGCAATTCTTCACAAGCCAGGGGGTATGGTTGTTGCCGTCTTAAACATCTTGTATCTCACGCGTGCATCAGACAGGAGGTTTTAGGTTTTTTATCTTCTTCAGTTTGTTCTTTCCCCCTATCTCTCTCTTCTTACCCTTCTCCCTGTATGCTTTTTTTAAATTGTATCTATTATTATTATTACCTTTTTTTTGTTTTTTAATAAATTTGAAAAATGAGATCAAGACGAAAACGAAGAAGAGCAAACTAAGAGAAGAGCGAAAAATCAAGATCCCTTTATTATTTGCTTATTGCTAAATGATTCTAGAGATTACAACTACTAAGTATTCGTGTGAAGATCGCTGAAGCCTGCCTCTCTGTATAAACGTAACATCAAGAACTCAGTGGCATCATTTTCGTTTGGTTCTGCTTCACCGTCTTCCTACCACTACTCATTGGTTATCTAATAGGGCTTTAACCGATTTGATTTATAGATACTATTACCATTGGGGGTATAGAGATATTCCCTCACCTTCCTTCCCCCTTCCATTTAAACACATTCCATTGGTAAGAATACACTTGCTAAAGATGTGTACAGTTCGTAATTTGTAAATACATAATCCGTACTCCGTACATACATTAAGTTACATGCCCCGGCAGGGTTTCCATGTAGCACGTCCGTGAAAGCAAAAGAAAATCAATGAGTGGTACACGACGCAACCTACCCTCTCTATGCATATAAAATACAAACGATAAATAAATACACCTGGATGACGCTGGCTGACTAGGCAGTCGTGAGGACGTATCTATGGTTGGACGATTAGCTTCGTTAACCTGAAAAATCACACACGCTATAGAAGCGAAAAACACCACAGAATTAAAAAAAAAAAAAGAGAGAAATGGACTCACGCAGTGATACTCTCCATCCTCTCCGACGTTAGCTTAAAGCACACCTTCATCAACTCCAGCGCCAACATCGGCTCCTCCCGTCTCAACACCCTCCACCCCTCACTACCAAGGCGCCACACGGCACAATCCCTCTCCGCCCTGACCGTAGCCGTGCGCCGCGTCTCGCCGAAAAACGGTAACTCGCCACACGGCCGTCCAGCAACGATGAGCTCGAAATAGTTACCCTGCGGCGTCTCGTATTCAGCCCGCAGCATGCCCGATTCAAGGAGGTAGAAGTTTGTTGCTGCCTCGCCTTCGCGGTAGAGGACCGAGTCGGCAGGGAAGACTTCGCGTGTGAAGTAGGTGCAGGCGGGGAACCAGAAGTCTTCGTTTTTTTGGGTTAGGCCGTGGAATGTTTGGAGGAGGAGGGGGAGGGGTTGTTGGAAGGAGGACCAGTTTTGGGAGGTGGTGCGGCCGGAGAGGGGGTTGGCTTCTTCTTCGCGGAGGGTTGTTGTTGCTACTTCGTGGAGGTAGTGGCCTCGGGGAGAGTTGAATAGTGTATCTGGGGGTATATGAGGTTGAGGCTGGGATACCTCTGGTTTTCGTTCATGTTAGATATAGATTTTTTCTATTAAAGCTATGCCTTTGAGTTTCCATGAACTTACCCCAAAATCGAGGAGGAGTGCGGTCGTCAGTCCCTGTCATACTGACGTTGCGTTGATATAGGACCTTCAGCAGTTCATTTTCACAATACTCCAATGCAGAGTTTAGGGTTTCGAATATCTCCACCTCGTTCTCCTTTCCAAAGAGACCGACATTCTGCAAGCTTTTCCCAACCTCGCCTTCCACGTCAATACCACAGATAATCATATGCACCCTCCGTTTCCAGAGGATCCTGTTTAATCGCGTGAAAGCCTCGGCGGCGGAAAAATCCAATCCATTGACACGTTTAAGATCAAGAATAAGAAAGCGTATAGGTTGGTCCCTGAACGTCTTCTCCTCGATCAAGCCCCGGACACGGTTCTCCACGCTCACAATTGTGCCGAAAAATAGAAAGCCTGCAAGCTTAATAACAAAAGTCTGTTTACCAGCGTCCTTGAGGAACCTGACATGTAAAGGATGCCGCCTCACAGTAGATATGGCTACCTGGCCGGAATACGTTGCTGTTATCGCGGACTTCTGGGACGTTTGGAGGACGAAATTTACACAGGCGAGGATTATACCGATGACTATTCCAATCACAAAGTCCCATGCTCCCATAGTAACAACTATTATTATCACCTATCGCACGCCAATCAGTAAATAGACGCGAACGCGACATAGAATCGTACTGTGTAGAAAAGCATTGCTAGAAAAACAGACTTACAGTAATGTATTCCAGTGTGTGTAGCTTTCCCCAAGTCCCCACCAGTGCCTCTTCCATTAGTTCTATTCCAAGCATGTAGATAAGTGCACCGACGACCACTATCGGGATATATCCAATTATTCCCGGCCCCACAAGCATGATGCCAAATGTGGCGACGGCCAACATCACGCCCGCCAGACGACTATTACCGCCACTGCCGATAAAGAGTAAACTATTTGTATACACGAGGTAATTCTATATGGAATTAGTAAAGCTTCGATGGGGTATACCAGACCACGCCCACCACCTTCACTTACCTGAATGCTGCCAAAGAAGCCTGACACTGCGTTAGATATACCGTGTGCGACAAGCTCTCTATCAACGTTCAAGTTGTCTTCGCCAGTCGAGATACCTAGAGCGGGGACGTTGATGGGTACATGTAGAACGCCGAAAAATGTCAATGCCAACATAGCCGGAATAGTTTCAGCAAGCGCTGGCCAATTGACAACAGAAAAGTCTTAACGATTGTTAGCTACGTCATCATCTAGGTAGACTTCGAGCTTCGAGAGGGTGAATAGTAGTTATCCTCACCATATAGGGTATAGAAATGGTACCACGGTTCGGACGAGGATGGAGCGTCGAAAACCCAGCCACGGTCCCGCAAGGTCTCTAACGGGATGTTGAAACTAAACTTGGCAAAATAAAAGATAACACCGATAGATACGAAATAACCACCGACAAGAAAATTAGACTTGACGAATCGCTTTATCACAAGCAAACCAATAGCGCCGACAAGAGGTAGTGTCCAAAGAAAAATCGTATCAAGCTGGAAAAGCCTTCCTAATGTGTCGAGGTTATATTCGAGGCTGCCGGATAGACGTGCAGATACCTCAACCCCTGTAGCGACAAGAAACCACCCAACTCCACCGATGCATCCGATTAAAATATGACGGGGAAAGAACCCAATTAATGATCCGAGTTTGAATGCTCCCATAAGGAAGAAGATAGATCCTGTTAGCACAGAGCTGATGGCGTAGGATAGGATGGTCGTCGCCAGCACTGCTTTCTCATTCTCCTTGCCAACCCTATTGAGTATGATAAACGCCATTTTATGAAAAAAGGGAACCACCTCAATCATTTCAGAGCCAACGCCTCCTTTGAAAATCGAACCGCCACATGAGTATACAAGCTGAGAAACAATCGTACTGACGTAGAACATAGAAATGCCATCCGGGGCGAGGTGAGCGAATAGCGGCTCACCAAGAGGGAAAAGAATCATTCCGTAAGAGAGGGCATCCAGAATATTGAGTAGAAGGCCTAGAAATACGGCCGGGAGAAACGTGGTAGGGTGAACTATTGCTTTCTGCCATATTATTTCCCTGTCCCAGGCTTTTGGGTTCAGACCACGGCACCAGGCACCTCCCCTTCTGCATATGACACGGAATCTATCAAAAGGCTTATGTGTCGTGATTTGGCCTTCAACATCAGCTGGGGCTGTGCCGTAATCCCGACTCTTAGTTCGAGATGCATTAAGGAGAAGCGCAGTTCGTTCTGCATCTGGCACTGTTGAATCGCGCGATAACGTGAGAGCCGAGTGCGAGAAATCTTCCGGGATGAGCTCTTCACTCACACCATGATCACTTCTACTCGGTAGAGCATCACGGATCATCGTAGTAAGGGCGGAAGTGTTATATTTTGGAGACGGGTGAGAAGCCCCTGTTGGAGACTGTGGTTCAGAGACTTCTTCGATCCGCCCCGGTTGACATAGGTTCCTGGGCGACCTATTGTTATCACGCTGACCATCAACAAACATGTCAAAATTATTTGGCATGCTCATTTGTAGCTCTAGGTAAGGGGAGTTGGTACGATTTCGCTCCCCGTGAGATAACGCCAGTGACGCCAATTCCGCCGTTTTTTCTCGAACGCCATGAGATGAATATTGACCGGCATCTGCAACATAAAACCAAATAGTTTAGTACGATATCTGAGACAAGCGATTGTTAGTAAAGAAAAGAGTGAAGCTCACCTAAAGACCCTCGAAAGGATCGGTGATAAAACGACCGGAGAGGTGTTCTCTCGTTGCAAGATGTGGAGTACGACATCGGGGGAAGAGAGTTGCCCTCCTCCCCATGGTTTGATTGAGAGCCATTAGGGGGATTATTCGTGGAGACAGGGATATTGTCGCTTCTTTCGTCTATTTGTGTACGCATCAAACCCTCCTGTACTTCTCGTGGATGTGGTTGGGTTGAAGACTGCGAAGCTCGTCGCCGCATTCCCGCATTGTCAGACGTCATATTGCGGTCTCACCCCGCCAGGCGCGTTTCCGGCATCCAGGAACCGGACAATAAATTGCACAAAACCTGATCACTATTTTAACTTTGCTCCGAATACATCCGTGAGGCTGGGAAACCAGTCTACTTCCCTCGAGTACGATTGGAAGAAACGACGGAACATGTGTCGTAGGAGCACGGAGGAGCAGTAAAGTTAACCCGTAACAAGTTTCCTAGAGATTTAGAGGTCGTCAAGGGGCTCGACCGACGGGAGATTGTCGTCAAGGCTGCGCCAACTGGAAGGAGTCGAACAAATTCGCGACGTGGGAAAGGTAGAATCTTGCTGTTATTGGTGTTGTCAGTCATCGAAAAGCAAAAGCTGTAAATCTTGGTCTGGAATCTGTCCGCTCCACCTCGGTTTTGCCCCGCCGCCAAACTAAAAAAGAAAAAGCTAATGCAAAAAAATAACCATTCCGTTGCTGCTTGAAATTTCTGGTAAAAGATCAGATACTTTAAAGAACTTTATTGTAGAAATTTAGTCATTGCTACATGGCTTCTACCTTCTAAAATTCCCACGGATGTGGGCCAGCAGAAAAGGCAGCGTGTTGTGATAAGCTTTTCTCCAGCAGATGAAGTACTTTATTTACAAATAGAAGCTGCTTTGCCCTAGTGCATCTTGGAGAGGCAAATCTGGCAGCTAGCTCCCTGCAGCTGCAGGGTGCCATGCGACAGGGGCTATTTCTCCGCTGTCAGAGAAGACGAGCAAGCTAAAAGTTGACAAATATTTCACACTTCAATATGTTTGAATTTACAGAATACTTCGTGAGAATAATTCAGTTTTAACTACCCATATTGAAAGAGCCTTTGTCTCCTTATTTTGGTGTTTTGAAGTTGAGGGACGACGGGGAAGCTTTACTTTCCTTTCTGCTTTTTCTTAAACAATAAAGAAAACAGGTGAATGTGGGGTGATGAACCGATGTTTCGCGGCCTAAAATAGTTTATTTCAGCGTTTCCTAATCCCGTGGCAATGGCATTGCATGCGAATACTTAATTTTGACCCCCTGTTAACTACCTAAGACCAATGTCTCAATGTTCTCATGTCTATGACAGAATTTGAGATCAAAACCACTTGGTAAATGTATACATGCCAGTCAATGTTTGAGGTTCTGATTAACATGAACTGAACCACTTTAATTACATACTGAGAGAAGGCAAATTTTAGATAGACAGTTATTTAGTACTGTCTCCATTAATTTTTAGCAGTTCCTGTTCTTTGTTTCTACATAATGAGTTCATGGGGTTGTGATGTTTTCACATATCTATGATGTCATAACTGCGAGTAACCCCTGTCTTGCAAATGAGAGGCAAATCACATTGAAAGCAAGTGGATTCAGATAAAAAATTGACAAACATTATCATTGATTCAGAGGAGAATGTTAAAACACTTAAGTTATACGGCGATACTCCGTGAATCTATCTCTGACAGCAGGCCCTAGCTAAATAAACTTTTTAAGCTTAAATTGTTGTAACTAACCACAAAAGCTTAAAACCCCCATGTGGTCAGAGCTTTGTATACCGGAGCGCAGCTGTGCAGCATTGAGGCTCCCCATTTTGTTTACTTTTCTTTTTTACCTAACCTCACTCTCCGTTTTGGTGGCGAGAAACCCTGTGTAGGAAAGTTGTTGCCTGTTTAGTTCCCTTAAGTCTTGAGCGGGAAATTTTCGCGAACCTTGGCTCTGTGAACTGAAGGGGATGAGGTATATCTGGTAAATGCAAGATGTTGTAGGCAAGGGTCCTGAAGGGAAGCGATTCCATTGCGTGCGTTGCGGAGATATGTATAATGTATGGAATGAACTAACCCTTTACTTCACTTCATAGAGCCTAGTCTGATTTCCGTCGAAAATGTTTGAGTCGTGTACCTACCAGGAGCAAAATCAATTTTTGAAGTGAAGAGAAGGAATAAGGTTTTTGGCCAATTTGGGGTAAATTAATATCAAATCGTATACTATACTAGATGAATCACTTTAACGTTATTAGAACCATGCGCAGCTCAATGCGATTGAACCCAATCGACTAAACCTCCTTTCCGCATGCTTTGACATAGCCTTCCCTGCAAGCAATGTTGGTTCTTGTGTCGACAAAAAGGTTCGCTGCTTATTTCACGTTTATTCCTAATAGAATGATATGATTCAAAAATTGGCAGAATGCTTCGGTAGTAGAGCTTGGTAGGAATCTGCAAATATGCCTTCCCATGCCATTTCTAAATCTGCCGCCTTAAACAGACGCGGGAGTAGCTAGGGCGGCAGCACCGGAATGCCACTTCGTAAGGTAGTTGCGCGTGAATCGAACTACAGGAACCGAATGGGATGTTAGATCTTCCCGGGGAAATCAGATAAGTGCCCAGGGGTAAGCCTTGTCTCCGAGCGAGGTTTGTGAATGTTCTTGTATCCACCTCTAGGGTAGTAAGGACAGGTAAAATAATGCGTCCTCGGGAATGCATAGCTTGCAGTCCTACATGTTAACTCAATCGTTGAAGATATCCCTGTGCAATGAGCCGTTCAACGTCGCCCAGCCGGACATAGAACTGGCTGTTTTTCGTCAACGTAATAGCACTGTTGCCAAAGGCCAAAATTTTAGTAAACGGAAAAAGAGCATAATGCGAAGGCCTCAGCTCGGGCTCCTTCCCAAAATTCAATTTCTCTCGAGGCAATTATCATGCTCCAGAGTAGTACGGAATGATAAGGACGCTGCACTTACCCATACTCAGTCTGAATCTCACCCGCATCCTTAAGCACGCGCACGTCAATGAACAGATCCTTTGGCGGCTCCAGGCTACCCGTCAAGTCAATATCAATCCATTGTCCCTTATACGCCGCAAGCATATCACTGTAGTGGCGAAAGTACTCCATTTCCTCGGGACTCAGGGAATTTGCATGGCCACCACTACTCTGAGCACCCGTACCACCTTGCTGCATCTGCTCATCTAGCACATCACGACCCTGCCAGCAGAACTCTTCCAGTTTCTCCGCACGTGCGCGGTGGTAGGCAAGCAGGCATCTTTTATTCCGTCGCATCGACAAATGATGCACGAGCAGAGCGCAGGCGGTCGCGTGGTTCTCGGACGGGTTGAATGTGCCTTCGAAGGGCTCCAAGATACGCGCTACATCTTTATCCAATTCGCGGACCTCGCGCGCCACCGAGCGTACCATTTCTGTCTGGTATGGTGGTAGGTGGGAGAGGGATTGCATGCGCTTGGCATGTTGGACCTGATAGTCTCAGAATTTGATCGAATTAGCATACAGCGCGGGGCTGCTTTCTCTCTGGATATGCAGATAGTGGGAAATTACATGACTTTTCGCACATAGAATGGCTTTCTTACCAGTTTGTTACCCAGGTCTCCGTACATTGTGCTCAAATTCGGTATTTCGGGGTTTAGGTTCCAAAAATGGTTCGGGGTCCTGAACCGCTACGGGCAACTTATGCAGCTATCGACCTGCTTTCTGCAGGGGAATGCTTCTATATTCTAGTGTGTAGAACAATAGGAGCTGTATATAGGTTGTTGGGATATCTCACGTAGCTCTTACGGACATCCTGGGGTTGTGGTCTGGGGTTTTTCGGGGCTGCATAGTTTTGCGATGCGGTGGTGGTTGATTCCCTGGTTCTGGTGCCAAGACCCTCCTCTCCAGCCAAAAGCCAGCAGTCGGGAGCCGCACTTATTTACTCCGTAACTACTCCACCTCCACATTCAAGAATCACAATGGAAGCAACTTCTTTGCGTTTCCAGTCAGTCGGGCGTTCTTTATCCCCATTTTATTATCATTATCTACATTCATCATTTTTAGCATGTCTTTGCCATTCTTTTGTTCTATGTTTCTATTTTGACTTCACTTCTGCAACATGGCATATGTAGCCTGTTGCAGGTTTCAAACACTTCTTTATCTGAATGACGACTGCCCACTGCAGGCAAATGTCCTTCCCCTGACTTGCTACGTAGCAGGAGGAAAGGTAAACCCTTCATTCTAGCGTGTGCTATTATTGGGAAATATATTATGTCTGCTGAAATGTGCCGGCTGATGAAGTGTAATCGCAGGGAAAGGGAAAAAGGAACGTCCGTTGCACGCACCAGTTCCCCCTATTATCAAAACTAGGAGATCTCAAGACTGCGTTGCCATTGAAAGAAAAGACGCGGTGCTACCAGGCTTAGACGTTTGGAATTATGATACTCGATTAACCGCATTAGCACTAATTAATAATAAGCTACAGTACAGTACATGCCTTTTACGCATGATATTGAGATCCCAATAATGACCTGTCCAAATTGTTTCTCGCCCAACCGCCTGTAATTAAGAAAAATGGACCCAAGCAGTAAGTAATAAAATCGGCATCGAAGAAATAAACACCGCGAAATAAAAATAAAATATCAAACAGTCAATCCGCCCAGTCAGTGAACATAACGTGCGTCAAAATTGAAGTTGGAAGACAAAGAAAGAAAGAGGGGAGGAATCAATCAAATAGCCGACACGACCTCTTCAACGCCAGAAGGTTCCACATAATATTCAAGAACTTGAAGAGAAGCCAGACCCATATTGGCGCCTCGAGAATTGATGAGAAACTTAAGTGAAAAAAAAGATGGGAGAATAAAAATGCAGTAAACAAGTACATCGGCAGAATGGAAGGTGGGGATTCGAGGATGAAGAAAAACACGAGATCTATTAACATTGCCCGCATCTACCATGGCCACCCCATAAAATATAATATGGGGAAAGCACGGAAAAGGGAGAAACAATTTTCAAAGATGCTTTTGCTGGCTGTTACCGTACTCAAATGGAGGACCAGTACTGATCCAGTCTTCAAATTGTCCGCCAGCATCAACTTGGTTTTCATTCCACACCTCTCGCCCATCCATGGGTTGTTGTAGACCGGGATGGAAACCGGATTGTGAAATATATCGTTCGTCTTCCTGGCTAGGAAGGCCACTCCGGGCAAATTGTTGCTCTACGTTAGGCATTTGCCACATGTCGATCGGACCCTCGTAGCTGGTTCCATCGCTGGAGGACAGATTAGGTTGACCATCGAATTCGAAAAGTTGGGGATCGACTTGTAACACGTTGAGCGAGACTGGTGTCCTTGATTGTGGGAGCGGCTGCTGTTGGAGCAAGTCTGGGTGTGCGTTGCCTGGAAGACCGGCTAAAGCTACTGGTCCGTCATACTGCATGCCTGGAACGCCCATCTTTTTGAAGGTCACGTCTTCGATATTAGGGCCTAGGGTGCTTTGGTGGATGGATGGTTGATAATAATGTTGTTGTTCGGGAGGAGAGAACATGCCAGGATGCGGCCTGCCAGGGTTCGACATTTGCCATGATGATCGGTTCATGTCACCGTTCAGATACACATCCCCAATTTGTTCGAATGGCGTTCCCTGACGGCTGTCGTATGAGCTGTCGCGATCAATGGGAGTGGGAGTGCGGCTTCGGAAGCTGCCATCTTGGAATGAAGCGCCAGACACATGTCTCACTGGATTTTGATACGATGGAGCCATTGTGATACCATGGTCACTGACATCGCTATGCTCTTCTTCCTTCATGGTCAATGCCTTTTTCTTCTTGGGGGTGTTCGCACTTTTGTTTGGAGCGAACTTGTAATTCGGGTGGGCTTTATCATGGTTGTCTCGTTCAATGTTGGCCAGTCGCTCGTAGTAGTCTCTTACTTCCTTGGGCTCCTTCGGCCAACTCAAACCAGCTACTCGCGAGACTACCTGATGATTGTTCTGAGCACACCATTCCTTTGTTGCTTCCGCATATGCTGAGCGATACAACATAAATGAATTCATCGGCCGTGCGATCTTGCCATTTTTCTTCTCCACCTCCTTTTGGCGTTGTTCTGTGGATCGCATCACATGGAGCTCCATATTTCGCACCGGGATTCGCATCCCCTTTGTCAATTCACTTAACGGCCGCGGCACAAGAATTTCGTCAGGGCCACCCCGCTTGGCAACATTTCGTTTTCGCATCCTTACGATCCTCCGCACGCGCGTCTTGTTAGTGCGGCCAGAGGCAGGACGCGAAACAGTTCGGTTCGGCGAACCCAAGGGTGATTCCGGTGTGCGCAAAGGTGCCTATGGCATGTTGGTTAGCATTAAGCAAAATCAAATTCAGCGCCGCTGCTCAGAGCTTACCGTTTGGGGATAAACAACCTCATCTCCGTTTCTATACGGGCCTAGAACTCCATAATCACCCTAGAGAATCGTTAGACACGCGCAGTACTTCAGATTGCTGGCCAAAGTGAGGCAATTGAGTTACTTACAGCAATTATTGGTTCTCGATGAGGGTCAACCTCAATACGGGTATACTGCAAAGTTGGAGATGGCGTCATTTGCGTGTATAGGCTGTCAACTTGCAATCTGTTTTGGAAGAATGGCAACCCAGCTTGCTGGATTGAACAGACACCGATGGTGCGGGATAATTCTCCGTCTATTGACAGCGGAGGCGACGGCGGATGGGTATTTGACATTTCTTGCTCGAAATACCTTTGCTTGTTGAATGGAGTGGAAGTTCCAGTTTTGCTTTCCAGGGCAACTATATCGACGACGTTGCAGGCCAATCTATCCTGCTAAAATGAGCAACTGCACAAGCTAATGGTGCTGAAGGTAGAGTGCAGAGCTAGGAACCAAAAGGCTTGTGGTAGGATGGGTACGAAAGTTGGGAGACGAGATTCCTAACTAAACAGCTTTCAGCCGGTATGTGGAGTTTTATGTATTCTGGTGGGGTGGAGCCGTGCGGTGTTATTGCATTCCCCAGAACTCAAGCTCTCTGAGGTTTTTAAAAGATGAACCGTTACACAACCTTTTCTCTCTGGTGGAATCGAGACTATGGCTCCGTCTTAATTAGAGAACGAGCCGTCCCGGTTTACTGAAACCTGGTCCCTGAAGTGGCGTGGAGCTGATTATTTTTGGTACGGAGGGGCAAGGAGGACTGATTGGCGAGAAGGGAGGCGACGAATTCTGCAACTATCTCCGACAGAAAATCCTTCCGGATGCGGATAGCCAAGTAGGGGGTTGGTTAAAGCGGAGTAGAGTATGGTAGCGGTTCTCCAGAACGGTAGCTTTGGCGCTTTTCTGGAGGTCTTTTTTGTTGTTGCTGTTTTAGAAAAGGTGGATTATATTGGGGTAAAGAAAGTTGGCGATAATGTTATTTTTGTGATGTTCTCTCGTTCTAGCCCACTTTTTATGCCCTTCCTTGCACAGTGATGCAAAGGGCAAATGTCGAACAAGAAGAGATACTGAACAGAAATTGGAGCTTGCTAGCTTCAGACCGCTTATAGATGAAGCTGTTGCAGTCACCCGCTCTTGTATGGAACAGCTCAGATCAATATCTGACAGATTCTGGAAGAGCAATGGTTCAGAGTCACGCAACAGGCTAGGGAGCTGACTTAAACAAGTTTAGCAATCAGAACCTTGTCATTTAAAGCGAGAGGAAACAGCGCAGGTACTACTAGTGTGCATGGATTGGTGGGGGTTTAGGAAAGGAAATGTTTCCTCCGTCAATTCTTTGTTTTGAAGGGGCGGGGGGAAGAATCGAGGGGGCTGAGGAAGAAGCATCTTTGTACTAACCATACGGAAGCAGCAAAATGGTTTCTGTTGTTGAAGACAAGAAAGGTGAGGAATACTGAAATAGCTCCTTTGTGATTATCTGTTCGTTTCGGTTTTGTTTTATGACTCTGTTGTTTCTTGCCGTTTCACATAGGATCTGTTACTCAGTTGGTGGGAAGTTTGGGTAGATGTAGAGGGAGTATAGCTTGTGAGGGGAAATGTTGGGTAAAACGTCGACGTTGGGGGGGTGGGTGGATATATGAAGGGAGAGGCAACCCTTTTAGTGTTATTAGTATTTTGAGATTGGAGTTCTAGAAGCAATATATTAAGAATATATAAGGCATACGTGTGTTGTGTGTGTGGCTATCGAATGGTGGTACTTGGCTATTAATCAGGAGCGAAGAAGTGGTGCACAGTGGTTTTGATATGGGAAAGATAGATCGACAAGAGCTGCTTGGTTTTACACCCACACTGATTCGCATTACAGTGCAGCAGCAGACGAGTTGAGCCAACCGGGGGGGTCCCATACAGAGTACTTATTTCAGTTTTATGCCTGCCCTCTGCTCTGCCATATACTAACGACAGAGTTTGACCCATGCTAACCGCAGACGCAGGGCCAGCAGATGCAGCATAAGGCGAACCATAACTCCATCAGACCTTATTTTTTATTTTTCTTATTTCTGTGGGTAGTGGGGAGATGATGGGAAAGGTCCCAGATGTGGGCGAGGAGTGGGAGGGCAACTGGCAGCAGCATCAGTAGCGGCAGGCAGGGAGAGACAATTATTGCTCCAACCGCAGCGGCCTCCTCTCCTGTTGGTCCAGGAATATTGTTTGCCGCAAAAAGCCACGCCCCTAAACTTTTTACGGGGGGCTTAAAACCAACAGGCATTGGCCGCGGCGGCGGCAGGGATGCTGAGGGAAGCTCAACTATGGTTCACAAATGATGGCGGCCCATGATTTCCCCTTGTCCCCCTCCTTAGAGTCCTTACTAGCCAGGTTCGCAGCAAAGTCGCAAACAGCCAGAAGGAAGAGACGCAGAAAGTAAAATAGAAAATAAAATAAATAAAAGAGCGCCTGGGCACTTTTAGTTTACCGGTTCTGTATTGGGGCGATCGCCTTGTGGCTTGCCTAGCGTAAACTCTACCCGAGGAAGAGTCAATCTCACATCCCAGCTGCCAACGGCGATGTAGTTTTCGAGTTTTGGTCGTCTTTCGCGTCATATTTTTCTCCGTCTTCGCAGCGTGGATCGTTTTCTGCTTTCTCTCACAGGGATAATCCTTAGCGATAGAAGCATACACGTATATACTCGCGTACATCACTATATAACATTGTGCGCCCGTGGAATCGGCATGAGGAGCTCTAGGAATATTGGGCATGTCATGTGCTTTCTGGCGAAATGAGAGCCCAACGAAGCCAATAGAACCAGGATAGCCAGGTGGTTATCTCAAATGTAAGCGTGTATCATTGCTGTAAGGGTTAGTATCTCAGGCTGTCCGGTAATTAATATTTATCAGCTTAGTTTTCAATAAATCAGCCGTTTCTCCCTCGTGAAATGCGTTACGCTGTATAAGTGGTTTCCGCCCCCCTGCCCATCTGGTGGTTTTGTGATGCGGAATGGGTGGGCTTCGATTCTCGTATCTTGTTCTGCAACCTGGAGATCTGAAAATTGGTCGTGTCTAGCTACCTAATAAGGGAAGGTAGGAGCAGAGCGATCATCTGTCATTTTAGACCTTATTAGAACGGGATTCTGGACGGCGATATATCTGAGAGGGTCTCGGGAACTACACTAAGCAGCACGGAAGGTGGCAGGTGGATATGAGACATTCCTTTTTTTTTTTTTTTCTTTTTTTTCGGCTTGTTGATCATGAAGACGGGGAAAAGGGCCCGCCTGAAAAGCAGAGAAAATGTCAAGAGGGAGAAAATACACCACCAATGACAGTGTGGGATTCAAGGAAGAATTCTCCGTTAGGAACTCAAATCAAACCGGATATCAGATCATCCACGGCGACCACAAGCCCAGCCCGAATTGAACTTAATTTTTGCGGGGTTCAAATTATGATCTGTGCCGCATCCAGAGGCCTGACATAATAATAGCGTTAGCAACCCTAGGGTAAGTTGGAAGGAGCCATTCGTTCATGGACTGGAGAAGAGATGCCCGTACCTGGGAGTTTTCTTGGGGGGTTGAATGCACCACGGATTTCATCACGATGTGGCGTAGTTGTGCGAAACCAAGTCACCAGACTTACTTGTTGGGCTTGCTGAGCCATTATTGGTCGCTAGCTGGTCGAGGGTCAGGGTTTCGTGCAAGGTTTATGATATGCACCAGAGATCTAAGGATAGCATCAACTCAGATACTCGACAAACATTTGGCACGGCACGGTCGTTGTATCATGTAAGGTAGGAATAGTTAATGATGTCGACTCTATAAACGTCCACGGATTGTCTCTTCACTGAAGATAAAAGTTAAATAGAATTAGGTCATAGCAATTTGCGAAGGTTGCTCTTTGCTTATTGATTCCTTTTTCTATTTCCCTCCCGGCATACATCGGGAAGTGTAGAACCCCTGTAATAATAGCCGAACCTGTCAACCTGTCATGACAAGTGCTCCTTTTCTTCATTTGACCCTGCAGCACCAATTTCACATAATGTGATCGATTGCACCAAAGAAATCGACGAAGCACTGAATGAAGCGGACCAGCGGATCTAGCAGCGCATTGGTTCATATATTAGAGAACTATTCCAAGCGGCATACACATATATGCCATTGACACGCTTTCCAACGGGCCAAATTCACACTGGGAAAAGGGAACTGAGATGATCTGATACGAATCGTGGCGGATTGACTCAAACTGGGCCGCTTATCTCGAATGAAAAGTGGTTCTGAATGAGGAGTCGCAGAGCGTTGAGAACTTTAAACGTGTCCAGAGTAACAAAACCTGCTTTTTGGAAGGGATCTAGACGTAGCAGATCATACACTATTGATGAACATCGAACATCGCCAAGACATGGTAGCTCCAGTGCAAAAAGTCTGGACGCCTTAGTAGATATCCAAGTTAGCTGGAGATGTACTACTGAATAGGCGAAAGGCGCATCTAGTGAGTTATTGACTCGAAACGCACAACTGCGGTACGGAGTAGTCGGTGCTTCATCGATTGCTGTAGAAGGGGTTCCTTATCGAGATATATGTGCAGAAGTTCCTCCCTCCCTGCACCGTCCTTAGCAGGAGGTGTAGATGTGCACACAACATATACATACATGTAGCCTCTGTAAGAATTGGATAGGCAGGATCCAAAGCAGCTGAAGGACCAGCCCGGCCACCCCCAACAATAGTCGCCGGGAAAAAACATTCGCCTCCCGCGGTGCTCTGGCTGGCATCTGAAGAGAAGTCTGTAGTCCCGCACCGCCGCCCCCGCACTGATGTTGAAGAACAGCGTCTGGCGAATAAAAGCACACTGGAGACACCTTACTTCACACGACAGGGTCTGATTGGCCCAGGTGACGAAGAGGCGCCGACTGCAAAAACCAACCCAAGCCCGCAACCTCCAACTGGCCCTAATTTGAAAGCCCCGTCCCGTCGATAACTGGGCCCCGTATTGGGGTGTATTCGTCCGGTATTTGGGTGGGAGGCGGTTGCGTTGTGGTTGGTCGTACGAAATGGCCTTTTTTTGGCTCGACGTGACGTCTGCGGCTCGTCATCTTGGCGCGGTTTTGGCGTGGGAGCGCTGGACCAGACTGTCGGGTCAAACCGCGCCATGTGATTGGCTGACAATGTCAATCACCCCGCTAAACTGCATTGAGTCTAGTAGCGTAGTGACGGTCCAACCTTCCGCCCCGCCAGAGAACTTGGCAGCTTAGTCATTCATAAATCAGAGAGCTCTTCAAACTACAAGATAGATCGCGTTCGTGGGTGAAAAAAAAAGAGAAAGATTATCAGGATTCAGGACATGGACCTGCAGATAACTCGGCCTGCCTCCCGGAAATTCAGCGTAAATCTGTGCTTCCTGTCCTTCTGTTCCATGTACCCCAATTTCACCTGCATCGTCCTAAAAATTGTTTGTTATGTCGGCGACTGTGGTTGCTTGGCAGGCCTGGTCGCCGACAATTCGAGAACCGTGCCTACATTAGCTCTGCGTCGTATCTTGAGCTGCTTCACACACCACGTCGTCTAGTCCGGTTACACCCAATAATAATCCAATTGTCTCGCCTTCGCTACGCTCCGTCTATCACCGTGTATTTAGCTCTCTGCCAAGATTTGTTATTTTTTTATACCGCTTCTCATCCAGGTATTCTGGGGGAGGGGGGGGGGGGCTGGGGGCGGTGCAAAGACTCTGGATATATCATCTAACCATCATAAGCACCTACTCGGGCTAATCCGCAGTTCCTGCAGCTTTCCCCTAATCCTTCTTGGGCCCTTTTATATGTATTGTTGTTATTTCTACGCATAGTATGTCTTCTTGACAACTCAGCAAGTGTGCGACTAGTTCAATGTCGGCGAAGAAAAGAGATCCACTGACCGCGAAAATTTTCCGAGCGCCTTCGCCGAAGTTTCCTGCAAATTAATTGCGGCGTGCATGGGAAAGAAATTTATATTCCCGGACCAAATATATAACTAACTATAGTTATAAAAAAAAGGAAAAAAAAAAAAAAAAACCTAAAAATGGGAGGGGATCTATTGTATTCTTCCTTCGGGGTATCGGGGGGTGGGGATAAGGAAAGGAGAGGTGAAGGCAAACTGCCAACGTACTTCCCCCTATCATTACTCAAGACAAGCGAGGTCAACGTCCTGTCTAGATAGGCAATGAAAATTCAGGAGCCATTGTACGTATATACATACATGTACATACACAATTACCCGTTCGCTGGGATATGTACTGCAGGGCTCATCTAGATTAACCCTCTCTATTTAATTTTCCGTTTTGAGGGTTCCATCTCGAAAAAATCGACCCCTCATCGCGATTTTTTACCCCTGTGAGCTGCCATTCCCCACCAGTTGCCCAAAGTCTAATGGGATGATGGCTGGGCGCGAATTTTATCTCTTTTCGCCCTTTTTCCCCCTTCTTTTTTAGCGAGAAGTCGTCGGGAAAAATATAGAGAATGTGTTCATCTGTGCGGCCCCCAAACCCTTGTTATTCGACCCTTGACAAATGCGGACAGGACAGTATGAATCCCCACCATTGGCTGCAAAAGAAACACCGAAAAGCTGTTTTTATGAGTCTAAACTCCCAAACGAAGACCCCTCATCCTTCCTCTTGGCGGAGTGGCTCACGGACGATAGTTACCCGGTACGTGGATTACAGGCTCCTTGCTTGCGCCGTGTCATTTTCCTGTCGGCATTTTTGGTGATATTTGTTAGAAGGTTAGCGATTGTCGATGGACAGACACTAACTACCTCCCCTCGTTTGAAACGAAGACATCACATCATCAAGATGGGAGCGCGCGTTGGCCGGAACAATATGCACTCCTCAATTAGGTCCCCCGGAACCGGCTCCTCCCCGACCATGTTATGTACTGTGCGTATACAATCCTTGACTGAACATTCTGTTAGTTCGTTATATGGTTTCCCTCTTCCGGCTAAAGGAGCTTGCGGCGATTCGCGCGCATGACTGCGGAGCAAGTAACAGTTAATTTTGGTCTGAGCTACCTAATCAGCCCCTGCTTGACAGGGCTCTGGACAAGGGTACAGTTCATCCTAGGAGCAAGGTTGTGAAGAGAAGTCACGCTCCTGTCACATCGTAACCTCCAGGTCATGTTAATCTTTGCGCTGATGCTGGTGGGGTTTGATTTGTTTAATCACATACTCCACAAACATGCGTTCAGCTATGCAAGTAAGACTGAGGAGAGTATTTCGTCATTCAGTACGGAGTATTCATCCCTATATCCCCACTCGACATCCCATCTACCCTACCCACAGCGCCAAGCTGGTTACATCGGATTCACGTCACTTGCCATGGTTGCCTCTGCGGAAGAGCTACACATGGATGGATATCTTCTAAGCACCCTTGTAGGTGGCTAGGGGTTGTGCGAACTTTTTCGCTCTCTCTTCTCCTAAGACGGCATGGTAACAGAGGAGGTTGGCTGGGACCCCCGCCGCATTTGGCTCCCGATTCTACTATCCTATTGCGCGGAAAATATGTACATGTAACGTATGTACATGTACATTACAGGCGCCCCCTTCCTTGCATCCCCACGGCGGGATATACTGAAACCCACCGGATGGGCCATCTGAGACACTCTGATTCGGAAAACACCTCAGACTTGATCTATTCCGGCTGCTTGACCTGGGCGATAAGCCAACCTCTGGTCAGCTTGTTGCTAGGTACCTGAGGGAGGTAGGAGGGATACCGGCGTCTATTTCCGGGGGAGGGGGAGGGAGGGGGAGGGGAAAGCCAGAAATTATCCCGCATCCACGCTACGGTATTCTCAGTTGTGCGGCTTGAACCCAAAAGCTCCCTGTAATTTCTTTCTTTCTTCCTTGCTTTTTCGATATATATTTGCGCAGTTCCTCGAGAAATCAACACAGGCGTAGCAGCAACTGAAGCTGACAATAGTGAATACTCATTGTACACGTTGCAGTTCGCTTCCTTGTTTGCTCCATTCTAAGTTTTATGATACCCTTCATTATGCTAATTATGCTAAAGTATTATTACAGTTTGTGGCCAGAGCTATAATAAAGTCAGGGTCGTCGTTAGAAATACCAGAAAGCTGTGGCACGTATATGTATGTATGTACAACATTCAGCAAGGGCCGGGAAGCGCCAGCGTGTATTGTGAGATTAGCAAAATGTAAAATCTGTAGCTACAGCGTACTGCGGATTAGTGTACTGTACATACATCCGGGCCACATGATCCATGCCGCATATCCATGGATACTCGCCCATCAATGCCTGTGCCTGTATGTATACATGTATACATAATGGTACCAAAAGTATCGTCCATGCATTGCTGTGTGGGCGACAACCAGGAGTTCACGCACACATGGAATACTTGGTGCCTTATCTATCTTGTGTACCCTGGATTCTAAAAAACCTGTGTACGTCTGGCACAGGAGACAAAATAAATCTATTTTAAGAGACAGATATGGTGGTCAAGTAACTATATGTGACTTTAGAGAATGCTTTCTCCCATAGAAGAAGTGTTAGAGAAGTATGTACGTACGTACATTACGTACATACATACACTTGACTACACCCAGTGCATTCTGAGACATATATAGTCACAAATATGTATACGTAGCTATATGTATGGATGCGGATGTTGTGGAAGGTTGTCAGGTACAGTACCGTGCTTTTAAGAAGGACAGTTCGGTTGCTGCTGCAGATATTGAACATCCCTACCATAGAATCTGGGTCCATGTCTTAATTGAAGTTAATTGAAACGGCCATATGTTTTTAAAACTATGAACTATTGTGATTTACATGATTATCCATCCCTATCATATCCACAGCCATTATTAGAATATATGTATGTACAGTCCCTGCATTTCCTGACAATGGCTGTATTATTTATTTATAGCCGCAGATCAATAGAGGAGGCAGGGGAGCATGAAGAAGTTCTACTGAATAATGATCTTCGCGGTAGAGGTATGCGAACTATTCTGCTTTTTATATGGAATAACGTTGAACTATGTTCTATATGAGGATTATATATCTATATGTTACATGGTTATAGTACTGTACAACCAAAGCAGGTGGGAGAATAAATAAAGCCACGAACAGGCTTCCCCAACGTTTCTCGAGCGCCTCCAGCACTTTATCCCCTTGATTCCATGACCTACTAGGACATCAATAAGGCCGTTGCACTACAGTGCCCCAGCTGTTCAAGCGTGGCGGCCAATACTTAGCACTGCCTGCAGGGACACCTTGACTTTAAAGCTTGTCCTGCTCGGTTGTCGATAACTTCCCATCTAGCCTGTTAATATAGGCACCTAGATAGCTTATTTACGCACTCTACATACTTCGTAGCTGTTAATCAGTAGACTTTCTGAGAACCCCAACGGGCGCCTCCTCCCCCTCGAGGAAATAATGGGATGTGAGTAATATATCACCGAAAGGGGAAAGAAAAAGAGTATAATTAAGCATGGAAAGTGTTCCATCCAAAATCGAAGGTTATTTATCTTCAAGTATGAACTCCCTCATGCAGTTCCATCCAGTAACTTACAGGAACTGGTGTGATCAACCATACAGCTAACAGAGCAACAGAGCAGCTGGTGATTATTTATTGGTCCCGCCGCAGAGGAAAATAGAAGCTAGGAAACTGGCTATCTCTTATTTTAGTATTGAATAGGCCAACAGGCCGCGCGGCTGCTGGAGGCGTAATATGATATATCTAGAAATCTGAACGGAAGAATGGATGTCCTGTACTGTATACGGCAGCTGCTTTGCAACATCATCCATTATTTTATCCGAGCCAATATCTTTGGACATAAGTTTTTACGGCTCACGACTTTTGTTGGCAGACTCGCGACTAGGCAGGGTGAGTTCGCATGGGGCACATCGAATATCTGCAGCTTCAAAAAACTTCACCATGATAACCTTCTTTCCTCTCGGCCCTTCATGAATATATATCCCTGGCACATACAGGAAGTTGAGAATTTGCCTACCCACTACACATCTGCCACTAGGGCTGTGAGCCCGAGGAACCCTGCATCGTTGTTCCTATCTTCATAGAACTGTCAGATTCTTAGCCTAACCCCCCCCTGGTAGACACAGGGCGCCATAGCTCCAGCTGCAAGGAAAGATTTGATTCCCAGCGTGCAGGTCTCGGACATCAGTTACCAAAAGCAACAATCGAGGAACTGGTTCAGACATCAGGAATGCGGGGGTTTTCACGGAGGGAGACAGACTTCTCCTTTCGGTTTTGTAAAGTGAAGAAGCTCTTCCGGGTCTAAGAAATTCGTCATCGCCCATGGCTTCATGGGTGGTGTTGGCTTTTGGACGCGCGCCGAAGTTAGTTGGAGATCCCAGATTTCCCCCCCTGATCCTTGCTTGTTCTTACGGCTGCGGTGGGGGGCAGGCAAACTAAAGTAAATAACATCCATGAACCCAGCAACACGTGTAGTTATGTCAGTAACTACCGGCTCAGCATCCGGGATTTGAATATGCTCTGCCAGGCGCATCAGGGCGGAACCTAGGGCATGTTGTATTCTAGATGTTTTACGTTGCCTCTCAGTAGTCTTACAGACGTGAGCTTGACAAGGATTTTGCGGGTGTTTCAAGTTGAGACACGAACGTTGATGTTGGAATATCAAAGAAATAGAGACACAGGCTGGATGTACTCCGTACGGAGGAGGATATCGGTACCTAAAGTTACAGAGTAGTTAAGCCTCCCGAAAATCTCTCAGTTCTGACACAGATCACCCCGCAGAAAAAAGAAAAGAAATCTACACCACGGGCCCTGCTACTCTAAGATTCTCTAACAAGAGGATCCAAACCCACCACCAACCCACCACCTGCTGTGGCGGTTTATGCTTATACTTGGGGGGTTCCTTTGCTTTTTTTTGCCTTGAAGTTTGATTCGCCTTTGGTCACTTGCCATGGTCGTCTCAGACGCCCTGTGGGAACTTCGTCGCTCCTTGATCTGCGCCGCAGTTTTGGCTGGAGCATCAAGGCGGCAGCCAATGCACTTCTCCGATAAAGAGATGCACTTTAACAGCAGTAACTTTTATACTTGACAGATGAGCATATTATCCTTTCGCCATCTTCACTACAGCAGAATCACATCGGAAACGCTTTGGTTCATCTCAATAGTGCAATATCAAACTTTGTATGACTTCACAAGAGTTTCAATGTGTTGGATATCCCATCTATCCGTTGGCTTCCTGGAACAATCACTGGCTTGCAATTTAAGTACAAAACATGATGCATTGCAAGAAAAGAAGCTTGTGACCCCATGGCAATGACATTCTGTATGTAGGCTGACCAATTCGCCGCCGCTCTACAGGATTAGTTTTTGTTTCCACCATTCCGCCTTTACATTGTTTGCCCCTTTACTAGACCAAGGTTAACAGGTCTAGTATTTTCAGTGACTACTTTTTCAGTTTGCTATTGATCTAAGCCAATGGGCTTATCACAGCTACGCCGGAATTCAAACTAAAAGTAAAGAAATCTGTTAGTGTATAACTGCTCTCAAGCGGCTTGATACCCTTCCAGATGCAGGGATTTATTATGGTGTATCGAGTAACAAGCTACGAAAGCTTGCCCCTGCACTTATTGCGTGGAATATGTCATTATCTCTCCCTATACTCACTGGGGTTACCTGAATAGAGATGCCTGCAAAATCCATGCCCTTCTACTACTACATCCCTAACACCCTAACAACCTCGGTGCAATCGTGAAATTAGCAACATCTTCCAACCCCGAATATAATGTCAGCCTTGGTTGACAGCAAGATCTCCGATTTACCGAGTTTCTCCCATATCCAACAATCTCCCATCCTGCAAAGATCGACTTAGATGACGTCTGCACCTTGCCAGGCAGACCACAGCGGAGACCCCACGGCCTGCCGCTCCTCACTATTCTCACTATTCTAAGGATAGTCGTGTGCTTGTGTCATGCACGTCAGTCGCATTGAC